CTAATCATGAAGTAGGATTATTAATTTGGATGAAAACTGAGAATGTCCTTTTGAAAACTCAATTTTTAATTAAATATATTAATATTTATAATTAAATGTTTACTATTCACATTCCTGATTCCCTGAAAAAAGGGTCAGGCACTCTCTATTTCAACCCAGAATATGAACTTATGTAATTATTTTAGAAAGCTAATTAAAAATTAGTGCGCTGAATTTAATTTTCTGTCACAAAGCGAAATTTGAAACCACCAAGCCACGTTTCTCTCCCTCGCTCTTCAGTTTTAGAAACAATTAAAATGCGAAGCGTTGAGGATGTAAATTTCGGCGAAACTCTCATCTTTCTGGTCGCGCAGTTCTTAATTAACTCGGCGTACGTTGCCTTCGCTACTCGGCGGTTTTCTGCTCTCCCAGTCACCCATTGTCTTGGCCGAGTATGGAAATAAATGGATTCGGGCAAAACAAAATCCTCTCGCGCGCACAACGAACCGAACCTGCCTCTCATTCTGGAGAGGGAAACCATTATGGCGACGGTTGAATCGGAATTTGCCGCAGCTGATAGGGCGTTTTCGCCCAGCTTCCTGCCTATCCCCGGCTTATCAGGCTTAATTACATCCCCAGTGGCCCAAAAGCACTTTTGGCCTTCCCGCGAGAAACCGAGAGAAGGGGACAAAATCCGCGTTTTTCGTCAGTCGGCCTAATGAGTTTTTTTTTGTCTATAATGTAAAAGTAATTATTTATCAATAAAAGATAACGGGCTGGACGTAATTGCTTTTCTCGTTGCCATCTGGGTCAGTTTGGGCTCATGGAAAAAATATCATAAAAAGGACATATTTACGATTTTATTTTTGCTATAAAAAAGAGCTTATGACGTGAGTTTCAAAAATTGAAATTAATGAATATCGACTGAGAGGAAATTTGCAAAAACCTTTTAACAGAAATCAGATGGCCCTAATGACATTTTAATGGGGTTTAAAAAAAATCAAGTATAAATCAAACTGTTTATATTTATAAATATAACAAAAAATAAAACAGATTTTCTCTTGCTTATTTTATTAATAAATATCTGGATATAATTTAACTAGCAGAATTATTTTCCCATTAAAATTGGCTGTGATGGGCTTATTTTGTTGTTAACAGAATTATTTCAGATTTTTTTATAATATTTATTATTTTGTGATCACATCAATATGAAAAGCCGATTTCTTTTCATGAATATTATGTGTTTATTATAGGATTAGCTTGAAAAGACAGCGCAAAACATGATGAATGATTTAGACAAACGTGTTTGTGTGCCTTTCCCGTTTCGTGTCTGCACCGATTTAGAGACTTTCGCACTTATTTTTGTCGCACGACTCCGTGTTCCGCACTGAATAAAACACAAAATTGTGGCTGCCACGAACGTAACGACAACGAATGGGTCTCATGCATATATTTTTGTTCTGCCCTCGTGAGACATACAGCGCTAAAGTGGCGACAAAAAAGCAAGGGCGCAACCCCTAACAAGCAATAACTTTGCACTGCATTCCCCATAAATGTAAAATCCAACGACCGGCGGCTCTCAACCCTTATTGAATGGGGGATTTGCCTGGTCCGTCGCCACAGGTATATATCAGAACGGCTCCCCGGCGAATTGCTGTGTAATTACTCAGCCGCAGTCGGCTCCATTATTCCGAGCGGCAATCAATGTTGCGGTCGCAAAGTGACAGCCCAAAATCCGGCGCCCACTTTTCCCTGCTTTTATCTACGCTCAATGGCCCGGCCGGTTTATTTATCTCCTTGATTAATGAATTAGCTCGCATCCCGCGGCACCTGCCTTCGTTTCACGTGTGTGCGTTTGTGACGCGGTCAGAAGTTAATAACTTTGATCCTCTTGCGGCATGTTGAATATCAGGTGGATGCTGCGCAACGTGCCGGAGGATATTGAAAAGTGGCCACGTGCGGACCACGCATAATAGTTTTTAATTGTATTATAATGTGATGACGTCAGTTTCCACAAATTTAATAGAGAACAGGAATCACTGCTCAAATCTATAATACCTCAATTACAATAATTGTAATTGATAATTTCAGTTAGCAGCATCAACATCATCCAATCATTTCAATTCAAAATTTATTGATGCATCTAAATAAATAAACAGTATACCTGTCAAAGCGGGTGATTTTTTTTAATTAATCTAATATTCAATAATTATGTTCCATGTATTAAAAATATTATTTGGAATATTTAATTCTATATAATAATGCAATTATTCTAGAGAACTCGACAAGTTTCTGTTAAAAGTTAAGAATGGATTTTAAGGTAAATTGTTAAATAATAATTCTTTATTTTAACAATTATTTGGAAAAATTTAATCTTCACCACAGTCCATTTTTATAAAAGAAATTTAATTTAAATGAAACATTTGAATACATATAGATTAAAAATTATTGTGAACACTCTTTTGTAAGATAAATCATAATCAATCCTTTAAAATAATCTTCTCAATCTTATTTTTTGATGCCTCAATGAATTTTTTTTATTAGTTTTCACAAGATCAAGGCATTAAAAGAAATTAATAAATCATCCCTCGTCCCTGACGCTTGAGCGGTTTTCCTCGACGTGTCTTTTAAATAATCTCTCCGTCCGCCTCAATCATATATATTTATTTGCGCCACTTTTATTCAGTCTGTCGCCACTAGAGCGTAGAAATAGCTTTTCTGATAAGCACTAACTCTCTCGTTTTTATGCCCAAATATTAAAAATACGGCGGCAGTTGCAGAATATCGCTGTTGCCGTCGCAAGCAAGTTTGCCTCGCCTGGTCATTTGGCGAGAAAATATCGCTCATGCGCGCGCCACCGTAAAGACTGACATTGCCCCGCCATGATGGGGTAAATAAATAAATTGGTTTATGCATCGAGACGAGAAAGAAAGCGAGACGACAAGCATCAAATATATAGTCTTCGTTGGGCCACACACAAAAATAAACAAAACACGCAGAGGCAAAATTTTGCTTGCGTATTCGAAATAATGGAATATTTGATTAGATTAAAAAGAGTGCTCGCCTAAATAAGATTTTCCTCATTCCGTGTTCTTTCGAAAGTTGGCGCTTGCAAATTTAATATCTGCGGGTTGTGTGCGTTGCAAGGGTGGCGAGCGGGATTCGAAAGCAGGTTGCCGGAGAGAATTCAATCAGAAAAAGTGGGCCGCCGGTGATCGCAACGTCAACTCCGATGTCCTCTTGCGTCGTTTTCACGTTCGATGAAAGAGAGTGAAATATTAATTCACGTAGTGAACGTACGGATAGAGAGAGAAATAAGCACAGCAATATAAGAAGAGGTTGTGTGCTTTGAACGACGTCCCTGCGGGCTTGCCGGACTCAACTCGGGCGAAATTACATTCTGCTCAGCTAGCGGGTCAGTCAGCTTTTGTGCGGGTCGTAAACAGCCACTTCAGCCAGACACTTTCCGTCTATACCTGCAGACAATTTTCCGATTTTGTTATAGTATTTGCTGAATATAATATTTTACTATTTGCAATTACACCCTTAATAAAAACCCTCTACCGTTTTTTTAACAAAATTTTCAGTTAAAAACATTCTACCTACGGATAAAATGTTTTCATAATAATTGGAAAATAATTAAAAGATGTTTTTATATTTTATAAATAATTTTTTTTATTTTAAACAAACGTGATTATTAGTATCAATTAAAAAAAAAAATCCTATTCACGCTGTGAATTTTATTAATGTTTTTGTAAGAAACTAAGATAAAATTTAAAAACTAGCACAATCAAATCTAATTTTATAAAAATATTAATATTACTTCACAAATATGATTGAGAGTGTGTGAAATTTTTATTTGTGAGGAAAACAAAACACGAGCGTTGGCAGAAAATTGATGTTTTCACACGTTTTTAGTGCATGAATAATGCACCTTTTAAGCGTCTAGCGAGAATCGTGAATATTCAGTCGGGCCGTGGATTAATAAAACGGTCGAGCGTCTCATCAGGTCTGTGCCAATATTTGCCGGCATAGCGTGTGCGTATCCATTACGGTTCCATCCAGCCCTATTTGTTTGCATAGGCTGCAAACACAACACCAAATTGCAATTCATCGCGCAGAGCCGCTCATTTGAAGCACGACAAGGTCCGCTCTAACAAACCGTTGCCCTCGCTCGCGGCTATTTTACCGAACCCACGCATACAACTACAATAGTTCTAGTTTGCATGATTAACTTTTGGACTTGCGCATACGTTCTGGAAAATAATATGAATTTGCCCGAAATTTTTGCATGCACGTCATGAATTTAGAATATCTCGTTATCTCTCTCGCCCAATAAAAGGCTAAAAAAGCTATTAACTAATTTTTCTTTTTCGTTGAAAAAAGAGGCGGAAAAAGGAAATGTTACAATAAGTAATTGTTTAATTGCCTAGTTGCATTAAAAATAGCCCCCTCAAAGATAAATTCAAAATATTTTTCATTGTTCTTGTTTCTTTTGCCTTGTTTTGTATTCAGATTGATTGTTCAAACCATTATTTAATTGATATCGGTCCAAATAACCTGAACTTAATTGTTTTGATAAAAAGAGGAATTAAGTCTGAATGCAAAGCTCGCCAGAATTGAAGGGAAATAAGGAAAACAAATTAAATATATTTGAATTCCCAAATTCAGGGGGTTTTACTTTTTATGCAAATTGACCAATTTTGAAGAAAACAAAATACATTTAAAAAAAATCTGCTTGCAAAATCCATCGTCCTGATGTTCTTAAACTTTGAACTATTTTTTGATTGTGCGTTTATCTCGGATTGACTTTTGAACGATAAATCTTGGCTGAGAATTGAGTATCATAGTGTGTGCATTGCAACATATATAGTCGACTGAGGGAACTTGTCACAGTCATCTAGATGAATTACTGAAGCTGAACAAGCATCATTATTATCATTATTATTGAGCATGAAAGTAGTCTTAACATAAAAAAAATGGCGGTCAAAGTTGTTTCGGCACAAGTTGAAACCTTGCAGAGAATCACGCTGGAGGGGTGCAGGGCCTAATGCAAGCGAAGTCAAGGTCGTCCTGCAGCCGCCACGCCCACCTCATCGAACATCTCCCGTTCGGCCTCCAGCAGCTCCTCTCGCCAATCTTCCTCAGTCTCCATAATGGCGTTTGCCGCAGCGCGAATGATACTCAAAGACAAAAGACGGAAACCCTCCAAAGAAGATTTCCCACCTAGGAATAGAAGCAAGGTAACGCAAGCCCCCTGCTCTTGAGCGCCCTTGCTTACCAAGTTAGAAAGAGCTAGGAGTGTAGTGTGTTAGATCAGTCTCTCTATCTCTATCTCTCTCTCTCACATTTAAGTACTCTGAAACACCCTGTCATGACACCACTTCTTCTCTTTTGATTTTCACGAAGCAGTTCCAAATATATACTCTCTTTACTAAATAGAGCGGTAGTATTTTTAAAACAATTTGATATTTTGAACAGGAAGTTGCTGAAGACTATTCAACTCTGGAAATGGCAGCACACACGCTCTCTTAAGTTCAAAACTCTTAAGCTTCACACACACCTTTGTTCTTAAGTATCTTGTACTTTTCCATACAGACGTGTGCGCCAAAGTTTATTCTTTGTTTGTTGAGTCTTCAGTCGCTATTCATTGTAAAACTGTTGTTTCCATTTTTTTTTTCTCCCTGACTGAGATGCAGAAGGGGAATTTTCCACCGTAGCTCTGTCAGCGCAGCTCTCGCTTTCCTCTATTTCTCTTCTACTTTTTTTTTACTTTTCTCCCTCACATATATAACCATTTCAGAGCGAATTCAGGTCATTCTCATTTAATTACGCCCACTCTGCTGTTTACCGTCCTCAACACACTGCAGTGACAAAAAGAGAAAAAATCCCGCGATTTCCCTCCATTCCTCATTGCCGGGGCGCGATTGGAATCAGAGAAGTAGTGCAGAGAAAGAGCCGTTGGTGCCTGTCTGACCTGCTTTCCCTCCCGCGCAATATATCTTTCTTATGTTCCCCCGCTTTTATTCTTCATCCCCCACACGAGAGCAACTTATCCGAGCCCACGCGAAAATATCCCATAAGCGGCGAACGCCACTTATTTTTCATCGCACTGGCCCTCTTTTTTTTCGGATCGGTCCCTTTTTGTTTCAACCCCGTTCCGAAGCTTTTTCATTTCCTCTCCGCATCCGGCGTCCGTCCGCCGCACAGGTGCCGACTTAATTATACTCGCGGAGATGGATTTTTATGTATAGGAAAAATGCTGGCATCTCTCAACTTTCTCGATAAATCATTTTCTATGTGTATGCGCTCGACATTTAATCTCGGGTTGTGCCTGGCAGCCGTCCAGAACGTGTCCAACTTTTATTGCGAGAGCGTTAATTTAACTTGTTATTTGATGCGAGAGTTTGGCATCCGAGAGCTCCGGCCAAGGTAAAAACTTGGCTGGCGCGTCGTGTCTCCCTGTAGAAAGAATGCCCTGGATAAATAATTCAATCAACTCGCGAAGTTGCAAAATCAGGAAATGGAAAAGTTGCGGTCTTGGAACCCACACGTCCTGCCGTGCAAACCTTGGTTTTTCTCTCGCTCGCCGCCCTAGAACTAAAACGCACACGTGATGCGGCCAGACAGTGAAAATTGCATGCCCACCTTGTCTCTTTCTTATTATTTTCTGTGTTACTCTTTCTTGCCCTGTCCTCTCTGTCTCTGTATGTCTTGCAGACTCGCAGCGTCACCTCGAGTGCGAGCAATCGCAGCCTCAGTCAGCAGGTAACACGCCCTCAGATCAGCATCTCTATTGAGAGAAAACAAATTTTAAGAAAAACCAACATCAAAAATACTCCAGCGGTTTTTCCTCCAAACGCTAATTCGAAAGCAGAACAATTTTACATTTTAACTCTGCTAGATCTCTGGATGTAAGATTGATCGCAAAATTTATTATTTTATAATTTTTTTTTAACTGTGCAATTTTATTTTTTTCCCTCCGCTCTTGTGGCACTTTCCGAGTTTTTGGCACTCTTAAAATTGGGTAAAAAGAAAGTGCTGCGAACAATCAAGTGAGTAGGGCGGAACGAAATTCCGAAAGTTTTCCTGGTCTCCTTTAGAAATTGTCCTGAGGCATAATAAATGGAGCTGTATACCTTCCATGACAAATTTCATGTCTCCATTGTATGAAATATTTTCACTCAACTTAGCTCCTCGCAAAAATTTGAAGAACTTTTTTCCATTTAAATTTTAATTTTAATTGAACTTTTTAAGAAATTTAATTTACAATCTCACATCCAGAAAATAAAATGCAGACTTAAAAAACAAAATTCCCACCCCTCTCTCTTATTCTCATACTATTCATTCATAAAAACCGCAGCCGCGGCTCTGCGCAGTTGATCCATCTTGAAACTCCACAGAGCTGCCGTCAAAAACTCTCACACACGTTCACACAAAATTTTGGTCGTTTGGAAATGAACTGAATCACCAAAGCCTGCTTGTCACTGAGCTGCTCTTTGCTTCCATGAATGATTGCTCTGGATGTTTGTGCACCCATCACTCCGCCTCAACAGCCCACCGCTTTGTATATAAAAAAAGTAATTTTTTTTTCAAAATCAGAAATAAGAAACTCCTTAGAGGGGGAAGTTTGCGAACTATGAAACTAGGGGAGAACATATTACACAATGTGGTGGGCGTAGGGCGAAAGTGACACGATTTTTTGTCAGTGCGCATGCAGAATGGCCGACAAGTGTTTTGTTTGTGTGCCGCCCTTGACCCGGGCAGGTCTTCTTTCCATTTCTTCCACTTAAGCGTCCCCATTGCTTGCACGAGAGAAACTTGCCACAGCATAAATTTTGTTTGACCCTGTGACAGCAGCTAAGCTTTGCGCGTCTGCCGCAGACCTCGCCAGGTAATAATTATACTCTAGACATATGATTGATTTCGCTCGTGTACGGTGTGACTGATTTATTCTCGTGCATCTATCAACACGTTCTCATTGCATATAGATAGCTCTCTATAATTCCATCGCCCATCTTTACCCGTCGCATAATTACGCTCGTTAATCTCCAGTCATCATTTCCATGAACTCTGCAATCAAATCAGATTTGCATACGCATTATATCATCGCAAAGAGGATTGAGAGCTTAAATGTAATATTATCCCAGCCAATTAGCGATGTAATTATTTCATCGTAATCAATAACAAATTTTTAAATCAGCCTATTTAAATTGGATTATGAAAATTTTTAAGGGATAGCAAAATTAATTATTTATTTAAAAATATAATATTGATTTTTAAATTTAATAACTTCATTTTAGCGCCAGGTAGAAATTAATTATTTGAATTGATTCTTAGAAATCGCAAAAATTTCTTAATAATTTTAAGAAAATTTTGAAACTATTAATTTATTATTTTTGTTTGTTTCTTTTTCCATTCCCTAGAGCAATATAGTAAAAATAAAAGTTCAAATCCACTTACAAAGATAATCAAAACAAATTTCTTAAATTGCTTTCGTAATTTTCGTTAACTTACCATCAAAGTCGACAGTCCCGGAGCCGTCAGTGTCAATTTCGGCAATCATCTCGTCAAGTTGGTCGGGGGTGAGTTGGTCGTCAAGGGCTGCGAGAATTTCCCGGAGGCTCGACGTCGGGATGTAGCCGTGACCTTTAGTCGGGGGCACCAGAAGCAGTAAAATAATAATTGTGCACCAAACTTGGCAAAAAGATGTGTCTGTCTCGCTGCGAGCCGCCTGGGGGTCGCTGCCAATTTTGCAACGCGAGTTGTTGTTTGTTATTATTTTGTTATGGGTCTATAAAGTCATTGACCTCCGCGTTTCCAGTCCGTATACATATTTTTTTCATTCACCTGCCCGGCATTTTTCAACTTCCTATAAACACACATCGCACCGGCGTAGATAAATTTTCGTGCTGCTCATTTTATTTCCGAGCATTCGTTAACCGGGCCGACACCAAAACCGGTGCCAACTCGCGGATGTGAATGAGATCTACCCCTATATGTATTTGTCACCCGTTTGCCCGCTCGCGTGACGCACCCTGGTTTTTTGTGTTGTGTGGTCGCGCATTAGAGCGTGTCAAAATGTACAACTTGAAAAATCGGACCTCTGCGCGTCATGACTATTAATTTTTTAGGACGCGAAACTCCATTATGCGGCAAAAAAATTTGTAAATGTTACATTACGCGATGTAGTCATTTAAAAAAAAAAATGCTTTCCAACCAAAAAAGAAAACGTAATCATAATAAATTTAAAAAAAGTAAATTTTTACAAAGATATGATGTTCTTTCCCCAAAAGGATTAATTTTAAATGCCAATTAATATTTTTTAGCGTTTATCAGTAGTAATAATTAAAAAATTCTATTAAAATGAAAAGTTGATTTAAAATCTCACAGAGACTGGAAAAATGATTTCAGAGCAAAATAACTTTTAAAAAAATCTATGTATTTTACGAGATTTGATTTCAAAATGAAATAGGTTCAGGCAACACGCCCAGCGGTTGTGTCGGTCGGGAAGAATAAGTGTGCAGGGGTTTCGAGTTCAATAGGGCTTTGTGTTTCGGCATAAAATTTACCTTCTTTGTCGTAGAGGCGGAAAGCCTCCTTGAGCTCCTTTTGCATCACCTCGTCGTCCTCCTCCAGGAAATGGACCGCAACGCGGCAAAACGAGTCGAAGTTCAGTTTGCCGATGCCTTAAAAAAAAAAGCTTTTGATTTGGATGGGAAGGGTAGAGAAAATATCAACCTTCTTTGTCCTGTTCTTCCAGAAGAGCGTTGAGCTCCAGGTCGTCGAAGGTGTGGCCGAGTGTGTTCAGAATTGTGCGAACCTTTTCCTTCTCGATGTGGCCCGACTTCCCCGAGTCGAACATCGAAAATGCCCTTCGCAGCACTAAATTTTTTGTTTAATTAGCATTTTATTGGAAGCAAAAACATTCTAAAAAAACAAACATTTTAAATTCCGAGATTAAAATTCTTAAATCTTTTTAAAGTTTAATTTATCATGACAAATTTACTGGAGATTGTAAACGGAGGCGATACATTAAACAAACACAACTTCTTATACGTGGCCTGCCACGCGCCTCCGGTATATTTATAAATAATTTGAGTCTGCTTACTGTTTGACTGCTCCTCATCCATCGTCTCTATTTTCGCGGCTGAAAAAAAATCGAGCGCCAACAAATTAAAAGGAAGTGTTCAGTTTGCCAAGCGCAAAGTTAAGGTGGGTTTTGAAGTGCGGCAGGAAAAAGGGTCATATTTTTTTTGTGGCGCTGCGGCAATTTGGAATGTAATTGAATCAATGGCTTCGCAGCCTCTGGTGGCCGGTGGATTTGAAAACCGCATGCACCAAAACCAAACTTAATAATTGCGTCTCGCGGGACCCGCAATTATTCTCTCTGCCGGGGCTTATGCAGTGAGTCCGACTGCGGATCCATTAGCATACGAATTAGCTGTTTTTCACTGACTCATCGTGTTCATCTCGCTCTCTCTGCAGCTGCAAAATTAATGTGTGTTTTAAACCTGCGGTCCTATTTTAAAAAGCATTATACGGGATAGTATGAATTTAAATGGGAAATTTTCAACGTGAACTTCTCGTTAGTAGTAAAATATTTTTGATTGCATTTGTTTCTAATTAAAAATTTAATCTGAATAAAATTTAATTTATTTAAATTTAGACTATTGAATATTTAATAAGGAAAATTCTTTACTGATTAAATTAAAAGAAATTATGATTGCCTGGATTTAATTTTTTTTTGCAGTCACAATCTGCATAAAATTTGCACTTGTTTTTTTTTCCAAAATTATGAATGCAACCCGTGATTCAGAAAATAATCGACAGAATCATTACAAAAAATTTACATGCCTTTAAATTTTTCTAGTTTAATGAGGAGCAAATACTCAAAATTTCATTGAAATTAAAAAAAAAACTTGATTTCCCATTGTTTCAATTATTATTTAGTAGTTGAGCTGTTGCATACAACAAACACCGAATTCCAAATTTCCCATTTCTCTCTCACTCCGACTGAGCGAATTTACTCCATTATCGTGTACCTGCTTGTTTTCGGATGACTCGTTCTCCGCACTCTATTCTTGCCGCGGGCTCGCAAGTGAATGCGATATCTTGTTCTCGATCCCTCTGGAGCAGGGCCTGCCCACCGAGCTGCGGAGAGAGTAAAAAAGATATTCTGGATTTTCGTGTAGCTGTTTGCAATCCGCGATGCGAGACACAAAGCTGACGGAATTCCACCTGACGTGACTCTGTTTGTTTTGTCAGGGGGCTGTTGAGGCCGAACACACGCCTATGTTTGTTTGCGCAAAGAAAAAAAGTATCTCTTTCTCTCTCTACGGCCGACTTATTTATTTAAATTTTGTGCTCAAAACAAAAGAAGTCGAAAACACTTTCGTTCATTCTTCAACTTTGGTTGTCGCCATGAATCGTATGCAAATCTCGCAACCCTTGCTTTTTGGGGCTGCGAGAGAGGCAGGGGTGCAGCTCACTCACTCACACTCGTGCACACACTTGAAGACGCTGCGCAGGTGTGCATGAATATGCAAAGTGGGACGACGGACCGCACCCGGTGTTTGAATTTGCGGCCGCAGGAGGTTTTCCGCCACTTGCAAATAGACCTATTACGGATGGGGTTATTGATTCGCACGGGTTGACGAAGAATATTTCGCTTATTTCCCTCAAGGCCCAAGGTGTGCCGGCACTTTCATTCCCCGGGGCTCTAAAGACAATTCTCATGATTGTCAATATGTGCCCTGTTCACAGATTTTTCCTCAGTTTCAAATAATATCTGTTCAGAAAAATCTGCTCTAATTCTTTTTAAATCGGTATCAACCTTTTTGTTTATAAAAATTCATTAATATTTAATAAAATTTTATAATGCATTTTTTTTTAAATATTAGTGGTTTTTCTTAATTGAAAATTGTTGTCAATATTAAAAATTAGAATATAAAAAATTGCAAAATGGTCAAATTTTTAATAGAAAATGAGATCAATTGAGAGAAATCATTGGAAAATTAAAAAATTTTCAAATCTCTGTTTGTTTGTTTTAAATTATCAGAAGTCAACACTGCTACTTCTACATTCGAATTGAGCATTTGTGTAATTCCATATTTTTGACTGAAATTTTTCCAAAATATATTAGTAATGTGTTTTTCATGCAGCAGCTGAAACAGCTCCGTTTGAAGTTGAAATTTAATTCGATTATTTGCACATTCGTGGTCAAGAAGAGCGATAAAAAGTAAAGCTGCCAGTTGTGCTGCTCAAGAGGATGAGACCCGCGTGTTGTCATAACCGTTGCAAGGCGCTCAAAGCTGAAGTGATATGGAATTGAATGTGACGATCGCGCTTTTTACTAATTCATCCGAACGTCCTTTTCTTCTCGGCGAGAGAGATTTTGTCCCAGCAGGCAAAGATTTCCCTCGGGGAAGGCGGCGGCGGTCGGTCCTCTTGTTATTCACCCCGGGTACTATTATTGATCCGCGACATGTGTGCAGAAATAATAAGCGCGCTTCTGCAATTGTTTCGCCATCGACAGCTACCGGTATTCGAAATTGATTTCAAATTTGTCTTGCAGTGCGGTATCACATTAGAATGATTTGTTAATGTCGTATGAAACGCCGTTATTTTTTTCGTAATCCTTGGTAATATTCTAGAGAGAATGAACTGAAAATTATTTCAAGTAGATTCCATACCTCGAATGGTAAAGCTAGGAAATTTTTCTAAGGTAAATTGCATATAAAATTCAAGTTTTAATTTCATAATATTTATGAACAAGTTATTTATTTAAAAATAAAAATTTCAATGAATTTAAAATAAATAAAATGTAAAATTTCCTCAATCAGACTAATTTATCAAGAAGAAAATAAATTATTTAGAGTAATTGCTCTAATAAAGAAATATAATTTATTTTTGAACCATATTATGAACAATAAGATTCAAGAAATTGAAAATATTGAAAATTGAAAATTTTATTAACTGATTGGACAAAGATTTTCCTTTAGAAAAATTTTTGAAAAAAAAACTAAAACAAAATATTAAACTAGTTCAATTTTTTTCAGATTATATTGAGTTCAGAATTGACTAAAAATTTCACACTTTTCATTTCCAGCGAAGAAAATGTCTGAGAAATCAATATAAACATTGAATATGAAATTTATAAGTCTGAATAACGATTGTTAGTCATTAATGAGCTCAAAAATCCCTTCAGAAACAAATGAAATTGAATGCAGAAATACTTATAAAATTTGTAAGATTCTGCTATTGCCAAATATTCTTTTTTTCCTCTATTTCCTTTTTTTAAGTTGATACATTGGCCTTTTGCCAAAATAATATGTAAAGTGCTACATACCCAACTTATTTTATGTTATGGCGGATTACTTTTTATTTACAAACGAAGAAAAATTATTTTGAAGCAATTTGCGAACAGGGCTTTTTAATTAAATAACGAATTTTGTCTGGAGCTGTAAATTTCGCCCATCTGGTTATCGTTTGCTGCGAGGCAATGTTTAACATGACCGCCTCAACAAGTATACACGCGCACATTATTGCGAAAATGGTGCAGCGAGCGCCGTGTGTGCCGAAATGCGATTATGCGATTTTTACGTACACATGCAGAGCACATAAGAGAACCGGCTGCGCTGCCCGTTTAATAATAAAAGCAGGTTCACTACTTGATGTTAAAAGAGCTTTTGATGAAAACTTTGAATCGCTTTTCGCGACGTCAGCTGAATAATTTTGCCATAAAAAGCCCTCGCGAGTGAAATTCCATTATTCCATCCCAATTCGGGTCGCTTCCTTAATAGCTCTGCAGACGCACTTCTCGCGAGGCCACATTTCGCCTGATAAATTTCGCCTTGTTAAAATGCAGGCACATTTTTTGCTCAATTGAGCGAGCGTCACACCCGTATATGTAGAAAGAGAACTGCCCGTTTTATACAACACTGATACACACTCACTCACTCCATCGCACAAGGGCTGGCAAAATAATGGCCCGTTTGGAAAAAAAGGCAATTTTTTTAAGGGCGCGCAGTAAATCAAGCTGCGTGTAGGCTACATAGATGAAGAGCCAGAGGTTATTTGTGTTCCTCCCATACATCTTACGGGGGAGCCTAATTTATATGGATTGTTCGAGAATATTAAAGGATACTAATTTTGAATTATGACACAATTTTTTAAACTTCTTGACTAAATTTTAACATTGCATAAAGAAGGAAAGGTACTAAAAATGTTAATTTGGCTTTCTTTATCTTGATAAAAATGAATTCAGAATTTGGTATAAACTCAAAATTGAAATAAAATTTTTCTTTCAGCAATTTCTTCAATTTTAAAAGTTCCAACTCTCTTTTGGGCTAGCAAATAGGTCCTCAATTAACACAGAACACCGTTTTCCAGGGATGGAAAAAACACGATTTTTAAATTTTATGTTTGATTATTCTTTGAATTTTAATAATTTTTGTTTCCCTCTATACCTATTTCAAAATGAAATTTATTAGTGATATTTTATTACAATTTTATTTATTTTATTTTGATCTTCAAACAAGCATTAAATTAAGTGTTAAGATATAAAAAAAAGATATTAAATTGATTGTTTTTGCATTTATTATTTTTGCCAATCTTTTTTTTCAGAAGCTGCAGCCAATAGTTTTAATATTCATTTAATAAAATATATAATTTTGCCAAATTACACATTGATGAATATTTTTTTTCCATTCCTCAGTCGCTTACATCACTTTATAGTGCCGATTTCTTTATAAATTAAAATTTTATTTATCTTTCAGTCTAAATTTTAAAATAAAAACTATGCTGTCATGACTAATGAAGCAGTGGAAGTTAATAAATTAATCTTGTTTTATTCAATTTATGTTGATTAAGAATGTGTGAAATGCAGAACATGACCTAATAGATTTCACCGCCGTCAGGTTCGAGAGGGCTCGTAATTAGTGTAACGCGACAAGCTAGGGGCGGATCTTGCCTATTAAGGGGTGTGGACGTTCCCGTCGTGATTTATGCATGTAGGAGCGGATGTAACCTAATTCCGTTGATGTGTTTTATCCGTTGCTCTCTAAAGCATGCCCTCTCTTAATCTTTCTCTCTCTCTCTCAAAATTTCTGATAAAATACTGTGTCTACTTTAATAAAATCCGGAGAAGATCTGTGTCGCTGCGCGCGTGTCCTTTCTCTTCTCCTTCTTCCTTCTTCCGTCTCTGATGAGATGCTGGTGTGTTTGTTTGCAATTTTGAGATGACTAAAACTGGTCTCTTTGCTCCTGATAGAGCCTTGTGGCGCGTAAAAGGCTGCTGCTGGCGTTGAATGGATCGGTTGAAAGGGTTAGACTCGCGATCGCACCACCACCGCCCAATCCCTCAAAACCATCTCACCTGCCTCAACACCCCAATCTGCTTTTTCTTGCATCACCACTCTTAATAGCAGCCCTAGTTCTACCAGCCTAAAAATATGAGGCCTAGCATCGTCTCCAGGAACCTCGGGGTAAGTACATCATTTTGCTTGATCAGATGTCAACGACTTTGCACGGCGCGCAAATTGGAAAATTCTTGTTAAAAATTGATAGGAAAAAATACATACATGATTAGTGAAAAACGATTTCAGCAAAAAAATTATACTCTCTTTCATCAGACTGAAATTTTTTTAAACTTTTTATTTCGTACAAATATCAAGATGCAATCACATGGAGAATAAAATGAGAAATCTAGTAAAATAAAAAGGACAAAACCTGATATAAGGTTTAGGTAATTTTGAAAATTTATGAATGGAAATATTTTCAACCCGATCGACAAAAAATAAAAAAAAATCGCAAAAATTAAAATTCTGGTTTATTTTTCCTTGTGATTAAAAAAACAGCTACCATTTTTCCAACCCCTGCTGTGCCTATGAGCTTGAGCTTTTGCTTAAGATGGATAATTTAGCGCAGAATGCTGTATTATTTCCCCAGTATTTAATCCAAACTAGAAGTATTTTTGGTGATTTGAATTTAAAATCAGCTTTTCCTCAATGGGTTTTTGTAAAGCCCGACGGATATTTGAAAAGAGACATTTTCTTTTATGAAACGAAGCTAGAGAAGTGCAATAGAGCGTACATTACATTCCTCCCATTGCGGTGTAAAACGTGGAGTTTCTGCCGACAATAATTTTTGCTTTTGCGCTAGCGTTGCGCATTTTCCGCTTTTAAATTAGCGAGAATGGCACGCGGCCGGGGGAAAAGGGTCTCGATGGAAAATACAGCCGGCATGTGTGTCAAGTGTTCACTGCGACGCTTTTGTTCGCAGGTTGGTTTTCCAATTTGCGCGGTGTGCAGTCGCAAAACACAACTCCATTCAACTGTGCGATTCTGACTGCTTTTATTCTGAGAATCGTGCCTATGTCGTGTTGTGCATGTTGTTTAAATCTGCGCTGAAATGCAAATTTCTCCTCGAGAAGCAGCAAATTTTAATTAATTCTGAGAGTGCTATGAAATCTCTCGCTCGCTCTCTCAGTCAGTGGCATATTTTTCATCCCTGGCTGCTCTCAAGAGAGAGGAGGAACAACATTCACTCACTCAGGGGCATGAGTCTGGAATAATTTCAGGCTGCGACTTTCTCCCTCTCTATCTCGCATCCAAGAAAGAAGTCTTTTCACACATACAAGTTTCTCGCTCGCTTCTTTCATTATAGATGTGGGAATGAAAGAGAACACGGCACACACACATCATTTTCTGTGCGAGTTTATACATATTTGCTCATTGCATTTCTGCGTTTGAGAAGGTGTGTGTTTCTATAATCATTATTATTATTGTCAATTTGACTTTTTGGACTAGTTTTGCTTTGATACATTAGTAAAAGAGAACAGTGCTGGTGTGATTTTGCAACGCTTCCATAGAGTTTCTCGTTTCATAGTTAGTATGGTTACTGTAGTTTTTTATTTTTACTTTTTTCCAATCCGTTTTTCATCCACGTTTTAAATTTTTATATATTATGGTTTTTTTGGGCGTTTGATCTTTTTTTTTTTATCATAGTTGAGTGAACTTGCATAAAAACGTATATATCTTTTGAAATTATATGGGAATATTTAAGCAGTTTTGGACTCGGAGACACGCAGGTTAGTATCGTTTGCGATTCTGAAAATTAACCTTTTTTGATAACCTTTGAAAATTGAACCCAAAAGTATAATGATTCTCAAATTTACATTTGGCTTATGATCCCTTCTTTTGATTTTTTTTTATTAAGATTTAAAATGAAAGAAATTTGCGCAGGGTTGTTAGCTACAGATTTGAATTTAGTCTCACTGAATTCTATGCCTCTTGATGCATTGAGAGTACATAATTATATCTTCAGATTCTCGCACCGTGCTGACAGTTTTTTACGATATTCTAGTGACTCAAAGCTAGTTCCAATTAGGTGAATCTTTGTATAAAATACCCGACTCTTGTTACACAAATCTTTTCCTATTTATGCATTTTGGCTTGTTGACGACAATTTGATTGATCTCTCAGCAGCGCGAGTGCATCCACGCTCAAATGATTTGTTTGTCCCGAGCAGGCGCGCAACAAGCCCGCCGATGGCCACACTGCTGGACAGAAAGGAACCCCCAAAGCGGGCACCAAGGGCTCCGTGGGCACCCCGACCGGGCAAAAGCCTTCCCAGAAGCCGACGGCGCAAAAGGGCCAGGTCAAGGCACCTCCGAAGGCCCCGCCCAGCGCCAACAAACCCAACAAGAAGAACAAAAAGGGCCACAAGCACCAGCAACACGACCTTATCGTCACCATTGACCTGGTGAGTAAACCCTTTTTTACATAATTAAAGAGATTCTTATATGATATGTACCAGATGTGTACGATTCTATATGAATATTCAGAAACGAATACATATTTTTTTATTATTAATAATTGTGATATATTTAAAATTTCAGTAATGAAAAATCATTTTAAAATTATGCAAGAAATTCTTTTTTAAATCTAATGATTTCCAATTTTAACTAAATTTTAGTTCACTCGAAAAATTTAAAAAAAGTTTATTTTCATGTAATTTAGAAACGAATTCTCTAATTTTATATAATTGAGGAAGATTGAGGTTGAAATTCAGAGAAATTAATTTTGCTTTTGGCATTTTTGCGTTGAATGTTCCAGAAATGACTTTCTGAAACTTAAAACTTTTCCGAGTGAAAAGTTCTCTCTCCACCTCTCAAAACAAACAATTTCAACTTCGAGCCAAATATGAAGTTAGCCAAATGAAAGCGCAGAGTGGCTTGGCCTATAAATTACGTTGGTCTAATGAAAACTCATTGTCAGAGCTTAGGAAACTTTGAAATTTTGTGTACAGACGTGACTTTGAAATTATCAAAAGGAAGTTTAAATCAAGGACATAAAAACTTCACAGCTGCTAAGCAATTTTGTGTGAGTAAATATAAAAAAAAATGCGTTTATTCAGTTAAAAATATCGATACCAGAATAATTTGGTCTCAAAATTCTGAATTTTCATTATACTTTCAAAATTAGTTTAAAATTTTGTTTTGTTCAAGCGCTATAAAATACCTCATCCATTTGATATTAACTGGGAAAATGTATTTACACAACAGCTGCGAATGTAAATGCTGTGTACTCAGCGCAAACGAAGAGTCTAGGAAAATAATTGTTTGGCAAAAACACGCCGTAAAATTTGATCACGTCAAATTACTCTCCCATTGTGCGCGAAATAGTATATTTTAAAGCGCTATTGTGTTATCGCTCGCTGGCGTGTAATTTATGTGTTTAATTTTGAAACATTATAAATTTGCCAGCCAACTTCCGAGTGCGCCCTTCATTAAAAATTCAATTATGCCTCGCCTTGGGTGAAAATTTTCTGGTCTGTGGCCAAAATCCGCTTGGGACGTGTATTTTAATGCGGCGGATTCCTCCCTCGCCGCGTTTGAAGCAGAATGGATGAGAAGAACCTCTACCTGCGGAAATAGGTCCCGGGAGAGACGCACGCGAGAAACAAATAGCGTGATCTCTGCAGTCGGCCTGCAGATTTCGGAAGGAGGCGGCGAAATTTGCATTTAATGTCACCGAGCCTCCGGGGGCGGCGAGAGCTCCGGTCCACCCGGCCATCCGTCTTGCTTTCTTTCATAATTCGGATCCATTAAGCTGATTAAACAGAACAAAAAGCAGCTTGCCATATTTAATTTGGACGAGGCGCAGCAGCACCAGCGGAGATAGTGTAAATATGCAGAGAGCGTGATTAATGTGTCCCTGCTGATTCGCGAAACCGCCTCTCCAGCAGGAACAGCAGCCTGGGGATTATACAATTCTCTCGTCAGATTTCATTCTCGCCGCGTATATTGCCCGAATTTCGCAGAAAACAACGAAAGAAAAGATTAAATGGATTGCAAGAATAACGCTGCAGAGGGCGACAACCCTTTTTCTTTATACTGAATCGTCTGCAAAATGATCTTAAAGAAATGAAAGATGCTGCTGCGTATACACAAAAACTTTTTCAAATTTATTAATTTCCCAAAGTGGAAATATACTTATTGGATTTTTTTATTAAATGGTGAAATATAAACGCGTACCATAAATTTCTATTTGTGCCAAGGACCACATTTCATCAGACTATAGAAAAAATAATATTCAATAGTAGGAAACAAATTTTTTAATATAATTTTTTATATTTTATCAATTCCTCTTAGTTGCAAATTTAGTTAGCTGTCATATCAATCTCTGCTTAGATGCATCTTTTCGATTGATTTAGATTATATTCAGAAGGAAATAAATTGATTTACGAGAAAAAAAGAGGAAAATTCAAAGTACATAACACATAACACTCTAAATTATAAGAAAATGGTTTTTCTACATTATTTTTATAAGTTTTTTTTTTCATATCAATTTTTTATGTATCCCTAAAAGAAAAACTTGAGACGATAGATATTAATTCAAAAAAGTTATTAAAATTTTAATTAAATTGTAAATTTTAAGTTGTGCTCTTTTTAAAATTGAAGAATTGTAATCTGATGAGGTATTTTCAATAAACTATATATATAATTTTTTTGAAAAAGTTTACACTTTAGGCGATGATCATGGAAATGAAGAGATCGGGCTTTTCCTCGTTAAAAATTTGTTTTTATTAAAAAACATGAATAAAAACAAACTTTCAACAAGGAAAAGCCCGATCTCTTCTTTCCCAAGCGAAGAATTCTTTGGTTATTATTGAATCTGCTGTGAAAATAAAATAATTTATATTTTTATAGTTTCAATTTCATTCATATTTAATTTTTCAATAAATCTAAATTATTGCAACGTGCAGATGACAAATAGCACGGATGTGTTGGTGTTGAAATTGAAAGTGCAAGTGAGAGATTAAACCGCCAAATGGCCTGTGCACACAAGTGCGGTGCCAACACATCGACCTTACTTTGGCGTTGTTTTGCTATCTTGCCAAATACGCAGATTTATTTTAAGTTGGTCTTGTACACACGAACGGTTAATACACCCCACAGGCTGATTCTACGTCAGTGATTACCTACGGGCCGCATAAAATGTTAATGACTTTTTTACAACTTCGTGAATTAGTTTTTAATTGTTCAGTGCAGCACAAGACGACATGAAGTTTTTATTTCGGTAATAAGATAACGTCCACGTATAATTAGTTTGTTTCTGTACGGCTACAAGTGTCTATTTCTGCAAGCGTGCGTCGGCAAAAATATGAGACCCAAGGCCTGGCCTTGTAACTCAATTAACCGACTGAGGAGTGATGTTTGAAAAGCGACCTCATTTTTCAAAATTAACTCCAAACTGCTCTCTTATTCATCTGAACTTGACTGTTATTCTTGAATATTTTGGAAGAGCAGGAAAAATAAATTCAACGAAAACTCGTCTTCGTCATCGTCAAATTACGCACTGGCCATACATTCATTCATTTCATTTACGAGCCCAGGCCGAAAATAGCTCGCGCGGGAGTAAGTTGCTGGCCGGTTCGAAATCGGTCGGCCAGCGAGCGTGTATTGGGGGCGCCCTTGACGATTGTCGAAGCAGCTGAATCGGACAGAGTGAGGGCGGGCGGCGGCCCTCGCACAATGGCTGCTTCCGAAGAAAACTACAAGGAAGAATACTCGCGACTCAGGAGACTTGCGTCTCGATTCGATGTCCGGAAACATTCCGTAAGTTCGCTTCTTTTTGGGGTGCTATGCTGTGAAGATCCGAGACGATTTTATGAATTGTATTCCAATAGAGAAAATAATTTTCGACTTATAAGTGAGCCAGAGAGGGCAGTTTTATTTTTTGGAAAAATAAAATGATTTAACTTAAACATTGCTTCTGTACATTAATTGTCTGGCTAATGATTAAAATATTAACTTTAATAAAAAAAAAATGCAGTAAAAATATTCATAGCTGATTACTAGCATTATTTTTAACAGATTACGCGGCACTTAATATATCATACTAAGATAATTATACAATAATAAATTTTAACTATTTTTTTTTTTACTATTTCATAATTCGTTTTATTAAAAAAAAAATCATGTACTGACAATGAGTATGAGTACTGAACCTTGTTACTCGCCAAAGATTTAATTTGTTTTGAAATAATAAAATTTTTGTATTCACAATCGTGATAAATATCATATTTTTGGCAAATTTTTATTTGATTTTTAATCAGTAAGAATAAAAAAGTTATTAGCGATTATTATTTATATTGGGCTATAGGCTGTGGTTTGAAAGTAAAAATTAAAAGCAACATTTTTATTATTATTTCCAGCAAAACATAAGTTTCCATAATTTAAATAATTTATTTTTAATAATATTTGAATAAAAAGCTAATTCATAGTTGCTTGTTATCAAATATTGAAAAAAAAATTGTACTGTTACAGAACTTGTGTACGTTTTTTATTGAAATATCCGAAAGTTTAAAAAAAAAGTTGAGGGGCGCCCACAAGTTTTAGGATCAATAAGCTAGGGCTGAATAAGTGCTCCTGTTTCCGTGTTTCTTACGTGGAGAATCCAAAAGAGAACGCGCGGCGAGCGAACCGGCAAAGTGCCAAAGCGTCGTCCCCGCTCCGCACTCGTCTCGTCTCATCTTTCTCGAGCCCTTCCACTGATGATGCATTCATTTTCTGTTGCAGACCGAGTACGGACTCACTGAAGACCAGGTGGCCGGTGAGAATTATATATTCGAACTTTGGCTTGCTTCGCAATGCCCTGGAAAACTTTGTGTTTATTTTTCTTTTACTCACTTTATTATTCGCGTTGGCAGTATTTTGGCGATCGCTTTTTATACAATTCTCTGCTGAAAACCGACAGCGCAGTAATTCTCCTCGGCATTGCGCGCCAAATTTATTGGTCCCATTACACGTAATCCCAGAAGAACAGCAGTTTTTGCCTTAATTGTTATTATTATTGCCGTTCTAATCTGTTTTTAATTGGTCTGGGGGAGCGGAGCGGCTCCTCCCGAATTGCAGCAAAGATTTTATTCCGACTTAACCAAACGTGGCGCCCACAATTAGCGCTCCGGCCAACTTAATTGTCGTAGTCTCCACCTCTAAGCCTTGTACTTAATTATTGGTTTTCCCTTGTCTAGTCCGAAATCCTCCCCTGCACACCAATGCGGAAAATTTCCACTTACGTAATCAATAAGGCATTATTTCCAATAAAGTCCCCATTGGCATTTCAAATTAGTGGCTTTTTGTGTTGAAATAAATTCCGGTTGATCTCATTTGTTTGTTGTTAAAATCCGCAGAGTTCAAGGAGGCATTCATGCTTTTCGACAAAGACGAAGACGGCACCATCACGATGGCCGAGCTGGGCGTCGTGATGCGCTCACTGGGACAAAGACCGTCAGGTGAGGGTCACTTTATAATAGTTTTGATGCTTGCATGAGCGAGACGGTTTCGCGTTTTTAAACACAACGAGTGTTCTTTTCGTCCGCAGAAACGGAGCTGAGAGACATGGTTAACGAAGTGGACCAGGATGGGAATGGTACCATCGAGTTTAACGAGTTCCTCCAAATGATGTCCAAGAAAATGAGGGGCGCTGATAATGAAGAGGAACTGCGAGAGGCCTTCAGGTTAGAGGAAAACTATGATAATTCTTTAAGGACAAAATACTGAACAAGTATTTAAATTTAAAATTAAATTTCATAAAAATTTTGATGAATGCATTATTAACTTATAAATTTAAGATCAGAAATTTTTTAGAAAATAAAAAATATTTTTAATTGAATAAAATTTAGCAAATAAAAAGATAGCACAAAAATACTTAGTAAATAAATCTAAATTTTCTTTCACATAAAAAATTGTAATATTAAAACAAATCCACCAGTTAAGATTAGTTATGTTCCCATATAATTATTTTTTTAACACATTCTTTAATCTTTATAAATTAATTTAAACTATTTAGCAATCTGTATGCAAAAAGGAAAAAAATTTTAGGGTTTTGTTTTTACTGAGAAAAGTTGTACTTGCTGATGTTTGGTGTATTTATTTTTTTTAACATTCTTGTAATTACTGTAATTTTTAGGGTGTTTGACAAAAACAACGACGGACTCATTTCGTCGATAGAATTGCGTCACGTGATGACAAACTTGGGCGAAAAGTTGAGCGATGAAGAGGTCGATGACATGATTAAGGAAGCAGATCTCGACGGTGACGGCATGGTCAACTACGAAGGTACCGTCGAAAACAAACAAATTAATTTATTTGCTTCAATTTTAATTTTAATTGTGTTTGCAGAGTTTGTCATGATTCTCACGGCCAAGAACTAATCAAAAGGCTACAAGTGAGTGGCCCTTCCGCATAAAAACACACCCCAAGCTGAAACAAAGCAACCTAAGCTGCGACGCGCAAGCCGTGCAACAAGTACGTTTGATTTCAAATGACATAAGGACAGTTTTCTGGACTCTTTTTCTTTGTTGAAAGAGAGGTGGCGGAAATTTTTTTAGTTGCATAAGTGAGATACATTACGGATTATACATTGTTGTCCTCCACGGCAAAACGCAAGAAAATTGTGGAGTTGACACGTTTTTGCTGAAACTAATGTAATGAGGTTATAAAGTGATGGAGAACGTGAAACTTTTATACCAGATTATTATATTAAATTTATCGCTATATTATAATATGAATTTATAATAGAGAACTGAACACAACGCGATTCTCCCTCAACAATTCATTGATACTCATTAATATTATCAAGATATTGCAAACCTTAAAAGATAACGTACCATAAGAATCAGTTCTGATTGCGGGCAAGTTAAATTGTCTCGAATGGTTTCAAGTGCAGCACGATAAACGTTACTTGTTATATATGCAAAAATGTAAAAAGAAATCATTGATATTGCGATAATTGTAATTTTTATATTTTGAAAGAGGTGTGGGTTTCAACTTTGTGCTGCGTTAGTAGTTTTTTTTATGGCGTGAGGAGATTTTTTTAATTTTGTTATTCATTGCTGACTATTACGAAAAAAGGCATTACTTGTTTTATACCAGAAGTATTATTTGCAGCCGTAGAGTATTTGACAATAAAAATATGATTGTAAATCTGTGTTTGATAAGTGTGTAAAAACACCACGGCATTGTTAGTAGAAATTTGTCGTCGGCTGCACAACCTAATATTGTGTTTTTCTTCTTTCCAAAATTATTATGCCAGTCAGATTTTTCTTGATAAAAAAATCCTTTGATCATTGGTCTCTCATCACATAATGGACAAAATCATAAAAATGCGGGTTGTATTAATTTATAAATCAAGCTTATTTCACCAGAATGTACTATGGTGTTGACTATTGTCTACAGGAATCGCAACTCAAAACAGGCGACCCGCTAGCCAATCATAATAGTGATGAAACCAAATTGCTACTAAAGCAGACATTCTTCCTTTTTCTTACGAGAACCTTTCGAATTTACTCACGCATTAAAAGACAATTTTATTTCTTTACAGCTGTAGAGAGCAATTTTAGACGCTGATTTTTATTCAAAAGACATTGCATTTCCAAATTTAAAAATCGGGCAGACCTATTTTTGTATAGATAATGCTGATATATGAGGAGCGCAAACAAAAGTGCCAGCGATGAAATGTGCTGGCTGGTTGCTGTGCCATAGATAATATATATGACAGAAAATGAAAAACGCATACTACATTGCATGTATACTTATGATTACACACATTAATGGCAAATCTTTGTAAAACGCGCACCCCTCCCAAAAAGAACCCGGCGTTGTCTGTTAAGTATGAAAAGAAAGCGAAATATAGCAATTAAATTATTAAATGTCCCAAGTGTACCACACCAGTCCATTCTGCCACACACCAAAAGCGCAGAGATTTTCTTCTGGTTGATTCAAAAGAGATCTCTTGCCGTTAATGTAAACCGAGATATGGATACACAAAAGTGTCTATCCTCCTATATAGTTGTCCTGTGTTTTAACAGAAGAATTACAGTATTTGATGTAAAAACACGGAAATCGCGTGAAAAGTCAGAAATATTTTTTCAAGCAAAGTGCGAGAGATTGGAATAAATATGCGCGCGGAGATTTTAAATTGCAATTGAAAATTGAAGAGAAGAAATAATAATTTTTAATGAAAGAGAGCGTTATAGAAATGTATGTTGCATACACAGCTTTATTTGTTGAAATGTAAATGTGTTAATGGTTTCCAAACTCCACCTACACCTCCTCAAATTCCATAGATAAAAAAAAAACGAGTGTCTATTAATAAACGCTAAAAGTGGATAAAAATTGCAGCTTCTCGTAGTTACATGTGTCGCCCTGATTATAAAAAAGATTAAAATATTAAACATATAATTATAATAATTTCCTTCAGCTTTTCGCATTAATAAATAACAGGGTAAAACGAAAATCAATATACAAAATAAGTAATCAATTCATTTTTCACTTATAAGTTTTCAAGTTTCCATCTTTTTAACTTTAAAAAATAATACTCTTTTGAAATAATAAGAGGGTGTCTAATCTAATATAAAATATTAAAAATTACGACTAAATCATTACAAGAAATAACAAACATATATTATACTACGTCTCATAAAAATTAACATGAAATTGATCTCGGTAGTTTAAACAGAGGCGAATAACATTAAGGAAGACCGCATAAGTCATTTTTTCATTTCCATCAAGTTTATTAAAGATACATTTTGAGATATAGAAATAAAGAGAAGGGTGTGGAGTTTAACACATTTATGCAAACTGTTAAAACTAACCTACGACTTGTATAAGGAAGAAAACGCGAGTTACAAAGAAAATTCTCGACAAAAACAGAATTTTGTACCTTAACACAATGGAAATATAGAACAATCAAATTCTAAAGACTACAAGATGGAATACCTTTTGCGTAATAATTAAGATTTTGAGAGCGCGCATCCTACAAAATTCACAGAGATTATCAACCTCTTCTTAACAACCATTTAACAGAATTCGAAAATAATACACCAACCATTTATATATATTTTGTGCCTTTTCTGTTGCACTCATTTCATAATACTGTGTATATTTATTGTAAATTTGTATTGAAAAACGCACGAGTTGTGAGATTTTCCGATTTTGATTTATTGTGAATCGCAATAAAAATAATTAATGCCCTACAGTACAGTGATATCCTTTCATGGTTTATAAATAAAACATCAATCATAAATTATTAAAAGATCGTCAAAGGCTATAAAATGATCAGAACACATTGACAGAGTCTGTTTCACTCATAACCTTTTCCCATAAAGATCATTTTGAGATTTATTTGATTTTTATTTGGTCAAAATCTAAGCAGTTAACAAAACCTTCTTCGTATATAAATAAACGGAGATGCTAACCCAGATGAAAACACTCCAGCATGAGTCAATGAGTTTCATAAAGTGCGTGTCCATTTTGCCGTAAGCAAAGTGCCACGGCCACATATCTGCTGTGATCCTGCTTCCAACGTAAAGAAGCAAACAATTCATGCCTGAAAAATTGGAGTTGGAAAACAAAATAATTTAAATGTGAATTCAACAAACCTGGTTGCAGCAAAGGAAAACCATTCCAGATTCTGGTCACGTCAACCAGGTACATGAAAACTGTCAACACCAAAAATGCAGCTCCTCCTGTCACCAAAGAAAACGATGTGCTCCTATTAATAGAAGACAACAAGCTTGAAGCATAAAAAAAATTTAAAAATAAAATCAAAATACCACAAATGCTTGTTCATAGGAATGATTTCATTTAGATGCAAAGTCAAGCCAAGAGCGATGCACCCAACACCCCATATAACAAGTCGCAACTTTCGGCTGTGCCAGTCCGAGTGCATGACCAAAATTGCGCCAGCCTGCGCTCCAAGGATCACCGTTAAAAGGGACGGTAAGGTGCCTAAAAATAAGAAACTTTCTCAACTTAAATTGTCTCTGCATGCTGTAGGAAAAACTTACTGAAGGGCCCCACTGGTTCAAACGCATTGAATTTATAAACGTCCTTTGTTGTGGAAGCCTGTAGTAAATGGGCCTCATCATGAATCAGTTTGTCCACGTATCCATGGGTCCCTCCAGTGCAATTGAAATATTTACCACCTTCGCTCAAACCACCAGGACCCAAGTAGCCACTTGATTAAAAAAAAAAAAAACATTTAAAACGTGATAAATGCGTATTTTTTACTTACGTTGGACAGCCAGGCACCGGAAGAAGAAAAACGAGACCCAAATATATTGCGTGAATGACCAGGTGGATCAACCACTGTGGCAGCAAAACTCTCAAATCCCCGTAAGTTCCGGAAAACTTATTTTTAAAATTTTTTATAAGGTAAAAGGCAAACAAATTCCGCATATACTTTCTTATAGTCTCGTGGCCAGAGAAAAGCAAAAAGGATGCTGGATATAAGGTACATAACTGCAATGCGCTGCAAAACATTATAGTACCGCATAGTCTCCAGTTGCACACCAAAATCGACGCTGTTGATCATTAATCCAAGAGCAAACAGAAGGACACATCGCTTCGGGGAAAATTTGGAAAAATTGTAAAACATGAGATGAATATTGCATATAATACCTTTGTTATCTCAAAGATTAGTCGTGACTTAGGGACTTTCTTTGCCAAATCGGACTTCATCTTTAAAGGAATGCACACGCTCATGATCCAAAGGAAACTTTTTTTGGTTTAATTGTAATGTAATTAATTAATTATCACTAGAGTTTAAAGCATGGAAAACAAAAATTACCATGGGAAAGGCCATTCTGCAGCGGGGACGCCATCCCAAACTACGTGTTCCAGCGCAAAGTAACCACCTTTGTGACCAAAATAGAATACAAGTGGTATGATGCAGCACCTAATCAATGAAAACAAGAAAATTAGCATATAATTGATATAAAAAAGCCAATATTTAACCCTCTGAAAACGTCCAGTGAATGCAGTCTCGTTTTAAACTTGACCGTTTTGGTATCTTTTTTGTTGATGGAAGAATTTCGTGTATTGTTGTTGTTCTGAAAGAAATATTTAAAAATAATTTTTGAAAACAAATTAAGATATTTTCAAGGCAATAATACATATTATGGAAATGCTTCTCGCAGTTTTTTATTAGTTTTATATTTTATTTATGTTCAAAATTTTTGTTAATTTGTGAAAAACGTTTTATTCAAAAATAATTTTTAAAAATCAAAATGTAAATTTATACAGATAATGGTATTCAAATGATTAAAAAATAAAATTATAAATATTTACATGTATTTCTTCAAGAAGGGTACTGTTGTTCTCCGCGTCTAAACACTCCAAGTGTCTTGCATTCTTTTGCAAGAACCTCTCATTATAAATATTCCACAGGATGTACAATCCATATAAAAGGAGCAGACCAGCGAGTGACATGAACGTTACGACAACCAGAGCTGAAATTGATTTCTTCATGTTCAAAAAATCCATTAAATTACAGATTAAAGACATAAGAAAAATATAAATAAAAATAATACCTAGGTAAATGTTGACGGGTGGAACAACAGTTTCTGATCGACACGCGGTCACAGAGTTTGCAGGAGAGACGACGAGGTCGTAGATTCCGAATTCGCCAAAACTCAAGTTGCTTGAGCATTCCAGGTGGTCTGTGCCGTTTTCAGGCAAATTGAAAGTGTCGCCCAGATTTTGATTGAGCACCAGCATCTCCAGGTCAAACAGGGAGCTGACCTTGTAGGTGGTTGAGTTGTGGGCAGCCAGTTCGCCCATCAGTGAGAACTGCGTGCACTGTTTTAGCAGCGGTAAGTAAAATTAGTAAAAATTACGAAATTAATTTACATTAGAGACATAAAAAAATCATCGAAGTAAAATCTGACTTGCAATTTAAACAAATAAATCATAATTAAAGGCGTTATGTTAATTTATATAAATTTATAAAAAAAAAAATCTAGTTCTGGGATGAAAAATTTAAAAAAAAAATTAATTTACATAAACAGAAATAAACAAAATGAATTTTAAAAAAAAAAAATTAGTTAAACCAACTCTTTTGTTTATATTTTACAAAATTGTATCCATTTTTAATTATTTTTCATTTATTTTCTCGCTCACGGCTCACGGCGCATCCAAATAGCAAACAAAATTTTCACTTTTTTAATTTTTTGACAAAGATAGTGAAATAATTTTCACTTTGCAATTTCACAACAAATGTCGAATTTTCGGTAACCCCTTTCAAATTTTAGTCAAGAACCTTAATTGATTTAGGGTTTAAAGCAATAGCAATGGGTCGCCATTCCAATGGTTTCTAATTATTTTATGACAGTAAGGTATGATCTCAAAGAAGAAAAGCGTGGTAAATAAAAAAAAAATAATATAAGAAAACGAAATTTTCACAAAAAAAATTAAAATATCTTACTTTGTAGCATGGTTGTCGCTGAGAATAAACCCAAACAGACTTATTTAGCTGTGAAGAGACGTTGAGGAAGGCCTCGTCAAGACGCAGGTCGTTCAGGTAAAGGCCGCGGACGGGCTCGCGCGAGCGACCCTCGACCCACGAGTAAAAATCCATATTGACTGAAACCGACCCACGAGTTGATTGCGCTTTTTATTCCTTGAGCTACACCACTCCTGTCCTCTGGTGCGCCAGCGAGTGTGTTTAGCATTTGTCGAGCGACCGGCCCTATATAAGGTTTCATAATAACGATAATAGCAGGATAAACGATATCGAAATGAGCCTTGTTAAATTTGTTGGATGACCAGCGGGCGCGCCTTCCTCCAGCCACGAGAGAGAGAGTTCACGCAAACCGGAGGTTCTCTTGAAAGTTGCATAATTACTCCTGTTTCACGAAATGTATTATTTGCCTTGATTATAGGAGGCGTGTTTTCTATTTTGGGCCGAGCGGCTGATTTAAGTTCCTTAGCTGATGAAAACCGAGTAAAAGTATAATTAATTTACTCGATTATTTTACTCAATTCAATTGCATTTTGTGCTTATAGATTATAAATTATGACGGCGTTTCCGCTTCTTTTTAAATTTGCTTATGCGTTTTGGACTTGAGTGCAGGTTTGCGCACAGGAATCTATGCTGTTTCTCTTTTAGCAATAAAATACACTAACAACAAAGTAAAAAATTATATTTTAATTAGTATACTTATTGGAATGAGTAAAGCCATCAAGGTGGAAACGCGCGGCCTTGAAAAATTATTTAGTTGCTTTTATTCTTTACATTTTTTACCATCATTAATGCTATTTTTTACATACATTAATTTATTTAGAACAATAATACCTAATAATTTAAATTTCAAGATATTGACACAAAATTACTGAAATCGGTCATTTTTATAATTAATTATATTAAATAAATATGTTTTATTTCATTGTTTTTTTTATTGTTCCTCTTTGTTACAAATACATTGTTTACATTCATGTTGAAAGCAATTTATTTTTGAAAAAAAAAACTCAATTTATTCTTCACATATCTGGAATGAGTATAAGTTGGTCTCAAGTTCCATGGTTCCTTAGCTAACTATTATTAATTTCAATCGAATGAAGATCTCACAAACAAAGTGACGGCTGCCGTGGGTTGCGGCCGCCGAGGTGGACTGTATGAAATTTAGATTAAATTTAATAAAGAGAAAAGAGCGTCTAGTACCAATGAGATTATTTTATTTCTCTCGGATCGAGGCATTTTTAAGTTTATCTGATGGTGTTATCGTTTGGTTTCCGGGGTTTGAGCTGAAAGTGGCAATTATAAATTAAATGGCAGAGACTTGGTCTTTAAAAATTTTTAGTCGGCATGCAGGATTTGGGTGTTTATACAAAAATGACCGCAGAAATTTTTTGAATATGATGTATTGTTTTTAACAATTTCCCAAATACTCAAACAAATTCTAGCTCTGAAATGCAGTAATATTTCTCGGCGGCGAAAGTTTGTATTGAGATGTAGTGAGCTGGTCTGTGGTCAGTTTTGTGTACGTCTTTGCACACACGAAAATAAAAATGAAATTTCTGATCCATTTTTGGCAAATTTAGCATTTGAATTCAAAGCAGAGACAAGTTTCTTATTCAGTGCGATTTGTTCTCCTTATTCAAATTCAGTTAGCGGTGCGACGACAAAGTCCTTAATGAATTAACAGGAAAAACTCACTCAGACGACTAAGGAGCTTGTTTGAGAACGTTTATAGCTGAGGAAAATCCAAAATGCATTGTATATTTTCAGGCAGGGGTTTCATTTTACTGTTTCCGATTTTGTGTCTAGAAATTCACTTTCTTTGGCTGCGCGACTTAAAAATCTGTTGGATTAATTGTCTGTTCTTCGATGCAATATCATCTGCTAAGCACAATTCATGATTTCTATTCTAGTGTCTACGTGATCTTCTAGCTTGTTGGAATAAACATGTATATCGCGTGTCGTAGAAAGCTGTGGCGAATTAAAACAAGTCCTCGCCGAACTGTACCACTCAACTTTTAAAAAGCGAATCCAGAGCCGGCGTACCCCAATGGTGAGCGTGTGAAAGCAAAAATTCGACGATTATACACGACGTGCAAGATGTGTAGAAAGCACACCAGTCATTTCTGTGTTCCAGCTCCAGCTCAGGAAGCATTTGCCAATGTATACGCCAATCAAAAAATCAATTCTGGTGCTGCATATTTTGTGTTGACCTGCTTTTTTTGGCGAAAGTGGTCGCCGGAAGAGTGGCGCTTTTTTTCTCGGCCAGACGAGCGATCTCGAAATTTGCTGCCGCTGCTGCTGCTCGTAAAGGTATTAGATACCTAGAGGTATTTTCTAATACCTCCTGCTACGATCAAACGAGTTAATTATCACGTGATTTGCTGCCAATCGAGTGGCTGCTAAAATTTCTTCCTGTGCTGCGTTTCTCCCGACAACTAGATTGAATGATAAATATTTGCTGCTGCCGAACGAGCGGCCGCGTGATTGCGGGCTAGACAAAGAATATTTTGTCGCTGGCGTGCGCGAGGGTGGCGGATTTGCGGATTGAGGGCTTCCAGGGGTACTTCTTTTTCGTTGCTTTTTTCACGACCAAAGAGAAACGCCAATGAAAACTCAATTGAGTTATTTCTCGGCCGGGGACGGTGGCTTTTAAGTTCTCGCATAATAATGGTGAGAGTTAAGCCCGTTGTTGCTGCTGTCATCACCGTGGTCAAACATTGCTCTCTTCTTTCTTTTTGGGTCGCTCTTTTTTGAAAAATCAAATTTCGTCTGGTGGCAGAATAGATGCGCGACTTGGCGGAGCAAACTCGGCAAAAACGGTGCTCGTCGTGAGTGCCGCGCCGAAGAATCTGCGTTGCTTTTTAAATAAACAATTCCTCGTTGGAGCCCCAACAGGAGTGAGTAAAATACTGATGATTAAAGTTGAATGGTTCCTCATGAAACCAATTATTTGAATCTAGCTGAGAATTATGAAATAATTGAAAGATCAAATTTGCAAAAGAGCAAGACGAACTGGCGCATCATTGCACGGCCCGAAAACACGCGCTCAAAGTCAGGTCAAGTCGCCTACGGTTTCCTAGGTGGAATGAGAATTAATAGAGAGAAACTCTCTCGATTAATTTTGACTCGACTGGTAGAGAAGGAGAGAGGGGTCCACAGACTAATACTAGTATGTGGAGGGGTCCCTGCGGTTTATACTTTGACTAAAAGATGGCACATGGGTTCGTAAAAATTATAAAATTCAATTATTTATTTTTCTTTAAACAAGTCAAGCAATAAAATAAATTGTGGAAATTTAATTGCAAGGAAACTTAAACACAAAATTTAACATTTTTAAATGAATAATTTTTCAAAAATAACCATTTTGGTCTTAACAGAGCAAAACTTAACATTTGTTTTGAGCGTATACCTATATCATTGGAGATCAACATAAGAAATTGTTATAAGTATAGTGTAAAATTGTAACTGAAAATGCTTTTCGTCAAAATTTTTTTGCTTGAATAAATTTTTTTTATGAAATTATTAATTTATTTCATAACATTATTGTATATTTATGAAATTTTTATATTGAAACACATATGAGCTGTAGAATTTTCAAATTTTGATTTATTGTGAAATAAATGAATGAAAATAATTGATGCCTTTCATTACAGTAATATCCTTTCAGAATTTATTAAAATATAAAAGACATTAAACTATCAAAAGATCGTCAAAGGCCTAATGATATCAGTGAATATGTGCATTTGTAACCCTTTCCTGACATTCAAGATCATTTTTTTTTAGGGTAAGGCCAAGACAAAGTCTTGTCAGCCTGTGCCCTTTATTAGTGGTGCAGAAGGCACCACTCAATTTGAAAAAAAATTTTGATTTGTATTCGATGAAGAGGCAAAACTATACCGTTATCAAAATCTTCTTCACGTAAAAATAAATGGAGACGCAAACCCAGAGAAAGACACTCCAGCACGAGTCAATGAGTCTGATAAAGTGCGTGTCCATGTTACCGTAAGCAAAATGCCACGGCCACATATTTGCCGTGATCCTGCTTCCAACGTAAAGAGTCAAACAATTTATACCTAAAAATTTATTATGGAATCAAATATATTCAATTAAATGAGGATTTAACAAACCTGGTTGCCGCAAAGGAAAACCATTCCAGATTCTGGTCACGTCAACTAGGTACATGAATATTGTCAACCACAAAAATGCAACTCCTCCTGTCACCAAAGAAAATGACGTGCTCCTAGAAACAAAAAACAAATTAAAACATAAATTATCATATAATATGATATCATATTTTTTATATAAAAAATTCAACCTACCACAACTGCTTGTTAATAGGGATGACGTCGTTTAAATGCAAAGTAGAGCCAAGAACAATGCACCCTACACCCCACCCAACGAGTCGCGACTTTCGGCTGTGCCAGTCCGAGTGCATGACCAAAATTGCGCCAGCCTGCGCCCCAAGGATCATCGTTAAAAGGGACGGCAAGGTGCCTAATAAGGAACACTCTCAACTTAAATTGTCTCTGTTATGCTGTCGGACAAACTTACTGAAAGGCCCCTCTGGGTCAAACACCTTGACTTGGTAAACAGCCTTTGTTGTTGGCGACTGCAGTAAATGGGCCTCGTCGTGTATCAGTTTGTCCACGTATCCAAAAGTCCCTCCGGTGCAATTGAAATATTTACCACCTTCACTCAAACCACCAGGACCCAAGTAGCCACTTTGTTTTAATTTTAATGTTTTTATTAAAAAAAAAATCAAAATTTTTTTACTTACGTTGGACAGCCAGGCACTGGAAGTAGAAAAACGAGTCCCAAATATATTGCGTGAATGACCAGGTAGACTAACCATTGTGGCAGCAAAACTCTCAAATCTCCGTAAGTTCCAGCAAACTTATTTTTAAATTATTTTTTATTTTTAAATAAAGAGATAAGTATCACATATTGATAAAAATACATACTTTCTTGTAATCTCGCGGCCAGAGCAAAGCAAAGAGGGCGCCAGATATTAGGAACATGAATGCGATGCGTTGCAAAACACCATAGTACCGCATAGTCTCCAATTGCACTCCGATATCCACACTGTTGATCATTAATCCGAGAGCAAACAGGAAGACAAAGCGCTTTGAGAAAATTAGGGAAAAATTATATAATCAAATTTTAGACAAACAAAATTAAAAAATACCTTTGTTATCTCAAAGACAAGCCGTGACCTAGAGACATTCTTTGCCAAAGCCGATTTCATCTTCAATGGAATGCACACGCCCATGATCCAAAGGAACCTTATTTTTTTTCACACAATTAATCAATTAACGCATGAATTAAAAACAAAATGTACCATGGAAAAGGCCATTCTGCAATTGGAATCCCATCCCAAACTGCGTGGTCCAGCGTTTGGTAGCCGCCTTTGTACCCACAATGGAATAAAAGTGGTATGACGCAAAACCTAATCATTGCAAATAAGACAATTTAGCATTTCGATGCAAGAAAAGCAAGTGATTAACCCTCTGAAAACATCCAGCGAATGCAGTCTCGTTTTGAACTTGACCGTTTTGGTGCCTTCTTTGTTAATGGTGAGCTCGCTACCGTTGTTCTCCACGTCTGAACACTCCGAGGCATTCTTTTGCGAGAACCTCTTATTATAAATATTCCACATGACGTACATTCCATATATAAGGAGGAGCGCAGCGATGGACATGAAAGTTACCACAACAGCGGCTGAAATTAATTTCAATAAATTTTAATTCTTGAAAATTAATTAAAAATAACAATTTAAGTCATTCAATTAAATAATGATTTCTATAATTTTACAAAAATTACGTAGGAAAATGTTGACGGGTGGAACGACAGTTTCTGATCGACAAGCGGTCACAGAGTTTGCAGAAGAGACGACGAGGTCGTAGATTCCGAATTCGCCAAAACTCAAGTTGCTTGAGCATTCCAAGTAGTCTGTGCCGTTTTCAGGCAAATTGAAAGTGTCACCCAGATTTTGATTGAGCACCAGCATCTCCAGGTCAAACAGGGAGCTGACCTTGTAGGTGGTTGAGTTGTGGGCAGCCAGTGCGCCCATCAGTGAGAACTGCGTGCACTGTTTTAGCAGCGGTAAGTAAAATAAGTTGTGGAGAAAATAATTCACATCGACAATTTGAATACTGGATTTCACGAAAAAAATTAAAACAAGATTGTAAATTAAACTGAATTTTTTGTAAATATTGCTACTAGTAAAGTGTTATGCCAGATTATTCATTAGGATATTTTTCTGCAAAAGTATAAAAATATTTTACAATGCGAGTTTAGATAATATTCAATGATGAATTTAAAAATCTTCTAGAAAAACTGCAAATAAATCAATATCCAATAAATGTTGATAATTAATTTTAAAACTTCATATAACTTTATGATCTGTGAATTTTCTAAAACACCACTAAATTATATAATTTAAAAAACGAGTAAAGCATCAATCATTACTTTTTAACTTTCTCATGTTGGAAGATACAATATTATTATTTAAACATATTTTAATTTCATTGCAAATGCATTCTTTTAAATAGGATCTAATTTAAATTTTATACAAAATAACTTCCTCCTATTTTCAAATAAAATTTAAAAAATTGTGTACCGAAAATTCTAACTTTAAAATAAAATTTCAACAATAACAAATGTTTAAAAGAATATTTTATTTCATGGAAGAGATCAAGTTTTGATTTGAGAAAAAAGTAACAAATTCGTTATACTTCAAAATTGGAAAAGAGCAGCTTGGAAATAAATTTGGCATAACTCACTTTGTAGCATGGTTGTCGCTGAGAATAAACCCAAACAGGCTTATTTAGCTGTGAAGAGACGTTGAGGAAGGCCTCGTCAAGACGCAGGTCGTGCAGGTAAAGGCCGCGGACGGGCTCGCGCGAGCGACCCTCGACCCACGAGTAAAAATCCATTTTGACTAAAACCGACCCACAAGTTGACTGCGCTTTTTATTCTTTGAGCTTCCACTCCTGTCCTATTGTGCGTGGAGTGTGCGTTTTTTGCACGCTCCAACGACCGGCCCGTAAAGGTTTCATAACGAGAATTGCAGGATAAAGACAAATATCGCTATCGTAATACGCATGTTTGATAAATTTGTTAGATGACCCGCGGGCGCGCCTTTCCCCGGCCGCGAGAGATGGAGATGCCATTAAAAGATGCATTATAATCACACCTGTCAAGCGAACAATGCATTAGGCGGTCTACACACGCACTTTTTTTTGCCTGGCTAATGATGCATTTGTCCTATTTTGGGCCGCCTTATAGTTCCTTAGTTAGTCAACGCCGACTATATGTGACGAAAACCAAGTTGGACAACCTAGGCAATCAATTGCGGTTCATACAGAAATAAAAAATATGTTTTTTTTTTCACTTTTGATCGTTTTAATAAATTCAATTGCGTTTTTTACAACAACAGAGAATATGAAATGACGGCGTTTCCGCTTTTATTTAATTGCTGCTGGTATTTTGGACTTGCGTGCAGATTTTTGCACAGATAGCACAAGGGATCTATGTCGTTTCTCTTTCCTTAATGAAATACACAAAACATTAGAGCAAAGAATTGCATTTCAATTTTTAATATGTAGGAATGCGTTTAAAACCAAACGGCGTGGATACGCGCGGCCTTGAAAATTTATGGGCCTCCTATTATCCATTTCCGCAAATTTGTTATTTTTGATTCATGCATTTTAATTAAAATAATATTATTAAAGAAGTTGAATTTGACAAAGATATTTGTTTAAATAATTATATTTTGTTGGAATTAAAATTTATTATATTTATTTTACAAAAATAACAAAAATAAGCATGTTTCAACTACTGAAAAATAATAATCTATTTTTGAGATTAGAAATGTGCAAACTGCTGGTGCGAAACATGCAGCACTATTATTATAATAATTTTGGAAGAAAAAATGTATTCTCTGCAACTGCCTGTACCACATTACTTATTTGTTTTGTGCAGGGAGCGTTTCATTATGCCACAGGAGCTAAAACTAGCTAAGTTGTTAGTTCTATCAATTTACAGGGTCCATTTTATTTTGTAAAATTGTGTATTTTGGAACCTCTAATGCCAAAAAATCCTGTATGTATTATTTTTTTGCAATATTTGTATAAATTTTAAATATTTGCCCTCTGAACTTTTAGAGCACAGCTTGGTAATAGATAGATATGTCTGGGTGTGTCATATATTATAAAAAATGAACCCCATGAAGAAATCAAAGAGCATTAAAATTTTTTTAGGAAACATAATTATTACGCCTGATCTTTATAAATCACATAATCGTCTATTTCTCCAGGCAACTGAGGCTACACAATAGAAATTAATCAGATGGGTGAAAGTTTGAAGTGCCAAATATTGCGTTTTTAATTATGCCCTGGAAAAGTCAAAATGATTTCTCTCATTCAAAATAATATTTCAGATCTTTAAAATTTTTTTTTAGTTACAAACAAAATATATCTTAATATTTACTCTGCGTGCTTCTGACGTGCTTGAAGACTAGCACAGTATTGTTGTAATTTTAGCAGTAAGGAAAACGTTTGATGGTTTTGTAGGCATATACGTATAAAAATTAAATCACGATGTGTGCCATATATACTAAGCAGTGGAAAAATCCAATTTACAACTCAAATTTTATTTAAAATGAAATTATGGATACAAACTAAATAATAAACAGTACTTGTATTTTATTTTTCACTTTTGGGCTCAGCTTGGTAAGTACATGCGATTCCAGATCTACCCTCTGACAATAATGAGGGGCTGCTTTGGCCCAGTTCTGGGTCCAACCCCTGCCACGTTCTCTGTGCCAAGAGCGAACCAACAGACAAAGTTGTGATTTTCAAGTTTTCTTCTCTGGACACAAGAGCTTTTGACTTTTCGTTTTCACTCGACACTTTCAAGCTGATTACTTTTCCTGTCAGCAAAGAGGTATCAGCCTCAAGTGATGAATCCTGCTTCTGCAGACGGATGTAATCGAAACCACCTGATGAAAAATGCATCAATTACTGTAAAATTGATTTCATTTAGCACAGATTGCAGTCATGTACCTTCCAATAAGTCTTTGTAGTCATTTGATGCATTTGTTCGACCTTGATTAAGAGCCAGTTCAACTTCTGACAGACCAACTATGGGTTTGTAATACTCTTTGCTCTCCTCCTGTCTGCTCTCCGGTGATAGCAAAGGATTGTTTGGGCATGCAAAGACTAAGAAGACATCAATTTCCTATAAAATAATTATTTTAATACTGAATTTCTCTAAACATAGGAATTAAATATACTTGAAAATTTGCTAATTTTGCTGGATTTGGCTTTCCAACGGCAAGAGTATAAATCCTTGGAGGTGATGGACGACTCTTCAGCAAATGCTTAGCATGTCTCGTAGCTCTCAAAATTGAAGGGTCGGCTGGGTTAGCCACAACAAGGGCTACTGATGTTGCCTCTTTTACATGCTGGGCCAAAAACAGTTGACGTCTCAGAAGTCTCGAGTAGTTCAGAGAAGGTTCGAAGCTAAATTTTAATTCAAAATAAATTTTAAAATAATGCTGTAGAATTAAAATGAGGATTAAGTTAATTTACCTCTGTCCAGAATTGTTAAAACATTTCACGCATTTAAACTTATGGCTCCAGGAAATTATTAGGTTGTGCAAATATGGGCCTTCACTGCCAACATATATCACAGAAACTTCTTTTAAATTAACCTCTGAAGAAAAGCAAAATCCACGCCCTAAACTTTCATGTTGATGCCTAGGATCTGCAAAGCATATATTATTAAAATCTCGCTTGACAAATTAAAATCTGGAAATATAACATACTGTGTTCACTCCTAAAGCAATTCTCTCCACAAACACCTTTACAGAAAACCGAGGCAAAATCCTCATTTTCCCCAGTCAGCAGTTTGCCAACTACAGATATGTTGAGCAAGTCCTGCAGATCAGAAGAGTCTGGAATTTAAAGTGAGAATTTGCAATTAATCTATTACTGGGCTAAATTTAAATAATACCAAATATGTGGCAGCAATCGCAGTCGAAAATCAGCAGTGTTGTGCCCAAAGCATTAATCTCTTTTTTCAGCTTCTCTTTTAAACTCTTTTTGTCCACTGACAGAACTTTTGGAAATACAAAGAGAATTGGGATTTTTGGATCGTAAGCATTTGACAAGCAGGAGTGTCCATAATGAATCATGCCATCGGACGGAACATGTTCAGCAGCAATGAAGTCAATGCAGCAACTATAATTAAAATAAGTACATTTACGAAAACTTTGATGATGTGTGATAAATTAATATACCTTCCATAGTTTGTGTCTCCGAGAATTAAAATATTGCAACTGGTTCTCTTTTTCAGCTCTTGGCAGACTCGGACAGAATCTTTCAACATTTCATTGGGAAATTGTAAACAGACGCTTTGCAAATTAAGCACATTGATCCATTTTGCGCATCTTTTGAGCTCGTAGACTTCTGGAACCAAATTTTCTGGCGTAGGTTCGGAAAGCTGCTCTACGACTATCCTTTCAATAACATTTTGGCCATTGCTGCTGAATGCAGAAGTCATTTTGCAAAAACCTAGGTCAAAAATATCAACAAGTATGATAAATATTTGCTTAAAATTTCATAAAATTACCGAAATTTCTGCAGTAAAAATAAAGATTATTTCAGAATTCTCATAAACGCCTAAAACTCCAAAATTGAGAGAAGATCGGCGGTATCAAAACAAAAAGCAAAATGGCCTTGGGATTTGTTTTGATAAGATAAAATGAGTTGAGGTGAGGAGTGCGTTATGGAGTAGCCATTTCTCAAGGTACTCATGACAATTCTTCTTTTAAATTAGTAAATTATCTTTTTAATTAAATATTAATTAGAATCTCCGTGAACCATCTTAATGCGCTAATATCTACGAAAAGCCAGCCTTCTGAAATCAAGTCGTCAAAACGTCAAAAGCTTTTATTGTCCTCTATTAAACCTCCTTCGCCACGCCCACCACTGATTTTTAGTCGCAGATGTTGGAAAAGGAAGGACAACACTGAACACAAAGATGGAAGCGCAATACATGGACAAAATTCGTCAATGATTTTGCTAGGATAGACGGAGTCAAGATTTCCCCGTATATTAGTTTAGATTTCAAAGGTAAACCTTGAATCTTATTGTCCAATCTGGGTTTGTTTTCCTCCAGCCCAGCCAGATTTATCGAAGAGCGAGTTAAAATTACTTTTTGCGTCCGACGAATAATTTTTGCAAGTGGCCTTCAACTTTCCCTTGTCGTAAAATCGCGTCGATGACGAATTATCTTTTATTTTAAAGAAGCCTGTGATATAAAATTAACTTTAAATTAATTATAAAGTCCCGTCAGTCAAAAGCAAGTGATAAACTTTGTACATAAATTGTCTTCCCCCTTTTTTTGTTTTTTTTACATACCCGGTGTCATTAATTTTTGTGGTACAGCAAAGATTGTAATGATGATTTTTCTCTTTCTCTTTAATTCCAGATTTCAACACAAACAATGGACCACCCTCACTTGTCACCGCTGTACATAGTTCGGCAGCGGTGGCAGCTGATCAAAGACAAAGAGCGCAACTACGTGGCTGCATTTTTCCACATGTGCTCCTGCGCCCTAGTCTGCACGTCCCTGGCTGCCCTGGGTTGGTTCAGGTTGCGCGGAGCCCCCTGCACACCTCACCTCGCCATCTACCAGTTCTTTTCCTACGGGCACTTTTCCATGGACAGCAACCCTAGCATTCCAGAAATTGTGTCGTCTAAAGCTGTGTCCACTCCACTCATTTCTCAGTACCACACACAATCCAGAGGTTTTTATAATACAATTCTATCGTTGACGTACCGGAGTCATTTTTTTAAATCTTTTATAGTTTTGAGCTGCGTGACTCCCGAGGTGGCCAGTTTGATGCGAGTGGTCATTCTGCTGTGCTTTTTGGCCCTGGTCAGTGCCTTGGCTGGATTCCTTCTTGATATTTGGGGCGCCTCGAAGCCCATTTTGCAAATCATACGGAGGGCATCTCTCCCTAGTATTCTAACAGGTGTTGTATTGGAAACGTTTGCTCAGATTGAAATTAAGAATAAAAATTTTCTGTTCACAGTTCTTTGGGTTGCTTCCATAGTTGGAGCGTGTTACAACCTAACAATGGTTCTGCAGAAGTCGATAACTCATTTAACCCCAGCATTTTACCTGAAGGTGAATTTCGAGTATGGAGTGTACACAATCAGTGCTGCAGGTAATTTTTTTCAAAACAAAATCATTCCAAATAATTTGATAAATTGACTTTCAATTAGGCGCATGTGCTTTGGCAGCAACAGCAAGCAATTTGCTAGGTCTGCAGTCGCCACAAACGCAACCAGATAGTCAAACTGAGCGGCTAGTTGACGATTGGGACGGCCTGGAGACCTTTTCGATAAGTGCAGACTTTGGTGACACTCCTCTCAACGCAATGTCATCGCCCCCTCCATACACCCCTTAATTATCACTTTATCAGGGATTTCAAAATAATTTTGGGTTTCTCGCAAAACCATCCTTAATTCTGCACGTCTCATAAGATTTTAGATTGATCAAGAAAATAAGAAGTATTTACAAGAAACGAGACTCTGCAGAGAACATCTTTAAAATTGTGGACCCGTGTAATATAATTATACTATTGATATCAAAACAATGCGACTGATAGATGATTACTTATTATTGCAATTGTTGATGAAAACTGCTTGTGAAACTCTGCTTTTTCCTACTAATGCTTAACAAAGTGTGATTTAAGTTGAATTCAAAGTTTGACTTCAAAAGATCTTTCCTGTGTGTTTTGAGAGTAAGATTAATTCTTTTGTTTGAAAAATGGTTAAGCTGACGATTCTGTTTCTGTGATTGTACTGTAAACATGATGTACACAATATATGATAATAAATCCAGAATGATTATTATTATATTAAAAATTGATTTTAAATTGAATGAATACGTTACTACTTATTACTCTTATATTGATTCAAAATCTCAGATTTTTCTAACCAGAAAAATAAATTTTTTGCAACTCCGTGACAACGCTGAGTTTATTATGTTTTGTAAAATGCAAACATTTTTAGTAATATAATTCTCTCATTTTGTCTCCATCATCACATCCTGGGTTTCTTCGAGGACAAGTTTTATTTCTTCCTCCTCTGTATCTGCTGTCTTCATAACTACATCCTCTACAACTGGCTCGCTGGTTTGCTCTTTAGGTTGAGCCGGAGTGACATTGTTTTTCCTCTTACCCTTGCCTTTCTTCACCTCTTTCACTTGCGGTATGTATTTCTGCTGGTCAGGAACAGGCGTTCCAAGTTCGCCAGGGGAAAAATTGATGCAAGAGCAATAGCCATCGGAGGAAGCAACGACAAGCAGGTTTCCGTCTGGCGACCAACTGATGTCACTCAGTCTTGTGTAGTGGATGTGACTAATGAAAGCAAGGGGTGTACTGTGTTGTGAGTCATACAGCAGGACAGAGTTTTGAGTAGCAACTGCCCAGACAAGGCGGTAAGGCAACGGAACCACAGGGTCTGACCCAGGAATAAGTTCAAAGAACACAGGGCAGAAACTGACAGCAACTGTAAACCTGAAATAATGATTATAATTTATAAATAATCCCCATAATATTAATTTCGAAACCAACCTATCTCCTGTCGGCAGGTACATGACGGGCTGTTTCAGATTTTTGGTGGAGAAGACAAAAGTTGCGTTTGGATAGTGCTGCTTTTTGCGCTGCTCTCTTGGGCAAATAATTCCAGCAGGTACAATCAACAGTTCTCCGTCTGGAGAAAAGCTCAGCCGTCTGTAGAAAGTTCCGAGAGTGTCATCATGAAAAAGACGGAACTGTTGAGGTGTGCCGTCCTCGTTAGTCAGCTTGGTATTGAGAGGCGCTTGGTGGATTCTGGCAATCACTCTGTAATTTTTTGTCGAGAAAATGCGACAAATTCTAAAATGAAGAGAAAATTATCTTCGGAGTTCTAATATGAATTTATTATGTACCTGTCTGTGCAGACAGAGGCAATCATCTTGTCTGAAGGGCACCACGACACTCCTTGGACAAGACCCTTGTGGTCCTTGAGCACAGCGATTTTGCGTGCAGCCTCCACATTCCATAGAATTACAGAGTTGTCCACAGAGCCAGAGGCAAGTCCTTTGGAGTCGGGAGACCAGTTCAAATCGTAGACGTCTTCCAAATGTCCCCTGAGAACTTTCAGAGCTGTCCAGTGCTCAATGCTTTCCTCAGATGTTTCATCAAACAGATTGGCTTGCTCTTCGTTGCCAGCTTTTTGCCTCCAAATAATAATTGAGCCATCTGGGAAAATAAAGTTTTTAATGGGTTGACGATTAAAAAAAATGTATTCGATACACACCATCATCTCCTGACGCCAAATATTCTCCTGAGGGCGAGAACTTGACAACATTCACTGTTTTCTGGTGCCTGTTAAGGTCCGAGGCAAACTCGATTCTCACTTCTTCGCCAACATAAGCATGCCAGATCTAAAAAATATATTTTTTATAATAAAATTGTTATAATATGCGAACATGATTTATGGCATTTAATTGCTTACCACGACGTGACAATCGCCTCCTCCTGTGGCAATTCTGTAGACAGTTTCGGTTTCAGTCGTCTTGACTACCTTTTTCTGAATGTCCACACTGTGGACGGGCTCTTTGTTGTGCCATGAAATCTCGGGGGTTGTCACTTTCATGGCTCAATTCGCAAAAGTGTCAAGCCGAGAAACCTGACAGTTTAATTTGCTCTCATGCACGCAGAATTAGCGGGTTTTTTGGTGGCTAAATCTCTGAGTAATGAGACTCGAAGCACGAGAAATTGAAATTTGCCTTAAAATAAATTGAAAGAATGAGTGACGTTCTCGCGAAGGGCGCCAAGAGCGGGATGCAAAGCGGGATGGGAAAGCCGATTCTGCCTGCTGATTGCCGCTTAATGTCCAGTGCAGCCAACAGTAACGAATATAAAAACATTCCTAGTAAATTGAGAGCAGCTGAATTAAATTACAAAATTTGATTTTAAAATATTTTTTAAATGTTTAAATTTTTTTTTTCTCAAAGAGCTTGGAAAAAATGAGTAATATTAAGTAGTTTCTTATTTTGGTATAAACTTGTTTTGTTCGCAAAAACTGCTGAGCCAATGAGGGTGCGAACACAAAAGCTTCAGCCAATGAACGAGAAAAAAGGTGTAAAATACTTGACACGGCGGCAATCCAGTGAACGTCTGCGACAAGAAATGGTGCACGGACACTATTTCGGCATATTCGTCAGCATTCGTTTTTCCTCATAAAATTTGCAGAGCTTCACCATTTTGTGATTGTTTGTAAAATTTAAAATTAGATTCAGCCCAAATTTATGCTTGTGTTTCCTACCCCTAGGTGGTTTATTAATGTTCTTTTCTAGTGCTTCTGCAGAGCATGTTGTACGCTCCAACGCTTTTAATAAAATAATAATATAATCTGAAAGAATCACTATTGAATGTCTCTTTTTCATAATAGTTTAGTTCAACAGCAACAAAATTTAAAAAATTTAAATATTTCAAAAGAAAGACTTACAAAATTCGCTATTTTGCTTTAATTCTCCACTTTGATTTAAAAACAATTAAATACAAAGAAAAAGGCTGTGTGAATTTAATACAGTTATATTTTTTTTTTTTATATATATATTTTCCTGTTGTGAGAATTGAGCTCCCTAAACTTACAATCAAAGGAAAATTACGATAATAAAACACTCAACAGCAAAGTTTAATAAATTATTCTAAAACTCTTCACTAGGATATACGGAGTTCAATGACCAAATTCAAAGGATAGAGAAAAAAGCACGTTTTTGACACATATTTTTCATCATAGCAATTTCTGTAAAAATGAATGGAGGTACTGCTCTTAATAGCCTTTCTTATTAAAATATACCGCAAAGTGAAAATTTACGGAATATTTTAATAAGAACGCACAGTTTGAACTGCACTAAGGGTACTTTGAATGGCAGGAGGCCCAAAAACTAACGAACGGTACCCGCATTATAAAAATCATAAAGCAGCCGGCACCTTTGAAAATTTGGTCATTTTAACGATGGTTCCTCTAGGGTTAGTGTTATTGCTCCTCGTGAGCAATAGTCGCGGTTTCATTCCAATTGGCGCGACGGAAGGAAACTTCCAGCCCAGCACCTGGACTGCAGAATCAGCACCGGCCCCCGCCCAGGCCCCAGCAGCACCAGAACCAGCGAGGTAAAAATTTTAATTCATATAATTTCAAAATATTAAGATAAAAAATGTTCTACTAAAATCATAGGCCTCAAGGAAGGGCTTACGGCGGGTCCAGGCTAAAGCACGGATATGGGAAGCCTGCACCTCACAAAGTTGACCTGGGCCTCGACCCAGAAAAAATCATTCTGAAATGTAAAGTTTCAGAGCCTCTTGAGGTACATCAAATTATGAATTCAGGAATTTGCTTGAAATTTAAATAATTATATTGCAGCACATTATTTGGATTAGATCCAAGTGCCCAAATGACCACTACGACGGCGGTCACCTGGTGGCCGAAGGAGCCACGGTTCAGGACAAGACTCTGTATGATGTGCGCATCCTGGGAGGAAACTCGAGCATAACTTCCGAGCTCCAGCTCAAAAAGCCGCTAGACCCCGCTACGTCAGGATTTTTCCGTTGTGAAGCGTGGCCCCATGGTGGCGGCGGACCCCCATACGGCCAAAATGTAGCCCAAGATGTCTACGTCATAGGTAAAAAAAAAAAACAGTTAATTAACTAAATTGTTAAAAAATAATATTATATTATTTAATAAAATACTTTATTTCTCTAAATGCCAAAAATAAATTAATTTCATGAAAAAAGAAAGATTAATTAAAAGCATGATTATTTAGAGTTTTAAAATTGAGATTAAAATATTTAAGGTGGACCTGATATGCTGCGTAGATGTTTCGGAGGTTGGGATGAGCCGTCGACGACGCACCACGGGGGCTACGACTCTTGGAATGCAAAGCACCGCAGCAATGAAAACGGCAACGGCATCACACCACCCACGCCAACCACCCCGGCACCTTCCTCTTCAAAGCACCATTACTACGTCCCTCAATATAAGAGGGGTCCTCCTGCCGACATGAGACCCTCTGGAAGCCACGACGTGTCCGAAGTTTCGCCCGTCCGAGTCCCGCAACAGCAGCACCACGGCTGGCAACGAAACGCAGAGGTCGAGAAAAACACCAGGGCGCCCATAATGACCCACACGGGAGGGTACCACCCCACTCGCCATCATCAGGTGCAGGTCACGACCACGAGCACCACCACCACGACCGCTCCTCCGGAGACACAACCACTTCATCAACCGGCGCCTCTGCCGCCCAAGAACTACATTGCGGCGACCCCTTTCATTCCGAGCCTGCCCTTCTCCCAAAGTCTGCTCATGCAAAGTAGCAGGCAGCAGGTCATGACGACGACCACCACCGAGGCAGCCCCTGAAAATAGGACGACGCCCTGGGACATTGAGGACTTGATGAGAGTTTATCCGAATTACCATGATAAAAACAGGAAGGGAAAATCAGTGACGGAAGACGTGATTATTGTCACTCCTCAACCCTCTACAGCTCATTAGAAAATAAATTATTTTTAAATGTAGTATTTATTGAAACCTTGTAATAGTATTTGAGTGTATATTTAATAAAAAAAATTTATATAAATATATTTAAACTTTGGAGAGGAAAAATTAGTTAATTCATAATAAATTCTTATAACAAATCGGAATGACTTTTTTGCAAAGCAGAAAATTTAATTAAACTAGCGTGTTTTGGCAGCGACGAAGTACATTTTAGTGCATTGGTAGGAGAACAGAAGCGCGGTGTCACCAGCATGCCGCGTGGAGTTCAATGTGAGAGGGGGGCAGAGTAACTTTTGAAGCTTTACCGCGTCAGGGACCAGGGCGTAGTGGCTGTTGAAAGCTGTTGACTGTTTGGTCCGCTTGTCTGTTTTCAAAGGAATGCGGTGCGTCTGCTCGCTCACCCTCGAGTCCCTCTTGTAACCCCAAGGATGGCCCTAAACAGGTGGCAAATCCCTGCCTTGGTGCTTTTGGTGATCTATGGTGAGAAACTCCGACTTCTCTTCTAAAATTAATTGATAGCATTAGTCATAAAGCCTCGCCAGAAGAAACCAGGGCGTGTCTTCAGTGTTGACTAATTTGATATTTATCTTTCGAATAAATTCAAAATAATTTTTGAATGATAGTCGGTTATTTAAGTTTCTGTCATTTTACGATTTCATATAACATCATAATATGAATAATTAGACAATTATTGAAGAAAACGAGCCAGACTGATTAGCGCGTAATCATTTTAGTTTTCCGACTTCTTTGTAATTTTCTCACACTACTAAATAATTATTTCATAGAAACAAGAGCATTTTCTTAAGTTTATAATTATATAACTATAATAGTGATAAATCAGATTAATTTTAATTTCATTGTCTTCTAATGTCTTTGTTTAAGAAAATAAATAAAATAAATAATTTAGGTAAAAATAATTCAATAATATTAATAAAACTGAGAGAAAATTAATTTGTATCCTATAAAGTTTAAAATTACATAAAATAATTATCAAAATTTTTTATAGGGAGCAAAATTTAACTTGATTTTAAAATGATATAATTATTTACTTAAATTGTCATATTTATTAATGGCATTTTCAAAGTTGAAAATTAATTGCTTTCAATCGATTATTAATCTGGAATATTTTAGGTGATGTCGCATCAAGTTTGTCATGCACCGTGCCAGTTATAATCCGAGGATCTTGGTTCTCGTGGGAAAATGGCCAAAACACTTTGACCGAAATCAACGCCGAGAGGATGAGCACCAAGGGCGATTGTGTGGACATGAAAGAAGAGCACCACGTGAATTTCACCCTCGTATTCCACGACAGGCCAAATAGTTGCTACACCTGCGTCAAATTCATGGTCAGAACAGTCAATGTGCTGGAAAAGATTGAAAGTGAGTGTTTTGCAGGCTGAAATAAAGTTAGCTAAAAATAATTTCTTCCTATCTCAGCAACTTGTCGCTCACTTCCTGCCGGAGCTCAGCCCACCGTGGAGCGAGTGTGCCAGGGATTGAAACACGATCAGCAGCTGAAGACTCTTTTCTCTGAAAACTATGTGCCCGTGAACTGCAGGTCAAGTTTGGAAGGTGTTTGGCAATTTGCCTACCAGAACAGATTCCGCTTCACCGGCGAATGCAACAACCCGAACGCTTACATCAAGTCATGCCAGGTGGCAGGAACACAGTTCCTGATCACCAACCAAAAGTTCAACATCACCTACAAGAGGTGTGAAGGAATGGAGGGAACTTTTGACGGAGGTAAAATAATCAATTAAATTTTTTAATCGATTACACTATATTAAAATTACTGTCACACATAGTATTGTTTAAGAGGATAATAACAATATTCATTACTCATTTGCCTATTAAACATTTAATAACAAAAATTTAATTACATATTGGCATAAAAATTAAAAAAATTAAAGGAATTTTTAGGAGTACAATAACAAATCCCGATATCTTGCCTATAATTTTAATTTTCAATCATAACCAGGCCTTCAAGTAATTTTTTCCCATTTTTAACAATTTTTTTAATTTTCTAGTGCCTTATAATAATATTTTTTTTTAAATTCAAATATTTACTTCCAGCCGTTGAGTACAGTTGCCTGGGAGCTTGGTTCATTGAAAAAAACCTGTTCTTTGCTGTCGCCAACACAAAGGAATCTCGAAAAGATGAGAAGTACCGGTGTTTCTTGAAGAATCGAGACGACGACCTCTACATCGGAGTCTCAATCACGGCCGAATGCAACACCCTGAAGACCCCTGAGCAAAGTCCGGAGCGTTTGCGAATCACCCCTGTCAAAGCAGAAGTGGTCCAGCCTGGTTGTCGCCTGCCCCAAAACTTCAGTGGCGACTGGATCAATACTGCAAATTTGGACGCCGACGTTTTTATCAACGAGACGCACATCATTGAGACCTGGTACCCTGATGAAGGACGTTATCGACAGACTGTCTACGTCTGCAGGGAGCAGAGAGGAACACGATACATGTTGGCCCGACTCACTGTTGACGGATGGTTAGTTTTTTTTAATCAATAATAAATCATTTATTATTTTCACAAACAAATTACAGCCAAAAAGATTACATCTGTTTTGACTTTGTTCCTCGGCACCACAACATCATTCGGTACCGAAAAGGTCTTGCTGTGATTTTGGACAATTTCCACACAGTCTGCTCGTGGGTGCAGTTTCCAAATAAAGATTCCTGGAAATATGATACATTCCTGGCCAAGAACCCGGTCCCCGTTCGCTGCCCCATTGCTGGAAAGTATAATTTCACCCAGAAGGGAGATGTTCCGTTTGAAACGAGGATTCTCGGCGGCGTCACTCTTTCTCCCAGACCCAATCTCTACTGCAAAGAAAACATTTCTGACTTCTCTGTCTGTGACACTGACCAAAAAGAGGTAATTTAAGAAGAAATTTAATACGGTTAAATTTTGAATTTTTAAAAATTGATTTGCAGATTTTCATTGACGAGACTTATTGTTTGAGCGTCGATCATTTGGGAAGACCTGTTGACATTTACAGTGACCCTGATTACAAAATGAAGTGCATTGGTTACTGGAAGGAGAACCTGAAGTCCTATCTGATAACCTACGACGAACTTGACGCCTTCAGCAAATACAGATGCTGGGTTTACCAGCGGAGCGACCTCAACAGAGTCATCATGTCCCAGGCTTTGGGAGCCTTTTGTGACCTCAAGCAAGATGTAACTTCTTGGAATTACACGGAGGGCGCAACCGTCTCTGTTGAAATGCAAGAGTACGAAAGAGAAAGTGAGTGAACTTTTTTGTTTTTAGATCTGAGCAAGCTAAACAATATTTTTAAAAATTTTCCAGGGGATCAATGTCCGATGCATTTTGACGACGGAGCCAATCCGTGGATGATGGATGAAAATCATGTGAAGATTTTCAGATTTGGCTCTTCTGCTAGCTGCTTAAGTGTGACTCGAGGGTTGTCCCTGTTGCTGTTCTCAATAATGTTGCTCAGGTAATGGGGGTAATGGAACATTCCTTCCACTGTCCATATCGAATTGTAAATTTTAAGTGCCTAGAATGTATTTTTAGATATTAAGTGAAACTGTTTTGTTAGCATATTAATGCATCCGTCCATTTTAAAAACCAAACCAACGAATCTCTTGCTTTTGTGAAGAGAAATTTTATTTTAACTCAATAAATTTTTTAGAAATATGATAAACTGATTAAATATTTACGTTTCCTGTATAAACAAACTAGATTTTGATTTATTATTTTTATTTTTTAATATCATATCATCACATTGTAAAAACTGAGGAAGTGGGTTTTAAGACCGAAGAAAAAATTATTTGGATTTTCTTGCCTCGTCCGGATATATCTCTCTGGCAGATTTAAAACTTGTAACCACTGTGTGTCGTTTGAAGCCGGGCGTCTTTCTAAAAATTGAATCGGTTCCGTGCAGCCTGTCGAGTAATCCCAGCACACCGTAGCATTGGTTGAACTTTTGGTGGTGGAAGTCGTGGAATTCAGAGGAAAAGGCAAACGGAAGGTGGTAGCCAGAGTGGTCATTGAGCGTTGTGACAATGGCCAACATGAACCAAAGGATGCCCGTGGAGTAGTGAGAGCCCAAAATAAAAGGACCTAGCAGAATGGGAAACATGTTGGACAAAATGTGCTCGACGGGGTGGCAGTAAATGGCCATCACTGCCACCGGGGCAGTCCATTCGTGGTGCTTTTTGTGGATGTACTTGTAGATTGACTTGTGGTGGAGCAACCTTTTTGCACAAAAGAAAGAAATTCGTTTCTAAATTGCACAGGCAAAATTACTTTTTAATTATACCTGTGACTATAGTAAAATCCAAACTCTTCGATTAAAATGAATACGGGCAACTCCATGAGCACTCGCTGAAAAGTAGGCAGTTGTCTGATAGGAGGCATCCCTCTCCATTGCATCACATGAAATGCTAGGTATGCAAATGGTATTCCGACGACAATTTGGTTGAACAGGCCTTGAAGGATACCCTGAGAGTAATTTTTTGTAAGTGGCAATTTCGAGAAATCTTCATTTATGTACTTGCAAAAGTTTTGATTTGTCAACGGGCTCATTTGCTCCAGGTTGGATTTTGTATTTGCGCATGAACGTCGGCCAGTTAGTGAGATCAAGGAAAATGTAAAGTCCGCCTAGGCCCCAGAAAACTGCCATAGTCAGCGCAGTCAAACCTGCATTGAAATTAATTAATCATAATTAAATGTCATTAATTAAAAGACTCTACAGAAATTAATTACCGAAGACGTAAAATTTTTCCTCGTCCTGGCCATAATTATCAACTGCCCATTCCCAGTTTGATTGCCAGAAATCACCTGAAGCTCCCCAAAATCTCTGCAGGTGCCTTTATTTATCAAAAATAATTCAAAATAAGATATAAATAAATTGCGAAAGAAGTTTATGAAACCATCTGTTATTAATTTTATCTTCACCTTCACACATTCATACAACAAAAGAAAAAAGTCTCTTTTAATTTTCCAAACAAGATAAAGACTCAGATATATTGATAAAAAAGTAACTACTTATTTCTATAAATCACACAACGATCTTTAACCCTGTTGATGCCTCCTTATCGTGCTTATCTTTTATATTCCAAATCAATGTTTTGATACTATCAAATTGATAGATTCGGGTTTGTACCTATATAACCTATTGGTCCTATTGTTTTTGCGATTCATATAGAGCTCAATTTTAAATTTCTAGACACGTGTTTCTGATTCTGCATATAATTTTTTTATCCCTTTCCTATTATAAAATTTATTTTGTTATTTTCATGCAAAAATTATTGTTATCATTGTAATTAAGAAATCAAAGTGTTTGAAATTAATAAACTTCATTGGAAAATAGCGGAAAATAATAAATTTTGAACTGAATCCAAGCAAGATATAATTATACCATGTGAGGGAATTTCGGAGAGCAGCAAACACGACCACCACAGAGACGATCACAACAAATGCGGACTTGATGGATGAAGCCACCTCCAGCTTCGCCATTCTAGCTGTGACTGACTTTGAGAGCTTATCGGCACATCCTTACAAAGGCCAGAGTGCCGAGAGCTACGTACACTACGACCATATTGCGTGTATCTGTCAAATATGCAAATAACGCTGAGTCAAACACAAGCGCAGTAGAAGCAGCGGTAGAATTTTAACAATGCGCAGAAGTAGGACTAATTTTTATTTTGGAAAGGCGCCATGCAGTTTTAGACTTTTCGACACTCGTGTTATTCTCAATATTCTTTAGAATTCCAATTTTCGTAAGACTTCCTTTAGACACATTTTTTTTTAACTGTTATTGTGAATCTTTGATAGACCTTTTTAGCGGTATAAGTAAAAAAATATTTAAATGAATTATAATTTATAATGTTTCATCCTCAATATTTTTAGAAACAAGAAAGTATTCCAACCTACAAACGAGTGAAAGTTATCCAAATACTAGTGTAGTATGTTCCTTACATACTGTACTACTATATAATTATTAAAAAACGAAAAAAACGTTTAAATAACGTGCGGAGCTAATGTAGTGATAGCGAATCTTACAGAAATTGCTGAAAAGTTCATACATTCCAATAAAAAATCTGTTATATCAACAAAAAATTTTAATTTTTAATTTTATACTTTAAAATAAAACAATAAAGCACGCTTTATTGTTGCGTGCGTGATAAGTCATTTAAATACTTTCCCCGCCAGTGGCCTCTCCCACATTAAAGTCGTAGACCTACACTCCACATCCCCGTCCCAGGCAAATTCATTCGTTCTAAGGAAAGATCGTTACTAAAAGAGGTAAAGTATCGTTAAATTTTTTTCTTTAATTAATCACTAAATTTTAATATAGAAATTCCATTAAATTATCAAATTACTTGTACGCCCAACACAATTAAAGCATTGTAATTGACGAATATTAGAATTAAAAGCAACATTAAATTGCTCTGGTTTGAATCATATTTGATATTTTGCTGTAAGAACTGATGTGACTTTTTGATAAAATTTTAGGGAAAAAAATAGAAATCAGAGTTGAATTTTAAACATGATCGTAATGATTAACGATTGATTTGGTCTATGAGCAAAACTTCATTGATGAGGAAAAACAGCGGCAGCGCTGGTGAGCATGATAATGAAGTTATTTATATCTCAGTCTTTGACTACACTTAATGTATAAGCGTGGCTTCCAAAGTTTTTAACTATCATTTGCGTTTTCGATTTGCTAGGATGACGATCAAACCAGAAGTAAAAATGAGCGTCTCTTCGGATAAATATTTCTTAGAAATTCACCGATATTTGTCGTTTCCTGCCGACTTTGGAGAGAAGAAAAAAGTAAGCGTTTCAGCATTAGCATCGTCAGGATTTTACTATAACGATGGTGGCCATCCCAAATGCCATTTTTGCGACTACGTTATTTGCTCTAACATGGAAGAGTGGTCAACAAACGTTGAATTGATGCACATGAAGAGCAGCCCAGATTGTCCCATGCTGGACGGAGATGGCTGTCCAGAAAATATTTGCATTTGCCACATCCCAAATTATAACTACGAATGTTACAGGTAAGACTTTAACAAAGATATTAATTTAAAATAAAAATATTTTTTTTAGATTTTGTTTAAGCAATAGGTGTAAATTTTCAGATTGTATTCATTTCCGAGCCAGAATTGGCCTAAGGCTAGCGTCGTATCGCCAGCAGAGTTAGCATCAAACGGATTTTATTTTACTGGACGCGGCGACAACGTCCGATGTGCATTTTGTTACTTGGAGGTGTGTCAATGGGAAGAAGGTGACACAGCCCTCGGGGAGCACAAAAAATTTAACCCACTGTGCCCGTTTCTGAAAGGTTGCGCCTACAATATAGAAATTGGCGAGGAAAGGTCTGAGCCAAGAAAACCCACTCCAGTGGATATTGAAAAACGATTGGCGAAATGTGAGTATTTTTTCATTTCACATAATCATTCAAATAATGTTAAAAAAATTTATAAAATAATTTTTCATGTTTAATTAAAGATGGTGCACTCAAAGTAATGAGGAATGCCGCGACAAAAAATATTGAGGTGAAAATCAACGCTCGTGCCCTGGGAGTCGTGATTACAAATTCGCCAAAACACCCTGAAATGAATTCATCAGAAAAAAGAATCAAATCGTTTGAATTGTGGCCTGAGCAGAAGAAATTGATGATTGAAAAGCTTGCCGAAGCTGGTTTCTTTTACACTGGTGAGTTCACGTTAATTAAAAATAGTATTTCATTGGAAAAAATTCAAAAATTAAATGTATATAACCATGAAAGTTTTTTTGTAGCTCTTTTATTAATAAAAAATTTATTTTCAAGGTTCGGATGACCACTGCACCTGCTTCTGCTGCGGTTATGGTTTGCGCAACTGGGATTTAGAACACTGTCCTATGACTGAGCACTGCAAATTATTCCCCAAGTGCGTCTTCTTGCAGCTGAACAGAGACGAAACTTACAATGAGGAGGCTGACGATCTAATCGATTTGAAGAAATGCAAAGGGTGTCTTGAAATGGAGATTGACACTGCTTGCTTGCCGTGTGGTCACATGGCTTATTGTGAACAATGCGTTCAGCAGCACGAAAAATGTCCAACTTGTTCCCAATATTTGCTCTTTTTCCTCAAAATATATGTGCCGTAAAAACCTTTTATAGATATTTGCTGATGATTTATAAAATTTTTTATTATGATTTCTTAAATCAGATGTTGTTTTGCCATAAATGCTCCAATTTCTTCATTTATTTAAAAAACCTTTGGAAATCATTTGAAATATATTTTTTTACTTTTTACTTTCAATTATTGCTCTGAATGGAAATCAATTTTCTTTTTGAATATTTAACTATATTCTGTAAGAAAAATTACATTCTCATCTACTCTCTCTCCTCATTCAAAATTAAAAAGCAAACAGCGCCTCTTCAGCGTATTAGTCAATCGCTTGTTGGGTGTCGTGCAAGGACATAGACTTTTTGCATTATTAACAATATTAAGGCTGGCACCAGGTTCAAGTGCTCGTCATTAGGCTCTGCAATATGCAGGCCAAGAACAGGCAATCCGGCCTTGACACTAAAAGGAAACAACAAAGAGGAAATACTTCCTTACATCTTGACGTGTCGTTCCTGCGCGCGAAAAAGTGATCAATGATGGCTGTTGCATTAGGGCCAGTTATAAATAGGTCAGTCACAATGGTATACGCGCGCAGCGCAATTCTAACGGAGCGTGCAATTTATTTCACATTACATTTTTAAATTATTTTCAATGCATTTTTGTAATATCTGGTCATTTTCCTTTCTTCTCTCAATCTAATTACATTGCAATTTTGATTGATATAAAACTCAAAAAAGGCAGTGTTTGTAACTGTGAAATATCATCAAATAGTATTTGTTCCTAAATAAAGTAGATTCAAGCAAGATAGTGTAGCAGAATAATAATAATTTGCAATTTTAAACTAATTTAAACTATTATTTTATAAAATAATGAGTTTTTTTTTAATTCAATTAACTTTCCAAGCTATATCAAAGTATTTATTTAACTTTAATGTAACACTTCATTAAAATTTATTGGAGAAAACTCAGCAATAATTGACAATAAAGATAAGAATTGCATGATACACATAAAACGACCGCAAACTATTTTCTTCTTTTGGTAATTACTTTTTGCGTTTTATAGAGCAGAATATTTTTTAATTTAATCTCAATTATTTGAAGTTGATTGATGAAAGGAAGTGAATGGTGAGGTCGAGTCAGCGTGAACAAAGTATAAAGAATTTAGCTATAGATCAACCCTTATTTTTTTTCTGCTCGACCAACCCACCCCGACCACCACAAGGTCTTGCTCTTTGACCTTGGGGATGCGCGCGCCCCTCACCCCACACCGCGAGCAGTGCAACTTGCAAGACACTCACACTTGGCAGGTGACTCGAAAGCAATTTGCATGCGCGTGCCAGCTCGGCGGCGAGCCTTCGTCAAAATAGGTACCACCCTGAGTACGAAGCCCCTTCGGGAGGCGCCGGCTGAGCCCAAGCAGGCGAGTCCGTACAAAAAAGTGCCACCGGTGAAGAGGGTGACGAGCGGCCGAGCACTTAGCAGGCGCCGTGGCCCCAATCAGCAGCCGGCCAAAGAGCACCGGAGCCGCCAGCAGCCGCCAGCAGTCAAAAGGATGGAGGTGCTGCACCACGACCTGCTGCTGGGGGCGGCCTCCCGCCTCTTCAAAGCGGCCCCCGCCTGCTTCAAGAACAAAAGCAAGGACTTCCGCTTGCCTTTGATTCAGTAAGTAAAACAACAAAATTATTCATTTATAATTATCTTTTTTTTTTAAATAAAAATTCCAATTACTAGGTTTTCACTGTAAATTATGCTAAAAATGTTCTAAAAAAATAAGAATTAGAAAATTTAAATCAATAAATTATTAAAAAAATTGATAACAGGAAAATACGCAGAAAAAAAATGAGATTACACTTTTGAGCAGACGAGTTATAAAAAATGGTGACTATGATAGACCAATAATTGTGATGCACATAGACTACGTCTTACCGGTATGACGTCATTATGTCATGAGACTCTTTGGTAGCCACCCACAGTCTCGTGCTATTGTTTGAGCGTGAATCACTTAGCCCACTCACTCAGCCCCATCGTTGGCCTCATTCAAGGATTTTTAGATTAAATATATTCGGCGTAAATTTATAGTTTTCTCATTTACAATTCTCAGATAGCTAATGCCACACTTTTTGACCTTAATTTTGACATTCCGAGATTAATCATGTCAATTTGTGTTATTTACAGTGGAATGATTTGTAAAGGATTGAACTAAATTATTCAATTTAAAAAATTTTTTCTTAGGAAAAATCAAAATGCTTCTAAAACTAAACCACCCACGATTTTTAACGCTTAGAAATTAATTTTATAACCTTATAAATGGGAAAAAAATGAAATAAAAATAATTACGTAAAATTATTGATGAAAATTGATTTCTAAAGGAATCGGGGAATCGGGAAAACACCTTCGTGGTCAGATTTTGTATGTGTCAAAATTAGAAATTTTTATTACAGTTGATTAATATCTCTGTAAGAATGAATTTTTGTTCACAAATTATTAATTGTTTTAATGTGTTGTTTATTTGTTCAAAATCGTGTTACAGAAAATTAACATTGAAAAAATGAATTGTCGAGAGGAAATACTGTATTGTTTTGACAAAAAGGCACCTCCATCAACAGAGATTAAAATTGTGATTAAATATTAAATTTAAAATTGCTTAACTTCAAAACATACAACATTAAATTGCTATCGATATTAAAATTATTAAATTATTATTAAAAAAAATATATAATTTTGTGTGTGACCCAATTTTCAGCAACCACCCTCTGGACTCAGATTACAAATATTTCACAAAGCATAAAATGCGCTGCAACTGTAGCATGCTTAATTTGCATGCGCGCCCAAGTACGCACCTAATGAGGTGCGTGGCCTCCTTGGCCTAAAAAGCCTTGCCGAAAAAAAAATTATCGAGGCCAAGTTCTTTCTTTTCCAGCGTCGTGCGTTCTTTCTCGCCTTATTCTAGAAGTGTACACAGTTGTAAGAGCAGAGAAATGTCCCTGAGACAAGATCAATATAATAACGTCCGGCGCAAGCATAACATAATGATATTGGATGATATTATTGTCAGATCGACCAGAGCCACCAGAGGCAAAGTAATTCAATATTTGGAAACGTCTACTTACTTTTTTTTACAATTTAGGCACCTCTTTTAAAAATGTATTAAAAATTATTGTGCCCTTTAGGATTTTTTAATATTTAAAAAAAAAAAAAATAAATAAAAACAATTTGGTGCATTCATAACAGTCTATCTCCTTTATTGACTAAAAAATACTCTTAATTTTTTAAGGACACTTCAAACAGATCTATAATCATACAAATTGATTTTAAGTAATTTTAAGGATCTAGAAGCGGAACGCAAGTCTAAGACACAATTAATTTTTTATAAGATTTAAAATTAAAAGAGGTTTTCATTTTAATGTTCTTATTCTAAATGGAACATTTACACCAAGAGAGCCCTAAAACAAATTTGCCACATTTTGTAGTTCCGAGACGACCTGAAAAGCGGCGCTCGTCCACTCGGTCAGCAAATCGTTCCAAGATAATTTGGATATTCAGGGGCTCATTTGCATACACAGGGGTGTTACGAGGTCACGGGGCGTCGTTTGCATGAAATCAAAGGGGTGGCCGGCGTTGGTCAGTGGCGTGAGCGCGTGCGCCATCGATGTTGGTCAGTCCGGCAACTGACCAGACTTCCGTCGGACTGCCGCAGCAATGGACGACGGCCAGGAAAATGTGAGGGTCGAATTCGAGATGACCCTGCCGCTCAGCGCCCTGAGACCATCCTGCCACTCAATGTGGTCATGGTAAAAAATATTTCAACTTCCTTTTTTACCAAATTGTCCATTTTTTTTATATTTTTATACATTATTTATCAAAAAATATTATTTGCTAGTTTTTATTTCTTTTGTCAGTCTTAGATCGTTTTTTGAATAATACAATACAAATTACAGTGCACTCAACGGACCGAAAGAGCACAATTTCACCTCGTTTTGAAATTATACTGTCAGCCATTTTTCCTGGCCAAACTTTTTTTCTAGAAAAATTAATTATGCATCAGGCAGCATCAGGTTACAAAAGGATTAAAGCAGTTCTTTTAAATAATGATGAACAATTAAAATTATTTTTTAATTTTATTTTGATGCTTTTTCTGTACGTGAATTTTTGCTTTGCTCCAAGCAGATGCACATCAAGTGCGTTTACAAGCATCTGTTTTGTCATATTTAAAAAATTTCATGGAATATATTAGTTTATTTTAAATTTGGGGGACAACAAGTGACGACCCCATTTAAAGGCGACAAAGGCGTGAATGTACGCATGGATTTCGGTGTATTGCCCTTGGTTACCAAGGGCACACGCGCATGAAGGTGAACGTGAATCAATGTTCAAAAGCAGCGTGGCGATGTGGCGCTCGCAAAAATATGTCAATAATTCTCAGGATCGTTGACCTCTTTCATTAATTTACACTTACTTAAAAATATAAACAATTATTTTAAAAACAAGTTAAGCTTTACCATAACTCTTAAAATAAAAATATCGATCTACAAATAAAATACAATTTAATTCCTATTGCCCATATTGGCTTCAAAAAACGGATAGCTGGAGGCATAAAATTGAAGGAAAAAATTGTTTTTTACAATTTTTATCCATATTATTACAAAGTGCAAGCAAGCTTTAATTTTATTATTTAATTATTAAACACAGCGGGCCTAGAGTCAAATTAATCATAGATAATTTTACTTTATTTATTTGGACATTTTTGACCATATTTTTCAAATCAAATATTAATAAAATCATAGCTAGAGATATCATTAAATTGAGCAGAAATTTTTAACGCATCAAATCAACTTTTTATAAAAAATATAAATTAAATGAAATTGAATAAAACTCTATGTGTAAAACTGAAAAAAACTGCCTTGTTCAAGATTTATATTCGTTTAATTAATTTTTTATTGAAAAGTCTACATTGTATTGCTTTCACCGCAATCGTATCATGTAGCCTTGATCTAATCGTGGGTTGATTGTGGTCAGTGACAATCTTTTGAAGAAAATTGTCGGATGTGTATATTAAGAATAAGGCTGCAAAAACAAGTACACAAGGTGATTGAGATCGTTTGCGTCAAATGCACATTGATGGGAACGGCCGCGTTGAATCTGACCTTGGTGCACGCAACGCACAGCTAGCCGGTCAAAAACCTTCGCTTCTACTCTCGTGAAGTCAATTCACGTACCGTACAAAGCCTCAATTATAAATTTGTTAACATTAAGTAAGGCCACAATTGAAGACCTGACCAAGTTAAATATTCATAACTAAAAAATAAATTGTGAATTTTATAAATGTTTTGATTGATGAAAAACAAGATCATTTCTCCGACTTAAAAAAAACCAAAACCTACAGTACTGGAAGGAGCAGCGCTGCAAATTGTTTGACATACACGTCACGCAGGGTGCCTAACCGAACATTTTCAGGCGCTCCAAATCCAAAGTGTATTTATATTTTTTTACGTAAAAAGTAAAAATCCAAAATGTAACTTTCTAAGACAAAGAGGCAAAATTATGCACCCAAAAATTAAGCGTTTCTCAAGGAAGTGGTTTTCATCTTCAATTTTTGCAAAATATTTTAAGGCAAAAAAAAATTTTAAACACATTTTAAGTCTGTTTATCTTTTCATAGCTCAAATAAATAGACAAAAGATAAATTTTTATCATTTGTAAATATCTACGGAAAGAAAAAAAGCGAGAAGGAAGTTTAGTCTACATTACTTTTTACGTGACCCAAACAACCCAATCACAGAGCGGTATCAAAGCACGCTGGGGGCAATAAGAATCAGTCTAATCTAATACTTTTGCCTTTTGGCCCAACCAACACTGCTTGACTTGGGGCATTTCGATGGCTGTATTTAACCATTTTTTCACTCGATTTCTTGAATTTTTCCGCGCGCTGGTAATTATTACGTGTGCGATATGATCAAATAGTCCATCGCGATAAGCGCGATCTATAGCAGGAAGTGGCCAGACGCAGGCGTGCGGAGACATAACGCACCTCCAAAAAGTCAGTCGTCAGTACATTCAAGACTAACCATGATTACGGAGGGCTTTTCCACCACTTACAAAATCATCAAGCTATGGTGAGACATGGATATTTTCAGCTACGCAGCTTTAAATTTAGTAAAAAAAAGTTAATATCGTCTTTTTAATTTTAAAATTTTGCAATTTGTGAGGAACTTATAAGGATTTTATTAAATTTAATGCTTATAGTTCAACGGATTTACGTCTAGTCCTAATTTCTATTTGTTTTCGTGTAAATTATAGTTTTTTCTTCTCTCAATATGATTATAAATGTTTACTTTGAATTTAGCATAATATAAATTGAAATTGGAATTTTCTCTTTACGAGACCATAATCTGACCATTATTTTCTGGATTGGGTAACTTTAAAGATTTTAAATAGCTTCTAGAAATTTTTTTACTCCAATTTAAGGCTATTTGATTTTGTTAAATTCATTTTTAAAATTAAAGCAAATTTTCTCGCAATTAATTTCAATTATAACTAACGCTGGATAATTTTATCAAAAAGAAAAAAAACCCTTATTTAAGATTTTAAATAACATTGCTACACATAAATTGCTTTTTGTATTTTGTTGAAGATCAGCAAATTAGAAAAAAAGAGGACTTTTCCTCTCATTAGCTGCTCTACTGGGGGAAATAGGGTGTTCCAAGGAAATTACAAGCAGCGACTAAAAAATTATTTACTGACTCAGCGTGTCGCAGGTGCAAACTTCGATAGATACTTTTGCTGCACTGACATTGAAGCGTATTTGAAATTCAAATGATCGCATGTTTCTCTATGACCTCGTCGCCTAGTTCTAAATCGGCTAAATCATATTTTCTTTCCAGCTCCACGAGCGAAATAAAAAGTCTCAAAGATTACAGAAAATATTCCACGAATGAGACAAACTTTTTTTTATACAATTCATTGCAAAGAAATTCGCATATTCGCATTTTACCAGCTTCTCTTATTTTTCATACACGGGAAATTTTGATAGCCCTGCATGTTATTTTTGTGAGCGGATAGGGTGTTTTATTTCTTGCAAAGTTGAGCAAGCAGTGGTATTAAATTCCAGTTGCAGGTGTGCAGCTTGATTGGCTATTTATTATTTAAAAAGAGGCCTTTTGTTGTTGTCCCCTATAACGCTCAGCGTCGTCAAGGAGATTTTATCAGCCAAGTTGCGGCGCATGAGTGAAATTATATGAACGGTCACTTTCAAGTGACCGAGTTAGCTGCAAGTCCTGGAAGAAAATCTCAATCATGGGGTTCTTTAGCCGATTTATGTTCAACGACCCATTCTTTTTATGGTAAGCAACAAGAAAAATAGGGGAAAATTTAAATTTATTTATACACAAAAGTTGATAAAAAAAAGGAACCTATTTAACTAGGAAACGAGGATTGCGTGGTTAAAAATTTGAATACGTTTTTTTTTTCTTCACAAAAATACAGTGCGAATTTTTATGGCGTTCTGAGTGAAAAGGTGACATGAATGTTGCAATAACTTGTCCCAAAAATATTTTGCTGACGAAAATAATAAACGTAGCGGCCCTCAAGTGGGTCAGTAGTTTACCGACCCGGTTGGCATAGAAACCCTTAAATGAACATGCGTGCCCGTCTGTCCGCAGCAATCCAGCGCCACCGGCGCCTGCCTTTCAGCATGTGGCGCGGATGATGGACTCTCTGCTTCTGGACTCGATGCAACCTTTCACTTTTACCAAGATCACGACACAGCAACTGAACAGACCGAAAAACAAATTGCCAAAGCAGTCGTCAAAACCGACGCCCGTCAAGCCCCAGAGACCAGCAACTGGTAAAAATTTTTTGCGGAGGAAAATTTAAATTCAATTTTTTTGCAATTTTTTTTTAGAAAGGGCCGAACAGCGAACGGAGCACCGAGCGGAGCCTGCGGCGGAACCGGCTTACGAGCCAAGAAAAGCGGGCAACCCACCCAGTTCCGACAAATGGGTGGCGTCTTTGAGGAAGCGCGACCCGGAACTTCAGCCGACCCTCCCTGCCATTCAGCACAGCAGAAGCAGGTCCAACTCGCAGCCTTCAGGGTACCCCAGGGTCAAGTCTCGATCGGTCGACCGCATGCATAGTCGGATGAAACCTTTGAAGCCTCTGAACAAGATGGTCAGCAAAGACGACGACCAATTGTGTCCGTCTCCAAAAAGCGGAAAAGGCACTTTTCCGCTGGGAATAGGCGTCGAGCCGCACTTAGTGGACACCATAGAAAAAGACGTTCTCGTCCGCAACCCTTGCGTCCCCTGGGCCAGGGTTGCCGGACTCAGGGACGCTAAAGCAACATTACAAGTAAATTTCCGTGTTTTAAAAATTGATTTTTTAATTAAATTACTTTTGATACTTTTAAATTAATTTCTCTATTTTATTCATTTTAATGACTTCAAATTAATTTTTCATTGTTTATTTTCAAATTAATTTTTAATTCATTTTATTTGAATGAATTAATGTTAATTTTTAACAATGAAAATCTCAATCCATTTTAAGTTTTTGACATTTTCGGTTTCAGGAAGCGGCGATACTACCGCTGATAATGCCCGAATACTTCAGAGGGATTCGCCGCCCGTGGCGTGGCGTTTTGATGGTCGGCCCTCCAGGAACAGGAAAAACGATGCTGGCCAAGGCGGTGGCTACGGAATGCAGCACAACCTTTTTCAACATCTCCTCGGCCACCCTAACCTCAAAGTACAGGGGCGACTCCGAAAAGCTGATTAGGATCTTATTTGAGATGGTATCAGAATTTCGTGCTCGATTTTTCGCTAGTTTTGTGACTGCAAGTTGCTGTTCAGGCACGCTTTCACGCACCCTCTACTATTTTTATTGACGAATTGGACTCCCTGTGTTCTTCGCGAGGGTCAGACTCGGAACATGAGGCTTCCAGGCGGTTCAAAGCAGAGCTGCTCATTCAAATGGATGGACTTGACTCAGCATCGTAAGTAACAAAATTAAGTTAATTTTAGTAAGAAATGGTCAAAAAAATGTTGCTTAGTAATTTAATATGAGATTTTTTGTGATATTAATTGATTAAATTTTTTTAGCGATGATCGAGTAGTAATGGTTTTGGCGGCGACAAATCATCCCTGGGACATTGACGAAGCCTTCAGAAGGCGATTTGAAAAGCGAATTTACATTCCACTGCCTGATGGTATGTATATGAAGAAGCTAAAAATTATGTTAGCGGGAAAAATAATTTTTCGATAATTAAAAAAATTTCAGCCATTAGCAGGGTAGAATTATTGGAACTTTGTCTGCAAAGCGTGAAATTAGAACCAGGCCTAAACCTCAAGTCTCTCAGCATCCAGCTTGAGGGTTATTCAGGGTGCGATATCAGCAATGTCTGCAGGTTGTAAAATTGAAATACATTTTCGCAAGTAATCAATTAAATGCCAATAATTTCAGAGATGCTGCTATGATGAGCATGAGGAGACTAATTACTGGAAAATCTGCAGAGGAAATTAGGGCGATTCGCAAAGAAGAAGTTGACCTCCCTGTTACTTCCGACGACTTCAAGGAAGCGATATTGAGGTGTAAAAAATCAGTTTCAAATAACGATAAACAAAGATACGAACAATGGATAAATGAATTTGGCGCTAGTTAAAAAAACTTATTGTTATTTTAGAAAAATAATGTAAAAGTGGTTTTGTGGAACAAAGTCCGATCCTCTCGATGTTTTTTTTCTCTTTTCCCCCAAAGAGGGAATCCATTCCTGTGATACTGCTAAAGACGCGGTTACATCCACTTGCAAGCAAATTGCAGTTGGAGTGTCAACAATTTTTAATACACGTTCTCAAAAAGTTGAGACAGAAAAAAAGCCCAAAACTGCTCAGCTCTTTTCTACGATTTGGAAAAAATGCTGATTGTAATAAAAAACAGATTCTTGAAAAATCGACGAGTTTTTATGGAGTCTAGAGATGTTCGATCACTTGATAAAATTGTTGTAAAAAGGTACAAAAATAAAATTTTGATAAAGACGATCATTTTCTTTAGATATTAATCTAATCATCAAAAAGGGAAAGTACAAGAATGTTAGAACAAATAATTTCCTACCTTAAAACTGCTTCAGATGAAACAGCGATCTGCAAAAAAATAACAGTATTTTCAATTATAGGATAATTTAATATTACATAAAAATTTATTCACTTCCTTCGCACATAAAAATTGACAAATTGAGTTGAGATAACTTATTTCCAACGCGCGTGAACTTGCTATAAAATAATGCACTTATGACAGAATAAATTTATAAAACATTTAATAAACAACATTTTGTTGAATGAAAAATTAAAATATAACTAAAATTTAATTTTTTTTAAATTGAAATTGAACACACCTGGTAGATATTTCATGAAAATTGCAATCGGGTTCTTCATAAAATAAAAATCATAATACCTCTTTAAGATGTCGATGGTGACATTGATGACATCTGCTGAATGATGCGAATATCCGCAAGTAGGAGCACGGCGCAAAGGCACAAATAATGCACAAAAAAGTCACTCTCCGACACAATAAAAGTCAAAAGTCAACACAAAATAATTTACGTTTTCGTCCAGACGCAAATCAAAGCAAAATATGTATAAAGATTTTGCATAAAAAACTCCACGGAATTTACAGTAATTACAAAACAATCACCCGCAAACGACGCAAACACCAAAAGTTTTAGTCACACCAACAACACAAGAGACGAGAGAAACTGCAAACTGCACGACTGACTGATGGCTGGAAGTAGCAGGCGGTAGCAGGACAGGAGGGGCAGCACCAAACCAGACAAGTGAGACAACAGCGCTTCAAACAAAACAGAACCAGTCAAGACGGAATATCGCGCGGAAGTGAGAGCAAGAAGGTGGAGGAAGGGAGGGGATATATGGTTTTCGATGAATTCCAAGTGAGGTGCAGCAGTATGGCGTATGTAATTAGAAACGAATATTATTTCGGAATTCAGAAATAAGGAAACTAACAAAATAAATGAAACCCAATAAACGAGATAGTGCTGTATTCTTTATCATTATAATTAATAGACCTAATGGACGCTTCCCAAGCGAATAATTATTATATTATATTTGAAAAAAAAATGAAATTTAAAATTCATGATAACGGATCATTTTTTGTCAAAAAAAAAATCAATTTTAAATTGCCAAATAATTTTCACGGCAGTAAAAATTTAAATTTTTACGTACTGAAAACTAAGGAATAAGAGGAATGTTAATATAATTTTTTTATTAGTGTTACGGCATTCAATGAATATTCTGTATGATCCTAGGTTAAGAATAAATAATATATAATTAATATTAATTTCAAACTTCTTGAAATTTAAAAAACAAACTTAAGTCATTAATATTAATGGAATTAATTTATATCAGGCGTTAATGAAGAAGAGAATTATTAAAATGCAAATGGTGATCATGAATAAAATTTTTATTATAACAACTTTTCATTTAGTGAGGTGTGTTGCAAACTGGTCAGCCAATTTCACAATATTAATTTACAAGAATAACCTTGCTGAGATTGAATTTCTCAGCAAACTTGTGCTTTCTCATAGATCCTTCAGCAGGATCAGGTTGAACACATAAATTAGAGGGTGGCGCAGCTAGCAGTGCCGGCTGCAATAACGTGAAGGTTCAATGCTTGTGGACATGATGGTAAATTTAATGGTCATGGGTAAGCTGATCCTAGGTATTCCGCCTTTTCCACGTCAATTTTCCTTTTTGGATCCTCGCGATTTCCAAGCAGATATCAGTTTGTAGGCAAAGAGGAGAGAGAACAGGTGCACTTGAATGGCTGGGATAATGAAGGCATACCACAAAATGGCATAAGGATAGCCCTGTAAAGTTAAAATAATATAATAAATTGTACATAATATTAATAAAATTCATTTAATATTCGTACCTGCCACACAAACAGCTTATCCTTATCTCCAGTTGAGATATAAGCCCATGCTTCGGAGAAGTAATAACCCGCTGCGTAGAGAAGGGGCAAGATTCCGAAGACCCCAATTCCAATCACATAACGCTGCATGGTGGACACCTGGTTCCTCCGCGAGGCTGCCAGACCCCAGAAGGACAGCGCCAGGGACACGCACCATATGTACTCCCACCACAGTGGCTGTCAAGAAAAAAACCAAATGAATAAAATTGGCAAATTAGTTGGTTTGCAATAATCGAACCTTCGGAACGTGCAGTTCCTCTATCTCCAGAATGAAGATGTCCAAGCGGTCAAGGATGTCTGCTGACAACTTGGCCAACATGATGAAGAAGAGCACGTAGTGGAAAAAGATGCAGTACTTGAGCCGGTTCTTGTTGACTGAGCTGACTTGGTAATGCGCGGCGACACGCTGGCGATGGGCAAAGTCGGAGCCATCGGTGCCGGCAACCATCGGGCCCCCTCGGGACGCCATTCTTAGGTGATTCTTCTTCAAATGGGCACCGTTCTGACCAGACACACCATTATTGTTATTTATACAGCCGGTGCCGATCTCTGACCGGGACACAACCGGTTGTTGCAACTTTCTCTTACCGATCTTCTTCCAATGCAATTTCAACGGGAGGAAATCTGCAATTCAAAGTTTTAGTTCAAAAACCGGTATATTGCTAAAAATCGACCACAATGTCTGATTTGTGGCGGTACCACGCGGTGGCCGCTTCAAGCGAGGCATTGTGTTATTTTGAGCCGATTCAGACGCACTGCTGGACAATCACCGCACTCGGCAGAGCGGGGCACCATTTATCGACCTCACGTTATTCGATCATTACCGCCATAAAGGCGGCCGCCTCTCTGGCAGGTTTTTTACTGATTTTTTTTTTTAATTTAAAAAAATTTGATGTAAAATCCGTAAAATCAATCTTGAAATCTATAATTGATGTGTTTTGTCGCTCGCACTCGATTGTCTGATTTAAAATTATCTTTGGAATTGTTATGAATGCGCGCAAACTTCAGGCCTGCAAATTTAATCATTATTGTAAAATACTGAAAAACGTTTTTTTTTCAAAATTGATTTTATTAGAAATTCGCAAGTGTAGTAAAATAATTTTTGCTTATTTTCGCTATATTAATCCTGAAGTTTTACATGTATTTTTTATATATATCATGATATATTATTATCATTATATTCTTTTCCAACTCCCAAGATTATATTAAAAAAATATTTGCGTCAAAAAATTTTGAATTAATAATTGTGGTTTTGAAAACTGCAAAATCTAATAAATAGATACGTTTTCAATTAATTTTAATATACATATGTATGAAATAGCTTGTTTACAATGTTTAAACATTATTACATAACTTAAAGCAGGCAACTGTGAGTAATCGACGCCGACCTTGAAAAATAAATAATTGATCAAAGGTTTGAGCACATGTCTTTGTTTTGATTTCTTATCTCTCGCACGCCTCGTTAAATGTAGGCAAATGCGTATGATTATTTTTGTCTACATTTTGTCTAATACGTAAGAAAATTTTACTGAAAAAAAATTTTTATTTAAATAATTTTAAAAAAATCTTATCAACGGAGAAATAAAGTATGGAATAAAATTCCATGCGCGGCGAGCTGTAAAATATTGTGCTGCAAAAAATAAATATTTTGTGCAAGCAGGAGAAGAGAGTTTGAAAGCCGTGCCAGGAAAGCTTTGCGTTAGTCCGCTCGGCGCGCGGCGCACTAAATAATGAACTTTATCGCTTCAATAAAAAATGGTAGAATATATTTCGTAGAATAAATTGTGAATTATTTGTGCATTTAACCATAAAAGAACGCAATAACATTTAGAAACAAAAAGTAGCTTGCTCTCAGGGGCTGAAAAAAATTATTTGAACAGCTCGGGGCGAGTCGGTTGTAGGAGCGGCTGCGGCACAGGGCATTGGGGGCGAGGAATGGCGACGGCAGAACGATGCTTGCTTTGCTGGGCCGCCATGCCGTGATCAAGTAGAGCTTCCGCCATCTTAAATAGCTCTACGTTTACTCACAAAATATCTGGTAGATGTACGTGTCAGTGGTGAAAACTAAGGAACTAGACTCATTTATGTTATTAATCTTTTTTATGTAAAAACTCAAGTTTAGAGAAAAGGGCAGTAATAACGCGAAAATTCGTGCTGGCGGAGGAAGCGACCGCATTGCAAGTAGTGCGGCGACCCGAGAGTGTTGTTTGGCGTTTGCTGATCTCGCCGTGTTTCCACCGAGTTTCCCGACTTTCTGTCGAATAATGTAAGGCATGGGTGTGACCTAACCATGGCCACAGCGACCGAACAAGCCCAGGAGCACTTGGCCGAAAAGCCCGAGCCGTTGCCGAACGGCAGCACCAACGGCAACGACAAGCCGCAGTCGCCGCCCGACTTTGTCGGTCGCTTCGACGCGCCCCCGGCCTCCGCTGACTACCGGACTCCCTACAAACCGGCCTATGGGCCGCCGCGTATGATGTCGGGACAAAGCCTTTCGCAGCCCTCAGGACCGACGCCGACGCTAAACCAGCTGCTGCAGAACAATTCACCGAGGCACAACTACGACTACCCGCAGTGGCAGCCCCGGCCCCTTGGGTACCCTCAGTCCCCCTATCGACCGCCGCACCCGCAGCAGCAGGTGAGACCTTAGGATCTTCCTCAGGGGCAGCCGTTACTAAAATCACCAACAGCCCCATTACGCGGATTCCCAAGTGCGATTCCCGAAAGATAAAAAACAAGGCCTTCGACGTCTGTTGTTTTGGTTGTTTGGAACTCGTTTTGGTGCCAAAAAACCTTTACCTGTCGCGTCTTTGGCCGCTCTAACCCGAATATCAACCTAAAACTTATATTCGGCATCAAATTACATTAATATTGGTATTTTATAAACCGTACGCTCACGAACTGCCCGTCTTTTGTTTTTCTTCCTTGTTTCCGTCCAGAACAAACAAATGCAGCATCCAAACAATTTTATTCTTGGATACGCAAACGAATGCTCATTATTTAAAATTGCTGTTTCAGCAGCCTCAACAGAGACCGTACCTGGCAGGACCAGGCGCACCTCAGCAAGGGCCGCAGTACCCGCCCTATCCTCAGCGTTATCCAACACCTCCAGGGCCAGGTAGACCGCAGCAACAGCAGCAGCCCTACCAGCCACCCCCGCACCAGGTAAATTATAAAAATATTGCATACATCGATCAAAGACTAATTATTCACGTTCAGCAGATGCCAGGGGCCCCTTATGGCCCCCCTATGTATGGTGATAACAGGGCCCCGGCATGGGGTCCTCAACAACAGGCGCCCTCTCAGCATCCGCCGCCCCAACAGTCACCAGTGCCGCCCCAAGGGCCAGGCACCCCAACCCCTCAGCAGCAGCAGTTCCCGTCTAGACCTGGACAGCCAGCAACTCCAAACGCACACCCTCCGCCTGATGCTGGGGTGAGTTGTATTTTTCATTTTACAAAAGGGCGTAGAAGATTAATTTTTGGCAATAAAATATCAAAATAAAAATAATAAATCGACGGAAAGAATTTATTAGAGGCTAATTAAATCATGCGCCATTTTCGGCCCATGTTCATTTTTTTTTTCTTGAAAAGAATTAGAATAAATAAAAATAATAATCACACCTTTAGAGCAAAAAGAGCATAATGCTTTATATCCTTTGTATTCAATTTCTGTGCTTGAAAGATGTGAGGCATTTAAATTTTTACGCTAAAAAAAATACTTAAAATTGTATGCGTATTTTTATTTTGCTTGAAGTTAATTTTTGAACGAAATTTAAATTAAATTTTCATTAGACAGTAATAAATTTTTCACAAAATTGTTAATTTACGTTAAACAAATTTAATTTCTTATTTATATACCTATAATTTAATTTCCACATCAAGTTGACGTTATCGTGTGTTGCAACTCATTTTCTAAATTATTAAGATAACTTTTGGAAATTTATCAAAGTTTTTTAGTTTGTGGCATATATTTTAATTTAAAAAAAAATAAAATTTATTTAATTTGTCATTGACAACTGTCATGAATTTTAAAAGTTGCTAATTAAAATATTTTGTCAAGTTAGTGATTCCAATACGATATTGTCTAAGGCTTAAAATTTCATACTGATTTTTATAAATTAAGTGTAAAGTATCAAATTTATTAAATTATGTAATGAAAATTTTACATTTGGTGCAAAAGCCACAATTTTCCTGTGATGACTATTTCACCCCACTGAAACAAGAGTTTGTTTCATTTAAAAGTCTCGGGAGATTTAATTGAAACCAAATACAAGGGATCCCGTGGCCGTATGTAACTAAACCCTTGTAAGACGGCGCGTGTGGATAAACACATGTTCTTGGTTATCATCTTTTGTTACAAATCGACTTTTCCGGGTTAATGACAGAAAATCAATACAATATGCCCGAAATGAGTAACAAGCTGTTTTTAAATCACACTCATCCGTGCCAATGAATATATCGCCTTTAATTTTTACAAGTTCAATTTGGCGCTTTTCGCTCGCGCTTTGCAAATAATTGCGTCCCTTAAAATGACAAGGTGAATAAACTCGGCCAGAGGCACATTGCGAGTGGCAAAACGCGGTCGGCTGGCCGTCGTTGGTTGCGGGGCGGTTGTCCTTGATTGAGGTCGCGACCAGGAAAACGTGTGAGGGTGGTTAGGAAAACGGGGCGAAAGGATTGTGTGTGTGCATTTGTAAATGGGGCAAAAGGCGAATGTTGTTGAGGCATGACGTGACGGTACAGTCTGGCAACAGTGCGCGCCGCTTAGTTCGCTGCTGTTGTGTCAGAGAAGAAGCGAGCGAGCGAGCAGCATTGGGCAACTCAAGAATTGCTCCTGCCTTCAGTCGCTGTTTGCGAGAAACATAACCATCAGCGAGCGAGCGGCTAACTAACCAAACCCTTTGCCAATGCTTTCGAATGGCATTTCCACAGAACGCGCTCGCTCATCAAACGCCAAACCGCGAAGTGGAAAAAAATGCGTGCCGAATATTTCCAATTTTTTAATAAATTCCCGCACTAGATTTATATTTTAAATTTTTCTTAAGTGATTGTTGATAAATAAAAGTAATATTTTTTTTGTTGATTGGAAGCAGAAAAAAGTGGAGACGATAATTAAAAAGCTCCCACCGTGGATGAGCACTCGGGGGTTGGTTGGCAAAATCAATACTCCTCGCGTAGCAGCAGTGCGCTCTCTGGCCGCCCCTATTGACGTCACTCCAGACTATCCAAATCATTAGGGCCTGGGCCCAAATTTGCTAATTACCGATTTGTCGATGTCAATTTCAAATTTATCTAAATCTCGACCAGTGTGCGAAATTTCGCACTAATCTGACGGAGCAAATCTGCGCAACTTTGAGACGCGGTTTTCTGCTTGTTAAATTGCTGATTGTGCGAGTGAAGCAAACAACTATCACAAAAATATTAGGTACACACTCACACATACACACGACTCCCATGCCCCCCAACGCTACTCCTCCATTCATGTTCCAACACTGCCTTCATTAATCGATTTACACACGGTGCACTTTTCTTTTTTCTTCACCTCACTTTCTTACGTTTTTATTGTGTCGTTTTTGCATAAATGATCATCGGAGTTCTTTTAATTGTCCAAGCTATTCAATTTTTTTTCGTGATGGAAAATATGAACATTCTACCTTCAGTCAGGGGAATGAACAAACTTCTTGAATAATCATTAACTTGTGTAATTGCAAGTAACTGACATTTTTTTAAGAAAAAAAAATTATCTATCCGATGTTTTTTTTTATCATTTTAAAATTATAATCAGCAAATTGTAATGTTTCATTTGCTTTGAGAATATAAATTTTGCACATTCTTGAGCTATGGACAAGGAATTTGGCATCCCTTGCAAACTGTTATTGGTTAAATTTTCTAATAAAATCAATTTCTCAATGAATAATCTGCTCTGCGAACTATTTGCTCGTAATATAAATCTCCTTCAAAAATTAAATCTTTTTTGAGTAATTTTATAGGTAATTTCGCCTAAGTCGCGTGCATATTTGTTACCACGTTGCGTTGCCTGTCCGTTGCTGCTCGCTCGATTAACATGTTTTTGACGTTGTTTCCTCGCTCTGCTGCGGAGTAGTTGCGCCAGGCGCTGGCTGGACGGCCAGTCGCGCCAGGTGCTGCAGTTGCCGGCAACGCGGGGCAGTCGCCTTTTACCCACGTAGCATTCAGCCGAGAGCGACTCTTGGTGTTGATGAAAGTCGTCGACTGCCAGGTATGCGATTGTAGCCGCGCCGAACGCACCGGCGGAAATGCTACGTCGGCCCGATTTGTTTAAGAAATTTTGCAAATTTTATTAATTTGGTCCAAGTGTTCCAAACCGTTGAGGCGACGCCCTTTGGGTGCTTTGCGGGTCACCATCCAATTGGAGATTTTTTCGCATTTCAAGTTTTGATTCAAGGGACTTTCAGACTTTTTGTTGAATGTGGCTAATTACATTACACAAAAGCAAGGCACTCGCTGAACTGAAAAATCAAATTCCATTGCTGTACTGAAATTTTGCTGATTTCTCACTTCTTTCGCAAGTAAACAGACACCTCCATTTTTATTGCTAAGCTTCGCCATACTTGAACTAAACCAAGTTACCGTTTTCATTTCTGTCTGTTACCCTTGTGTTTCAACGTTTTTGATACATATGAATTTAGATTTTAAACATTTCTTAATTATTTTTTTAAATCTTTAATTTGTTTGTTGCAGGACCAAAATAGCAATGACAGTTCCAGCGGCCAGGGCGCTGCGCCCGGCACGCCAAACTCGCAGCAAGGGTTGAGTAGCAGGCCAACCCCATCGCCGACGGGTTCTACAGGTTCTCGCTCAATGTCTCCTGCCGTGCAGGGTAAGAAACATGCCCTTTGCAAACGCATTTGTCTTAAAAGAACATTTAATTTCAGGTCAACAGCAAAACATTCCAATTCCTCCTCGGCCGTCCAGTGGTCAGTCGGAGGCACCATCAGCCCGCATGAGTCATTCTCCCATTCAGGCTGGCTACCAGCCTCCTTACCCCAAGCAGGCCCCTTACCCACAACCACAACCCCAACAACAGCTACCGCCACAGCAGCAGCAGCAGCAACAACAACAGCAGCAGCAGCAGGCGCCACCTCAACAGCCTCCTTATGCGGCACGACCGTACTACCCTCCTGGGCCTCAGTACAGGGCTAACCACCAAAATCAACCCCAACAGCAACCTCCCCCAGGTTTGATTTTTTAACTCGGCAAATTCAGGGAGAAATTACTCACAATTTTGATTTTGCAGGTCAATATTACCAAGGCTGGAATAAGGGCGGACAGCAGCAACCACCGCGGCCGCACACTCCCCCAACCTACCTTAAGCAGCACCTGCAAAATAAAATGGGCTTTGGCTATGGGGGCATGGGACCCCCTCAGCAGCAACAGCCCATGGGCCCTCCGCCGATGGTAGTGTCTGCGCCCACTGTAGCACCCCCAGCTGACGAGAGCAATGGGGCCACCTCTGTGATCACCACGGGGCCTGATGGAACCCCACTAGACGATGCCTCCCAGCAGTCCACTCTTTCCAATGCATCTGCTGCATCAAACGAAGAGCCTGGCACTCCAAAGAGGTCCAAGCAGGAGCTAGCACCACCCCAGCAGCAGTTCCAGTCACCAGGAGGAGTCAACAGCATGCATGACGAGTCATTCGGAGACTCCTCCGGCAGCTGGCCTCGCACTCCGGCCAGTCCTGTAAGTATCACAGCTTGGCTTTGTGGTTCAGTTATAACTGGGCCATTTGCAGGTGTACAACAGCCACATTCCTAGCCAGCAGCAGCCGCCGCCACAGGAGCCGTACCGAGCCAAGGTTAACCCCCCAAACATGTTTTTTTATTAGCAAGGGTTGTGTTTTGTGACACATTCCTTGCCTGCTTAACCGCTTAACTAAGATTTGTGCGTCTTGATTGATTCACGCTCCCCCCCCCCCCCCCCCCTATTTGGAAGAGTGGCTTCATTGGTGCTTCTGGATAACATTTTTCAAATAACTATGTAGAGAGAATAACTTCTTTTCTAAATGGGAAGGAGATGTTCCAATTCTACTTAACATTACTTCAGACTTTGAATCTATCACTCAAAAAGTTTTGATAGCACTTAACATGAAATGCCAACTAACTGGGAGCCACTTGATTCTACTTTATTTTTTATTTTTGCTCAAACAACACTTAAAACATTAGATCAAAACCCATAGCACTGTCTATCACAAAATCACCTGCCTGACATCAATCCTCAATTCATCATTTAACACCAACGCTTTTATGCTTTTAAGCTTCATTCCCTAAACCATCTTGGCTGGTGTGCTGACCGCTTGATTTGCATGGCTTTTTGTTATGTTTTGTTGTTGCCTGTCATGTTCCTGTTCCCGGCCCATAAGGAATGTTTGCCTTTATGATTTTGGTTGGCCAACCTCTTAAGCATAAACTAATGAGGTTGCTACTCATTCAGCCCACCAACAACAACAACATTCCTTCTGGTCCCGGGAACAGCAATGAACCATCTGGCGCGCCAGACAAGAGACTCACTCAGAGGCGTCGTTTGCAGAAACCTGACAGCATGAGCAAGCTGTACGAGATGGATGAAAATCCGGAGAGAAGACCCTGGTTGGACAAGCTACTCCAATTCATGGAAGAGAGAAATACGCCCATCAACGCATGCCCCACAATCTCCAAGAACACGTTAGACTTATTCCGGCTGTACTACATGGTCAAGGAGCGCAATGGTTTCATGGAGGTATTTGGATTACTTTTTAATTTTAACGTACTCAAAATGTTAATGCAAACTCTACCACAGGTGACAAAAGCAAAAACATGGAAAGATATTGCGATTCTGCTCAACGTAGGGTCTTCTTCTTCTGCTGCATACACCTTGAGGAAACACTACACAAAGCATTTGCTACCATTCGAGTGCCACTTCGATAGAGGCGGCATTGACCCACAGCCAATCATCAGTCAGGTGGAGGCGAGTACCAAGAAGAAGCCCAAGACTTCGTCTGTACCTTCACCAGGTAATAAAATTGTGGTTTAATGAGGCAGTTTTTAGTTAGTGCCTTACTTTTTAGGTTCAAGCAACTCGCAGGACTCTTTCCCTCCTCCAGGATCAGGGTCCGCCTCAATGGATGGCTATGGTGGTGCATACCCTGCTTACCCTCCCTCAGCAACGTCAAATCCTGCAGATTTCCCTTCCCAGCAGCAGCAGACTCCTCGCCCATCAAGCACAGGTAATTTGTCATGCCCTGGTGAGAGAGACTTGAGGCAGGTCCCCTTTGCAGGCGACAACGTGAGCGTGTCCAACCCATTCGACGACCCTCCTCCCAGACACCCTCATTCCTCCTCTAGTTACGGACCACCGCCACCACCTCCCAGAGGTACGCCATTTATTCGTGGTTGGTCGTCTCTGCCTTTCGTTTTGAGTTAATTTTCAGTTCGGGGTGCTCTGATCATCGTCGGTTAATTAAATTGAGCCGAACTGGTCCCCGTTTTTTCCACTTGTTTTTGAGTCTTTTTGTTGTTGCAAGCGTTTTTTAATCTCTACATGGGGGTCTATGTATTTTTTATGGAAGTTGTTGTCTTTTTATTGAGACAGGCAAGCACTTGCTGCTTGGACTGTTATTTTGAGGTTTTATTTTCAGTTTTTCTCAACGTGCTAAGGATGAAGCAGTTGAAAATTTGTTGATTAGGGACTTGTGTAAGAGGAGATGAGGTTTTTATACCTGTTCAAGTTGATCGTTTAATCTTTTCGTGAAATGACTGCCTCAATTTTTTCACTAATATATATTCGTTTTCAACTTTAGCCAATTTTCAGCTGGTTTTGACATGCATGATCATGCATTTGTATAATTAATATTTATCCAAACTTTTGTGAATAGGACCTATTACAATGCTTCTCCAAAATTTCAGGCTACCCACAGCAGCAGAGCCCTTACTATGACCAGCAACAATTCCAACGGCCACCCGACTTCAATCAGCCCCAGTTCCCAGCCGCCCAGTACCAGCCTCGTCCCATGTATCCTCCTTACGAGGCGGACAGGGCAGCTTACCAGCAGGACCCTTATAACCGATGGCCTGCTCCATCAAACTACCCTCCTCGTCCATATCCAGCTAGCCCCCAACAGCAGCCGCAGCCACCTTCTCAACCAGCCCCGCCTGCAGCACCCTCAACCTCTGCCCCTTCTCAGCCACCCACTCAGCAGCCTTCTCAACCTCAGGGCTACCAACAAGAGCCCTTCTATCGGCCCGACCAGCAGTTTCAGCAACAGTTCCCTCCAGGCTCCCCTGGAGCTCCCAACAAAGCTAACATGCCACCTCCCCAGCAGCCACGGCGCCACCCTGACTTCAACAAAGATCAGCAACCACAGCAACCTTATTTCGGTCACCAGCGACCCTACGGCTGGAGCGGAAACAACAATCAATTTCGGCCACCTGGCTCATTTAGTAGTCAACAGCCCCCAAACCAATGGAATCAGCAGCCACGAGGGCCTCAGTGGGACAGGTATCCGCCAACGTCGCAGGGATTTCAGCAACCTCCACAGGTATATTCTTAAATTATTTTTTTTTCTCTACCAGGTGCTAATTAATTTCAATATTTGCAGGGTCAGCAATGGATGCAGGGATCTAATATGCAAATGCGCCCCCAAAGGCCGTTCCGGCCAGACCAGAAACCCTACCCCATCATGGGCAAGACGATGCCCCCATTTCCGCCTCAACACAAGCGGGAACACACCTTTCCCCCGGATTCAATTGAAGCAGCTCTTCCAGTGCTTTACAAAAGGCGTCGAATGGGAAAAGTTGACGTTGCTCCTGTGGACGCTTGGCGGTTGATGATGAGTTTGAGATCGGGACTCTTGGCTGAGAGCTGTTGGGCTCTCGATGTGTTGAATGTGCTACTGTTTGATGATCAGTCAGTGGCTTACTTTGGACTGGCGCATTTGCCTGGTTTGTTGGATGTGCTTCTGGAGCATTTGCGGAAAAGTCTGGCTGACATGTTTGACGAAAGTGATGACGACGCCAATCATAATAAAAAATGGTGAGTCTCAATCAAACCTAATTTGTATACCCCATGCTCATCAATTATTGCATTACAGGTATGAGGCAGCAACACATGAAACTAAGGATGTTGATCTGGGATGTGCACGCCCTGTTGATCTTAATGAACGAGTCCGGGTGCTCAACGGACGTGATGACTTTTCGTTAGTCACTCGCAAAGGCGAGAAAGTTAGCGTGATTCCGCGTGACTCGGATCCTTTTATTGACGACTCGAGACGCGCGTGGGATGACGAGGAGGCCACCGAAGAAGCCCTTCTTCGAGCACCCCCTGGCACAGGGACTGTGGCTGGTGATGGTGGGGATGGGATGCGTTACATCATGGGCTGCTTCCGTGCCGAGTTTGGCAATGTACCCTTTGTTCGCCTCATGCCTGGTGAGCCCAAAGAACCTCAACCGGAAGAAGAGACTCTTCCGACGACAATAGAAGTCAAAAAGGAGGAGGAAGAAGAGGTATTATGAATCAACTTTTTCTCTCTTCAATCAAATTCAGAAAAATATAATTTGTAATTGGGAAGAGCTCTCAATTTAGCTTTTACACCTAAAATTTCTTTAAAGTAAAGTTTCTAATTGATTTTGTTTGTCTACAGGAGGAGACTGAGCCAATTTCATCACCACCGCCAGAAACTTCTTTGCAACTCGAGGTCCGAGACCCAGCCGGTTCACTAAAGCGGAAGCGTGTAGAAGATTACGAGGATGAAGCGTACACTCGTGATGAAGCTTCATTGTGCCTGGTCAGCGAGAGTCAGGAGGCGATCAGTCGGCGTTGTCTTTGTGTGCTGAATGTGCTGCGCTCGCTCAGTTTCATTCCTGGCAATGAATTGGAGCTGGCTCGCAGCACCGCCTTCCTTCAGCTATTGGGCAAACTGGTGGCGTTGCACCATGAACACCCGCCTCGACCGCCTAGGGTGCGTGCCAATTACGATCGGGACGATTCAGACGCTGAGGGTAGTGCTGAGGCGTCCTGTTCTTCACTGGCTGGTGACTCTGAGTGGTGGTGGGACCAGCTGCACGTGATACGCGAGTCTGTGCTGGTCATGCTTGCCAACATAGCCGGACAGCTAGACCTGGGCCAGCATGCCGAAGAAGTGTCCAGACCGATCCTCGACGGGTTGCTCCACTGGGCAGTATGTCCTGCTGCGTACGGCCAAGACGCCTTTCCGGTGTCTCAGCTGTCACCCCAGCGACTGGCCCTTGAAGCCTTGTGCAAGTTGTGCGTTACGGATTCCAATGTCGATCTGCTGCTTGCCACGCCACCACACTCAAGACTGGAGAGGCTGTGTGCTACACTCGCCAAAATGCTCTGCAGGTAAATACATCCTTCGATAAATTACATTTTGATTTATTTTAGCAATAGAATTATCCATTTTATGCAGTAATAGTTTTCTTTAAAATTGTATATTAAGCTTACATACATAGACGTCTTATTTATTTCATATAAAAAATTTAATAAATACATCATTAAATTATAAGAAAATCTAAATTTTGTGTTCTCAGATCTGAAGAGCAGTCCATGCGTGAGTTTGCGGTCAACCTTCTTCACTCTCTGGCGGCCGCGGCCTCTTCGGCGGCCCGCATCGTCGCGACACAAGCACCCACTGTCTCCCTCTTACTAGGCTTCATTGAACAAGCAGAGCAGGCAGCACTGAGCGTGGCCAACCAGCACGGCATCCAAGCCCTGCGCGACAACCCTGAGGCCATGGGCACCAGCCTGGACATGCTGAGGCGCGCAGCGGCAACATTACTCCACCTTTCTCGGCACCGCGCCAACCGACCCCTCTTTGTGCAACAAGAGCAGCGGCTTCTGGCGCTGGTCATGTCGCAAATCCTCGACCAGCACGTGGCCGCTATATTGGCCAGGGTGTTATACCAGTGCTCGCGACCGGCAGAGTGCTCGTAGTGACTCATATTGGTGTCATCCCCAGTGTACGTAAACAGACGAACAAATGCACCGGGCGGATGAGGAAGACGCGAAATGAAATTATGATACGATTAATTAATTACACACACACTCTCAACACACAGACTTGCGAAACAAACCGAGTGCTTATTATTGATGCAAACAAACCCTGAGAGATGTTGTTTGGCGTCGGTTGTTTTCTGCTTTTGTGTTGTTGTACCTCTTTTTGTTCGGAGCTGCTGCTGCGCTTAATGGAGGCAAGATGGATGAACGGAGCGAGCAAGAGGGTGGATGTGATGGATGAGATTATAGAACGAGTTCGAGTTTGATTGTTTTTCGCGGATGAGTAAGTTATTTAGGATTCTCATTTCAAGTCTGCGATCTTGGCGTGGCTTGTGAAGGCATTTTCCCAATAAATGAAGCGAATTTGTTAAAGAGCTCTTTTGATTTAACTTGATCAGTCGGGTGAGATAGAGTGTATTTTACACAAAACCATGTGATAATTTAAAAAAAATATTTTCAATTTTGAAATCAAAAGTCAGAAATTAAGAAAACGTTATTTATTTGCGAAGTCAAAAAAACAAACACATAAATTAAAGCATTTGGAATGATCAGTAATAAAAGCTTTATGCAAATAAAATGTAGATAGGGAGACATTATTTTGGTCAGTGCTGGCACGCAAATGCCTCGTAAACGTTGGCAGCCAAACTTTTGAGTTTCTCATCTGTGACAAGGACTGACAGGAAGGTGATGTGACCATTAGGTCGTTGGGACAACTTGTTTAGCACAGGGATAATTTTTGCCAATGGCACTGCAGCTTGTTGCCCTGTGTAACTGCTGGCGACTTGGTCCACTGTGAAAGCAAGGCCTCTGCTGACACACGAGGACGTCACACCCCAAACTTCAGTCGACCGCAAAACTTCGGCTGCTTCCTGATGCAAGGACACAACCTCAGCACTCTCATCAGTGACATCAGCACTGGCTGCAAGGGAAGGGAGGTCGTGGAGAGGGTCAGCCTCTGCCAAGATGTTCTGCACGGACCACAAAACCTTGGGGGGAAAATTATAATTTCACAAATTTAAATTTTAAATGGTTAAAATAAATATACTTGTTCCAATTTCTCCAAGGAAAGTTTGTGGCCAAGACCAAGACATGCGACATCCTCGCTTTTTTTCACAGCATCATAGACAGCACTGCAAACAGCAGCCACCCCTATCGAGGCAAAATGCCGGCATGGCTGCAAGTGAGACTCTCCAATCGAGGCTCCTTGAGCCAAGTGACCAGCAACAGCCGCCAAATGCACTCTCATCAGCACAGTGAGGATGGACTCGCAGTAAACCAAAGCCACTGCTCGACTCACCACCAAAATCTGCAAAATTTATTATATAATTTCCATGTACATTTTTTTAGAATTATTTTTTATTACTTTCAGTTCTGTCCAAGCCTCTCGCCACTCTGGCCCTTTCTTGTCTCTATTGGCGTCCAGTTTTGCTATCACTGGATCTGTGTCTAGACATTGGCAAATTTTCTGGGCGATTGACATGCCTAGGGCTTCTATGGCACCATCTGCTGTTCGCATGGTGGCCTCGAAGTGGGCTTGTCTCCGGGCTGCCTCAATCATCCTCTCGCTTTCTTTCTGTTGCCACTCGACTAGACGGTGCTTGGCGTACTTCCAGGCCAACGTGCCGGCGGCCACCAGAGCTACTGTGGCAATTTTCTTTGGGTGCCGCGAAACAAAGTTCCGGATGCGTCGAAACATGATGAGCAAAAGTTGCTAAGTCACTTCGCAACAACTTGGGCTCTCTAAGGAAGATAAAAAATTATTGAAAGTTGAAGAGAAACTTAAATGGTTTTTCGCTTTACCATATGAGGGAATTGAAAGGATTCAAGGCCATAGCAGTATTGTAAGCACGTCTACCGGGCTTATCTTCAGCAGCATTTAAGGTGGATGACCTTTGGCAGGAGTGATAATGTTTTTTTGGAGATGGAGTTTTCCTGTGGCTTCAGCGCTCGCTTGAGGTTTGTTTTTGTCTATTGCTGCGCTCCTGGCCATTGAAAAGGGTTACCAATACTACAAAACCTTCGAAGAGAATTTTAAAAAAAATGCAGCAAAATGAAAAACGAAATCATTGAATGGAACCAATTTTTATGAAATTATCATCTTTACTGAAATTTTAAATGCTTGCGAGAAATATTTAGCGAAACAAAGTATAACAGTCAACGCGATAATTTTGTTAAGTTGATTAGCCTACCTCCTACACCTCTCAAGCTACATAAAAGATAAGCGGCAAGACAATAATAGAGCCAGTGAAAAATAATTTTTTCATCACACATCGTGTATATTTATCTGTTTCTTTTTTAAAACTTTTGAATTAATCCGACTGCCTTAATTTATATAAAAAATCGAATCTTCCGACTTTAAGAAAAATAGTTCGTCAATAATATCAAATTGAATTAATATTATTACATATACGCTGTACGCCTTAAAAATGTCAACAAAACTGCCTCTCGTCACTAATCTAAGCAGCAGGGTTATTCGAATTTTGGGCTGTAATCCTGGCCCAATGACCCTGCAAGGGACCAACTCTTATCTAATAGGAACGGGAAAGGAGTAAGGCATTTAATATTAAAAATCAATATTGATCAATATAAATCATCTTTCAACACAACTTTCAGTCGGATCTTGCTGGACACAAGTGACGAGGACAAAACCGAGTATGTGGATGAACTGCGAAATATTTTACAGAAACTGGACGTACGTGTAGAAACCGTTCTTTTGAGTCACTGGCACCATGACCATGTCGGCTGCATCGAAGCAATTCAAAATGATCAAAACATTAAAGCTAACAGAGGTTTGTTTTTGTACAACTCACTTATTAATTAAAACTAAGGCTAAAATAAAATTAATAGGTTGCAGTTTTTATAAGATGCCAAGAACCGACGTGGATGAAGAGCAGGAGCTTTTTTCAGTCAAAATTTCTCCTCTAAAAGACGGACAGAAGTTCCTCACTGAAGGCGCAACTCTAAGGTTTAAGGATCAGAACTAAAATTTATATTTTCTAAAAAAACTAACAGGTATTTTTTCTAAAGAGCGGTTTTTACTCCTGGCCACACAACAGATCACACCGCCTTTTTGTTGGAAGAAGAAAATGCAATTTTCACTGCCGACTGTGTGCTTGGAGAAGGCACAACTGTGCTTGAAAAATTAGCAGATTACATGAAGTCTTTGTATATTCTTAAGGACCTGAAAGCAGAAGTTCTTTATCCAGGTCACGGCCCGCACAATAATGTAAAAAGGGCATCATTAATATTTATTGAAAAGTTGATCATTTTTAATACCTACAGGACCCTGAAGCACTTATTGGCAAATATATTTCCCACAGAGAAGGCAGAGAAAAGCAAATTATTGAAAGTTTGCAACGCTCGGACTTAACGATTGAAGAAATCGTCCGAACTGTTTATGCCGTAAGAATTAAATATAGGAATTAACAAATTTTTGCAAATGTAATTTAAATTGTTAGGGTCTGCCTGAAAATCTAATTTTGGCTGCCACTCAAAATGTACACCAGCATTTAGAGAAGCTAATGGAGGAAGGGCTTGTCGTGGAAGTTGGAGAGAAATATCACCTCAAACAAAACAACAAACTGTGATTACTTCGTCATGCAAAATTATGGTATCAGTTATGTACTTTATCCTTTATTTTCAAAAATTAAGACAAATTATTATGCATATTTTACTTGTAATGCATGGGGTAATGGTTTTGTAAAAATAAAAACTTTGTGATATAAACCAGAAGGAGAAATCAATACACTTATCTTGGATTTCCATCTTGCTCAGTATCCTTGAAGCTCACTTTTTTTCCTTTGAAATAGAACATCGTAGGCGAGAAAGCAAAATGATTGCTTTTTTGAGCAGAGTCCAACTTCGGGAGAGGAGACTTGAGGTCTGAAGCCACTTCTTGTTCATCAGGAGATTCAGCAGGGGTATTCAACAATGGAGTGCTTCCACTTCTGTGGTCTTGAAAAGCCTCCTAAAAATTAAATATTTGAAGTTTTTTATCAACAGAAATTTACCAACACATGATACCTCCAAAACAGCCAGGCCTTTTTCAGAGAGGTTTTCCTCGTCCTCTGCTTGCTTCAGTAAATTCCCCATGGCCTTGGCAGCTTCCTCCCACACGTCTCCAGCTCTGGCTTCTTTGACAAAAGTTGAGACCACCTTTCTTCCGACTGTCATCCAGTTCCTCGTTGGCACGAAGGCCTTCGCGTCTGGTCTCAATCCAGGGTCGATCTTGAAGTCAATCACGTTTTGGCCTTCCAGGTAGATCGAGACCTCGTGTGCTCTGTCCCCTGAACCAAGGCCATCCACTTCAACCACCAGCCCACTCTTCAGCAGCTGCTTGATCTTGGGCCTTGCTTCTGGAGGAGGCACTGGCTTCAGGAAACACAATCTTGCAGCTTCAGGGCGTTGATGCCACTTGGGGAACAGATTTTTCAAATTGCTTGCCTGGCCATACACACCGTGGTCAAGGAAAAAGACGTGGCAAACTGCGCCGTCGATGGCATTGACCCTGGCACGGCACCAGTCGCCGACGTCATTTTGGGCAGCATACAAAGAGCCCTCCTGCACAACATTAACTGGAGAACCCAAGCCGAGCTGAGACTCCATGGCTGACAGATCGTCCTCAACAGGCCTCAGGTAGAGCTCACAGTGAGATTCGTAGTGAGCAACCACAGCCTGGCGCCGAGTGGAGCGGAACTCGGCCAGGCCATCTTTCACTCGGACTTTGATCCAGGTCCCTTCTTTCAATGCGTCCGATGGTTGGTCTTCTCGGAGCGCACACTTGATGGCAAATGGCTCCATCTCCAGGTGCGAATCATTAAGGGTCTTGAACTTGATGATTTGAGAGACCTTGCCAGTGTCAAGGAAGAAGCCAGTTGGAGGGCGGAGTGAGATGATTTGAGCACGACCCCATAAGCCATCATCTTCGCTCAAAGCAGCACAGAGCTCATCAATGGCTAGTTCTTGTGAAGGGAAATCAGGCTGGCAGGATAATTCTCTGGAAAGTTTGGGGACGGCCTCCATATCAGACAAGAGGTAGATTTCCTTAGGCGATTTGACGGCCGAGATGAAAAACTTTTGGAAGTCCATATCTGGTATTTCTCGCCTGTTTTTTTCATCACTATGTTCGACATCCACCTGTGCAGCATTTTCCATTAGCTTGGGAATTTCTTGCTCAGGACTACTGACAGGCTCTTTATGGCCATTTTGAGATTCTACCTTTTTGAGAACTTCGTCTTCTGCAGCTTCCTCCTTGACTGATAGTTTAATTTCTGTCTTTTCTTCGGCATCGTCCAAAGGAACTTCATCAACTGTCCCTGGGACCTCTGCTCTGTCCGCATCTCCTCTCGTATTGCTCTCTTGCTGTCCGTCTTTCACACTGGACTCTATTTCCGTTTTCTCGTCTGCTTCAACCTCACATTTTTGGGAGATCAGAATATCAGGTTCAGAAATTTTCTGCACATTTTCAGGTTCCTCTAGCAGCTCAGTTTTAAAACCTTCCACACTTTCAGGATCTTCATTTTCTGGCTTTTTAGGTTCAACATCTTTCATATTTAGGCCTGAGTGCACTGCGCCTCCAGCTTCTGTTATAGTCTTTACTTGGTCCTCACCACCTATCGAGCCTTCTGTTGGTGGGGTCTTGTCATGAGCAATTTCTTGGCTAAGGGTTTCTTGCAGTCCTTGCAAATTTTCGTCAGTAACACTTTCCTCAAACCCCGGATCATCAGCAGTGCTTTTAAGCAGCTCCAATTCAGTTTCCAACTGAGCAACCTCAAGGACATCCTTTCCATTTTTAAAAAGGACCACTTCATTTTCAGACACATTCACTGCATCAAACTCCTCATCATTCAGCAGCAAATTTTCAAGGGCGATCTCAACCTCAGGAAGCAGGTTGTTGGCGCCCCTCATGCAGAAGCACTTGGCTAAGGGTGACACAAGCTCTACGTCAGGCGAAAGCTTCCACAGCTTGTGCCGAATATCCTCTTCATTTCCATAGTCAATGAAAACAACCTTGTTGTTTGGTAAAACTCGAGCTCTATAGATACTGTCACCAAAGGGTGCTGCACAAATCTGTCCAACTGAAAATGGGCCTTTCAGCAATGTTTTCGGTTCGACAATTAGCCTGTCCTCCATCCAATGAAGCTTGTCAATGTCTTCAACCAGGTAGACGCACTTGGAACTTGCAAAGTGGCTGACGACAACTTTTCTCGATGTAAACTGCATGCAGTTAATGTTTTGTTTCTTCATATCCACGTATGAATCACGAGTGTCATTTAAAATTTGGGGATGGAGGAAAAGAATGCCATTGGACAACCCAATCTCCCTGCAGAAGAACTTTTTGGGCTGTCCTAGACAAATGAGACGCTCCAGCTGCTTTGCATCTTCAACATCAAAATCTACGTTCCCTTTTTTGGGAATGACGGGGAAGCAGGCTCGAATAGTTTGTGCAGGGATTGCCATCACACTGTCTGGTAATTTTCTGTTAGGAAATCTCCCTTGAACAGAGATGCCAAAGTCAATCATCAGATAAGTTCCATCTGAAAGCCTTTTGGCTCTATGCCAAGTAGGTGCAGTTCCCTCAAAGGCGTATCTGTAAAAGGAAAGTAAAATTAAATTTATGACTTGACTCCTCAAGATAACTACTCACTCAATTGCACACATATCACCAGTGTGACAAGCTTCAGGAGCATGCAAGTCTGTGGGAGTAATTTTCTGACTGATTTTTCTGATGGTCATCACATTGTCTTCATTGTGAACATTCACGAATGGCAGATTGCTTAGGTTAGACATGAAGTAATGCTTCAGGTTGACGTTTTGAACCGGAAGGGATTCTAAATGAAACAGATTTTTGTGAGTTGAGCAACAAGTCTTAAGTTTTATTTGTATCTGCGGCAAGGAACATATGTAAAATTACCTTCCATCCCGATTCGCTTTGCTACCCCTTCAATTTCAAGCAGATCACGAAAGTCCACATCCTGCCACTTCAATTTCACCATGGCTAGCCCATCATTGTCTCTGCTACGAATGAAATATTCCAGGTCTGTCTTCTTAAACAATTTGTCAATTGCAGGACACTGGCCTGCTTTGGGCCAATCTTCATTTGGGAATGGCTTGAGGTCGTAGAGCGAGCAGTGGAGAGCATGCTTTTCAATGGCCCTCAACTGATCAGGCAGAGGATGCAAGGATTCAATGGGGCTAACCTAATAGAATAATATAATGTTTTTCTCATGCATATAACAGAAAAAAAGAGCCTAAAACTTACTATGAATTGTCCGTAGTCAACCAGAAAGACACGAGCCTTGGAGTCTTTTATGTCTGAAACTTCTCCTCTAGCAAAGTCTTTTCCGCCAATGGGAGCCAAAACTAAACTACCTATCTGCACGAATTTCTTTGTCAACGTACATCCTTTGAAGCACAAGCTTAATTGTTTGGTCAAAATGGCCAGTCTATTCTGACTATTGAAATAGAACGATTGTTAATATAATTCTCCTAAATGGAGTATTTAAGAGTCGACTTACAAGTCTTGGGGCTGGATGAAGAAGTTGCTGGGAGAGGTGAACCAAGAGACAACAGCTCGCTGCCTCTCAAAGGGCTTCATTTCAGGGATGTAGGCAAGTGGCTGCAGACTTTCCTTTGAAGCGCCAAGTGCCAGATTGATGTTTTTATCATTTTTGGTAATGATAACACTGAAAGTGTCATTCCAAATTCCTACTACCTCTACCTAAGATTCAAAAGAGTTGTGGATCTTAAATTCTGATATGATTTTATGTAAAAAAGGACTTGCCATCATGACACCCTCGCAGATGATGTCATTCAGTTTGTCAGTTTCTCTTTCTGTCCAATACGTCTTCATTCCGACGCCTTTCAAGCTGCAGAGAACAGCATGTGCTTGCATTTCAATAAGTTGCATATTAATGCCACGAACTCCGTGAGCAATGGAGACTGTAGTTATATTGCCGTAATCAACAAAGAACACATCTGCAGAGTCACCAGAAACATGCAGTACCTAGGTCAAAATAAGTTAACAATTTCATATACTCATGTTTAAAATGAAATTTCCTCAATAAAGCTACTTACTTTGGCTCTGTACCAGGCGCCATCAAACTTTGCCAGGCAGGGATCGCCACTTTTAATGGACCGCAAACAAGGCATTTCGTCAGGCTTAAATTTTTCAATCAATGCCATCAGCTCATCAAGTTGCTTAGAGAAGCAGGCTGGTTGCACATAGAATCTTGAGGGGTTGATCATCCAAGAGAGCATGGCATTGAACTTACTGGATGGATGAACAATCATGTCAGTGTACCTAGCTGCAAAATCACATCAATTTTAAAATTTAAATCAAATATGCTTAGCATAAAAAAATACCTGGCTCAGAAAAGGACAAATCCTCAATTTGACTCTTTTTTGCAGGAGTGTGCATATCATTCCCATGATCGAAGTTCATTTGTGAGCTGAGGATATGAATATAGTTTAATTATTTTATGTCTGCGTGGTTGGTAAATACCAGGTGGCCCATTAGTAATCCGTGGTTTTTAAACACTCGCCATGGACTAACGGCTGGATGAAAATTGATTTTCTCGGCAGATTCGGAAAGCCCAACTACAAAAGATTTCAGCTGGCAGACTGAGAACCTTGGGAAATTGGAAAATACGCAGGAAAAAGTAAAAAAAATGCCAAGGTGCCTAATGTGAGCTCCTATGTAGTGGATAAAGAGGTGTTGTAGAAGTGTGGGAAAATGTTTGAAGGGGTGATCGACTCTCCTTAACATTGTGACGTGGCAGGATTTTTGAAATTTTACTTCTTCTTAATGTGACCCTTAATCTCTAAATGTTAAATTTTTTGCAATTTTTATTTGATTTTTAAATTGGTCAGTTTTCAATTAAGGAAAAAATAAGAAAACAAATTTTTTCAAAAATCCGGCCTTGTCACAGCGGTGTTCAACGAGGTCGATTATGCCTTAAACCATGATTCACACTTCTACACCTCATTTTCTACAAGGTGAAAATTTGTAAAAAAAAAAAAAAAAAAAAAAAAAAAAAAAAAAAAACCGAAGGATCCAATTGTCCTTATCAGGTGGACATAACGACTAAAAAATTAATTGGATTTTTTTGGTCCCTATTCTCTAATTAGAACTTATAAAAAGGGATTTCAGAATTAATTTTAAATTAACTAAAATTTAATTTTGAAAAACGACAAGGCTAAAAAGTGAAAAATATAATCCAAATTACTATAGGCTTTTTTTAGTTTTTCTGCAAAATCTTTTAGATTTTCAAAATTTCCAAGAGGTAATTCTCATTCTTCATCCAAAATCTTGTGAAATGGGGCTTATCGAATCTACCGAGAAAATCAATTTTCGTCCAGCCGTTCGTTCATGACTAGCGTTTAAAAACCACGGATTACTTGTGGGCCACCCTGTAGTATAAAAACCTGTATGAGCTCATTGTCTCGGAACTTCGCCTTTTCACTGTTTCTCCTGCACTGAGATGTAGGGGTTCCTCCTTCAATGAAGCTACAAAAACCAAAATAAGCATTTAAGAAATATTATTCATAATGTATTTACCAGAAGTATGGGAAACATTGCTGGTAGATGTTACGTTGAATTGGTCATCACTGTAGTTTGACATTACTGAAATTGCTCTGTGGGGCTCAATGTTGGAAGGCATTGGAGAACGCACAATGGGCAAGTATTTTTCAGTGGTTTCTGGTGGTTGCTCAAAAGGACCAAGTTCATGGCAAATTGACGATGCCACTGACACAGACGCCACACTGCTCAATGAGTTTCGACGAATGAATGGCGGCTGTTGCAAAGGGTGTTGAGAAGCCAAGATGTCTGATGGAGGGTGAGTCAGAGTATTAAGCAGGATGACCTTATATTGGCCACTCTCAAGAGACTCCACAACTTCCATGAAGTTGTGCTAAAAAAATTCATTTTATTTTCTATTGAATCTTCTTTTTAATAATTTACCTTAGTTCCAATCATGGCTTGCAATGCAGATGCATTTTTAAAATCAATGTCACATCCTGCATAAAAGCATTCAATGCCCTGAGCACTAAGGCCATCCACAAGGGTGGGGCACGCTGCTCGAAGCTCGAATACTTCAGCCTCGACGCCATCATCAACAAACAACACCTCAGTGGAGCTGGTTTTCTTCTTGAGCACAACTGCTCTTTTCCACAACCCACTTTGACATTTTGCAAAAACTGGGTCTCCAATGAAAAATTGGTGGCTCACAGCACTCCTCAACTCACAATGCTTGTTGATCTAGTGAAAAGAAGTATTTTTTAAAAGCTCAAATTTGACAAATTTTAAAATAAAACTCATACCCTTTCATTTAAATCCACCAACTCCTGTTTTCTAATAGCCAGTTGAATGTAGAATGACCAAGCTTCGTTTCTCGGCTTGATTCTTGTTAGTCTGACTAAGTATTTGTTGCCCACACATAAGGTTTCACGCTTGTAGGCTTTGCAAATAACCATTTCCGTCATCAAGTCAAATACACTTTCACCATCAACAGTCAGTTTGCATTTTTGTAAAGTATCTCTATCTCCTTCAAAAGCAATCAATTCAAGATCATTCCCAAGGACAACTTTCTTGAAGGCTTCGACGCCAGCTTCAGTGAATTGATCGGCATCAACTAGGCTCACAGGTGAAACCTGAGGTGGAATCTTCTTCAATATTTCAGGCATTTCTCTCAACGACCTCATGTCCACTTCAACCTAGGTTATTGATATTAATCCACAAAATAACTAGATTGTATATTTCTCTTACCTCGGACATGTCCACATCCAAGAGTACAACATTGGCTGTTAGTCCGTCACAGCTTACAACCAAAGCCCTTGCAACATTGGTAGAGTCTCCCAATTGTATCATGCAAGCATCGTCAGCTTTGGGAATCAACTCCAGTGGCCGAGTCACCTCAAACATTCTTCCAATGATATTGGCAAGGCTTTTTTGCTGTTCCAGCTGAACTAAGAACTGCTTTGGACCTTTCGTTACAGAAACGACCTTGGCAGCTAGGAGGACATTGTTAGGTAGCATCCTAGTTGCTGTAAGCACGTCTGGCCCTAAATTTTTGGAGCTTATGTCCACCACTCCATGCTGTCTTAGGTGGGAAATGATTCCATCGTAGACGGCTTCCAGTTTGTAATATTCAATGAATTCCAGAGGGTCCACCACAGTTCCGTGTCCCAAGTGCTCCAGCATTTCTTCCAGTGGGCCACTTATAATGCGCAGATTGACCAAAAGAGAACGTTTAACTTTTCTCTCAGAGGCAATTTCTGCATCCTGTTTTAATCGGAAAAAGATTATAACCAATTTCTGAACATTTTCAATAATTTAAAATATAAATTACCATTCCTTGGACAGCTTCTTCAATTTGCGTTTTGCCACAGTTTGCAAAAAAGTTTTGCAGGCAGCACCAGAAGGTGATTTGAGGCATTTGCATCTCAGCAAGCCCAACTCTAATCTGCTTCAGAGGCACAATCTTCTGAACACCGATGTCGAACAGATTCACAACGCTGTTTTTGCCATAAGTGCCCCTCATCCACCTGTCATCCGTAAAGACTGCCACCGTTTTGTCAATAATTTCCGTTTCATACAACGGAGCTGGCAAGGTTTCGAGGCGGCTTGCGAGCCTCGACATCACAGAGTCCACAGCTTGCAGATCCTTTTTTCGGAAGCAGAGGAGCCGAAGGAGGATGCCTTGTCGCTCAGCCCTCACAATTTGAATTAAATTTTCTGCAATATAAATTGAAATTGGCAGTTAATTTTTTTAATACTATTTAGTTTTTACAAAATCCCAAAATAAATTTTTTGAAAACCTTAAAAATCGTAATAAGATTTTCATGACTTTTTCTAGTCATACTTACCATTGGCCATGTTCGATGATTTTTGTTCAGTTTGTTAAATCTATAAATTCTGGTTATGGAATTTACAACGAGAATATTCGCTCATCCTGCACCTGTCTCAATCTGTAAAAATAAAATGAATAAAACTGAATTCGCAGTATATAACTACTCCTAAAATGTTATGTATTATGTGTGTATTACATAAAACTAATTACACACTATCATTATCTACAAATATGTGCATTCAGAGTCAGAGCAAACTTTATAGGTGCAATTTCTTGATACAAAATCTTTTGCAAAATTCAATTATCCATACAAAATGCGCAGAGTCAAGGACATTCAGAATTAATTTTGCAGTGAAAAATCACGGCGTTTGCAGTGGCAAAACAAATCTGCTGTAACTTGTACGCAATTAACGAAAAAAACGAGATAATGTACGTGAATTATGGAAAATTAGTGATGCAATTTTGAAATCACGCCGTTTGCTACCTCGTACCATCCATATTTTCTGCCGACTGAGAAGAGAATGATTGAAAATTGAAAGATTTATCTAGCAGGCACACGCGCGGTGATGAGAAGCGTTACCAAAGATGGAGGTGCAGGAGTAAGAAAAGCGAGCGAAAATTGGATCCACACAGGGTCCGACAAACTTTTTGATGAGAAATGAGCGAAAACTGCACAGACCGGCTCTTACTTGTCCAAGTATGCACAGCCACCGCTCCTATTTCGCAGTTTTGTCGCTTGCGCTTGCAGCAGGGTTTGTATGGAGAGAGGAGAGGCAAAAATATGCTTGAATTCTGCTTTGTTCCGATTTGTCTATGTACTGCATACAGTACATAAGTAAAGTACATAAAGTGAGAAGAGAGACGAGCAGATCGGATCGGAATGTGTAAAAATTATGACTTGTAGCAAGTAAACACGAAAGTGGAAGAAAATGCACGAAAAAAATTGCAGGAGAAAAATTTTAACACCTTACATGCATCACACAAAAACTCGTAAAGTTTGGAGGATGGAAATCATGGAAGAAAAATGCGGGAAAATGGAAGAAGGAGAACCAGACCGGACTTACCACACTCCTTTGAACAGTCTGAACTAGTCTGAATATCCGATGAACGCCGAAGCCGAACGTGGCCGAACCGGCGGTGGAGAAAAATTGTGCGCTTGCAGAGGGGTGGGGGTGGGGTGACTGGGGCAGGAGAAGGCAAAGAAATAGAGAGACAAAGGAAAAAATTGTGAAAAACGTCGAAAAACGTATCCATAGTCCAGTCACAAGGCTGAAGTTGGAAGAAGAGAGAAACTGGATTAGTGCGCATACAATCAACGGCTTTGCTATTTTTTCTAAATAGAAGAGAATGAAAACTGTGACATGCAATGCGCGTGAATTCCAATTTTTTTAATCGTAGGTATAAATTAAATTTGTCGCGGCACGCCGTGTTCACTTTTAAAAAGTAAAAAAATAAAAATTTTGAAACCGCGGCTGATCATATTTTAATCAAATTTGAACCGTAGCGATAAAATTCAATAGAATTGAAATTAATTAAATTTACAATCAATTGGCCATCTCAAGAAAATTCAGGTTTATGTGAATAATTATATTTGGGATTTGAAAAATTGTAGAGAAATAAAAAAATCTGACACTATGAAACCTATGAAATTTTAGAAAGAAAAATTTAATTGCGGCTAATTCAATTTAACAAATTGCTTTATAAATGCGCTACGCGTAAAAGTTTGTGGACAACTTGAAATTTAAAATTAGAAAAAAATTTAATCGTATTTCATTGTTGAACATTACAGTGATTAATTTTCAGCCGAAATTACATTTTGCACGCGCGCAAAAGTCTATCCCTTGCCGATTCTCACCTGTCGGTAGGCAACCCGCATTCGACGGTGCAATTATAATGATAATGTGACTTTCAATTTTATACTCATGGCCCATCATTATTTTTTTTTACATGTAATAATATATAATATTTTGTCCGCCCACCCATTTATTCAAGAATAATTATATTTTTGCATCAAAATGTCAGTTGGGCAATTTGGCACTTCAGAAATTTGACGAATGGCGAAATTGCGCGCATGAGCAGCTTATTAAAAATTTTATTTTTCAAAGTTTGTCGTGCTGTGGGGATGGGGACAAACATCTATTTTTATGTATTTTTTGTGCTCGTACATAATTTGGTGCTTCAATCTTTCATCAGAGTGGACATATTAGTGATTCCGTTTATTTTTCCACTACAGTCACTACACAACGTGTTCTTGAGTGGGACTGGATAAGAGCAGCACTTGATTGAACAATGGGTGAGTACAAAAATTTAATAATTTACACATTTTTTATTTTCATCAAACATTTATTTCAACAAAATAGTAGCAATATTCATAAAAACTAACTCTTTACGTATGACATCAAAATTTCATCACTTTTGAACATTTTGCCACTTGAAATATTTCTCGGTATTTTCGCAAATCTGAGAATTAGCAATAATTTTATAGATAACACATTTTTCTGAAAGCGTAGAAATCCATAATAACACGCACCGACATCTCAACGCGATCTGGCAAAAGCGTCAATGAGATAAAACAATACTGCCGTTTGATCGCCTTTGCGATAGAACGTGCGGAGTGGGACCTAATTAAGGACTCCTTATTGACATAATCAAATCAAAGTCTTTACAACAATGGTTATTAAAATTTCCAATTGTCTTACAACATTCGCAAAAATCTGTTTATATTGTTGTAAGGACTTGATTTGACTGATGTCAATATAAGAAGTCCTTAAACTGTGCGAATTCCTATCATTCGCGTTTGCCAACAACTTCCCCGACCAATATTCTCTCTAATAGTGTACGTCACTGTAAGGTTGCACACTTATTGATTTGATTGTAATTTCAAGGGCTATAGAAATGATCAAAAATCACACATAGATAATTAACTTCAAGTACTCTCACATACTTCGAACCTCGACTGCTCTCGAATGATTTTTGATTGAGTATGCGTACCAGCAGTGCTTTTAATCAACAAATATCTTGCCCGTTTCTATGCAAAAATATCTATTGTGTACTTCAACCAAGTACGTACTTGAAAAGGAGATATAAAAAAACTTATTAGACTTTTTCATTAAAATGAAAAAGTTAATGTATTTTAAGGACTTGACATTGACGCATAGTCAAATCAAGTCTGTACAACAATAAGGGTTAAAATTTCCAATTACATTATTGTCAAAAATTGCTCCGATTGTTGTAAAGACTTGATTTCACAACGCCTATGGATATTATTCTAATATCCATAACAACGCCCAAAAAGGAGACCTTAAAAATGCATGAAAGATTTCACACAAAAAATATACACATATTAAGAAAAGATGAATAATTAAACGAACATTTAAAATAAAGAATAATTTTATAATTATTTCATGATATTGGTAGGTTGAAAATTGAAAATTAAACTAATTAGGCTGAATTAAAATTTATATTTAACAATAATTTTGATAAAAAAAATCTAATTAAAAAAGTCTCAAGTCTTCAAGTTTTATTTAAAATAATCTTCTCGGCACTGGTTAAAAGAAAACAATGTGCACTGGTCCAAAGTGTACCCTGCATCTGTCCAAATAAATGGTTGAATACGTCGTTTGAAGGATGTTGCGCCATTCCAGTTTTTGTCATCGCGATTGATAAGGTATTATTGCGATTGATAAACGGCTCATATAAAGCGTTCAAGCACTCAGTGGTTGGCAGTGATTTCCCTTTGTGATTTACCGCACTCACCATGAAAGGTACTATTCGGCGTAAATAATTATTTATCAAGTATGGCAATCAATCTAATTATTGCTTTCCAATTGCAGTCTATTTGGCAATTGCGTTGTGCTGTGCTTTTGTCGCCGCTGCGGCAGGTGCGGCTGCACCAGCTCGTTCCAATAAAATGGGTAAGTGTTTCAGCATCTAAATTTTTACAAATTCCTTTAATAATTTTTTTAACGAGAGGCTAATTAACTTGAAATTATCGGCATTTACTCAAGATAAATTTACTTAATTAGAGTGCATGTACGGTAAAGAAATAATAAAAAAGAGATTACTTACAATGAGTCCGTTGCTCTGCGTCAGACAAACTTATCTTATTTTTTTGCATTCCAAATTTCTCAATTTTTCACTTTAATTTTCTGACAAACTCTCTAAGAATTTGAGAGTTGCCTTAAAAACTTTGTTAATTTTTATCGACCAATTTAGCTCCTTTCTCCATCAAAATTTACTTTTCAAAATTTTATTAAAAATAAAAACTTCAGGTTATCAGTTAACTCGTGACCAACTTGGAGGTCCCGGAGGCGGCGGCGGTGGTGGCGCTGGAAACGAGAATGGTCCAGGCCAAAACGGAGGAAACGGAGGCGGCGTTGGAGGCGGAGAGGGCGGCCAAGGAGGCTGGGGCGGCCCTGTGAGCGAGGGCACCGACGCCGAGTGCGTTGAGATCGCCAGGCTGGGTTGTCCGGCTGTGGACGGACCCGTGCCAGTGCTGCTGATCAACCCCTCGGACTGCGGCTCCTTCTGCATGTGCGCCAACAGTGTGGGCAAATTCATGCCCTGCGCCGACGGTCTCCACTTCTCGCAAGCCCAGCAGGTGTGCACCTGGCCCTGGGAGGCCCAGTGCAGGGTCACCATGATCCCTCATCCCGAAGCATAAGAGTCCGCAATATTTTCTTCGTGCGCCCTAATTGAGTTTTTGCAACTTATTTGGCAATTAAAGCTCTCCGTGTTTTTGCATCCAATTCTGTAATTTATTTAACCTCTCATTGATAATAAACATGATCATAAAAATGCTAATTTATTGAAAATATATGGTAATAATTTTTAATTTTTTCTTCAATATGGTTAACCTTATTGAAAAATATGAACCTAGCATTTATCGGTAAAATCAAATTAAAAGTTAAGGCTAAAATTAATAATAATAGAAAACTTTCAGGTAATGAATTTAAATATATATTTTATTCAAAAATGTTCTCCATCAACAAATTTTCTTACAATGATGAATTCAAATCTTCTCCCGTGGGATGAATAATTATTTCGTGCACCTGAAAATAATTTAAATAAAGATAAACTCCAAATAATAATTAAAAAAAAAAATACTTGAACGTGAGGCGGAGTGCTCAAGGCGTAGATCAGTGCATCTGCAACATCTTTCGCTTCCAAGCAAGGAACGGAGTTGTACATTTGCTCGGCCACGTCAGGCGGTGCACCAGTAGCTACCATAATTCCAGTTCTCACCAGCCCAGGACTTATGCTCTGAAAATAATGATTTCAATTAAATTTTCAAGTAATTGAAAGTTTTTTATTATCATGCTCACTGTCACTCGTATTTTGCTCTTGAGCTCGACGAGCTCTCTTCTGAGACCCTCGGTTAAAACTGTGACAGCGTGTTTGCTTCCGCTGTATGGGTAAATTCCTCGCATTTGAATAATGGAATGGCCGGAGATGCTGAAAATCAAATTAAAGATTTTTTCAGTGATTTTTTGTCATTAAATTAAATTTTCTGTATAATTACGAGTGTTGCATTTATTTAGCCGAGTTAACATATTCTATAGCAACAGTTTAATTTTCCGCAGTTTTCTTCTTAATAAAAATTTAATCAAAACATGAATGGGATATAAAAAAAGAGTTATATGCAGTTATAAGTTTGAACCTGTTTATATGGATAACATGCCCATCGTCTACTCCCCTTGCTCGCATATCTTGCACGACCTCTCTCGTAAAAACGGCAAGGCCGATGACGTTTGTTTCATATATCTTGCGGATATTCTCTGTCCTGAATCCTGCAAAGTAATCAAAGACATTGTGTTTCACTGAATTGAAGGTTAAATCTGGTGGTAAAATACTGTGCAAAACGGCGGTCGGCGCCACCCCTGCATTGTTCACCAGCACATCCGCGCCGCCTAAATTTTCCCTCGTCCACTTGACCACATTTTTTATGTCTTCCTCCTTGGAAACGTCTCCTTTGATCGTGTGCAGTTTTCCCTTGGTCCCTTCCTTCTTTAACTCCTCTGCCAATTCCTAAAAAATTTTGAACATTAATTTTAATTAGAACGCTGCTCCATTTCCAAGAGGGATAAACAATTAAAAAAAAAAAATTGATTTAATCTTTTCTTTTTATCGCATTGTTTTTTAAATGTAATTTTTAATTAAACAAGGCCTTAAAAGTACAGCATCTACACTCCAGATCAATGTAAGATCTGTAGTTGCAGAGAGCGTTAAATTTATACATATATTTTTTTTTAGTATATCATAAAGGCGCCGCGCGGTTGTCAATCAATGTCAGTGCGTGTTGATAAACCAGAAAGTTTTTGCATGACGACCCTGCTCGTATATGTGTTATCGGGAAAAGGGTTATCTATTGATTTAGAGCGGCATTATAATTACCTGCACCCTGTCCTCTCTTCTGGCGACACCGACAACATTCAAGCCATGCTGAGTAAGCAACTTTGCGATCGCGGCACCGATCCCTGAGCTGGCGCCGGTAACGATAGCGGTTCTTCCTGCCCAGCGGTTCATTGCGCGGAAGTTTTAAAGACAAAATTAAAATATTTTACGCTCAAATCATAATCAACCGACTTCACCGAAAGGGAATAACAGAGGTGCTGCTGATTCCCCACTATCAAAAGTCATCGGAGACCTTGAGCCGTACGTACAAGATGTTCGTTATGGTTTGAGAATTTTTTATTGGTGGCGCTCGAAGCATTCCAAAATGTTAAGTAAATAAATTTTTCCATTAGAAACAATTTTATTGCATTACAAAATTCTTATAAACTGTACATACAATAATTGCATTAACAAATAAAATTTGAGACCTGAAAAACAGATTAAACTTATTTTTTAGAGAATGTTAATTTTTTTATGTGAATTTACATATAATTTTTTAATAAATTAAAATTGATCTAAAATTTCTTTGCCTCGTTATCTGCAGCATTAAAAACCAAAAATTCTTCGTATCCTAGGACCAAACAAATAACGTCCCTGTTTACTATGTACTTTGTAATCCCCTGCACACAAAAGTTGAAAGAAAAATAAAATTATGTCACGTAAAAAGCCGCATTTACAAGTAGAAAGATTTTTCATCGTTTCGAAAAATGGCAATTTTCACTTATTAAACAGCGAACGACGCAGCAAACGTCTTATTGTTGCTCTTTTTTCTCCTCATTATTAAGCATTTTAATCAAGTCTCATTAATTTTTATGAAATTCTGATTTGTGTGCCCCTCAATTAGGAACTTTTAAATTTATTTAAACCGGCAAAAAAGCCGCGTTAATAAATGGTAAGATTTTTCACCGTTTCAAAAAATAACAATTTTCACTCATTAACGTCTTATTGTTGCTTTTTTTCTTATCATAAAGTCAGCTTTTCCTTGATACTTTTAAATTCAGGTCAGCTGGAAAGGAATATAATTTAAATAAAATTGTTTGTTAGATTTTTCTCCACTTTCTATTCGCACTTTTTTCAAATAAATTTTTAATATTATTCAAATTAACTTTTAAGCAAATGATATTAAAATTTTTCTCCAGTGGGATGCATTGTTAATTCATGGATCTGCAAAATACAAACCAAAGTTACAATTAAAATAATCTCTCAATACATAATTGAAACACATGTTTTTTCATAAAGAAAAAATCAAACCTGCACGTGTGGTGGTGTTCCCAGTGCATACAAAAGAGCGTCAGCCACGTCTTGCGCTTCTAGGCAAGGGCTTTCGTCGTAAAATTTTTTCGCAACTTCCTCTGAGGCACCACCTGCGACTGCGATTTCTGTCCTGACCAATCCCGGGCTAATGCTCTGAAATAATTAAATCTCACTTATTAAACTCAACAGAAATTGAAAAATAATTCAATACAGTGACTCTGATCTTTGTCTGGAGGTCCCTGAGTTCCCGTCGAAGACCCTCCGTCATCACGGTTACCGCGTGCTTACTTCCAGCATAGGCGTAAATGCCAGGCATCTGGATGACATATTGACCCGAAATACTTAAAGAAAAAAAAGAGTGATATAATTCAATTCAAAATTTAATAATCTTGTTTTTTACCTGTTGATGTTGAAAATATGACCATCATCAACACCCCTTGCCTGCATATCTTGAATGGCTTCCCTGGCAAACAAAGCCAAGCCGATGACGTTTGTGTCATAAATTTTCCTGAGGTTTTCAGTCTTGAACGCTAATGGAAGGTTTATTAATTTTTTAAAATTTATTTATTTTACAAATTACCTGCCAAGCCACAATTAGGAGCCACACCGGCGTTATTAACCAGAACGTCCACACCACCAAGTTTTTCCCTCGTCCACTGAATTACTCGTTTGACGTCTTCCTCATTAGACACATCTCCCTTGATAGCGAAAACTTCTCCTTTCGCACCATTTTCCTTCAGTTCCTTAGCCAATTCCTATAAATGCGAGTGGACAAATTTATGATTTTCAGTTTTAATGCACAATAATAAGAAATTTAATCCAATAATAAAGTTAAAATTAATAAGTAACCTGAACTCTATCCTCCCTGCGAGCCACTCCGACCACTCTCATCGAGTTCAAAGCGAGAGTCTTTACAATTGCTGCTCCGATTCCAGCACTCGCACCGGTCACGATGGCCACACGTCCTTCCCAGCGATTCATATTTTCTGCCAATGAAAAACGAAAAAAAAAATGACCAGAGCTGCCTCAGACTACTAATTTGCAGACACACTGAGTTTTTTTTATCAGGAATTCTAACACTCGATCATCTTTTTATTTAACTTTGGAAGACACGTTATCTGGAGCCTTATCACACACTCAATTAAAGTTTATGACTGACGAGTCTCGAGACTCTTCCTTTCTGTATTGCAATATGCGCGAGCCAATTGGCATTTTGATAGGGCATAATATAATTTAAAATCCAAAGGTTAAAAAGGTCAAACTGCATTACATTTAGATATCCTGGTGAAATCTTTTGAAACCCTTGAATTTTAATTTCTAAGTTATGTAAGCCACTGATTTATGATAAAAGTAATAAAAATAATACAAATATTAAGTATTAAAAATCCATTAAAAATCTTTAAAAAAAATATAATATAGTTTTGTATATTTCATATAAATATAAAATAATTTTATTATGAAATTTGATATAATAAATAACATCGATTATTTATTTTTCTCGGTCAATACTTAAAAAATTTAAATTGGAAAAAAAGAAGAAAGGGTTTACAACTAGCAAATGTCTGCTAAAATGCCTGCCATCAAATGAAAAGAGACTCGGCCGCTGCGGTAAAGACATAAATAACAATCAAAATATTAAGCTACTTTGAAAAGAAAAATAATTAAGCGCTTTTATTTTATAAATTCACCTGTTAACTTGTAAAATGTGCCCTTCATTTACACCCCTGCTTTTTCATATCTTGGAAATCTTGGAATACGTCTCTTGTGAATCAGGTCAGCGCAACTATATTCAGATCGAGCGTATTTTATTTTGTATGTCAGTCAAAGACACGTGTTAAAAAGAAACGTTAGTTAAATTTCAACTTCTTTACAAAAATAAATGTTTCAAAAAGTTTAAATTTCAAATTAATTAACCTGAAAGTTTGGTCACAATTCCAGGGCCTACGTTTTTCACCAAAACGTCCCTCGTCCACTTTACGACCCTTTTTATTTCGCTCTCCTCCCTGATATCTGCTTTTACAACTTGATAAGTCGCATTTTCGTTTTTAAATTTGTATGCAATATCCTTTACAAAAATTGGATTGCAGCAATGGCTCCTGCGTCACGATAGAAACACGACCAACCCAACGCTCCAGTTTTGAACAAATTAAAAAAAAATCAATAATAATTTTTGATAGTCGGTAACCAAAACCCCCGCTAGAATTGAAGTGCGGCTAGGTTTTCTCTTTAGAAGCTATAATAGCTAGGTGTTTGCGAAATGATATAAAAAATCTTAAAGAGCGAAAAGTTAAATTTTTATTAATTTTTCAGATAGGAAAAAGTGTGAAATTACAAATTTTATGGTAACACATTATTTTTGGAAGTAAGGAGTGCATTACAAAAGAGTCCAAATACCCAATAGCAATATATATTTTTATACGTTATGATTGATTTAATTAATTTTATTATGATGCTCTCATCAAGCTGAATCTTTTGTTATTAGAATTCTCCAGTAGGATGTATAATCATCTCGTGCACCTTGAAAATATAATTAAAATTGGTTTCATCTTCTTATAACTTTTACAAGTTTAAACCAACCTGAACGTGAGCTGGTGCGGAGAGAGCAAAGAGCAGGGCATTGGCGATATCGACTGGCTCCAAATATGGGTTTTCATTGTACATTTTTTCAACGTCTTCAGCTGCCATTCCTCCAGCCAGAGCAATTTCTGTTTTCACACTTCCGGGGCTGATACTCTTCATTAAAAATTCTTTTAAAATTTTATTTTTTTAACAAAAAAGAACTTTACCGTCACTCGAATTTTCGTTCCCATATCTCTAAGCTCCCTGCGAAGACCCTCGGTCAGAACGGTGACCGCGTGCTTGCTCGCGGTGTACATTTCAATTGTAGGGTAATTGATTATCTCGTGACCCACAACACTAAAAATGAAAAATTTTACAAACCATTTTTATAATTTTTAGTGGGAAAAACCAATTTTTTATTTCAAACAAAATGAGACGAACCTATTAATGTGGAAAATGTGTCCATCGTTGACGCCGCGGCTCTTCATGTTCTGAACCACATCACGTGTTAATAGGGTCAGACCGACAACGTTTAAGTTGAGGATCTTGGCGATGTCGCTCGCTGATATTTCTGAACAGCGCAGAAGATATGAGAATTAATCTTTTTTAACTGGTGCAATTTTTTTTTAATTAAACACGCATAAACCTGAGAGTTTTGCAAAGGCGCCGCATCCTGCGTTATTGACCAAGACGTCGATGCCCCCGAGCTCATCTGCTGTCCACTTGACAATTCGTTGGATTTCCTCCTCCTTACTCACATCTCCTTGTATAGCATGAAGTGTTCCTTTTGCGTTCTCTTTTGCCAATTCATCGCTCAAAGCCTATTTTTTTTTTGCAATATTTGATTAAATACTTTTAATTTTTAATAAGAGAAGCACGCACTTGCACCCTTTCAACCCTCCGAGCGACGCCAACCACCTTCATTCCATGCTGGGTCAGTAGTTTTGCGATGGCAGCTCCGATACCTGCACTAGCACCAGTCACTACAGCCACGCGACCCACCCAACGCTCCATCTCTAAAAATTATTCGGCTAAAAGCGTGGCAAATGCACTGATCTCGAAAGGAAAATTTGATAAGATTACTCAATTGGAGCAAACACTTTCAACTTCTTCTAAAATATAGAGAAAAATGGGCCAAATTTTTCCACAAAACCCACCGTTCAGCGCTAGATCTTGTCAGAGAGGCAAAACTTGCGTCACTGCTCACGATGAGCTGGTACAAATGAACCACAGCATCAAGGTTATATAAATACTAGGCAGCGCTATTTATATGGCTCCATGACCGTGATGGCTTTCAATTTCAATTGTGCTCCTAAGCCATGGGTGGGCTAGAAAATTTGAATGCATCATCAAGGACGCCTATTTTTTTTTAACTGGAATGGGTAAAATTAAGTTAATTTGTTTCACTCCTTTTCAATTAATACAAAAAAGTTTTTTATTATAATCATTTTTTAACTTTATTAAAAATAAGATTACAATATATTCTATAATTAAATGAAATGCGATCAAGAGGTAAAATACTTTTAATAATTGTGTGGCGCGTGGCGCATTAAAGAAGCAAACAGTGCCCAAATTAAATTATCCTCTCGTCTTAATTTCTTAGTAAATAACGACACATCTGTGCTCTCTTTAACTCTTCCAATACAACTTATATTAAATGCCCAGTTTGAGAGTTGACTGGTCTATTCCTCTTTGCCGACTTCCTCGTACGTCACTATTTCCTTGCTTCGTGGCTTTCTTGAATACCTCAAACCCAAGTAATCTGCCGCCTCCTCAATGTGAGTGAGCGCCTGAGATAAAAAATAATATGAGTCAGATCATCATTATCTCAAAATCAGAAATAATTACGTAGTCAAGTTGCTCTTTGGTGTGAGCAGCAGAAAGGCAAAATCTGATTCGACCCTCCATGAGTGGTGTAGCTGGAAATCCAACACCAACCACTGCAATATCCCTTTTTATCAAACGTCGCACTACATTTCTGCAAATGCACCATCGTCAGAAAATGTTAATGCATCAATTATTTTGGAACTTACGCAATCTTGGAATGCATGTACACCATCATAGGAACAACTGGTGAATCATTATTGCCAATGGTGATGATTCCCATTTGATTGAGTTTTCTGCGGAAGTACTGACTGTTGTGAGCCAACTGTTGGATCCGCTTCCGACCTAAATGTAGATATTAGAAAATAAGCTCAACAATATTGATGATTTAAACATTAATATACCTTCGTTTGTGCCATCTTTGCCCATAATGATTTTCATGGATGAAATGATTTGCTCTGCACACGCAGACGGCATTGATGTAGCATAGCAGTTTGCATGACTGTTTGCTCTCAGGTGGTTGATAAACGCCTAAGAAAATTTAATAATTTTTTATTACACTTATTAAGAAAATAAAAAAACTAAATTACCTTAGTCCCCGCAATGTAACCCCCAGCAGAACCAAAGCTTTTGGTATAAGTTCCCATCAGAATGTCCACATCTTTGGGGTCGACGCCGAAGTAATCTATGACGCCTCTGCCATTCGGTCCAACAGCTCCTATGCTATGGGCCTCATCAACATATAGATATGCCTTGTATTCGCGCTTCAGTTGAACTATCTCGGGTAAACGGACAATTGATCCCTCCATACTGTAAACTCCTTCAACAACTATGAAGATTTTTTTCCAGGGCCGATGACTACGGGGCTGCCCATAGACGACTGCATTGTGAAGCAGTTTCCGAAGCGATTCCATATCTTTAAATTTGTGATTAATTTAAAATATTTTACATATTTTTTTTTTAATTACTATTGTGTTTGAAAACTCTAATTGTGGCTCCTGAGAGTCGTAATCCAAGAATGAGGGAAGCGTGGTTCTTCTCATCACTAGCGACTAGGCAACCTTTGCTCATGATACTAGGAAGGTTCAAAGCGTTGGTGGCAAATCCCATTCCAAAAGTGATTGCATCTTCGGTTCCCACAAACTCGGCAGTCAACGCCTCAATCTCTTGATGAATTTTTTGAGTGCCTGTTTTAAGCGAAATTAATTTAAAAGATCGGATTTGATAATATTTTAAATATTAAACTAAAGCTGCAATTTTTCCTTCCGTTTTTTGATAAAAAAAAAATAATAATAATAAAAATAATTTGTATTACCAAATTCTACACGTGGGCTTGCTGTGGCACAACCAAGCTCCTTGATTTTAACAGCAGCAGCGTCTGAACAAGGCCCCGAGGCCTGGGCAAAGCCCAAGTAGTTGTAAGAGCCTAGGTTCAGGCATGTGGTCCTTGTGCCAGTATATCTACAAAAAAATTAAAGTTTATTTACAGCAATGTTTAATCTTTCATAGTTATCAAATTTGAGACTAACTTATCAATTAAGAAATTCTAAGGACCTTGGATTTCTAACCGATTATCTTAAAAAATGTAGTCCAGGGCTATTTGACCACTTACTCAAAGGTCCATCCGCAATCGTGAGTGACTCTGTCCTTTACGGTCACTTCCGATCCAGGGCAGCTACAAATGGGGATGTTCCAACAATCCTTTAGTCTGCGGTACACATAACGAGAGTAAAAACTCTCAAACTGGTCGTACAGAGGCACATATCCCTAAAATTGGTTTGGTCATTTTGAATACCATAAAAATTACAGGGTCAACTATTTACCTTTCTATTTCTCTCCTGAGCGACTTTTGGTGTGAAAATAATGCTGCTGACGTATCCCATCAATAATATCAAGTAAAACCCTATGAATGTTGTCGCTGCTGTCAACAGGGGGATTTTCTCAAATGACTCGACGAAAGGTCTTTGCTCTCTCTGCTGGATATTCTTGAGGGATCCATTCTGTAAACAAAAGGACAAAAATTATTAATCAGATATTATGATTACATAATAATTTTTTTGCACACAATTTGTAATTATTTTTTTAATTGATTTATATAATGTCGCTATATAATTTAAATTCTAACGTCGAAGGAATTTTAAAACTTAATAATAATTTTAGTAAGCTAATTAAATTATGTAAACACTTAACACAATTAATTAACGGCACTTGAACAGTTTAAATATAGAAATATTTTCACGTGCCTGCATTGTGGACATGCTTACAAACTTTTAAAACTATTTGATGCTCAGACCCATCCGATGAGTCCGTGCAAACGTCAGACCGCAAACCTGACACTTACGTAAATACTGCGTAAAATTGACAAGGGATATGAGTCGTCCGACTGATAATCTCCCAAAAAGATAAGCTCGCTGAAAGCGAAAAGAGTTGGCTGGCACGCCCATTCTACGTGCGCCGGTAGTGTAATTTTTTTTTTTAATTTTCAAGCTTATTTCGAACAAGAGGCGACTCTTCTAAATTTCCTCTTCATTACCTGGTGTGCGTGTTTTCCAGCTGACCCGTTGCAAAAGCCATTTCTGACCTGGGCCTTGCCATTCAGCTGGCTTTTTTCGGCACCAAGCAAGATTTCCGTCCTGTCAAGTGCCATGTTTGCTCGTCCCCAGAGGAAAAAAAGAGCAAGATCACGTGACCAGCTCTGCAGGTTCCGGTGAAAAAACTGGCCGAATCGGTGGGCGAAAAATCTGCAAAAAAATCCAGAGACTCGATGAACAGGAAAAATCACTGCTGTCGCCGAAGTCTTTCTTGTGATTGTCTTGTGACTCGCACGATCTATTTGCGGATGGTTATCCTTCAGCTAAAGCGGAAATCACACGATAGACGATTTGCGGTTGCAACCGGTAAATATCAGCCCGGTTTGCGGGCAAATTCCCCCACTCCGCGGGGAATCCTCGTCGCATGTGCTGCGCATGACTCATCGTAGAGGACGGCGGCGGGTGGCGGCGGCGGCACCAAAAACGAAAAAAAAACACATAAAAATACATACGCAGCGGCGGCGGGGCGGTGGATTAAAAGCACAGCTGGTGGCGTATGAGAAGGAGAAATAAACCGGTTGGCGCAATGCACTTCTCTCTCCTGCAATGTTGATAACAGCAAGAGAAATGCGCGAATATACCGATAAAGACCGGGAGAGAGTGGCTCAGCCAATGTCACCTACCGAGTAGGCAACCAGAGAGTTGGTGTGTGCGAGTGCTGCTCACCCCTTCGACCCCTCCTCCCTCGGCACAGACAAGAAGTCTCTATCTGCAGCAAAGTACACGAGTGATCGGCCGTCAAAGCGGTCGAAGCGATCCGAACGCCCTACCGAATTTCTTCGGCACGCACATTCCATTTAGGCATTCCATTTTTGCAGTTATGGACCCTTTCGGCGAAATCGGCGAGGACAACAAGGGCAAGCCGCTGGGAGACCTGCCACCGTCGCAGCCGCTGCTGGGCCCCTCCCAGCAGCCGCCGGCCCAGACCAACCTTGACGACCTGCTGGGCCCGGCGCCCCTCGGCCAGCACAGCGACCTGCTGGGCGAGTTCCTCTCGGCCACGGCGCCCTCCGAGGCCATCCACCGCGCCACCACAGAACCCATTCTGACGCTCGACGAGGAATCGGACGAGCCGCCGCAGCCGGAGCGCATCCAGTTCGAGTCCGGCATCGACCTGTCCGACATCATGAGCAAGAAGACTGAGATGGAGGAGCAGCACATTCCCAAGGCCAAAGAGCAGCTCGAGGACGTTTACACGGCGGCCTCCAGCAGGGTGTTCATTGAGGAGCCCCCGCAGGAGGAGCCCATGGACTTCAGGCCGCTGCCTCCCGAGCCGGAGGACGCTGGCTCCGCCGAGGAAGAGGAGGAGGAACTGTCCCAGCAAGAGCCGCCGCCCGTCATCCGACAACCAGAGCCGGTGCACGTCGAAAAATTGGCAGAGCCGGCGGCTCCAGTCGCCCAAAGTAAGGCCAAACCGGCGCTCGATGACGAAATTGCAGCATGTGACCTGTCGGGACTGTGTAAGTATTTGAGGAGTTGTCACGCGAGTCATTGAGAGTGCCTCGAATTATTCAAATTGTTTTGGTTAAAATAAGTTGGTCGGCATTATTAACCTTTTAATGAGCGATAAATCGGCTTGATTCATCCCCTGCAAATGTTTATTATTTATATTTATTGTCATCGATAGAGAATATTTACACTAGACATCGCCTGCACAAAGTTCATCTTGTTTCTAGAATTTTCAGATAATCAAAAAATTTACTAAGATGAAATACGAATTGTGCAATGTCATCAATTTGAAGGAAGATTGAAATATTTAATGTTGTAAAATTTAGTTGAATATTATCAATGACATCTTTCGAATTTTTGCACCCGCTAATTAATTCAAGCCGCAAAGCATTGATCATGTCATTAATCTGCGAAAGATGCGCTGATATTAATCTCTGGACGATTTGAAGGCCTTTCACATTTTTGCCCTGCCATCAGCAGCAGAAACTTGATCTGCTGCTGGAGACACACGCGAAACGACGAGCTTTTATTTCCGTCGCGCTTTGCCTCTTCAAATGGATAATTTTAACCTTGCTCTAAATAATTAACTCAGTTTCACCACCGCAACCACCCAACAGCACCAAAACATCAACAAAATCATAATTAATTCCTTCATAGGAACAAATTTATAAAAATAGTCTAATTAATTTGTCTGCGGCGCGCAACGGTTTCGCGTTAAATCTCCGTCTTTGTTGACTTAAGTGACGCAAATAAAACTCTTTTCTTTTTATGACCGAGGCAGTTCAGATTGCGTCATGTCTTACAAGCTGCACACGACAGGTGCGCTTGCTTTTCTTGTCGCCCTTTTGCACTACGGCTTCCTCTTCAACTCTCCGAAAATTATATTCATTCATTTTTCCACACAAAAATTACATATATTTTGCTGCGCTCGGGTGGCAAAAAGAGAAAAGTGACGCTCACGATAGAGGAGCTGCTCGTGTAACCCAAGCCGGTGTTCTGTCATTCATACGGTGTCAATCAAGTGGGGCGTGCAGGCGCACTGAACCCACGCCTAGCTAGCAATTTAGTCAACCAGAACTCATCAACCTGCTTATGAAATGCAAATTATAACTCACGCGGAGGCCAAGACTTACTTTTTAATTGAATCCTACCAGGACGTTCAAATTACAATCTAATTGTAGTCAAGACTGTTGGGAGAACAATTATTACAAATTTTTAACATTTGTTTGAAGAAATTGACCGCACTCGATGAGATGATTATGGAAATGCTTTTCTTCGTTGCGAAAATTGTTTTTATTATAAAATGGTCTTTCGTCTTTCATGAGCAAGAAAAATAAAAATAAAAATTAGCAAAATTTAAAAACCACATCTTAACATAAAAATTATTTTTAATTTTAATATTCATGTTAAAATGTGGAGTGTTTTTCCACTTTGATGATTTTTTTTTCTAATTTTTCTTGCTTGTGAAATAGGGTCGCAGAAACTGGTAGAGCCACAATTTTTGCAACGAGGAAAATATCGATCTCTTAATTTCAAAATTTTTAACAATTTTATCATCCAATTAGGATTTTAATTATTATTAATCATTAGTTTGAAATTGTATGACATTTAAAAATTTTAATTGAAATAAAAATATAATTAAGTCACTACAATTGAAATGGAAAATTAAATTATAAATCTTGATCAGTCTCATTTTTTTTTTAAATTTCATTATTTTGAATTTCATTTTTTTTTTAACGAATGAGTTTAATTAAATGATTCGTAGGAAGGGATTTGCGCTAAACAGACAGATAAAGTGCACATCCGTCCACTCGAGTGATACACGTGTGGTTAATTATGAGCCACTTTTGCATCTCCCTTTTGTTTCTAGACAGGGCGTGGAGCACCCTTCTCTTGAGCCTTACGGCAATCTAGCTAAGTGGCCGGTGATGCTTCCCCGAGACCGGAATCGGCGTTTCCCTATCAAATTCATGTGCAATATTGAATGACAGACACGCGTCTTCCGCTGCGCATCATTTTTTGCAAACCGCAAAAAAAGCGAGCACTCATATATTATTTACCAGTTCAGTCATCCTCTCACTTGGCGCTATGGATGAGCTTCAGTTTTAAAACTGAAACTTTTTTTAACAAAATATCAAATATAAATCCTTAAATAATTTTGATTGATTTCCTTTGAATAATTGTAAAAAAAATTTGTTCACAGGCTCCTGGTTCAGCAAGGACAGCTTGCCTCCAGCAGGTGAGTTTTGAACAGTTTCCCATTGGCCATTTTCAAAACTTGGGGCGATGATTTTTTGGTGCCAACGCGGCGGCCAACATTTGGCTATCGCACGCGAACATTTAATTCCCGGAAAAATGGGCGGCGGCAACCCCTCCCTGAACGTGCAGTGCGTCGCTGGACGTGCTTTTAAAAATAGATGAGAACGCGTACAAGTAATTGCCAAAAATTGCGTGCGTCTCGTTTTACTCAAGGAAATTCGCGTTGCCAAGAAAAAGAAACTCATAAAATTTTAAATATAATTTTGCAAAACCAGTTAAAAATTCAAAAGGAAAATCTTATGACCTTAAACGGCCCATCAAGGGCCCCTTGGCTTGCACTCGTAATTGCCGTAGAGTGTGTCGCGGTGTGACGTAATGCGCTATTATCCATACTGCGGCTGTTCTCGGTGCATTCTGTAATTGCATCCATACAATTGAAGGATATTTTCTTAAGCAAATAAGAACATAAGTCAGCGGTCTACTTATTTAAATTTTGAAAATAAGAAAAAATGAAATACAAAATTTATTTTCCTTTTTATTCTGGGTATAAAATTTGTTGGTCTAGAAGGCGAGGGTCGCGCTATTCCAAGATTGGTTTTATAAGCGTGTGTGCCTGTGACATTGCTAGGGGTGGTTTTTCCAGTGCAACATCAGCTGTCGGGGTGCGATCAATACCGCGCTTCTGCGCAAGCTGCGGGGCGTCGCGAGAACGCCATGACAATTATATTCTCCAGCTCAGGGCCGAGTGACGAAAGTGAATAAGGCAGCCAGTCGCGGAAAACGGCCAAGATGTCCAAGTTGAAGGAGTTAGGTATGTTGCACGGCGAAACGGCGACGCGTGAGCAAACCCGCGTCACGCTCGCAGGGGCGTTCGCGGGGGCTCGTCGGTCCGTGTTGACGCAAATAATTCGCGCGGCCCAGGGTCCGAATGGGCGGAGACCGTCGATCTCAGCTGCTTTCGAGGTCGTGGCGATGCCCGGGGTCACCGACCTTGCCACACCGCCTGTCCGGATCGGGACGTTTCGGTTTGAATGGAAAAGTTTGACGCGTTTTGGCGCGTCGTCGCGACATTCGTATCGATCGAGGGTCTGGCGCTGTCGTCGTCGGGGCCGCTGTGAGCAGCCGAGGCTATTTTCGAGCAGCGCTCTCGCGGGCCCATTGCCAAGAGAGCCTCTTCGAGCGCGGCCAGCATCACAGTCAGGTCAGCCCGGGTGTCCGACCGACCCACCGCCACCATGGAGGATTTGCTCAACACGCTCAACAGCTTCAACAAGGACGACTGTAAGTCTCGGTGCAGATCAGGGTTTCGTCCTTTGCGTATCGGACCCTTTCGGATTTCGCCCAGGGCTAAATATACACAGGCCCAGCGAGCTTTGCCGTACGTTGCCCTATGAATATTTTTTTTTTAATTTAATTTTTTCGCTGGGTCGAAATTTGCTGCTATGTAGGGCCAAGTGGGACCGGCGGCGCGCAGATTATGATCCACTCTTTCTGCTGCTCTCTGACAGCTATTTTGGGCGGTTCACAACCCTTTCATCTGCCAAGTCTGACGCCGCCCAAACTTATAAATTTACTCGACGCGTTTATGCATTTCGAATGAGCGATTCGGAATTTTACTTTCGTTTTTTTATCTCGGCCGACCGGGCTTTGCAACCCTCGTGGGGCGTCCGATAGTTGGACTCTTTATCAGCAGCGTACCGGCGAGTGCGGCCCTCGTGCCAAACGTTTGCATTTTATAGCTGGCTCTGCTTCAATCGAACCCCTATTGCTTCTCTTCGCCGGCGAGGACAGCCGCCGGGAAAAAAATTAAATACTTAAGTGCTCGAAGTTTCTGCGTTGATGAATCTATTAAACTCGTAGAAATTGTTATTATTTCATTATCTGTGTTCTGCTAAATTTGGTATTATTGACGTTTTAAAAGTTTGACTTTCGTCAGATGAGTCACATATTTATTTAGAAGCGTTAGTGTGCCGCTCGATTTGCTCCGATTTGAAGAAGCATCTGGTGCACAGGACAAGGTGCGAGAGCGAGTTTTATACTTCTGTGCCGCCGCATGACACTGACTTGTTTCTTGGGCGTTGTTTTAATTCGCGATAAAGAGCAAAGGTTGCTATGAACGGCGTTTAATCGTTTAATGAATTAAGTGTTTATTGCTCCACTGGTAAATACAAACTATAATATTATTTTTATTTTTTTTTTCATTTCTTTTTAGCAACGAATTTCGCCCGGTTTCAATTTATATAATGTAAAATTTTAATTATAATTCTAAAAAAAAGTATTTTTAATTGTCCTCTCGTGCCAACTTTGAAAATCAATTCCTATTAAGTAATCGCATAAAATATTTTTATCAATTTTGAAAGAAGCAATGCACTAGATGTGCTCATTCTCCGTGTCCCCTATTTAAAAACAATTTGTATTTTAATCGCGTCTATTGAAATAACTGAGCGGAGGCCGACAGTCACTTAATGAATCTGATTTCCAAGTCATCCTGTTTTAAAATAATAAATTACAACATGCCAAGTATTCCATAATGGGAAGGTTCCAGTAAGACGGATTTGCACTTTTCTGGTCTCATTTAGAATAAAAAAATAAGAATCGCATAAGCTTGAAAAGTTTCTCGTCTATTTTTATTTTAAATGGCCAGAAGTGTAAAAGCTGCAGAGAAGTAAAGCAAAGGCCGTGCCAAGATCTTTCTAGATCTAAAATGTGAGAGATGGTGAAATTGGGATTACATATTAAAAAAACGATTTATTTATAATAATATTACAAAAATTAAGCCAATAATATTATGTTCCTATAATTTTTTTAACCTCTGGTGAAGCTGGTGCCGTGAAGGATTTTTGCTTTCCATATCAATCTCTATCCGGCGCTGTGAAAATTTTTGCTTTCCAAGTCGGTTTTTTGCTTTACCTTTTATTTCCTTTGAACTTACAATGAGCAACTGAACATAAACAGACTAAATGTTGTCATAAAAACATTAATTACTACAACTGAACATTCACCTTTTCACCTTAAACAATTTTTTTTTTATATTTTCGCACGTAAAATCATATGAATATGAAAACAATAAAAATTCCAACATTGTAATTGTGGAACCTGCCCACATTTTCAGAGATCCCGCCGCGAGACGAAAACGTAATACGTCAATATATAGCGAAAAAAAACAGCTACCTGGCCGCGCCTTCCGCGAAAGCAGAGCAAGTAAAAATTCTTGCACACGGCAAGTTTTCTGCAACTGCATCAAAATTTTGTGCAAATTTGAGCCAAAAATGAAACAAAACCCAGTCTTTTAATTGCGAGCCTAGAGGTCACGGACTTAAATTTTATCTGGTCAGCGTGCACGTAATAATTGGCAATGTCAGCGCGATTAATTTTCTTTTAAGAGAGATCTCACCGCGCGGCAACCCTTTCCCCCCACCTCGGCGCCCTGGAGCAGTGTTAAAAAGTTGTTGCTGGCTGGCTGGAAACGCGGGTCACGTGACCACCGCACGGCAGTTGGGCTTGTTTAGGTTGCGTTTCCAGCCGACCAGCCACTGCTGCGAACGTCCCACGGTCTCTCTCACTCGACCATCAGCCACCCCCGAGTCCGTCTCCTTTCCGAAACCCTCCCTCTCCGTCCGGACACACACACAATCATGGGCCGCCGCAACATACGAGGCGCCAACTCTTCGGCCGACTACGACGATCTGCCCGAGCGAGGGCCCAGTAAGTGACGCGTGTCACCCTCGCGCCGAGGTCACGGCCGCCGGCGGCCCCCGCGGCCGACGGCCCCCGACCCGCCCGGCGCCGAATCAAAGGCCCGACTCGCCCGAGGCCGTTTCTCGGAGCCGCATTGACCCTCGCGATGTGTTTCAGTCGGCCAGCTGGTGTACTGGAGGGACCCGAAGAAGTCCGGCCTGGTCTTCGGCAGCGTCCTCTTCGTCCTGCTCTCCCTGTCGGCCTTCTCGCTCATCAGCGTCGTCGCCTACGTCTCGCTGATCGCCCTCGGAGGAGCCATCGTCTTCCGCGTCTACAAGAGCATCCTGCAGGCGGTGCAGAAAACTGACGACGGACACCCCTTCAAGTACGTATATTATAAATACAAACCACCCCTGCATTTTATACATCCACATGGACTTTCCAGCTGACGCGTCAGCCAGTGATCCGTGCGAGAGGTCACAAGTTGTGCGAGGTGGCGCACTTTCGTGTCTGCATAAATTATACACATATGCGCGAGAGAAATAATGAAACGTGTCAACGCCTTTTAATATAAGCGCAGGGCATGCTTATTTTATATCATCGCATCATAAATTATTACAAATTATCTGATAATTTTCCCAAATATTATTTTTATTTCAAGTTGAAATTTTTTTATATTTTTTTATTGTACCAATTTAAATTCTTTTTTATGTAACTTGAGTTGAAACATGAAAGTAAACTGCTTATTTAGATAAGCTTCTTGAACATTTTGAATAACAAAAGAGATAGAATGTCACTGAATTGTATTATTGTTTTGTTAAAATGAACCTTTCTTTTTTCACCAAAAGCAAAATATTAAATAAAACTTATTTATTATTATTTCTTGTTCCAATATCAAGGTCAATACCAGAAGCAATCTTGAATACAATATCGTCGAGTTGCGTGGCAACTTTCAACCTGACCACCAGAATTCGATCCCCCTCGACGCGCTCGAATTAACTTTTTCTCTCCCTTTGGTCGCAGAAATAATTTTGCGACGCCTTTTCTAAATTAAATATTGTCATTTTTTTTTTACTGATTGGGGAAAAATGTTGCAGGAACCTGCTCGAGTCTGACCTCGCCCTTACCGACGAAAAGGTGCAAGAGATTGCCAGCGTCGCTGTCAGTCATGTCAACTGCACCATCACCGAGCTGCGTCGTCTCTTCCTCGTCGAGGATCTCGTTGATTCCATCAAGTTTGGAGTCCTGCTGTGGGTCCTCACTTATGTCGGAGCCTGGTTCAATGGCATGACTCTGATCATTTTGGGTCAGTTGTGAATATTCACTTTTTGGAGCTCATTTTAACGAAAAAAAAATGTTTTTGCAGGCTTCATTGGAGCGTTTACTCTGCCCAAGGTGTACGAGAACAACCAGGCCCAGATCGACCAATACCTTGAAATCGTCAGGAGCAAAATGGCCGACGTCTCCAATAAGTAATTCTAATTTTAATTATTTGTATAAAAATCAATGAGGAAGATAAAAAGCCTAAATTGACTAACCCGCCAATAAAATTTTAATTTTTATAGCGATTTCAGGTTAGGCTTTTGTATCACCCTCAACGATTTTAACTCGAAGACTCGATTTTTAACAAATAACTTTTTTCCTCAGAGTTAAGGCGGCCATTCCTCTGGGAAAGAAGGACAAGGAGCAGTAAAAGCGCAACAACAACAGCTTCGTGAGCTTGAACAGGGGCCTGCTTTGGGCTAAAGGTCTACCCTTCCCCATAGCAACTCTAAGCTGACTCTTTCCCTTGGCGAATCTTACTTGGTTTCATTTTTCCTATCATCCAGCTAAACCGAAAAACGGAAGAACAAACTAACAAGTCAGACGGCAAAACAACTGACACTTTTTATCAGACTGAGGTCTTTGAGGCCAACAGAGATCTGATCCGGGGTGTTGAGTGCCCCGAGCTTAAGTCAAAACCCTTTGCAGTGTCAGTTGTCTTGGCCCACCTGGCCTGATAATTTTTGTTACAAGTGCCACGCTGTTACGATATGATATATGTCGATTTGTAAAGAAATTAGAGATGCCTTTGCGTGTGATTTTTGGCAAGACTTGCTCCACTGAGACCCCCCTTGCTGTTTTCTGTTGTTGATCATTGCTTCCTTATCTTAAACTCTTTCTCTTTTTAATTTATTCCTGTTCGGTTCCGGGGACGAAGTGTGGCCTACTCGCGATAGTAGGCTGAACAATCATGGCAGGTCGAATGCTGTTGTACATAATTCTAGATGTGAGAAGACACACGTTTTTCCCAATTGTACTGAGATGACTAAAAAAAAGGCAAACCACGCAACATAATAGAGCTGTAAGTGGAGGGGTGGTTGGTTCTTATTGCATATTTAGTAGGGAAAAGCAGCTTGCGAAACCAGTTTTATGTGCTCTTCAGGCCGCCAGTTTCGAATTTTTTCTTTTTTTTTTTAATAGAAACTAAAATCTATAAGTCGCTTGCACGTACATACATGTAGACAGATGGAAACGAGACCGAGAGGATAAAATTCTCAAATTTCAAATTATGCACTCTTTTCTTATCATGTCAAAGAATATTAAAAAAAAAAAACCTGTTGCACTTTGTGGGAAAAATAAAGGAAATCTCTCAAAAACGATCTATCAAACTCAAGTTATGACTTTGGAGTAAGGCTGTGGATTTTGTAGAGCTGGCAAACGGGGCCACCCTAGAAGTATGCTATGATTTGTGAACACTTTATAGAGAAGAGGCAAATAAATCAAACTCTCCGCTTGATATGTACCATTCCAGGATTGCCTTGGACCCAGGTGGCTTCGTCTGGCCTGAAGGTCTTGAAGAAAAAGCAGCAGGAAGAGACGTGCAAATAAAAAAATCCACATGTCTTAAGCAAAGTTGTATATAGAAAAATTTACTGTGCTTCATTTTTAATGTAATAAATTTTGACAAAAGATATCACTAATATTGAAAAATGCAAATTACAAGTATGATTAAATGGGCTTTATACACAAAAACCTACAAAATTGCGCTTTTTATTCTGTAAGGAAAAGTTTTCACAATCTTTTTATAAAACCATATTAATCATAACAAGATTTTGATAAAATAAAGAATTAGGCCACCAAAAAAAAAGTGCCTGCGCCAACACGCCACCTGCTGAGGAGCACCAACATCAGAAACTCGCAAAATCAGCTCGGATAACCGGTTCTCCAAAAGGGTCACGTCCTCTGTTTGATCGTCGGTCACCGAGAAAGTGCAGTTTGCGCAGCCGTACGAATTGCGTTCTCCGTTCCACTGCGGTGCTCGGTAATACCGGTATAGGAGTGCGCGCTGCTGGCAGCATCTGTTTTGACCTTGAGCAAGGTGACCCCGGGTCAGAGCCAGCGCGAGTCGAGCGGCTTGAGACGAAAACAGTGACAGTCAGAGACGGCCGGTGCAAGATGTCGGTGCCGCAGTCGGACATCGAGAAGAGGAAGCAGATCAGCGTCCGGGGCATCGCCCAGGTCGAGAACGTGACCAACGTGAAGAAGACCTTCAACCGTCACCTGCACTACACCCTGGTCAAGGACCGAAATGTCGCCACCCCCAGGGACTACTACTTCGCCCTCGCGCACACCGTCAAGGACCACCTCACCTCCAGGTGGATCCGCACCCAGCAGTACTACTACGAAAAGGACCCGAAGGTGAGAAATTTAATAAAATAATAATTAAATGCCCTGAGGGCGATCTCGAGAAATGTAGCCCACGTTGAGCATGTTGGAAATTTTCGCCGGTGTTGGTTGCCAAACTTTCAGCAAAGGCCCCTCCCGAACAAAGCTTGACACACATTTTTTTTAAAGTTGGACGTGTAAGAAATTCCTGTCAAATTTTTACAGGCACCCGCGCTTGCGAGCCTTAACTTGTTAATTAAGCGGCGCACCTTTGTGCAGTTTTTTCTAATATATGCAATACATAATTGTAATAGTAATTAATGTAAAATATTACAAATTATTAATTGAAAAAATGAAAATTTCGGGTTGCAAATTTTGTATTGCAAAAAATCATATAGATATATCTTAATAATAAATTTAACTTTTTCATCAACTTAATTAAAAAATTATAAGCACACGAGGGAAAATTTTAAACTATATAGAAAAATAATATAATTAAAAACTATGTTGCACGATGTTTGATTGTGCCAGAACATGGTTGCGACGAATGTCAAAAATTTTCTTGGCGCGCCACCCTTTGACCTTTTTTAGTTGCGCGACGTCTCAACAATAACTTGTCAGAGGTTGTCAAAGAGATAACCTAGGCGATGGTAATTGCTCTGAACTTTATCAATTATTATTTTTAATGATATATTTGTGAAAATATTTTTAACACATTTATAGCTTATTGTAAATTGTAACACAGAAATTTATTCTCGTTCATATGTTAATAATTTTTTTTTAAAGAAAACAGAATATGGAGTTTTTCTATGAAGCTCCTTCCAATAAATCAAATTCTTATTAGAAACTTAATTTTGATTTAATACAATTATATGGAGAAATTAAATACTCAACCATAAATCACTCTTGTCATTTGAACGCTGCCGTTCAAATAATAAATTACGCGCACTTTCGTTTGATATGCACCTGCAGCCCCACACTTATTACAATTACTCGGGTTGCATTTGAATTAACTTAATATACTTGCCCTCCTTCAGTCGTAATTATTTGCCTTGAAACCACAAAAATACAATTATTAATCTAGTTTACTGCTCATTATAATCTTTGTACAAGGAAAGGCTTTTCCAGCCCCGACCTATTTCTTTTTTTATTTTGTCAAGTGAACTTTTTTTTAATTCGATTTAAAATTTTCTATTTAATAAAAAATTCATTTGCTCTTAGTAGGATTCGCAGTTAAATAATCCTCAGATCGCTCGATTTTAAAATAATCTTTTGCAATAAAATTCTATTGTTATCTAAATGAGCTCTAAATCAGTCGAGATTCCTCTTACAAAACTCTAGATATTTTTTCATCTTTATTTTTCGCTTCCATCTTTCGCGGTTGCAGCGTGACCTTCAACTACGACCTTCATTGATCTCGCGAGGCAAGGCAGGCGCCCGGCATTGTCTGCGTAATTCACATTGACGAGAAATGAAACTTGAGTAATGCTCGCGATTACCGCCGATCCATTCATGAATAACTAATGCATTTTGCGCGAAGTATGCGCTTTTCTACGAGTAAGAGAATTAAACAACGGCAAATATAGAAGAATCCAAGTATATTGGACGCGTTACATAAGGCAAGACTGGCAAGAGCTGGGCTCGATCGCGCGGTTGACGTGCGCCTCGTCCATGGTCTATCGGAATATATTTTTATCTGACACAGAACCGCATTTGGCTATTTCTGAATTAATTAATGCGGTTTAGTAAATAAAACTTCAGATAATTTTTAAGTAGAAAACTTGTATAAATTTGTATAATTCCAAAATCGCTTCTGAGCCAAGTAAAAAAATATTAAATAAGATATTATTAAATTATCATTTTTTTAATTTAATATTGTTTTTTTCCAGAGGGTTTACTACCTGTCTCTGGAGTACTACATGGGCCGATCACTCCAAAATACTATGATCAACCTGGGTATCCAAGGTGCCTGTGATGAAGCAATGTACCAGGTAAAAAAAATTCAGCAAATATTTTTAATTTTTGTAAATTTTAAGCTATTATTATTTTCACACACAAAAGTCAGAATTTTAAACTATTTGTAAAGAAAAAACAATTTTTATATACATATTTTTTTATAAAACAAATAAAATAAAATTTTGCAGCTGGGTCTGGACATTGAAGAGTTAGAAGAGCTGGAGGAAGATGCTGGTCTTGGAAACGGCGGTCTCGGCCGCTTGGCCGCCTGTTTCCTCGACTCGATGGCCACGCTCGGCCTGGCCGCCTACGGCTACGGCATACGCTACGAGTACGGCATTTTCGCGCAGAAAATCAAGAACGGCGAGCAGACCGAGGAACCTGACGACTGGCTTCGTTTCGGCAACCCTTGGGAAAAAGCACGTCCCGAGTACATGTTGCCCGTCAACTTCTATGGCCACGTCGAGGACACTCCTCAGGGAAAAAAGTGGGTCAACACCCAGGTGGTCTTTGCATTGCCCTACGATAATCCCATTCCTGGCTACGGAAACAATGTGGTCAACACTCTGCGTCTTTGGTCGGCCAAGTCACCTGTCGAGTTCAACCTTAAATTCTGTAAGCACATGAAAAATTTATTCAATTTTAAATTTGGAAAAAATAAATCGTGGTTAACATTTATTTCCTATTATTATTTTCCGCAGTCAACGATGGCGACTACATTCAGGCTGTGATTGACAGGAACATTGCAGAAAATATTTCTCGTGTCCTGTACCCGAATGATAACTTTTTTGAAGGCAAGGAACTCCGCCTGAAGCAGGAATACTTCATGGTCGCAGCAACCTTGCAGGTAAATAATGTAAAAAAAAGTTAAAAAAAATTTAATTATATAAATCTTCTTTGTAAAAATTCATAAATACAACAAAATTGTACAATTTAGGATATTATTCGGCGATACAAGTCGTCCAAGTTTGGCTCTCGGGAAGCGGTCCGTACCGACTTTGAGTCTTTCCCAGAAAAAGTGGCCATTCAGCTGAACGATACTCACCCCTCGCTGGCTGTGCCAGAGTTGATGCGAATCTTGGTCGACGTCGAGGGTCTGTCCTGGGACAAGGCGTGGGAACTGACGAAACGCTCCTGCGCCTACACCAACCACACGGTGCTGCCTGAGGCGCTCGAGCGCTGGCCCTGCAGCATGCTGGAGCACATTTTGCCCAGACACATGCAGATCATCTACCACATCAACTACCTCTTCCTGCAGGAGGTGCAACAGAAATACCCCGGAGACCTGGACAGGCTGGGCCGCATGTCCTTGATTGAGGAGCACGGCGAGAAAAGGGTCAACATGGCCCACCTTTGCATCGTCGGCTCGCACGCTGTCAACGGAGTCGCAGCCATTCACTCTCAAATTCTTAAGGACAGCGTGTAAGATTATTATTATTTTTTTTATTTTTTCATCATTTGTTTAAATCAAATTTTGTCAACAGGTTCAGGGACTTCTACGAAATGGAGCCTGAAAAATTCCAAAACAAGACCAACGGAATCACTCCTAGGCGCTGGTTGTTGCTGTGCAACCCAGCTCTGTCTGATATTATTTGCGAGGTAATTAAAAATATAATTTAAAAATGCAAATCTATTGCTTGTAAATATCAAAATCTGATTGAAATTAAAAAGTCCCTGATATAATCAGGGTATGCAAACTGCGCGCCTTTTATGTCTTGCAGGTTGCATACCTTCAATTACACAGGGGTTGTGATAATAAAAGTGAAATTACAAAAGGTTTTCTCTTAACTGTGTTGATTAAATTTTTAGAAAATTGGTGAAACTTGGACTGTCCACTTGGAAGAGCTGCAACAGCTGAAACAGTGGGCTGAGGACGCAGGATTCCAGAGAGCCGTCCAGAAGGCCAAGCAGGAGAACAAGATGAAGCTGTCCGAGTTGCTGCACAAAGAGTATGGCGTGGAAATCAACCCCTCATCCATCTTCGACATTCAGGTCAAGCGAATCCACGAGTACAAGAGGCAGCTGCTGAACTGCCTGCACATCATCACCATGTACAATAGGATCAAGAAGAATCCCAACGCACCATTTGTGCCTCGCACCGTCATGGTCGGAGGAAAGGTAAAAATTAAACCATTTATCAATTTACAAAATTTTTAATAAATTTTCTCACCAGGCCGCCCCTGGCTACTACATGGCTAAGAACATCATCCGACTCATCTGCGCCGTTGGCAACGTCATCAACAACGACCCAATCGTAGGTGACAAGCTTAAGGTTATCTACCTGGAGAACTACCGCGTGACCCTGGCTGAAAAAATCATGCCCGCTGCCGATCTTAGCGAGCAGATTTCCACTGCAGGCACCGAAGCTTCTGGCACCGGCAACATGAAGTTCCAGCTGAACGGCGCCCTCACCATCGGCACCCTGGACGGCGCCAACATCGAAATGGCTGAGGAGATGGGCCGCGAAAATATTTTCATCTTCGGCATGGACGTCAAAGAGGTCGATGCCCTGCACCAGAAGGGATACAATGCTCATGATTACTACAACCGCCTTCCTGAGCTCAAGCAGTGCATCGATCAGATCCAAAACGGCTTCTTTAGCGCAGGCAACCCTGACACCTTCAAGGACTTGGTCAACGCCCTTTTGTATCACGACAGGTGAGAATATTTTTAAGGTTTTTCTAATGAAGAATTAATGGAAAAATTTAAAAACAGGTTCCTTCTTCTTGCCGATTACGAGTCGTACATTGCATGCCAGGACAAGGTGAGCCAGACGTACAACGACCAGCAGCAGTGGACCAAGATGGCCATCCACAATATTGCCAGCTCGGGCAAATTCTCCAGCGATCGCACCATTGCCGAGTACGCTCGTGAGATCTGGGGCGTTGAACCCTCTTGGGAAAAGCTGCCTGCACCTCATGAGCCCCGCGACGATGAAGCGGCCAAGTAAAGTTAATAGATGCTGTAAAATCTCACTCACAAGATCATGATAAAAATATACCAAAATCATTTTTCTTATTTTGAGATGCCATACTCTGTCTTGTTGATGTTGCTGTTTTGCATTTCACAGTTTATTAAAAAGAATAATACGAAGTAAATTGTTGTGTAACTAAAGTAGGTCACATGCTCGTCTTGTTTTATGTTAGAGGAAAGACGGGGGATGTGTTTTGTTGATTATGTGCCATGATGTCCAAATCAAAAGAGTAATAAAATCTACACCAAATTGATTCAACCTGTTTTATTTAAAATAGATAAAACATCAAGCGATTTTTGTTAGAATTTGAAATTAGTAAATAAATGTCAACTTAATATAGAATGAAAAATTCATGGCTTCAAACTACGGATTAATGCAGCATAATACTGAATATCAGTCATTCATCAAGGCTAAGTTGGTCCATCACAATTCAGTTAAAGCACCTGTTTCACTCAACAAGATCTGGCAAATCTGAAGGCACATTTTCGATGCTTCCTGCTTTGGCAACAAGAGACCATTTTTCAGCTTGTTCAAGACAGTCGAGAGCAATTTTCTTCAACTTCTCCTTCTCTTTGGTGTCGCCATCTAAAATTTATGATTTTCGTCAGTCGTCTGGTGAACCAAATCTTTAATTTAATTTCAATATTTACCTGATTGCGAGTGGGCAAGTAGAAGGTCAAATATATCCGAGCCGACAATTTCAGTTGCGTTTTCCTTGCTCGAGGCAAGCAGCGAGAAGACAATTGCAAGGCCTCTGTGCTGGACTTCTAGGTTGGGGTTGGCAAGCAGGAATCTCAGAGACTCCTGCCAACTGCTAACTTTGAGGACCTTGTCAGCGCACTTTGTGGAAGCCGATAGAAGAATGGCAAGGGCTCCTGCAGCTGCCTTTGACGTTTCTTCATCCTCGTCCAAGCAGAGGAGAACGAGGAACTTCGTCCTGTCATTTTCGCCTTCAAACATGTTGATCACCTCGGGAGAAAGCAGAAGATTGACCATGCATTGAACGGAAGCCCTCGTGAGCATCTGATGCTCGTGGTACATGTAGATTTCTATGTTTTGAACTCCCTGTTCCTTCACAATTCTGCAATTTTACTAAATTAAAAACTTTCATATCACTGAAAAAATTTGCTTTACCTTTTGCGAACAGCTTCACTGACTCCTGCGAGGTTGCAAAGGGCCATCATGGCTTCAAAGTTTTCCAGGGCAGTGCAGTCTTGGTGCAGCAAGTGAACCAGCGGCCTGATGGCCTCCAAGCACTGGATAAAAACCAATTTATTTCAAGATATTTAAAACAAGCAGGACATACCCGCTGGCCTTGGAAGGCAACTTCAGGGTTGATAGTGATGCCGATTCGAGCCAGTGCCTGTGCAGCCTGACGTTTTCCCTTGTCTGTTCCTTCGACAGCAAGTCCAAGCAGCGCTTTGACCCCACCCTGCTGCGAAACTCTTCCCCGCTGCTCTTGCTGACTGCAGATGGCATTAAAAACTCTGCCAATCAGTTCTCGGCAGTTGTAGCTCTCTGTTCTCGCCAAAGAAACAAGGGCCGAAGTGACGCCCTCTTTGGCCAGCACCTCGATACGTTTGTTGACAAAATCAGGGTCGTCAAGTTCATGCTCCTCAGGGATGTGGTGTTTGGCAAACTTGGCCAACTCGAGCATCTCTGGCAGAACCTCTTGTTTGTCGTAAGCGTTGACGAGATTCACAAGAACAGTCACAATAGCATAGATGCTGCCTTGGCTTCCTGACTAAAATGAAAAATGACTTTAATAAAAAAATTTAATTTAAATTTAATTAAAAATAGTACCTTTGCCAAGTCGAGCAATGCCTGCAGGGCTTTTCTGTCCTCAATCAACTTTTCCTTCACGTCCGCATCCAAAGTCAAATAAGAGAGACCTTCGGCAGCCCAGCGACGTATGTCAGTGTCCTTAGCAGGGTTGATGAGGAACCGTCTGCACGCCTCAGCCAACTTTGTGGTTGATCCGTCAGCAAACGGCCTGATAGACGCGTCCGTACCTCCACTGCTTCCCAATTTGCAAAGTCCGACCAGCGCTCGGATCCTGATGGCGTCGTTCTTTGAGTTGTACAGCCTCTTCAGAATGTGCACTCCTTGACTGATGATGCTTTTCACTTTGTCCTTTTTTGAGGCAGCGGCTATTATGCACTCGCAAGCAACCTTTTGCTGAAGTTCTTCTTCCGAATTGGCCATAACAAGGATCATCTCCATGACACCTTCCTTGGCGATCATCGCATTGCCAGCGTCAAGGGCACCAAGCAGCAGAGTAGTGATTGTCACAGTCACTCGCACCTAATAATCTCATTATTTAAAAGACTAAAATTCAATGTCGATGTCCTTACTTTCGACTCAATGTCAGGAGCCATCAGCTTGTCCTTCACAAACTCTTCGACTCGGTCAAAATATCTCTTCCTAGCCTCGTCGTAATACATGTTCTCATAAATACGAGCCAAACACACAGAGGCCAAAGTTTTTGTGTTCTCTGTAATAGGCATGGCCGACTCATACTTGTACTCTTGTAACTCGCTAGAAACCTCAAGCAATTTGTAGAGACCGCCAATCGAGACAAACTGTTCAGCCCAGTCGAGCGTGGAGAAGTGGCAGTTTCTTGTCAAAAGCTCAATGATCGCATCTCGAGCTTGGCCAGTAATTGTTCGGCTTGTCAACGAAACGGTCAGAAAAGTCAGCAATGAGTCAATCATAGCTTTGTTTGCTGAAAACAGTAAAAATGGAATTAAATGTTTACATCTTAATTTTTTCATTACAAAAAAAAAATCGTATCGTTTTTTTCTTTTCAATTTTAAGATCTATTTTTGAAACCAAAATATAGTTTTTATAAAAAAAATAAAAAATAAAATACCTTCACATTTTTCCTTGATGGGTTTGCTTTCAGGCTTGTTTGTCAGTCCACTGAGGCTATTGATAATAGCCTGGAGGCAATACTGAGCTGCGTTGACTCGCGCCTCACTTTCACTGTTGAAGGTGTCCAAGAACCAGGGCAGGCCAAGGTCATTCAAAACTGTAATTGTCTAATAAAAAACATAAAATTGCAATAATTCTAAAATAATTAATTATTCAACCACAGTCCTACTTTTTCCTCAGAGAGCTGGCACAGCTCACTCAGCGTTCTAATAGCAGCGAGACAAATTTCCTGGTTCTTCTCAAGTTTGAGGACTGTTTTCAGTTTGGACAGCAACCCCTGCTGACACATCAAATCAGCTCCGGCTTTTTCTCTGGCCAAGACGACCAAATTTTTCATAGCCGTTTCTCTCTTCTCACTATCTTGACTGGGGTCAAAAGATAGTTCCATCATTTGCTCCACTTTGACCGAAGTCTTCGCTTGCTCTTTTATCTTCTCCTGCACCTTCAGATGCAGTCCAGACAAAAGAGGCTGCAGTTCCTTGTTGGTTGGGTCGGACTTCATTGCATTTGTAGCATCTCTGTAAGCCTGTAAAAATGTATTTTGTATTAAAAATTGTAGATTAATAGGCAACAATAAAAACAGAAAAAAAATGTTTTTACCTCTTCGACTCGTCCCAAAGCTTCAAGAGCGTTTGCCCTTCTAAAAAGAGCCTTGGGGTCAGTTGGGCAGATTTCGATCGCCGCATCACAGTCTTTCTCAGCCTTGTTGTACTTTTCCAATTTCAAGTAGGCCGCAGCCCTGTTTTTCAATAGGATAGCCCTAGCTGAGTCTGGTACAGGGTGCAGCTCCAGGGCCTTCGTGTAGCAGTGGACTGCCTGCAACCAGGCACTACTCTTGAAGGCATCGTTTCCTTCAAGTTTCAATTTCTGGACGTCTTCCTCGATTGCATTCGTGTCTCCTTTCATCTTGTCCTCAATGGTATGTTTTATGGTGAATCACCGGAACAGCAGGAGCAAAATCTCTTTTGCTGCAGTTGAAAAAGTGAAGTTAAATAATGCAACAACTTTCGCGCAGCGGCGGATTTATAACCTCGGTCCTCGTGGTGCTAGAATATTCGCGCAGCCTCTCGACTCTCTTCTTCCGAGAGTTATTTTGGGACAATTTGGATTTGAAAAAAGATCTGCGGTGCGCAACCTAAAAATATAATCTGATCTAGAAACATGTGTTGTGCCGCTTTGTTTATAAAACGCCAAAATTACAAAACAACCCTCTAGGTGTCACCACTGTAGGTCTCCCCCTTCTACTTTGCAAGTGCGCGGAAAAGTATGTAATGTATGTAATTTTGGGAAGTGATTTTATTATTATTATTTATATTATAATCTAATGAGTTATAATTTTATTTGAGGTTTCATTAACTTTTAATATTAAATAATATTTCATTTCAAAAATAAGTTCAGTGAATACAAAAAATATTATAACAGCATAATTTGGGTATTTTATTTATCCAGAACTGTGATTATACATATTACACAACAACTTAGTTGCATTATACATATTGACAGACCATCTCAACATCTTAATCATGTTTTGTATGCAATATAACTGCAGTACAACAGTATAATAGTATAACAAAAATATCACTGGTCCAATCGGCAGTGGCAACTTCTCATGAGTTCAAATGGCACAGAGTTGTCCACAAACACGATCGACTTTGAGGAAAAATAAATGTGATAAGGTTTATATCACTAAGGATGCAATAACTTGTCTCAATCCACTACGCAGAACTGGGGAATCGGACTCAGCTTCCAGGTGCTGGTTGTACTGCAAGTACCACCTACACGGCAGCATTGGATGTCAGCCTTAAACAGCCCCGGTGTAAAAAACACCAATGCGCAAGAATGTTCGACTGGTTGAGCTTCATCGAGCTGAAAATTGTTCATGTTTCAAATTAAGTTGAACATTTTAAATTAACTTGAACAGTCAAGCTACCTGTCCGAGGAGAATGGTGCTTGCTCCTGCAATGGCAACCCTGGTGTCCAATCTGTAGTTACGAGTTCCATTCTGGTAGTCCTGGTATATTGATATGCTCAGGGTCACATTTTCCAAGGGGAAAGAAAGCCTGTTTGTTAGCTTAACTGATATTACAAGGGGCTGTCCAGCTTTGCAAGTGAATTCTTCCTCGCATCGAACTATGTTGCCGTCCACACTCAGGACCCAGTCCAACGGAGAGGCTTTAATTGTGTCAAGCATAGACTCGGACAGTTTAATGCCATCCAGTTTCAACTGGCCCTTTCGTCCGTCCGCCAATGTCCACTTGAGCTGAGCGTTGTCCGCGACATGTTTACTGCACACCGCTTTAACTTCTGCAGTCACTTCCTCTTTTTCACGAGCGTAGAGCTAAAAACAGTTGGTTGAAAACAAATTTAATGCTGCAAAAAATATTAAAACCTCTGAGAGTATATTTAGAGGACACTTTGGTAGTGGCACTGGAACTCGACAAAATTCATCACCCTCAACGAGAATGGTCCTTCCAACAGCATAACAAAGCTCAGCCTCTTGCTGAGTCTGATTTATAATGTCCAAAACAAGATAAAATTCCGAGGGCCTGAAAAAATTTATATTTTTTACCGGCTATATTTCAATAATTACATTTATATACGTTTCTGCCGCAAGTACGTCCCATTTGACAATCTGCAGAGATGGCTGAACAATAATTTGTAAAGCAAGTTCGGCGGACCTGCAGTACCCAGCATCAAACCCTGGTCCTCCAGAGTAGCGAATTCTGAAGCTGCCTTCAATGGTGCTTGGTTTTGCTTGTTCTGGCTTCGACGGAAACTCCAAAGATGCTTTGGAGGAGTTAATCGACATATTAAGAGAGCTTGAGACAGCAGTTGATGCCAATGACACTGTATCTATTGATAATGGCAGGATTAAAAAAAATTCTAATTTAATTTCATGATCAAATACCATCTGCTGGAGGTGCAAAAAATTGAGCTTTCCCATAAATGTGTAGGGAGAATTTGACTTGCTTGCCGACATCAATTGGCAAAAGAATCTCAAGAGGCTTGTTATCCCAAGTGCCAAAAATCTCTTTCTCCGACGCTAGATCTAGTTTGGACCAGGGTTGCACGCTCAGCATTGAGACTTTAAGGTCAGTGAGAATATTTGTCAGAGTAACCACAACTTCTTGTCTGAAAAGATGATATTGAAAATTTCCCCCAAGAATAATTAAAATTTTCATACTTTTCTCCAGCGTAAACGGACAATATTCCAGACGTTGCAGCATCTCTGTACTGGCTTGAGTTAACAATTTTTGGCAGGGTTGTTGATATCTAAATAAATCAAAGCATTAGCAAAATCTTTCAATATACATAGATCAAAAGCTACTTGTAATTGAGGCATGGCCGGCACTACTTCAACGGTGAATTGACTTTGTCCATGCAAATGGTTTAGATCACCCAGGAGACAAATTGACTTGACGCCAAGGACGTGAGTTGAGTATCCTATAATGTTGAGAGTACCAGGCGCTCTTGGAATTCCCGCCAGGCTGACCTGGAGGGCACTGGTTTCGACGGTATTTAAAGAGGAGCTCAACGAAGAGAGGGACTCTGTGTCAGGCGCCGTAAAAGGTGGCAGAACCAGAGTGGACGGACTACTTTCGAAAACTGTTCCGCCAGTTAAAATTCTCTGCAAGTTGAGAATATTTGCTTGAAACCACCGAGTTTTAATTTTACATAGAACTTACCACATCAACTACTTTAAGCTCTATGGGCAGATGATTCTCTAAAATTACTTGTACTTCACAGACATCTCCCTCTACCCATAGGAAATCTGTGAAAAATTCTATTATTTTCCAATGCATAAGTTAGGAAACGTCAAATAACCTAGTTTAGTCTGGCCATTCGTTGAGTTGGCTTCCTTGCTCCTATCTAGGGAGCCGAATTTGAGCGGAGTAAAAAGAAACGGACCAGTCTCCACCTTGGCTATTTGGATCTTTTGTGGCCTTAAGGAGGCTATTAACGGGCAGGGCTTGAATGTGCTGGAAACAAAATTATATAACAGACTCTCAGCTTAATTGTATTTTTAATCATACCTGATGTGAGGTAAGTGGATTAGATTAGCTGGAGGAAGGATCAACCCAGTCTCGGGAAGAACTAAGGCAACTGGTGATCCCTCTTCCTGGCTTGCAGCTGCCTGCAGCTGGAGGGCAATGTCTTTCCTCTCCTGCATTTTCAAATGGGGCCACATGGCGTGCAGGAGAAACGTCAAGTGCCGCACAGCAATCTAGATCGAGTTTTTAATTGGTAAAATAATAAAAACAAAATCTTACTTGATTTGACCCCATCCTTTTTGATGCGGCGACTAACTCATGGAGAAGCTGAATTTGTAGAACCGGCCACCCCTTGTGGATAACTAGAGACACAAAGTCAGCAATTAATTGCAGCTCAATAGATAACAACTTACACGATATTTTAATAAAATAATTACTACCACTTTAGCTATGACAAAAGAAAATGAAAAATTGAGAGGAAAATACTGAAATTTCAAATACCCAATGAGAAGGCAACAAGGTGGAGAGTGCAGGAAGAGCCCCTGGTAGGTTTGAATTTTGGCAAATACTATATATTTTTAATTGCAATCTCACCTGTAATCATTTCCTTAGGGTCAAGAGATAGTTTGAGGCCAGCAAGAGCTTGAATCAGCAGCTGGTAGCATTGGGACCAGTTTGGATCTTCATTTTGAGCCGAAACGTGTCTCATTCCGGCCAATCTCTTGAAAAACGATGCTTTCCTGAGAAAGCCCAGAGATTGGTAAAGCTCTGCAATGGCCAGGAATCTATCGATCTTGTGCTCCTCCGTAAGATTCAAGTTAATGAGAAGCACATTTTGCAAAAAGCTGGATGCTTGAAGCTTCTTTTTGTGTAGAAAGGCTACTCTGGCTGCCTTGAAACACGCTTCTGTTTCCAACACAGCAGCATTCAAGTATTTGCTGTAGTGTGTGATGGCTTCTCTGTATCTTTTGCAAATTTCATCGGGTGATAAACAATGTTGCAACTCCAGTGGTGTTGCACCATTTTTTATACTGAAATTTTGAAATTCTTTCATCGACCAAATTAAATTTTAAAATGACGTATTTACCCATTTTGTTGTCTGAGCAATGCAAGAGAGGCTGCACACAGTCCTTCATAAGAGCCTAGAAACCCCACAATTTTATACATGATCAATAATAAAAAAGTAAAAAAAAAAAATACCTCCAAGCCAAAGCCAGTCATTTGCACTTTTGAGCACGTCAATGGCTGCCGAGTAATGAGCGGATGCTTCAGAGGGTAGCCCTGCTTGCAACGTGAGATCAGCCAGGTGTTTTGTTCCTCGGCCGACGCTCCTAGAATGTTATTGTCAGTGCGGAAAATATAAAACATCTTTTAAACGTACTTTCTTTTATTTGCTCGAGATTCCAAGTCGAGTCCAATGATGTCCTTTTTCTCAAATGGTGCTAACAGCAAGGTCACTTTATCTAACTTTTCTCGACTCCTCTCAAGCCTCTTGTGCTCCAGTACCCAGAAAAGCGACGAAACAAATTCTCTAATATCGCAGTCTAAGAGACACGGCTCATTTGCTGAAAAAGGTCGGCTGGCTGCTTCCTCGTCAACATAGTAGAGCGCTCGAGCTTTGAAGTTGGATGGAATGGTCAGAGCAACGGGAATAGCTTCAGCCACTGCAAAATTGGTTTGATTACAATAAATGGATTTTTTTTTAATTTAAACAAACCACTAAGATCGTCTAAAGGTGGCGTTGGAGATGCAGGGGAGGTAAGCGTGCTGTCGGCAACCGACGTTGCGTCGGAGCACGAGTCTTCGACCGATGAGTGGTTGGTTGAAGTAGGAACGGAACTGTCACTGCTGTGAGAAAGGTCTTCTGGTGACAAGTATGGGGACTCTGAGTAAGGAGAACTGGCTGTTGAGCGAAGATTAATCGAGGGACTGCGCTGCAGATGGCCTTCTTGATTCAGGCCCAGAATCAAGCATCTCGAGTCAAACAACGTCGACGAATATTTCACCTAGAAAATTCCCAAATGATTATTTTTATTAAAGAAGCAAATTAAAATGTAATCTGCAGAATTTATAATTGTTCAAATTCATGAAATCAATTTTGAATAATAAGAAATTTTAAATAACAACAAAAAATATTTAGATAAATTTTTTACCGCAGTAAAAATTAATGTTGATTATAATTGCTATTTTAAATTTTAAAAACCTTTAAAGACTCGTGTTGTCTGCAAATCTCATTGAGCTCCGTTTGACTGGTAACATGAGACACTGTCAGCAAACCCAGCAGTTTGCGGTGAGTTTGAAAGTCGCCCCAGTCGTTCTGAGAGGGCTCGTACTCGTTCACCAGTCGAACGTTAACCGGACGCTCACGACCCAGCGAGTCCGTCAGCTTCAGGCCTTGCACAGCTTTTTGAACTTGGTCCGACAGTCTGCTGAAGACGCTGCCCTTCAACTGCTTGCCTGTGACCCAAAAATGAAAAATATAAACACTCGAGGACATGCGCGTGGAAAACTGTCAGGGTCACCTATCGGCTTGAGGAGGACAAGCAGTGTCCGGTGCACGTCCAAGGTCTGATGGAAGTCCGGCTTGTTCATCGTGGTGTCCAGCTCAGGCGCAGATAGCAAGGCGGTCACGGCGGCCCTCATCGCGGCCCCCAACAGGCCCCCTGCAAGTGGAGCGAAATCAAGAATTGGGCCCTTTCATGGTGCGTCAGCTGCGGCGTGGCCGCGGCTGGATTTAAGGTGTGTTCGGCATGCGAGGAATGCGTAGAGCTACTTACCATTTTGTTTGCTGAGCACGCATTAACAGTTAAGGTAGAAGGGAGTGTCAAATGAAGAAGAGACGATAGACGATGGACCACATCGCAACTTAACAAAACATATGCTATGCTATATAATTCCGGACGCCAGTAGGGAGTGCAAAAAGGAGTTAATTTTACTCCATGACCTTGCGTGATTTATGAAATTAATTACTTTATTTTGTGCACTATGAACCTCTTAAAATCATTTTAAATAATTTTTTACACTTAAACACACTTAAATTAGATATTTCTAAGCTTTATACTTCGATAACTTGAGAAATTCTATTAGGTAATTGGTTACTACCCCTACTCCCTGTTAAACTACTTTGTCATTCTGTTCTGTTCTGTTTTTGTCTCGTCTCGTATGTAAATATAAAATAAATTTTGTTTTTATTTTCCAATTTAAAATACCTCCATTATGAAATAGGTTGTTTCAATGAAGTTTCCCCTGCTTGCTTTTTCATCCTGCACAATTTTGCAAGAATGTCAAGCATCTAGAAATTAATCTGAAGACAATAAAAGAGGTAAAACATTTTTCTCTATGCATCGATCCCGTTTTTATCATTTTTTTAAAAAAAAATATAATTTCAGTATGCCTCATCATTATTTTTTTACTTTGCAATTTCAGCACTTTTCGGCAAATGCTTATACCACATCCGCCACATTCTAGTGAAAGGTCTCATAATTAGCTGTCCGGACTGCAAAAATATTTCTCTTTTGTTGCTGAGCGAAGTTTTAGTTTTTTTAATATGGTAAGATATTTTATTTTCATTTTTATTTATTTCTTTCAAATGGAAAATATTTTATCATGCACCGTTAATTTATTTATAATAAATTCAAGTTTTCAAAATTAAAAAAGTGACTAAATTAGCTTTAACAAGAAAAAAAAATTTAAATTATCATTTTTTTTTTAAACGCATATTTATCAAGTATGTAGTGTACATTGTTGTCCTGCGTAAATAGATTTAATAATATCATAATTTGTGCAGTGCACCTAGATTTGACCTAATATAACAGGATGACTGAATCAATGGAAAAGGCTGCCATAGCCTTGTTGATGCGAGCCGTGACCCTCGACAAAGAGGGCCGGTTCACAGAGTCGTTTTCCTGTTACACTGAAGGAACTCATCTTCTAATGGAAGCAATTAAAGGTACACATGCACTTATTGAATTTAAAAAAAAACTTAAAATAATTTGCTTTGACAGGGATGACTGACAAGACAAAAAGTGATGGTTTCCGAGCCAAGGCAAACACTTATTTGACGCGAGCCGAACAAATTAAAGCGCACATTGCTGCCGAAAAACAAAAAGGTCTCTACACCGAGCACTTTGAGATCCATGAAAACGCCACTGGGTTTAGCTACAACACCATTCTAGGGCGGTTCTTGGGGGTTGACGTGGTGTGGGTACACATTGAAGACCCTTACATAAGGAAGCACCACCAGTGCGTAAATCTGTTAAGATTGTGTGAGCTGTTTGTGGCAAAATGTGTGCAACTAAAGGAAATCAGACTGGTTACTTCGTCGAGTGATGAAGAGCAAGCAAAAAAATTGTCTGATATATCAAAGAGTTTAAAAGGAAGGGGAATCAGTTTAGATGTTAAATATTCCAGCACTTTGCACGACCGGCAAATACGAATGAGCAGTGGATGGGTTGTAAAAATTGGTAGAGGGCTTGACTATTTTAAAGCACCCGAGGGCCAAATGAGTCTAGGCTATTTTGATCTTGACCTACGACCGTGTATGCACACAAGTGTTGACATTTTTTTCAACAAGCAGCAATGAAATTTTTAAGTGATAACGACTGATTTGTGAAAATAAATAAAATCCAACATACCTTTTTAAAAAAGATTTTTAATATAAAAGTTCAATGATAAAACAGATATAGCAGAGAGATGAGGAGATCAAAGCCAACCAGAATGAGTCCCTTGGACGGAATGCTTTGGCGCGGCGCAGGTGTTACAGGATGCCATTTGTGATGTATTGGAAGCGGTCGTAAAGGTTGGTGCTCAGCGAGTCCAGGCTGTTGCTCACCATTTTATCCACCAGCCTCTCGAGTTTCTCCTCGGTCAACGTCAAATGAAAGCGATTTTTCAACGCCTGGACCGTGGCTGCTCCTGATTTGAAGCATGGCAACTGAGAACCTTTTGTTTTTTTATAATTAGCAATTTTTTTTCTATTTTGTCAATGGTCAATTTACCTGAGCGCATGATTTCCACCAAAATCAACAGGTTATCCATGTGCTTTCTGGCTGCGAGTAATCCTTGCAAGATCAGCAATTTGAAGTAGCGGAACATGTCCGACTCTTCACCACCCATCACATCCACAAATTCCTGGGTCAGTTTGAATGGAGACGTCTCAAATCCCAGATTTCTTGGTGATGTTGACAAAATGAAGCCAAAATCGATGTGAATCAGGTGGCCCGTATCATCCAACAATATATTACCATTGTGCCTAAAACGGAAGGGGTTGAGATGAAAAACAAAAAAAAATTCCTCCGCCGGCGATATACCTATCCTTAACCTGAAGCAAGTAACAGACAACACAGTAAGCGGCACACGAGGCCACAAAATTATGCTGCGCTTCGAGGAACTCTTCCGAGTTTGCAGGGCCGAAATTGGCATGGAAGTACTCGAGAAGGGACAATTGGTGCTGTTTTTTAATCTGGTGCAAGGAAACGGTGTTCAAAACCGGTTCTATAAATCCGCTGTCTGCTGATAAACAGACAATTCTGAAAATTTAAAGAGTTAAAAAAAGAAAAATTTATATAGTTTTAAATCCTACTTGTATGGTCGCAGGCGCAGAGCAAGCTTCTCATCCTTCCACGTATTTTGCAACATCTCTAACATCTGCGCAGCAAGCATTTCCTGTCGCAAATCATCACCACATTTAATTATCACTGACAGCAGCCTCCAGTTTGCCATGCGGCCGTAAGGGGAGCTGTCTCGAATTCGCTGAACTTTGTCCATCCAAGGTTCGCTGGAATCGAAACTTAGCTTGACTAGAAAAATATGCATTTCGTAAGTTACCTTAAGACGTTTGCAGAAGGATCTTCGGGATCCCTCCTCCTGGCAAGGGTTCTAGGGTCAGTAAAAGCAGAAGACAGACGTCGTCTGATGTCTCCCGCAGCAACCATCATATCCCTAGAGTCACTGCTCTCAAGTGAGATTTGACTGATGGTGTCCCGGTCGACTTTCAGTTTGTTCACATACTGCAATAAAGTTCATTACAGAAGCTGTAAAACTTCTTCCACAAGTACGTACCTGCTGAGAGATTTCATCGTCCTCTTGAGTCCAGCAATCGTCGTTGTCGTAAGGACAGAGCATCCCCATGGAATTTGAGTGCAGCATGGTGGAAATGCTTTGACTGGTCGTTGTTGGAGAAGGCCTTTCGTTTGCCAACAGATTCTCCTCACTCTTGGTGTTTCTCAGGGCGTTGAGCATTTTCTGAGGAACAGGTGACGTCTCGATGTTGTCCACCTCAAGAACTTCCACGTAGAGAATAAAAGGAGCTTTGTCCTTGCTGTTTAGCACTGCCGAGAAGGTAGTCGAAATGTGCAGCACATGATGAGGAATTGTGCTGGAGTGAATTGGAAGCCAAACTCTCGCAGGCAAGTTTAAGTTAATCTGGTCTATTTCAGCTCTTAGTCTTATTGCTTGCGCCTCTTTGCCTCCGGTCAAGCCAGGAAGTAAATGACCAATTGCAAGAAGGGCTCGTACAAACTGCAGTTCGCCTTCCAATCTTGGTGCCTAAAAAAAATGCAAATTAATATTTCTTTCCAATCAACTGCTTCATTGGTTTTTGCAACTCACGCTACATATGCAGCTAGTTTGGCGACCTTTCAGGTTATTGACCATCCCTCTGTGGGTGTTGAAGCAAGTACAACCAGTGTTGAAGGCGCGCCCACTCCTCAGGTCTCCAAGGCACATTGAGTTATTTTCTGCTGCTGGTGACTCATTTGATTAGAATTTATGGCTATTTTAACGTGATCTTTGTACCTTCAGCAGAGGTCTGTCCTAAGATTAGAGCACTGGCGTCAGACTGAGAGCGCTGGTGGGCTTTTTTATTGGGCGATGGAGAGGTTAATGTGTTTTTCATGACTTCGCGCTCGTGGAAGCTTTTGGGACGCAGTTTATCAGAGAGAATTAATGTCTTCAGTTTGGTTCCTACAATAAAGAACGTCTGTTGATAAAGCGTACTAAACGAAAGCTACCAGAAACTGACCGTCGCTTTTTTTCTTGCTCGTTAGATGGGCATCAGACGAATATGACTCGAGGAGCCACACTACTTGCAAAGAAAATTCAGCGCTCCGAACGCATCTGATGGATGAATTTAGTGAGTCAATGTCTCCGCGAAATAAAAAAAAAATTACCTGTGTTTAAGGTAGGGGTATATTAGAGAGGCCAGTTCTGGGATGTGTATGTACATGCTAATGAGTTGAGGTAAATAGAAGTCCACCTCGTGCTCTTGGAAAGTGAATAATTTGTTGGCTGAAAATTACATTATTTCAATTTCAATGGCGTGTAAAAATTTAAAAAAATACCTATATAGGTCTGAACACCAATTTCCTTGGTGGTGAACAAGTAGCTAATTGCAAGTGGTGCCTGGAACATGCTGCTCTCCATGAATCGCAGCAAATTGTCCTTCTTAGGAACACACGATTCTTTGGCCACAGTCTCTACTGCTGTATCACCAGCCTGTTTGATAGCTTGAGGCTTAGGCTGCTCCTCTTCTTCGGGCTCAGACTTTAGATTTAATTTTTTATAAGCAATAAATAAAATAAAATGTAATAAAAATTTACCTTGACTTCTTCAGTTGCAATTGTCTCTTCGCTGCCTTTGGGCCGCGTCTCTGCACTAGAATCAGAGCCACAGATTCCAGAATCGTCTGAACCAAGACTAGTTATGTCTTCCTTCAGCTTGTTGCTCTTGGCAATTGGAAGTAACTTGGCCTTGCTGGCCTGCTGCTGCTTGTAACACAATAGCGAGTAACAATGAAATTAATTTGCGATTTTGAGGCAGTAGGAAGACCTACAAAAGTTGTAGGAGAAGATCTAGACGTGTCAGTCAATAAACTGGTTATTTATTAAATTAATTTTAAGCTCAAAAAATAATATTTTTTATAATTACGGAAGATGTAATTTAATAATAAAATAATAATATTCAGTTCAAGTATGAGATACTAATTTTTTTGGCAGGTACCTCGGGACTGGGTGTGACATCGACCTCTGGTATTCGATGCAAGTCGAGGTCAAGGCTGCGATGCCTGTGGTGTTGGGTGGTGGAAAGGGCAGCTACGGTGGTGCCTGCCGTCACCTGAGCCACGGGCGGAAGTGTAATCTTCATGGGCCTGCGAGATGACAAAATCAAGACGATTGTTTGTTTACATTTGGGTGCAAGTGTACCTAAAGTCCAGGCTGAGGTTTCGTTGGTGAGAGTTGGGTCCCCGTCTCGTCGGACAGGACGTCCGGCCGTGGACGTTGGGGAAGGCGTCGCTGGTCGCCTGCTCGCTGACCGCAGCTGCTGCAGGCTTGCCTTCGCAGCTCATGCTGCAATCTGAGAGCATGCAAACACATACCATGTCACAAGTGATCTGGATATAAATAAGGAGAGTAAAATAGGATAGGAGAGGCGAAGAGGAGGTGGCTTATGGCCCAGCTCAATGTTAAAAGATAGGACTGGGCCCAAGGTCACCCAGATAGTCCCGCCCCTTCGCCCCTCCTAACTATTTTACTCTCCTTAGATATAAATTGAAACAGAGATAGGTGGAGAGGGGCCTCGCGGGGAAAGTTTGGGAGAAAATAATATTCGCTCGGGCTCGAGCATGTATGTATTCCTGCGTGACGATTACACAATCGGTGCGAATTACACTACCAGGATGAGTGTTGCATCTAAAAGTAAAAGTCTCACCGCAATTAAAGTGACTCAAGGACAGAGTGTGAATCGCCAACTGACAAATTGCAGCAGTCCATTTTATGGTGCTCGTTGCTGGTGCGAATTGCGAGCCGTGCGAGCTCCTCAAACGCCACTAAACAGTCCGAATAGCAGCACAGACGCACAACACTAATGCTAATTAATTTCCACTACGAATGACAAATCAGTGGACATTCAAGTAATCTGGAAACATTACACAGAACAAGGTGGAATTCGCCTAGTGAACTCAGCCATGACATGTTATGCAGTACACGCAGTGTGACCAACGTGACAGCGCATCATGGATCTAGGCGGCAACGTGGGTGTGGTCATGTGGTAAATGCATTTTTGACGTATATAATTTTACATGGGTCCGTCAATGAGAATGAGATCTGGCTGGCGCTCGCCCCTCCAGGCGAATGACCCCGAGTTTCTGCCCTTTATAGCAGGGCGTGGCACCAATTAAATTTAGTTTATTTTCACCCTACATGATTCACCCATTTTCGAAGCAGAGGTCACAATCATTTGATCAACCTCATAAATTAGTTCAAGCTGATTTCCACTGATATATCTTTTTTCAATATTAGGCAATTAAAAGGAATACATTAGTAATTGAATGTTTTAGTGTGCTTTATTTCAAATATATATGAGTTTCTAAGCAAAAACAAGATCGTTAATATTTATCAATATTAATTGAAGAAAAGATTGGCAGTATGGCTGTTAAAATATATGTAAAAAATCATTTTGCATAATATTTCATCCTCTAAATCTGGTATTTAACAATAAAATGAGGAAATTTGTGCATTCTTCATTTTTACAAATAATTATTGTTCTATCAATAGTTGTGAGAAAAAACGACCAAAAACTAACAATACATTTCTGCACATTGGCCAGTGTGGCATATAATCCTAAAATACTTGACAACAAGTGATAAAATTCTAATTTTGAAGGCTCTTTATCACATAATGTTACAATTATTATAAACATGATTAGCATTTACATATAAGGCCATTGACAGAGACTTTCCAAGCAATACTTTTTGTTACGATTTGTCAGCATTGTCATTTTGATATTCATTTTCCGGGCAGCTCGTGAGCCTTCCTCAGACGGCGCCTCAGTTCAGACGGGAAGTGCTCGTAGCACCTCTTGCAGACGGGCTTCAAGTCCACCTCGAAGAATTTGGTTTTCTGATTCATCTTCTGGTCGCAAATGGAGCAAGCAAAGTGGTGCACGCACCAAGCTTTGTTCAGGGCGGTGAACACTAAAAAAAAGTTTTTTTAATTGGTGTTGAAGTCCAATTTCAATAACTAACCATCGCCACCAATAACTTGGTTGCAGACAAAGCAGAGGTTGCCAAAGAGCTGATGATAATGAGTCTCGCAGTAAGCAAGACCCTTCTTTTCGTAGTGACGATGGCCCAGGAAGGGCTTCTCGCACTTGGCGCACACGAAGTGCTGAAAAAGTGAATCAACATTATAAAAAATTAAATAATTAACAGCAACTTTACCTCGACATGCCAGTGTTTGCCCAGGGCGGTGACGACTCGCTCCTCAATGGGACGGCGACAAGCACCGCAGATGGGAATTCCCATCTTGTCATGGCAACGCAGACAGTAAAGCTCATTCTGTTTATCACAGAAATTAAATTAAGTGCAAATTCAATTAACATAGCAAAAACAAGTACCAGATCATTTGCCGAGTAACCCGGACGGTTGCGCACCTCTCGAGCGTTCGAGTCGAGCTCGACGCCACATGCAGTGCAGTTGAAGTGGTAAGGATGGAAAACCTCACCTCGGAAGCGCAGAGGCTTGTCGTCGATCAGACCACTGAAATTTTCAATAATTTTTTTGCAATTTTATGTTTAAAGTTATTATTATTATAAACTTACTGGCACTTGTGGCAAACGTAGCGGCCAGTACCAGCCGCCTTGGCTTTTGTGTTGCACTCATGGCACAGGGCTCGACCCTGATGGCGAATGAAGCCCAAATCGGCCAACTCCTTGTCACACATCTCGCAGCGGAAGCATCTTGCGTGCCAGTTGGCATTCATGGCCTTGATTACTCGGCCAATCACAAACTCGCCTACAGAATTGTCAAAATAAGAGAGATTAAATAAGCTAATAATTTATTTAAAAAAATATTCAATTATTAATTAATCAATTCATTAGTTTCAAATTTTTTTACTTACCGCAGCGGCTGCAGCACGGTGCGAAAAGCACGTGGAAATCATGTTCGCAGTATTTGCGGCCCTCGAACTCGTAGAAAACTCCCTCGGGAAAAGGTCGGAAGCACTGGGCACACCTGATACAAAAAAGAAAAAATAAGAAGAAAATTATTTTGCAAGCATTTTTCTTACACAAAACACTGGGGGTGCCACAGCTCGCCGTTCGAGTTGACGATCTTCTCGTGGGGCTCAAACTCCTCGTTGCAGCGAGAGCAGAACATGGCTCCCAAAGGCGACATTGTCACACTGCAAGACAGAAAAAAAATTCCAATTAATTTCGTGACTCGCTTTGGCTTTCGGTGGAGAGCACGGTTTAATCTGCCTTCTCCTAGTGTACAAGTTGCTGTGTTCGAGACTTTGCAGAATTGGTCGCTCCATTTTGACTCGGCAGAGACGGTGCTCGTCGAAGAATGCACTGTTTAATAAATGTCATGTTTGTCGCGGCCAGAGATATTTACCGTGTAAACTGGTACGTTTTAAAAAATTCAGATAAGAACGGAGGATGGATAAGAGCTGCGTGTGATAAGAAAATACTAAATATAAAATTGTAAACAAATAAATACAAAAAACTCTATGTATAAAAATAGCCTAAAGTTAGTTTAATTAATAGAAATTAAAAATAATATTAATTTTTATGTCAATAATTTATTTTTATTGTATAAAAAGTAAAAATTATAAACATCTCTATTTATTTTGCATAAAAATCAATAAAATATTTTTATTGAAAAATTTCCTAAATTATACTTTCCACAATATCAAACGCCAATTCTGATATGCACAGGTTTTTTATGCTCATTTCTTATTTTATAATTATTTTTGTAAACAGCAGTGCGCCGGCCATCACGATTTCACGGCTTTTGAGATCATCGAATATCAGATGTGGGGGGATCGACGAGGATCTGAATTGTTTGACGAGGCTTTACGCCTAGGAAGAGACGATCGGGTAATAAAACTAAGACCAAGATTACGCCTTATCAATAAATAATCGATAGCTACCGAGTAAATAGCCAAGGAAGAGTCGGTTCGAAAGATTTTGGCAAATTAACATCGGCATTCGCACGTCACCTGGCTCTGTTGCGTCCTTGCAGTGACGAGTTTTGATTTATCTCGGGGAAATCAGCTTATTCTAGAGAGCAAATTGTAGACAAACTTACCCTGGCATTGGTCACCAGATTAAGTGGCCAGTTTGCAGGAAATTAACGGGCTGAAGGAAATTATAATGAGCCTTTTCCTTGGTCCAAGTGCGGTTCAATGATTGTGCTGCGGTCTTCGCTCGCCTCTCCACACCACGCCTCTTCCAAGAGTAAAAGTGACGTCACTTTTTATTCAGGCTCAATTCCAAATTTAGAAGTTGGCAACTTTTGGGGTCAAACTAAGCGCATGCGCATTATTCATCCACTTAAGGCGTGTGGGCACAAAAACTAATAAATTTACACAATGCATGGATGGCAGTACAACTGAAAATGACGGAAAATGAGCTAAATTAATAAAATTTAAAAAAAAAAATCATTTTAAACTTTTAAACCATGCCATAAGGTTGTATTTAATATACATACTTTTATTTAATTATTAAAATTTTTTAAAATTAAAATTAATTTATTATTTTTTTGGAGAACAATTTTTAATCAAAGCCAAAATTTACCTTAATTAAAACTCATGGAGTATATTTTTAATTTATATAATACATACACAATAAATATTCAAATATTGACACATATTTTCATACTTACAGCATAATAATATTATTATAAGCTAAATAGAAATCGGTTTAATTTAATTGAGAGTACAATTAAAATAGGTTTGCATTTAAAAAAAAAAAAAAATAAAAATATGGATCAATTAATTTGAAACTTTTGTATGTCAAATAAACGTTATGCAGTGCTCAGTTTTTGCCAGTCCAAAATTTGTTAAAAAGCTGCCCAATTACAGAACACAATTTTTGTGTGCAGAAAAATCAATAAGAAATTATTTGATCAATGTTCATTACAATATTTCCATGTTTAAAACGACTTAATTGAATTAAATTTATTTCAAATTACTGAAGTTAATACAGGCAGGCATTGTTTCACTGAGATATAAAAAAGATTCGGAGGTAAATAATTATAATTACAATAATAATTAATACATAATAAATAAATGCATTATTTATGTTCCTTAATGAAAAATGATCACTTTTTGGAGGCTACAAATTTACACAATACTTTTCATTTGACTAATGAACATAGTGGTCGGTAATGTATTGCTGCTGCGGCGCTTCGACAATCACACTTGTGTACCCTGGTATCTCTGCGCAGTCCGAGGTCTTCTTGGGCTGGTGCGCAGGGTACATGAGGCCACCCTCTTTGAGACACGGGTTGATCAGTTCAGTCGGCGGCAAGTAGGCGTCCAGTTGCTGGAAAAACTCTCCTCCTTGCTGCTTGTTTTTGTGCCCTTCGTCGGTGTCGGTCGAGCTGCACGGACTCGAGCTCGCACTAGAGGAGTGCTGCAGGAATGGCTGCGGTTCGTAGTGCACCTGAAAAAATTGCAAAAATTAATCATTTATTTTATATCAATATACAAATTTTCAATTTGGCATAAAATTATTTAAGTAATAAGTAAAATAAATGAATTTTTGATTGAACAAAGAAGAAATAATATGAAAACATTTTTTTTTAATTTTAAAAGTACGAAAAAAATTGCCAAAAAAATAATTACAATAATATTTAACATTTAAAATTAAATTTTTTCATTTCATTATATTTTTCTTCACTTAAAAATAAAACTATTAAATTACTTTAGGGGACACTTGCCTCATATGGCTGCTGTGGCTGGCTGTGGTTGTGGTGGTGTTGCTGCTGATGATGAGTAAAATCGTAATTGTTTAAAAATGCGCTGTCTTCTGAATACGAAGTGAAAGGCACCGAAGCTGAGAATTCGTGGTACGTGGCGCCGCTCGAATCGCTAAAGTCGTCTTCCATCAATCCCATTACAAGGGGTGGCGGAACTGCTACCGGCGCAGCGTGGGCCGCTCGGGGTTTGCTGTGGTTGTTGGTGGTGCGGCGATTTCTCGGTTGAGAACTGACGCTGCTCGGGCGACTGTCCAGAAGTTCTTCTTTTGTCGTCGAGCTTGGAATGGAGCCGTTTGTGCACAACTGCTCTGAGTTCAGTAAAAAGTCTCGGGCCTCAAAATCACTGAAAATTTTGTATAGAAAAAAAATTAAATTGACTTATTCGTGTATATTTTGCGTGATATTTACCTAAGGGCATAATTAACGCTGACAATGCAGTGAGGCCTTGATGAGCGGGAATTGTGCACAATTGTGGCGTAGCTCTGCATCCAAACCCAGCCTCCGTTTTTGGTCATGAAGCGATAATACTTGGTCGTCACCTGGCCTTTGTACAGCACTGAAAGGCACAACAAGAGAGCGACCATTAAAAATAAGAAGGGCAAAAAAATTTAGAAACAACATGCGATTTTTTTAATGCGCCAAGAGCAAAAGAAAGTTTTGCTAAATATCAATAATTGATTAAAAAAATAATACAAATAAGGATTCTTTTACTGCGTAATTAGATGAAGTTTCTTTTGGATAATTATTTCAAAATTAAGGGCAAACTTCGAAGATTTCTATATACCATAAAAAAAATCATATATAATTATATTAAAATGAGGATCATGCGAAGTCATTCGCGCTCTTTGCAGAGCCATCGCTCGGCATCATTGAAAGCTCCAACAGATGTTTTGTACAACAACCGGTTTCATTTTTATTTACCGATATCTTTTCATAAGGGGTGTAGAAAAAGGAGATCCAATGATGATTTACATGAGATGAATTGTGAATTTCTAATATACCCCCTATTTTCACTATTAAAAAATTCGTGGGGCCGCTAATTTTTTTTCAATTTCTACAATATCAATGTTTACAAGAAGAAACAGCAAATCATAAAGTTAAATTAATTTTTAACTTCGGTTAATTTTATTTGTATAATTCAATGCATAAATAAATAAGATATTATCTTCATTTTATAATAAAAATATTTGCGCAAAAGGAAAAGTGAAATCAGACTCAAGAGCATATATAAAATAAAAACCATGAGTTGTAAAGCGATCTGCTGTTCGCGCATCAGCACAATTTTCTAGACTTCAGCTGACGAGAGGACACACAGCAAGTCTTGCGCTCTCAAATGAAATAAAAACTATGTACAATATATAAAAAAGCACCCTTTTCTCAGGCAAGGTATTGATTTTCGTCTGGGCCAAGACAAATAAGTGCATTCGCGTACACAGCACACACACAAGTAATTGAGAGCAGGATTATTTCGGCGCTGTGCAAACACTCGGGTGCAGCTTTTGCGCCGGGATCTATAAAATCGAGCAAGCTGCTCTGATATGGGGGCCGCGCGGCTGCAGGGATAGAATTGCACTGCAGCTCACAGCCGTCATTTTTCACACTAAACGAAAATAAAAAGCAAGCAAATAAGTTGAGAAAAGCGAGGCACTTACGTGTGTGGTGAGAGAATCGCATGTGCATGATATCACAGCCGTGGATGTAATGGTAAAGGGTTTTCTCGATGAGATCTTGCGGCTCATAGCCGGTCAGTTGGGAAACTCTAAAATCATTAATCATTCAACAAATTTATAAAAATTATTAAACATTGTTCCAAAGAGGAAAAGGTAAAAACGCTTTTTCTGTACAGGGCACTTTTTTGCGGTGTAATTTAACATGAGAGTAAATAAAATAAATAATAAAAAATATTTAAAATTAAATTAAGGAATATTTTAATCTCGGCAGTTTTAGCTAAATTCTTTCTAGTTATTTTGATAAAAAAAATTTTCAAACAAATAATTGTTGCAATTTGGGCAAAAAAACAAACAATAATAATTTAATAATAATTAAATTTGCTACAGGTAAATTTTATTTATTTATTTTACCTCGCATCAAGGAAGATCAATTTCATGTCGAGACTTGCTCTAAACATGAACATGTTGGAGTGCATTTTGATTTCAGTTATTGCACTGGGTGGAAGCGAGTGTCCCACGGCCACAAGTCCCACGTTCTGGAAGCATCCGTCGTAAGGTGGCGTGTCCAAAGGGTACTGCTTCACTTTCAAATAACCAGAGCAGTGAATGACCTGCAAATCAAAGGCAAAAGTGGAGCAAATTTAAAATTGCGAACTAATGCGTGTTGGAAGCTAAGTTAAAAATATTCATATTGAAGGAAAATAACCTTTTAAAAATGTAAAATTTCTTCCCTTTTCCATATTATAACGTTAATTTTGAATCCAGCGTAAATTATCAAAACTTTTGCGCCTGAGGCAGGTTTTTCCCTTTTATTTTATTTTCAACGGAGAGTTTCTGTTGAATATAAATAGACACAACTATTAGCAGGTAGAAAAATGTGGTGGTTTGTAACAAAAAAAAGAAGTATTGAACGGTTAGAACAAAACCAATATGCGCGCAGAGGAGGCTTTTGGTGCGCGACGGAGCAAGCGTCATCCGGCGTTGCAGCCTTTTTTACAAAGGGCAAAAGAAAAGCAACGGATCGAGAGCTATTTTTTCCATACGCACTTTTGCTTTTGCCACACGGCAGGGAAAAGTCAAAAGAACTCGGAATGTTAGATGCGCGTGTCTACGAATACGAGATGAGCTGACATGAGAGCGCAGTATCACTGCCGCTAAGACCGACGCCCTTTTGTTTTGTCACGCGCGCGACATCCACCCCAGACAAATTTCACACCTGTGCCGCCTCCAATCAAGTCGGCAGCTCACTCTGATTTATGACTGCGAGCAGAAACTTTTCCTTCTCGCAGCAATGAATATTTTAAAATCGACACTCGGCAAAAGTTTCCTTTTTTCTTCTTCGGCTCTGAACAGTCTGAACGAGTTTCTTATTTTTTTTTTCAAAACAGTTAAAAGCATAACAACCGCGCGCAGAGTTAAAAAATAAAGTCGCGTATGATGCGAGGTCAGCAGCAGTGCAAGTCGTAAAAGAGCAAAATGTTTTCAGCCCATGGAGAGGCAGCTCTCGTCACGCACATTTTAAATGCAGCACAAAACATAAAGCGCTGCTCTCTCTGCGCGCTTCTTCGGGAATTGGTCTTCGACGAAATGTGTCGCCAGAGATTTTTATTGTTTTCCAACACGCTGAATTTATTTCCATTGTGCTGGCGCTTATGTGATTCTTAAAACAACTGCTTTACTAGCAACTCAATTTGTTCCCCTCCTTTGAACTCTGCAATATTGAAGCTTTATTATTTTCAAATAAATAAATTTAGAGTTTATTAGATTTAGCACTTTTTAACGCTCAATAACTCATGGAACAAGATGAAAAATAAATCTCTGTGATGTCTATTAACTAAAAAACTGTATAGACCACCTTTTCTTGAGAATATCCTTTTTACTTTAGGGAAAAGATTTGCTAAAACTTTCATTTTGTCTAAAAAGAAAAGTTTGTTTTTTATTTCGACAGCTGTTTTGCAGTTTCATTACTCAATGTTAACCTAGAATTTTGTCTAATATAAATTTAAATTTAGAAATAAAAGATTGAACCAGAACAATGAACGAAAGCGTCGATTTTTTTTAAACTTTATATATTGGTCTTATGCAATTTATCTTACGCACGCTGCATGTCGTGCAGGTTGCATTTGATAAAAATTTTATGGTCAGCTGCGGCTCAACGCACCTAAGGTTGAGGATAGATTACCTCTTCGCATTTGTTTCTTGATTCTCATAAATCATTATAAAACGGAAAATCCCAGGGCAAAATTATTTTTCTTCAGTTTTTAATAATTGAAAAACGTTCAAACTTTTCTTACCTTGTATCCGCCTGTTGTAAGTCCAGCATTTCTTTTTGCCAAAACGCACTTCATTCTCATGAAAAACAGCCTTTCCAACTCAAACTCTGCAACAATTTGGAAAGAATTTTAGGAAAATGGAAATTTTAATTTCGCGCTATTTTTAATTTAAAATAGAAAATCTTCACCAACCATGAAGGTTGTGGAGGACGTGCGGAGATATTGGGGGGATCGTACCGGGGGTGATGCTGAGGACACTGTTCATCTCGTCGTGGTCGGCAGGGTGGATGTATTCGTAAATTGAGTTTCCAGTCAACTCCACCTGCAGCAAATTGAGCCGAACATTGTAAAGTCAAAAGGCCAAAAGTTAGCATTAAAATAAAGGTTGGTTTGTATAAAAAAAAAATATGAGAAAAGATGGCCACCGTTTATTATTTCAATAAAAAGTGAAAAGGCGGAGTCGAAAATTCGAGGCCCGACGCAGGTGCGCGCCGCTTCAATTTTTCTCCTCGCCTTTTTTATATATCTTTTATTATGGGCGCCGCGCGGACTCCTGTTTGCTCGCATGCCGCTGAAGAGATCAAATATTTGAAAAGACATAATGTTTACCTGCGACAAACCAAGATGGACAGAGGCCGTCTCGGAGATGTACATGATCTTGCCGTCTGGAGCCACAACAAAGATGAAGCCGTCCAGGGTCTAAAAAATATATTAATATTTAATGGTTTGACGCCAAATGAGCAAAAAAAAGAAAACGTGTTAAATCTTTTGAGGCACCGCTATTTATTGTCATATTATTGTGAAATAAATTATTTATTATTTTTTTTAAAGATTTAATTTTATTGATAAATTTACTTTATGGAATATTTTATTTCATGAATTATAATTTTTTACATGTTACAAAAATAATGCTTTTTTGTAGAATTCCAATTTATTTAAATATAAAATCAATTGAAATTGCATAAATTACCTGCAGAAGGTGGGAACCGAGTTCTTTAATGCATGACTCTCGCGGGTTGGTGATGGGCGGCGCCGCACCCCAAGCGTCCCCCAGTCCTGTAACAAAGTGGCGCACATTGAATCGAGAGGGCTGCAACCCCTGGCTGCTCCCGCGGCCGGGTGCGTGCTGATGCATTGAACAGCACTTATCTGTGATTGCGCAGCCCCTGCAGCATTCTATGGCCGGGATTAACACCACTCACGCCACCAGCAAAGGGAGCAACACCCCGCCAAAAATAACATGCAGCAGCATTATTTGCTCTGGACATGTGGCCCTTTTAATTTGCCTAAATGTCTGTCGCCGCGGCCAGAACTAACAAATCGTCCAAATCGCTAATCCTATCCACAATTTGCTCTTATAATCTTTGCAATGCAGAATATTTTACTGCTTCCATATTATCAAAATGAATAAGTTGCTCGCAAAAAATATTTTTATTAATTCTCACGTTTGAAAAAAAAAATAATAATTATGTGAGTAGAACTAAAAAATTATGAATAAATGTATTGAGGTCGCATGAGCTAACATGCAATTAAAAGAAACTGCTCAAAAACTTTATGGAATGGAATTTGTTCATTTTCTGTCTATTTTAATAAGTTTTGTCTACGGCACGGCCATAGAATTTAAATCTCTTTTAAGTATTAATATGAAATAAATTAAATTAAACAAAATTTTAATGCGTTCACGAGTAGAAGCAAAAAATATTAATTAAAATAATTAGAGAAATTAATAGGAGCAATCATATTTAAAAAAAAACAATTATTTTTTACATCAAAAACTTAAAAATAAATTAATTCTTCAGAACGTTATACGGAATATTTGAAAGGAAAAATTGCACAGCAATTTCTATTATTAACACATAGAAGCATAATCAAAGCGGTTTACTGCTAATGTGGTCCACATTTTTTAATGTGTTTTAGTAAAAAAAGTACAAAAATAACATTAATTGTGAACTGGTATAATGCAAATTTGTGCTAGCGCATGTACAGAGAGTGCGCATAGTGATTCATTTGGATGATGCATAGAAAAATGCTGCCGCAATTATTGCGTAAATAATTTATCAAAGAAAACTGCATTAAAACGGCACAATAACTTTTTGAAGACATACTGAGTAAAGAGTGCAAAATGCGCTCTGCAAATTTATTATAAAATAATCGCATACACATTGCGTAAGAAATCCGCACGTTTCTATAAATTAGAATAGCTTTAAAGTGGCTTATAATAATTACAATAATATATAGTTTTATGCAATACAAGTTGAATTCTCCAGCTATTTGTTGCTGGCTGTGCAAATTTTAAGTGTTTTGAAAACGGACGTGCTTCTTCGTGGCATTTGTTTCCTTGGTTGCGCGTAAAAAATAAATAAGCTTTTGCAAAACAAAAAACAAAAGAAGGTAAAACAACCGTATATATAGAAAATCTTGGAAAATATTCTGAATTGCACTGTAGCTTTAGAAACATAAAACTGAAGGCACTGACATATTTATTGATATTGTGCAGGCCTTTTTAATGAAAATAACAAATACATACGTTAAACGGCGAGATTCCTATCTTTTGTGTATCTGCGGTTGACAAAAATGAATTTTGACATGACAAAGTAAAAATGCATGAAATGTTCATGTCAAGTGAAGCCGCACACCAAATTTAATTCTTTGCGACGCGACGACTCTCGCATTCTTCAAAAGGTGCAAAGCGTTTTGCATCTTTCTCTGATCTTTGATCCCGCACCTGATACGATTATATTCCTTTTTCCTAACAAGGGAGAGTGCACATGCGGCCGAGAATAATAAAAGCACGCATGCAGTGCGTTTCACCAAACAACAGTGCACCCGCAGCCTTTAGCATAAGAGCAGCAGTAGACGCGAAACTCCTATACAGAAAAAATAAATAAATATTCCTCGGAGATTGTTTGATTACAGTGAATATCAACCTCATTAAATAATATAATATTTTTAGAAGCAGTCAAGCTAAATGCATTTAATGTTGCAATACTAATGTGTTCTTAAATATCTGCATTATTTTTGGTTTGATGGCATAAACACCGAAAAGTTTTTTTTAGTAAATTTGAAGAATTTGAAAATTTTTATAAAATATTTAATAAATCCAATAAATATATATGTTTCATCTAAGATAAGACAAAGCTAACGAATAAAAGTGTTACATAGAGAGAGAGCAATATTTTTAAAAACCATGTGCACGGCTGAAATTTTTTTTTACCAAATATCACCACAGTAAATCAAAACAATATATAAATTTTGCTCAGATTTTAAAATACATATTTATTTATTTGGTGAAATTTTCAAATCAAATTATTTTTATTATTTAAGTTTCTCTGTGTTTTTTTAATGAAGAAAATTTTTTAAATTGGTAATTTTTAATACAATGTCAAGATATTTTTATATCCGCACCCGCATTTGCTATTATTTTCCTGATGATGCAAAAAGAGAGGGAGGAAGCGCAGCAAGTAAAGGAGATAAGACACGCGCATGCATGTCTCCCTCTTTTTACCCTCTTGCACTGCAATTTGATCCAAAAGCATGACAAGCGAATAATTGTTTCTGAAGTAAAGTCTATAGTTCTAACTGACAAAAAAATTTAAGACAATTTCGGATAATTTTATCTGAATGAGATATAAAAATAAAATTATATATTTTTGTCTAAATGTTCTGATATGCTTATTTTCATACCAAGATTTAATAAATATTTCTTATGTAGCCAATGTTTTAAAAATAAATATTTATTTGAAATTGAAAATAAAAATTAAATGTGGCTGATATAAAAAAAAATTCTTGTTACGCGCGCCGAATTTGCATAACTTATTTATACAGAAAATATCCTCAAGTTATTTTTGTACAAATACGACATGCTTTTATGATTGTTGAAGATTATGTTTTGTACTCACCATCTGGAAAGACATGTCGCATCTTGAGGTAGCTGGTGGTAAGTCGAATGATGGATGCTTTGTCCAGCTGGCTGGTGATGGCCGAGGGCAGAGGGAGCAATTTGGCCAGCTCCAGAAACTCGGCATTCTCCTTCTCTCTGCGGCTCCTCGCCGCGTTTTTGCTCTTTTCCTTCATCCTTTTCACGCACCTTTAAGAACCATGGGAATCAAAACATTAGAAAAGGAATTCGTGAAAGAAGGAACACCTGACCAGACTGCATGGCGAGGCTTGTGGGCAATAAACCCCCGCTCGGTGCAGGGGGAGGAAAAAACAAGAAAAGTCGCGTGGGAAATGCTTTCTTTTGAAAACCGCCCAGGCAGATTTACACCCAAAAAGAATGTGTTGCACCTGATTTTTCAGCAGCGTAACAAAACCGATTCTTCGCCCCTTCTTAAATTTTTAGGGCTTTGCTCAATTTCAGTAGTTTATACCTGGGACTCTCTCTTTCACAGGCCGCTCGGCGGCACTTTGACCTCTTATTTATAATGCAGATTTGAGCCGCGGCCTTCTTAGCAGTGCAACAACACATTTTTTGGCACAAAAGAAATGCACCTAATTGCTGGGCGCGTAAGATCAAAGGTTCGGCGCATTTTAGGGCTCCATATTCCCAAGAGAAATTGAAAAAAATACAAGATTGCAAAAGTATAACAATAACAGATTGTAAAATGAAAAGAAGAAAATCTTTCAAAAGTAACCGATTTTTATAAAAAGTTTGTGTTTGAAGCTAATTTTTTTTAATTCTTAAAATAATTAAAAACGAAATCATCACAGGTTTTTCCCTCGATATTTTCGTCGATGAAGCGCCTGAAACTTGAGTGCATAGGGGATGCTGCGCGCTTGAAAGACTCGAGAGGAAAATCGTCTTTTGTCTCATCAGGAAACAAAGGATGTGTACCATCAGCATAAACTTCCGCTTTTAAGAAATGTTTACAAAGCACAAAAGAAGGCCAATTTAATAAACAGTAGCAAAAAATTGTACGTAAGTTTAGAAAAATTAATAATCATAAATACTTTTAAGGTATTGAATGGCCTATAAAAAGTATATAGTCTGACCCGCAGAAACAAAATTTTTCTTCTAAGAAGCTATATTTCAAATTTATAAAATATTTCATCAATAACCTGGAAAAAAAATTAATTTCAAATTAAAAGTGAGCAAAATAAAATTAATTATCAGTTCCAAAATTTAGATTAAGATAAAACTATTATTTAAGTTCATTTTCAGCGGCGATTTCTTATACATAAATTTTGGATGCAATCAAGTGCGCAATTAATGAGGAGAATATGTCTGGGGCCGCAGCAGTCAAGTGAGAGCATGGGGAGCAGCAGCAGAAGAGCTTTGGCTGCCGAGAGCGCTTTTTCTTTCTGCACGGCGCTCTCACCCCGGCCGCGCTAGTTATATCAACCCCCCGGCGCGAGGGATGACAGGCCTTGTTACACGCTTGTTAAACACGCCACATTCTCGTGTGATGCACTCTTTATTTGCCTCATTAACCAGAAAACTCAGTGCACGAGCGGAAATATCACTGCATACGCGCAAAGCGACCGGCGCAAAATCAATTCGCACGCCGCACCCTTTGCACGCCGCTGTGCGCCAGCGTATAACAATCCCTGCTGCAGCCGCCCCCGAAATCAACTTTGTCAAAAGACCGCATCCCTCATTAAAGAACTCGGCATTGTTTAAACGAAAAGAATGGCCTTTTAAAATCAGATCAATGAAAATGATTGCGTGGGAAATTTGTGCAGACTTTGGATTGAGGCCACAAATCCTCTCTCTTTTACGTAATCCAAAATTAATTCTCAAATTTTGTCTTCTGAATTAAAAATAAGTTTAAAAAAATTAAAAATAGTATATAAGGTGTAACTATTAAAATGAATTCTAATTTCGTCAGACCTGCATCCGACTATTAATTGCTTTTTTTTATTTAACATTTAGCGAAAATGAAAACAACATTCTAGACTCTAGAGAAAGAAATGAAAAATTGATTTTAACAACATGCGCAGCAACTTTTTGCACCCTAAATGGTGTGAATTTCCAGTTGCAGCTGACTCACTAAATCTTAAAAATGCGACATCCTCAAAATATAAACAAAACGGTTCAAATTTTAACAGGAGAGAAAGGAAGCTCAAGGAGGATAAGGTTAAGCTGATCCAGGCGTGTTGGAAATCCACGCTCGTTCTTTTAAAAACACTGGCACGAGATTTATGCGAGACTCAAGGGCGCACATGTGCTATATAGTTTTGGGGGTGCAGGGGCGAGGTGACAGGAAATTTGTTTGAAAAATCAAAATATTCTATTGCATTCTATAATTTATTTTAAAACGTTGAAACTCGCAGCATTTATAATAAATAATTACTGCTTGATTCCAAAGAAGCTAAAATATAATTATAAAATATATCTCTCCTTGATTGCAGGGTTTTTGATTTTGAACAATAATAAAAATAAACGCTCAAGGCCTCAAATAACGTGTGGCTTCCGACAGCGTTTGATCCTTATACAATCAAAAGTGAGAATTAATTTTCTTCCCAAAATAATTTGATATTAAATCATATTAACTGAAAATGAAGTTATAAAGCGTCTTCACTATTTTCTAAAAACCAAAGCCAGCAGAGCTTTATATAAAATTATTTAATGGCCTCAAAAACAAATTTTGAACTGAGTGCGTGCGGGAAGTAATTTAACGAAGTTGCAAAATATTGGTTCTGTGTATCCACCGCACAGCTCTAAAAAACGTTTTCGGTGCATTTTGATTAAATGATTATCAAAAATGATTAAAATATTAAGTGAGATACTTCCAGTTGGGTTTGTTTTTCAAGGAGCAATAAAATTAACAAAGCTCAGCAATCATCTTCCTGCATTTGAAATTGTGATTGATTGCGCCGATTAATATATGTTAAAAATTTAATCAAATTAAGAAAATAAGTCGCATCAACGCGAATGATTGAAATAGAAAATTGTAGAAGAATATAAATATATTATAGTTTTGAAAATTGTTAACTATGTTTAACCAAATTTGATCCGTTTTACTTCCTCTTTGATGCATTATTTTTTTTTATTAAATGCCCTTTAAAATTCAATATAATAGTTAATTATGGCAAATAACTATAAAGCACAATAATTAAATTAGTAGCTTTTGGCTAACGTAATTCCACGTAAAAGGCGATTAGTCAAGAGTTAACTAATTTAATTATTTCCCGTTTCGAGTGGTTTTTTTTTCAGATTTAAATTCTTGAAACGATAATAGTTGGTTAAAAAGTTAAATCGAGATATAATTTTAGAATGTCACCTACCTTTTCTGATGTTTACTGGATTGACCTCCGCAACCGTCAGAGGACCCTCGCTCCTAGGTGGGTGAAGACTGAATGAAGAGCAAATTCAGCAAGCGCGGCAGCCAGCGCGAGAGAGGCAGCTTCTTTTCCAGCAAACCACTCCTACTGTCACTCCCCCGGTGTGTTCTCGGTCGGTCGAAATCACTCTAATTTCGCAATTAACATTGAATTTCAAAATTAAAAGGCGATAATAATTTACTCGAATTGTAAAAATTGCAATATGATAACACGCATGACGCATTGTTTTAAATAATGATTATTCAGCATTTTATAAAAATTGTATAAAAGATAAAAATATTTTTCAAGCCAATGATCAAAAGCGGTAGCAACAAATTATTTTTTTATTTGCAGCCAGCAAAGATTATTATTTTAAAAAGCTGACCTTAATAGAGCTAGTAAACATGTCATCGCATTTGCGACCTTCAAATGAATTTTCAAAATATTTTGCCTAAAAATTGTGTCGTGCCAAAGCGAGCGTCAAAAGTTTAATTGCAAAATGAAAAAATAAAAATAAAAGTTTTGTTCTCTTGACTAAAATTAAGAGGTGAAAGGTGATCAATGTCCCTGAATAGACTAATATCATAGACAATGAGAAATAAAAATGAAATCTGCAGAAAAAAATATATGCAAAGAAGTCTTAAAAATATAATTCATATAACATTTCCTTCAGTTAAATGATATAAAATCACTTTTTGTACGACGAAAAAGAAAATATAATTAAACTGTGATAATAAAAAATTTCTTTGCCGCGGTTTTGTGCAGCATTTTATCAAAAGACAAAATATAGCATGAAGAAAGTTAATATATATTTTTGCAGACATTTTTCTTGAAATATTTTTGAGTGGTTTAATTTTTTAAAAATTGTGCCTCACCTGATACAGGGGGTTGCAACGGTCTGCTCTCTTGCGCTGTCAACAATAAATGATTGCGAGCTCCGACAAGAGAACGACTCCGCCTCTAGCGGGGCCATTGGAGCAGCGTTGCGGAGGCCTTGCGCCAATTGAGTCTGGCAGCTGGAGCGGACCTGCGTGGTATTCGGGCCGCCAAAGAGAACGAGGACCCCATCGGTGTGGTCTTGTGGATCAATCCTGACGGCAGACATCAAATGATGGCAAAAAGCAGCGCAATTTTAAATCTGTGTAGCGTTCTCCAGAACAAAAAGCCCTGAAATTATTATATTAAGATAAATCTTTGCAAATTATAAATTAAACAATACTTTTTGCTATAGACTCTATTAATTAATCAAACTATAGCATCAAAACAGAACACGTAACAGACAAAAGTCATCAATAAATTATAGCATCGATCGAAAAAAACCAAATTCGATTTTGGTTCAAATCCCGCAACGATTAAAAAAAAAAAAAAAAACAGCATTATTTAATAAATTGAGAAAAAACGTCTTGATATTTTTCTTCCTCAGCTTTTGACGCAAGTGATTTGCAAAAGGAAAATCAATTAATACATTTTGCCATGCGTTAATAATCCACTCTATTAGAAATTTTTGTAAGGGTAAAATTAAGGAATTAATTAATGTTTAGTCAATTTTTATAAGGTACAAACAGCAAAACTTTAACTTGGAATTCCTTTGATTTTCAAAAAATCTCCTATGATCTTCTAATTTGTATTTTATAAAAATTTAAATAATTCATTCAATTTGTCAAAATTTTCAATTTTAATTTATATATAGAGCCGTTGTCTTCTGTCTTTAAGGAAGATCGAAGGTTTTAAATGCTTTCATTAAGAACAATAGGGGTTGAGGCTCTTTTAAAATGAAGCTTGGGGGTGGATAGTTGCGGATGAGACAAACAGTCGTGATCTTCTTGTATGACTCGGTACCCAACAGTGTGGGAATAAACGGCTCACTTGTCACTGCATCACGCTGTATTATAGGCTCTACTTTTCATCCTCTCGTCAGGAAATAATCACGCAACAGGGGGTCAGCTTTGAATAACATTGGCACACGCGCCGCACAATATATTATATCTATGACTGTGCGCGCTCGTTATTATTTCAGACGCGCGCGTTTGGTTTATTTAGCGTTTTATGACAAACATGTTCATGCAGCAGTGCTTTTGTAAAGAGTATATATATTTAACCAATTTAAATTCTATTTGTACTGCGATAAAGCAGCATTAATTATAAATTATAACATTTAGTGATAAAATTAAAAATTGTACGTAATTAGTTGGTATAAATGAAAAATGTAAAAAATTATTGTGTGCAAGAAAATTAATTATTACAGTTTCTGAAAAATCCGCTGAAGTCATGTAAAAACGCTTTAAATTATATTGAAAGAAACCAGTATTTCCATTTTTAATTCTAATTTTAATGTGCCCCTATATATAAGATCCGTGCAAATACAAATGGAGCTAACAATCAAAACAATTATGGATTTTGTGCATTTGTCCAAACATAACTTTTCGTATGATTATTTATTCTTTTCAGTCATTACAAAAATGTATATGTATGATACAGCAATGTTAAATAATTAATCGTAATTAATAATGCTGACTTACTATAATCATAATCTTAACTCTTTGCTTTGCATTAAGAAAATTCATCCTTATTTTATAAAAATGTGGAACTTTCTTCTCTTTTTTTCTCCATGATTTAATTTTTTTTAAATATATTAACCAAGAAGAATAAATAATCATATAATCACATAAATAATTAATAGGATCGCACGACTAATTTGTAATGAATAATGCACGATAAAAAGAAAAAAAATTAAATAATCAAAATCAGTCGCATTTGAATAATTCCCAAAAACGCTTACTGTGCGAAATAAATAAATAAATATATATTTTTTAGACTGCGAATAGACAAGAAGTAGTGCTATTAACACTAATAAGGGGTTTCTCGCCAATACTCCTTTCTGAAACTCCGTTTGGTTTGCCAGGCCAATCAAAACCGGTTTTATTACTTTTCGACCGCGCCGCACTGAATAAACATTCGTCCTACCAAGAGCACTTTGGTGCATGACTGGAGAACCAACCAACTTTCCCTTGCGCTATCAATTATCATCTGAGGATTGCGAGTCTTTATCTATTTTTATTGACTCTGCTGCTCGTGCCGCAATTGCCGCAAACGGAGAGGCTGTGCAGGCCACCCAAGTTATCTCTCGACCTTATCAATAGTTCTGCCAGCGTGCACTTGCAATCTGCAATTGAGGGCACTGACTGCAGTTGCAGACCATGTCTCTAATTTTGAAGTCCTTGGCCTCGGCGGCTGTGCGCCCTCGACTTGGTGCTCTCCTCGTCGGCCGCAGCAATTTCGCAACTAATAAACCAGCACTCCAAAAGGAACCGTAAGCTAATATAAAAACTCCTGATCTTTTTCTTATTCAAAGTTTTAATGAAAAAAAAATTAATCAGGATCACTGTGACCTTCGCCAGAGCCGGCGGTGAAAAGATAACTGCAAAGGGCAAAGAAGGTGACACTCTTTTGGATGTTGTGGTGAACAATGAGGTAGACCTTGACGGCTTCGGTAATTAAATTTTTTTTTCTAAAATGAAATAAAAATTACTTGACTTGCTTAATTTAAGGTGCTTGTGAAGGAACATTGACGTGCTCAACCTGCCACCTTATTCTAAGCAAAGCAGACTACGATCGGATACCGAATAAACCGACGGACGAAGAACTGGACATGCTCGATTTGGCTTTTGACCTTACAGACACGTAATTGATACCGAAATTTGGAAAATAATATCACAATTATTTAAATTCTTTCAAATAGGTCCAGATTAGGCTGTCAAATAACATTAACTAAAGAGTTGAATGGACTCGAAGTCAAAGTTCCATCAACAGTGAATGACGCACGAAAATGATCTCTGCAACGAGGGAGCACAACAGAGAAGCATTTCAAGAGCCTAAAGTTTATTTTAATGTTTATAATTATGAATGTTATCTTTTTTACGTGTCCGTGCCTTGCAAAATCTTAACTTCCTATCAATAGAGGTCCAGTTATGAAGAAGTGAATTTAAAGCTCGGAGGGCAAGAGCACTCTTTTTGATCTGCTATTAAAGTTGAGAAATGTTGAAAGGCGCTAATAAATTGCAATATGAGAATTGTTATATTTCACCTGCTTTTGAATGAGTCTTTAAACACTGAAATTTAATAGAGCCAAATTGGCTTCAAGATAAATTAATGCGAGCATTCTTTCTGATTTAGTGAGTGTAAAGAAACTTGGGTGTTTCAAGTTTAAAAATATTTTAAATTTATAAATTAATATAATATTTTGGTGTTAAAAAGGTTTTCAGACAGCCGTACGAGCAGCATCCTCCATTTTTTTCCCAGCCATTGTTTCAACAAATTCCTCTAGGATTTTGTCATAATCCAGCAGCTGGTGCGCTTTATCATAGCAATGATCTTATTTAGTTATTTTCCAAAATCTCCGCAACATGAATACCTTTGCCTTGCAGCAGCATCTCCTTGGCTTGCTTTTCTGAAGCCTCCACTAGAGTTTCCCCCTCAGAAACTTGGGGCGGATCAAGCATCAAGGTCTTTTTTGCTAAAGCAGCCAGACAATCTTCTAGGGATGGACATTTTTCCATATGATCTGTGATCAAAGCTTCCAGCCTGGTCATAAAAATCATGAATAATCTTAATTGAAGAATTACTTTTTTTACGAACTCATCAAGTACAGTTGTTGAACAGCTCAATATATTTTTGACTTTCATGATGCACATTTTTGAGAGCAATACTTCACTGCGGCTGAAATAAAACAAAATTTTCTAATCAATACATTAATCTTTATAATTTATTTTCTGCTGAAAAATTTTCTTAATATATTTTTGCTATATATGCCAACATTTTTAGTGGGATTCAGTTTTCTGAAAAATTTAAATACAATTAAGAGAAAATTTGTCTGACTAATTGAGTTTGTTTTTAGTGCATTACGATTTAATTACGGCTTTTAATTAGATTTACCTCTCCACAAATTGTAGGAATTGTTTATGATTTCGAGTTGTGCTGGACACTTCTGGGGATTGCTCAGCACGTTCAGTGATATCAGGTATGTAACCTTGTCCGTCGCAATTGTTGAGGCTCTGAAAATATTATTGAAATGTGCACAAATTAAACTCATATAAAATTAAAAACTTAACTTCTTCAATTTTTATATTATAAAATTATAAACCCCATAAATACTTACCATGATTTTTCACAGTTGGGGCTCGACAAAATCCAGAAAGTTGAAAGAATGAAATATTCAACCCATCATTGTTTTCAGCAAAATATGTACTCCAAAAGAAATATTCTGCAAAAAGTTAAAAAAATCAAAGAGCCTATCAAAAACAAAGTATATAATTTTTACATATAATGTACATTTATTTTTGCTCTGAATTCTCTGTCCGATTTCCGGTCCTTACTTTTTTTGTTATTGCTTCGATGCACGGCCGACTGAGCTGAACCCTAAAAAAAATTTCCTTAATTCATCTATACATGAAGCGGCTTCAGCGCTGATTTATGTGCACTTGTCTTCTAGTTTTATCTGCCCGGCGGTCCGCTTTCCCTTCTTCCAGCTTATTTTTCAGTGGCGGACCATAAATATATTTTCTGCTGCGGTGTCCGAAGTAGAGTGGAGTGCTGAAGGCTGAAGGTGAGTGATGTTTTTCCGAAGTTAGATCTTCAGATTTTGCTTATGTATCCCGCATTCCTGCCCCCTGCCACTTGTCGCACATCGCACAAGTCTAATCTAAACAACATACTTGCAAAAGCAAAATGCAAACATGCAAAATAATAGATAATAATTGTAGCGAGGAAAAAAATATTGCATCATGTGACATCTGTGGTCGGTTTTGCAAACTACAGAAAGAAGGTAAACATGCAGTTGTGGTCGCTTCTCATTTTTTGTTCGTTGAATGCAATAAGGCTAGATTGAGCCGGCCAGGAACTGTATGTGCACGATTTCTGGCTTCTGCAACGATCCCACTGCAAAATAGCGGCAAATTAGTGCAATCGAAGGTGTAAACATAAACAAACAGGCCGTAAGTGACGTAAATTTGATTTATTCCTTGATTATTTAAAGTTTCAACAACTTTTAAGCATCGAGATTGTCTGCGTATGTAATTAATTCCACGTGACCACCAGAGAAGCTTAAGTTTGAACTTAAAACTCTTGTCATTCATTTAATTCACTATCTAATAAGTCTTATCGAAAGATCATTTTAAGCGGTCGCAACCTTTGAACTCGATGCTCGATAATTGTTGCTTCTTATAATTAAAGTCATTCAGAGAATTATGTATTCCACGTTTTGATTTGCTAATTTTATTTTCAGGTGGTTGTCTGCTTAAAGAACAAAGTTTATTGAACACCTCTTAACTTTTTCGCACAGAGCAAAGGAACACACGCAAAAAAAATGTCGATTGTCGCTGAAATTTTGTCTTCAAGAGGTTAGTGAAGAAAAAATGTAAATAAATTTTCATCTTTTAATGGATAATCGTGTGTTTCAGGCAAGCTAGAATTTGAGGATGTCAGCAGCAAACTTGCTGCAGTCCAAGAAGCAGTTGACGCTTCTGTGGAGCAGGCAAGGTCGATGTTGTCTCACAAGTACAAGCAGTTCCGACTGCATCAAGAGAACAACCAACGAACCCTGCTCGAACTTCAAAAACTATCAACCACCATGGAGTCTCTGAAAACCCGCATCGAAACGCAGACCAAAGCTGACATCCAAAATACCAGCAGCGAGCTGAAAACTCTTTCCGACGCCCTTAGAAAAGTGAACCTCAAAGCAAGCTGTACAAAAGGGGTAAGATTTTTATTTTTGGTCTGCTTGAATTTCTTTTAAATCGTAATTAAATTAGGTGTTGGAGATTGATAGAAGCCTTGGAGAGGTGGATCAGCTGCTCAAGTCAAAGCGTCTCCACTTGGCCGCTCAGATTTCCATGAAAATGCAAACTGTTGTCAAAGAAACTGACGACATTGAGCCAGAGGTGATGAAAGCTGTCAAGATCAATGCCATCATTGCCCACGAGCAGCTACTTAACGATATTAGCAACATTTGGAAGAATTCGGTCGTTTGCCATCACGAAGACGAGGAAAGACTGTTTGTCCTCAAAATCAAACCAGACCCTCTGCCAGAACTGATTGCTGCTCTCCAGCTAATCGGAAACGACCACATGCTGCAAACGTTTGCAAACCGCTTGCTGGACAACCCCATGAGCACTGTGATGACCAAGAGCACTTGTTACGAGTGTGAAACAGGGCAGGTACTTTGAAAAATATTATTTTTCACTAAATTTGTGTTTATTAATTTTATTGCAATGTTCCAGGTTACCATTAAAGTTTCCAGCGATAAACGGCCAGCCGTCCTGGACGTAGTTGAATGTTTGGCCATGATTTTTGAGGTGCTGAACGCCCCTGCCACCAGTGACGGTCGGTCTTTGTTGAGCATGATTGGCCACGACATAGGAGAGCGATTCTGCCACATGTTCATTGAAGAAGTGCTGCAAAAATCTGTTCCTGTCACAGCTCAGGAGAAAAGCCATTTTGTGGAGCACGTTGGCCAAAAAATTGAAGACATGCAGGTCTTTCTGACCACTTCAGGTAATAATTGAAATAAAAAAAATTTAATTGAATCGATTTGTAATGAAAAAAGTCTTATAGGATTTCTCAAGGAGAGCCAAACAGACATAATGGATTATGTGCAAAATATTGATTTGCATTTCATAAACAAAACATGTGAGCGCTACCTGGAAAAATCAAGGGAAATAATCTTCAAAGACCTGCATAACACCATTGATCTGGACGTTGAGGTAACTTATTGCCAAATTTTAATTCATCCGAAATAATTTGTTGTCTTGTAGGAAGGAGGTATACAAGAGGATATTAACGAAGATCCTTCCTACAGCAGCCTTAGCAGTGCCACTACGAAATTTCCAAAATGTTCTATTAGTGCGTCTGCAAAAGAAATATTGGAGCTTGTTATGGAAATGCTAAGCGAGTCTTCTAAGAGCACCGGAATGAAGGCGGAGAGGCTGTATTTGACGGCAAGAAATGCACTCGAGTCGTACTGCAGTCTTACGCCAATTTACCACAAAAAATACTTGGATAGCCTTCCTCAGCAAGCTGGTACATGTGCAATTATTGATTTCTAATACAAAATTTCAAAAAATCTATTTTAGCCATTTTCCACAACAACTGCATGTATCTTGCTCATCAGATGTTGATCCTTGGCCCTCACTTCAGCACACTCCTCAGCAAGTCCCTTCAGCTACAGTCGATCACATTCTTCGACATCATTGTCAAACTGCGAAAGACTGGTTGCCAGGTTTTCTTGGACCAAATGCAAGTGCAGAGAAAGCAGCTTGTGGAACTGCTGCGTGATTCCCAAATCACTCACATTGGAGAAAGCGACCACCTTCCCTCTAAAACCGAGAAGTGTGTTCGCCAGTGTTTGCGGCAGCTTGAAGTTCTGCAGCACGTCTGCCAGCCTGTTCTGCCTGAAGAAATTTTCAATAAGGCTATTGGTACATTGATTTTCTTGTAAAATTTTTTTTTCACTCATTTGATATTTTCAGGGGCACTTGTCAACAGCGTGGTCGAGGAGATGATTGTGAGAATTTGTTCGGTCGAAGACATTCCTGCCAGTGCTGCTTCCGACCTGGTGACAGTGTGCAGCCTTGTTATTGACAAGGCGCCTCGGTTGCTCACAGTACTTAATTCAATTCAACAAAGTCTAGCAATTCATCATAATTATTTTGCAGGATCCAAACAAGATTCATCAGTACGTGAAGAGATGGGGAGCTTTCGAAGAACTAATGCAAGTTCTAAGTGGAAATCTGGCAACCATTGAAGCTCGATGGGCCCACAGGATGGGTCCATTGGCACAAGAATTCTCAGCCAACCAAGTGAAGCAACTCATCAAGGCGCTTTTCCAAAATACTGCAAGAAGGGCTGCTGTGCTAGCAAATATTGAGTGAAAACAAATCATTATCCTGTAATTGTCAGGTATAAATTGCTAAGATGGTTCTATTTTCTGGTAATATCGCATTTCAGCGTACACTAAGCGCCTGATGTCAAGTGTTTTTAAATTCTGTGAATTAATATAAGCAGTCGTGTTTCTCAATCATTTCTAATAATTATAAAAAAAAATCATCTATACAGTTTACTTAATAAAAAAAAACTATCATTGCCATTTAATAAGGAGAAATGGGGAAACCAAAGGGTCTGCTCAAATATAATTTTATTGTTATAATTTCCTCAGTCTTTTTGAAATAAATATTAATTTACTTCAAAAATAAATTTTTGATAAAATTTATAAGGGTGAATTTTCATTTTTAGAAATTTTTACTAATAACTATGTTAAAAAATGAGTTTCGGAGAAAAGCTAAATAATATTACAATATAATCCATCTGTTTTGTCTAAAATTTCACAATATTTTGCTATTTACTGGTATTGAAGTTAAATATTTTTAATGTTATTAAAGTGATTAATCGAAAATTTGAATGATAAATTTACTGTTCATCTGATACGTCTATTGCACTGCCTGACGACCGCCCAGCCCCCTTTCGTTCTGCAGTAGCCATCTGTTTTCTTTTGTCTGACATTGCTTGTGACTTGGCTGTCAATCGGTCATTTATTCCCCTCTCCGACAGCTTGAAGACTAACTAAGTGAAACTTCAGAATTAAAGTTAAAGTACAATAATAATAGTTTGCTCTTGATCCACATCAGTTGGTGCTGTGATAAACTGTGATAAAGGCTAGAACCTGAAAATGAGTTTAACTGTTGGCGAGGCGCCTGAAACGGAGAGCGAGGAGGAAATTGACACCGAATGTCCCCAAAAAGAAAAGGTAAAAATTAAAATAAATTTAATTAATCGGTCAAAATTAAAAAAGTAAAATAAATTGGTTTAATATAGAATTATATTATAATTTTTTCCAGGTCAAGACAAAAACTGCGGACGAATTGAATTTGCGAAACATAACGCCTGCAAGTCCTGCAGCTTCAGGCAGAATAGTAGCTGGCGAAGCACCCGAGTCAGATGATGAGATTGAAGAGATGGGCAGTCCATGTAGCACTCCAGTTTCCCAGCAGAAGTTGGATGGGACTGCCACAGTTGGTCCCAAAGAAGAGGTCAAATACAAGAGTTTGCTACATAAAAAACTTCGTACGTCCAAAATTTTGAATATAATTTTTATCATAACTTTCAACGCCAATAGATTTTATCACAATTTAAATGTTTATTTGAACAAAATAGGTTCAACAAATGTCCATTTACGGAGAGGAGTCAACGACATAGTGCACTACAACATAAACCAGGCAGCCAGGGACTTGAACTTTGCTGACCAGCAGCTGCTGAAGTCGCAAGGCGTTTTACAAGACACTTCATCGCAGTTACGTCTATTGGGGGCAAACTTGACTCAGCTGAACGAGATGCTCCAAATTATTACTTCGCCTTTTTTGCCAAATATACAGATTCCTGAGGAGAATATGTAGGCTGATATTATGAAGTCTCATTTTTTTTATTAATTAATTTAATACTTTAAAGAAAAAAATAAAATAGCCTATTGACGAATATCCATCATAGTTTTGTTTCTTTGTTTTCATTTTGAATAACGAAGTACCAGCTTTTGAGATGATATAATTTCTGTCGAGTGGAAAATGTTTTTCCCAGGTGTTGCCTTTTTTCATATAATTTGAATTTCGCGGATATTCATTTAAAAATCAACAAATAGAAAATCGCCAGCCAATGAGCAAGCAACCAATCACCACTTCTCAGCAGCAACGCATCCAGCTGGCTGCGGACATTGCTCTTTTAATAAAACATAAACATTATTATAAACACGGGTCCGGTTGTTCATCAAATTTGTACAGTAAGCGAGGATGAATAATTTTTAGGACATTTAAAACTAGGTAAGTTACTTTAAAAGTTGTTTATAAATAAATGAAAGAAAGAAATAAACTCTTAAATAATTATTGATTATTGTCATGAGAGTAATGTGAAATTTAAAAATAGATCACGGAGTCATGTCCATCGAGTGGCCTGCCCTGGGTCAGACCATCAAGAAGAAAAACCCACTTGAAGCGTCCAGCTTTGCAGCAGCAGTGAAAGTTAACGCTGCAGCAAAAAATGAAGAACCAACAAGCAGTTCCGCACAAAATGCAGAGCAATCGCAGGTGCCAGCCGTGTCCTGGGAGGAGAAAAAAGCAAATATACGTGCAGCTAAACAGGCAATGAAGGAAGAGAAGCGTTTAAGACGAGAGGAATCTGCTAGAAAACAATTACTTGCTCCTAAAGGGTAAATCAGATATTGATAAAAAAAAAATTGTATTTTTTTTTAAATTATAAAATAATATTTTAGGTACCGCGTTCAATTGATTCAGAAGGCTCCATCCAATTCGAATGAAAAATCAATACATGGAAATTCAGACATATTCCCAACGCTCGATTCCTCGTTTCCAGAGCTTGGATCAAGAATCTCGGCCAGAAACAAGCAGCCAGAGACCATTCCAACACCTGTACCAGCAATCGATTTGGATACAAGCGACGTACTCGCCAAGCTAACTCCCAGGAAGAAAAAACCAGAGAAAAATCTAACTGTCAGCCTTGAGCATTTGATCAGGACAAGACCAAAGAAAGTGATTGCAACTAAAAAGAGAAAACGGAAACCCAATCTTGCTCTCCGCGAAGAAAGCTTAAGTGGGAATCCACTGGACAGTTCTCAGCCAGTACGACATAGAGGAAAAGTACGAGAAGTTCCAAAAAAGAAAAGACATTCATCTCTCAAAAGTGCAATATATGCTTATAGGTACATAATATTTTTACGAGGAAAAGCAAGATTAAATAAATTCCATACTACTTATCAGGAAATTAAAGCAGCTGCAAAGAGAAGGATTTGAAAAGGTAAATAATGCAGCCGTCGACGAGGTAACGGAACTTATCAAAGAGGAGATCCCATTCAAGGAAGTAATAGATCTGAAGAGCAAAGAAGTGAACGAATTGCCCCTAAAGTCGTCAGAAATCTCTCCTCTAGAAAATCCAATCACTGCTAAAGATTTTGTCCACTCAAGAAAGTTTCGAGAGTAAAAAAATTTAATCTCCACTGAAAAATGTACTTTAAAACCAAAATATATTTTCAGATACTGTGATAATTTGTTGGGAAAAGAGCTTGATGAATGTGTGGAAAAACTTCTCAAAGCACTTGTAAATATGCAGGATAGATCTTACCAAAAAGACCCCAATAAGTACAAGAAGAGAATTATTTCTGGGTTGCACGAAGCAAAGAAAACCTTGGTTGGTAAAAAGGCTAAATTCGTTGTGATTGCCCCTGACTTAGAAAAGTGCCCCCAGCCAGGTAATTTTTCTAATTATTAATATTCTGAAATAATTGTAATTATTTGATTTTTTAAGGTGGATTGGATGAAAAAATTCTGGAAATTATTCGATTAGCAAGAGAATCCCAGACTCCGTACATGTTTGCCCTTGGCAGGAGAAAACTGGGCAAGATTTTAATAAAGAAGGTACCAATTAGCTGCGCAGTTGTGATAAATTCTGACGGAGCTGAGGTAGTTGCTACAATATAAGATTGATATCAAAACTAAGATTTAATTTTCTCTCAGGACTTGCTTGAAGCTACTTTAGAAGAATTAAGGACCAAGAGAGAAGAGTACAAGTCTGTAACATGGCAAAACGTTCAAAAACCTTCCCGAGCTTCCCCTACACTTCAACATAGTGATAACAAAACAGATGTTAATAAAATTGTTGTCACATCCCTACTGAGCGCTCTGGAGAAGTCGCTCCAGGCTCCGACTGTGCCAGAATTTTTACGTGTTATCGATTCGATTCATGCAGAGGACAGTGATTGAATTAAATTGTGTGCTCCAGCATTTTATTGTTCTATGGCTGTTGTATTATTCACAATACATTTTCCTTTACAAAAGCTATTTCTACGCTTTATAAACTTCAATGAAAATTTGACATTAAACAGTAATCATGTATGGCTCGCAAAATGAAGCCAATTAACAATCACACGAGCATTCACAAGTCTCATCCACAATTACCTGGACTGCTTGAGTATGTGGCAGTGATTTTTTCTCTCTTTAACTTCCAATTTAATATGACAACTTTTGCATGAAAATCTAAAGTTGCATTAGAAGCAATCATGGATTAATTTGAAGCGATTTGAAGTATAAAATTACTTATACAAATATATGTGTTTATTCACAAGAAATCCAGAATGGGGGAATGCAATTTAATAAACGCGGCCACGAATTTATGTAATCACAGTCAATAAAATATGGAGGCGTTTGCAAAGATTTTTTTTTTTGTCAAAATCTTCAAGAAAAAAAAAATTAAACGCCATTGGATTAAAACCACTTGGAAATCAGGAACCAAGTGCTTGACTAAAAAGTGAGACCTGAGAGAGCCGTGCTAAGAATTTTTAAAGCGCTGCAGATTTCAGCCTTTTATTTGCTCAACTCTTCAAGGTGAAGAAGTACACACAAAATTATCTTATTTTCAGTTCTGAATATTTTCACATTGTTATCAAATTAATTTTTCTTTTTTAATTTAAATTCCAATTTTAAAATTAATTTAGTCTTGGTCATCAGCAAACTGCTCTTTTAGGTCCCAGTAATTAAAATTCATAAAATTGTTGAAATTGTTACCCGTTTCATCTTCTATTGATGATCACTCATATGCTTGAAAATCAAGCATTATAATTTTTTATTAAAAAAATTCTGGAGCAGGGCATTGCTTCCAGCATCATAATCCATGAATGAAAATTTCATTTCAATTGATAAACACAACGAATAATTTCGAATAAACTAAAAGCACATTATCATAATATATATGAGACCTTTTCTCTAAGAAATATAATTTTCACATGGCATTCGCACAAAATGCTGGGAGAGTTAAATTTTCCCAAAATACAAGATATAATATTTAGGAACATTCAGTCCTAATGGTAAGATGCCATGTAAGAAGAATAATGAACAATACCTTATATAATCGTCGTCGTGGCCCAGTTACGAGAGTACATTTACTTCCCTTGGCGAATTAGTCACCGACAGGATCTGCGAGGGTGACGCGCTAGGTACAGGAACTGTCAGCTGCTGTGCTTCGCTTGTCGCTTGACGGATAGCTTCTTTGTAAGGACCTCTTTTCTTTTTGTTGTAACGAACCTGATTTATTACCAAAATAATTTTCCTGCATTTATAAATGTTTACAAAGTGAAGTACCTTGAAAGTTTCCAAAAAAGGGTTCAGTTGGTCGCACAGCATCCACGAAGACGTGTGCGAGCCATACCAAGAGACATGTGCATGTGCCGACATGCAGACCCCATCCTCTTTGCGCGATATGGATATACTCTGGACCTAACAATAACCATGAACGCAAATGCTCGTAAGGTAAGTTTAAACGTAAAAGCTTACTTTTCCGGGCCACCATGGGAATCCATGAATTTTGCCCCAAACAACGTCGCCAATGTTCATTTTCCTCCCGTCTGATGTAAAACAAGACTGAACAGTCTGGCTGCTGGTTATCACTTCTGCAGGCTCTTCAGAAGGTCCTACGACTCCCACTAAATCGGTCTCTGGGAAATTAGGGACGTCTTCACTTCCATCAGGACTTGGCGAGTTGCTGCTGGACGCAGTTGGTTCGTCTTGGTCACACCTCATGTAGGCAGTGGCATTCAGTCTTTTGAGGCTGATCGAAAGTCGCTGTTTGAGACATTGCTCTTTAATCTCCTCGTCTGTTTGGGAAACATTCCACTGTTCTTCCGATTCGTCACGGTGCCGGCTCTTTTTGTGCTTTTTTAGGTGTTTATGCTTGTGGCGTCGAGAGTCGCACGCGCCCGGCGGTGAATCTCCAGGGCCTAGTAGTTTCTTCTTCTTTGCCTTCTTCATGGCTTTCTTCACCGCCCTCTCAGATTCGTTTTCAGAGTTCTCAACATTTTCTAAACTTTGAATTTTTGGAGGTATTTTAAGCACCGTGCCCTGGCCTTGAGATCCAAATGATATCTTTATTATTGGAGTCGTGGTCCTTGCAGGTTCGACGGATTCAAGTTTTGTTCGTTTGTTACTCTCTTCAAAAATGCTTTCGTCCCAAAGATCCTCCATTGAACCAATGCTGCGCTTTTTTCGCAAGACCATTTTATCAGCATCTTCAATTGCCAATGGATCTTTTGCATCGTCCTGCAAATTTTTAATGAAAATCTATTAGAATTTCAGGGTCAAATTTTAATCTGCAAGATAAATTACCTCTGCTTCCCGTGATGGACTAATCCAGTAGTTGCCAACAATTTTAATTTTGTCGGGCTTCTTGTCATCCTCAGTCGATGAATTACTACAACTGTCGTTCTCTGGTCTAGGGCCATTTAAAAGAACCAATTCTGGCTCCTTGAATGTCACAGACCTTTGATCATCTTCATTCCCGTTTCTTAACTTTCTCCTCGTATTTCTATTAATTAAAATTAAAAAGTTCATGATTATTCAAATCTATAATTTAGATAAAAATTCCTGAACAAACCTTGCTTGCGGGTCAGGCTGGTTTAAAGAATTTAGTGCTTGAGAATTTGTTTCTGTCGTCGGATTGCAGGTGCTCTTGCACTTGGCACAGAGAACCTTGCGAGGTCTCAGTCTCACGGTCATTTTCTTATTTGGCTGTCTCTGCTTGTTCCCTTGAGTCTTCAGAGTTTTAAAACTAAATGGCGAATGTGGCGCACCAGTGTCTTGAAAATAGGTATGTCGATTCACAAGACTATTGCTCGAGGCAGAGTCTTCGTGGCCTGCCTCCAAGTTGACCACTGGGGGCGGCGGAGGTGGCTTCATGAAGTCTTTGGGAGCGGTGATTCCGCATGGAAGCAATCTAAGACAAAAAATATTAAAAAATGAATTTAAAAAAATTTCAATTTCTGATTTATGAATATTTCTTTCATTTTATTTTAATATTTAAATTTAATAAGAAAACATTTGTATTTACAAAAGTGTTTTATTTAAATTGCAAAGCTAATTTAATTTAAAAATTTGAAATCATTATATTCTGATTGCAATTAAACGCTTATCAAAGTTGCTTGGGATAAAATTAAAACTAACAATGAAAATAGAAATGCATAATAAAAAAAAAATCAACATAGCTTGATAAAATTACAATTTTTTACTTTACTATAAAAATATAAAATAAATAATTTTTCAGATTTTTATGATGTAAGTTTTTTTGAGGAACATTTTTTTTTAGAATTTTTTCCTGGCAAACTGGAACAATTTTATACATAATACCAAGGCTATAACGAAATGCCTGTATTACGGCCATCACGGCGGCCCGTAGCAAAGAACTGACTTCTAACATGAAATTTTCAAATTGGGTCAAAGGAATACTAATAAAAACATTAAAATTGTGCAGAATGTGCATTGCCACAAATGAAATGGACACTTAAATCCAGAATTAATGCTAAATTACGATACAGGAAAGAAATTTTTAATTCAAGTCTGATTAGGCACCGCGACTTAACATGGCTGCTTATGGGAGCTGCTGGCTCAGAGCTGAAGAGCCAAAAAGTCAGAAGGGCCAAATTAGCCGCTATTGCACCTACAAGGCTCATTAATGTCTCTATCACTAGATAATTTAGCCGAGAATTATGTTGGGCTAACATTGGGCCCCTGGATAAGGTAGGAAGCGAGAAATCGACGGCAACAGGCAATGTGAATGAGCGAGGAATTCAAGGCGTGAATGGTCGACTTTGCGACTCAAATTTCCACTTACTTCTTGGTCGCATCGAGCAGGGCGCCCTGATAAACCTTGCCCTGGTGCCTAAAGGACACGACTATGACATTGTTCAGAGCCTCCTCTACGTGGACTGCGATTTCTGAATTTTTTAATTTTGCTATCGGATCTTCTTCATTTAGATCCGCCATATTAGTTGATACAGTCTCTGAGGGAACTTGCAGGCCCCAGAGCAAGTCTGAACCTGCATGACGACTGACAGCCAATGGCGATGAAGTTTGGAACGCGGTCAATTTGAATCGGCCAATAGGAGCCAATGTTTTGATATTGTCATTTACATACAAATACATTCTTGCGAGACGAAATCGAAAATTGACACACCGCAAAACTCTTTTTATTTACATTTAAAGCATCACCGCGTAGTTACTCTATTGAAACCCATTAGCAAAACTAAATATTTAGCTCCACCGTTGCTGTCAACGCTATCGCTTTTGCGTCTATTTCTCTAAATACGCACGTAAGTAATTTTAGACGGATTTATTTGTGGTTGATCAATACGGAAACGGTCTGCGGTCAAAGTTTAAAAACGCAAACACATCTTCTTATCAAATATGTATTTTGGATATATTTGTTAGCAAAGTTTGGTCTATAAAAATATATTCATATTCCAGAAATCATGACGATTGGTGCACGAATTGATCTCGACAAGCCTTTATACGTCCAAACTACCTTCATCGGAAGGCTCAAGCATTTCTTCTGGGTGACAGATCCGAGGACATGTGTTTGTTCAGAGGAAACTTTGGACAATGCTAAGAATCTCATTGTTGCTTATAGGTATGCGCATTAATTATTTTTCTACTTAAAAAAATTTAAATTTAATTTTGTAACATTATAATTTAATCAGGCAAGGCAAGGAACCTCAGGGAACATCAACGGAACAAATTATTTTCGCCCGTAAATTATATGAAAGCGCATTCCATCCCGACACGGGAGATAAGCAAAATGTCTTTGGCAGAATGTCATTCCAGGTGCCAGGAGGTATGGCTATCACAGGATTCATGCTGCAATTTTATCGGTAAAATAAATTTTTTAAATATGCGATATATGTATGAAATTTAACATACTTAAAATAGTATTTATAAATTTACCAGTCTAATCAGGATTAATGGAAATGAAATAAGTTGATTTTATTATTTTTTGTCCCTTTAGCACTGTTCCAGCTGTCGTCTTTTGGCAGTGGGTGAACCAAAGTTTTAACGCTCTCGTCAATTACACGAACAGGAATGCCAAATCTCAACTGAGCACCACTCAGCTAGGAATCGCCTATGTGTCTGCGACCACTTCTGCACTAGTCACCGCAATTGGTTTTCGCTCATTTTTGGAGAAGAGGGCTGGAACTCTGCTTCAAGTAACTTGGCACAATTTTCTTTCTATATAGAATCTGCATTAAATTAAATTAATTATTATCAGCGGTATGTACCCTTTGCTGCTGTCGCTGCAGCAAACTGTGTGAATATTCCATTAATGCGTCAAAATGAACTAGTCGACGGAGTTGATGTCTTTGACGAAAATGGAAATCTTGTTGGTCAGTCCAGGGTAAAAAAAAAAAACACAAAGATTTTTACACGCTTGGCTAAATTTAAAATTTAATTCCACAGATTGCAGCTGCAAAAGGAATCTCTCAGGTAGTCTTTTCAAGAATTGCAATGGCTGCACCGGGAATGAGTAATTTATTTTTTATTTTTATCACTGATCTTTAAACATCCATTAATTTTTTAAGCAATCCTCCCCATTGTGATGCAAAAATTGGAGACGTACAATTGGATGCAACGGATCAGGGTTCTGCATGCACCTTTGCAGGTGCTAATGGTCGGTTGCTTGTAAGTAATTAAAATCGCTTATTCATCTGTATATCATAAAGCTTAATTTTGCAGCCTGACATTTATGGTTCCAACCGCGTGCGCACTGTTTCCTCAGAGATGGTACTTTTTTTCGTGAGAATATTTTAAAATATTAATCAAAATTTTATCCTAGTTCTCTGAGCATGTCCATGATTGAGCGTTTTGAATCGGATAGCTATAAAAAGATGCTGGAGAAGTGTAATGGTCAAGCACCAAGAGTTGTGTTTTTCAACAAGGGTCTCTAAGAAGCACTCGTTTTTGCAAGAGGCATCTCGTAAATAATAAGTCGTGATAGCCATAAAATTAAAAAAATTATTGTTCCTCTTGTTGGTTATGTTTGCATTTTATCCCAAGGCAGTTTATTGGATTGATTGCTACCACGATTTATTAAATAATTATGTATGAAATCGTTTTAATAGCTTGACAATAAGCTCTTTATCAGTTGTTGATAAGGAGGGTAAAAATAATAATATATGTTTATCGTCAAAGTCCTAGTCTAGTCATTTCCTTCCCTATCATTTTAACTTGGTGGCAAATGTTAATTATTTTAAATGTTTCAAGCTAATAGACTTAAAAGTCTGGCTAGTGAAGACAAATTAAGTGAAATTTACAACACATTCATTAATAAGTAAAAAAACTCAGCCTGTTTATTGGATTTAACAATAGCCCCTTATAGAATCAAATAACTCTTGACTTTCTCAGAATAAAGAAATTTAGAATTGGAATTAAATAGTCACAGAAAGTTTACAATGATAACTTTTCTAAATTAGTGGAACAAAAATCAATATTTTTCATTCCACTCTTCGTGTGTGTACCTGCAATGTGCTTGAAAATCAAGTCGTGCTTTCTGTTGTTTGGCTATCATTTCCTTCTAATTCTGACACAACTGGCATAATTAGTTGCTCTTCGATTGGTTTAATTTCTGCAGATTTGTTTTTGTCCTCACTTAACGATTGTTCAGTTAATGGTGTGGTTTGTAGTTGATCGTCTTCGTTAATGACAGGCAGCTCACTGGGACTAGAGGTGGCTTCAGTTGTCTTTTTCGCTTCTGGAATTAAAGGCATAAAATAAGCCAATTTGATTTTTAAAAAAAACCCTCAAATGAATACTAACTGGAATAGAGAGTTTTAAAATGATTTGAAGGGACGAGTCCGATTGGGCTGGGCTCACTAGTAGATCCTCTAGAGACGTCACTGATTTTTCTTCCAATCAACCAGCCGTCAGCATGATACGGCTGCTTGTCTGTAGGTGCCATGGCTATCACATCTCCAGCATTAAAGCTGAGCTCGTCGGCGCTGCCAGCATGATAACTGTAAGTAGCTTTTCCGATCATACACGGAGCCTTGCCAACCATCCATGGCTCGGAATTCCCACCTGAAGTTTCAAAATTTTAGAACGACAAAATATAAAAATTCGTCTTTTTACTTTTAGCACTTTCGGGGTCAGGAATATTTTTCATGACGGAACGAACGAGTTTCCAAATAAGATAAGGTCCACCCATCACGAGGCTCATGAACATAACAATGGGCCAAGCAGAGGATTTTTGTGCCTCTTGACCTTCAGCACCACTAATTGAAGCCAATCCAGACTCTGCGGTTGCGTCAGCCCAAACTTTCTCAGAGTTTCCAGACTTTCTTATCCCTAAGAGAATGTTTTAGATTAGGCATTAAAAGAAAATTCACAATTACCTAGCAATTCTAGCAACTTGTGATAAGCCCATCTCATAGCTCTAAATATTGTAAGGGCTGAAAAAACTTGCGCCAACATCCCTCTCATCCTTCCGAAGTTCTCTGCCACCCCTAGAACTGCTCTAAATGAGCTGTGGACCGCATAGAAGGTTGATTCCATCATCATGCTCACAGATCCAAAAGCATGGACCATCGACTCTAACGATTCAAAGGCAGGCCTAGAATTCTCCTCGGCCATTCTTATAAATCTACAAGTAAAACAAATGGATTTTTATTAATTTGACTACTAACATTACAATTTTATTAATATAATTACCTGCTTTCAGCAGCAGCGTGACCATAAGGCATCTGTCCGTATTGTCCGACTCCTCCGTAACCCCGACCGTAACCCCCCATCATTCCATAACTGGAATAGGGAGAAGTGTATGAGCCGTAGCCTCCTGTCCCATAACCATAGGAAGAATAACCCCCATAGCCTCCTCCGTAACCATAAGAAGGTCTCATTCCATAAGGCGAGTAACTTGATCCTTAAAAGTAAAAAAATTTAGTGTTTTAATTTTTTTTTTTATTTATTAAAATTATTCATTAAACACAAATAATTCAGGTTTATTTACCGTATGATCCTGTCGCGTACGATTGTGACATTGTGCCACCTGGAACAGTAGAGCCAGGGGGTCTGGGTGGTGCTCGAGGACCTGTCATTTGAGGATTTGAGCTGCTTGCACCATACAAATTATCTGCAGAATACATTGTTCCGGGTCGCGGAAATACGCTGCAAACGAAAATCAGTGTTATTTGTAGATATCGACGTAAACTTTTGAATCATTGGTGGGAGACTCTCATATATGACCTTAAATTATTAAAAAAAATCTACAAATCATGCTCACCTTTGTGATGGAAGTGAAGAAGCGAATGACGTTGTGTTTTGCTGCTGCTGGAGCCGAAGGGAGTTATTCCTCGTCTCCCATGGTTTCAGTGGCGCAGACATTGGTCAAATCGTGATGTTCGGCTCTCGTGGAGAAGATACCTTAGCACCTGAGCATGATTAAATTTGGAAAATTAGCCCAGACTGCGAATTTCTTCAATATCAAAGTACAATAATAATCACAGCACTTTCACCTCAACGCTGCTTGCAAGACTCCGCCCACTCCCCCTCCCCTGATCCTCACTCAAGCAAACACGGCCGTCCGCTGGCGCTAAAAAAATTTGCTGCGGTGACCAGCGAGAGCAATATAAATTTTTTTGCGAAAATAATGGTCATTATTTTCAGTAGTTTAACTTCCTTAAGTTTTCAATATACAGGAAACGTAAAAATTAAATTAATAATGCAGCACTCTTTTTATTATATAATAATAACTTGTATTTTTTTTAACATTCAATTTTTTCAGAGGGAATGTGCATGTATATTTAAAAAATTTATGGTCCTACAGGAGCGGCAGGGGAGCATTAGAAATAAATCGCACCAAATTTTAATTATTGTTTTTGCAGAATAAATTTTATAATTTTTGCTGCTTGGATTTTATTACTACTTAATAATCAATCATATACATGATATATTAACAAGATTGAGTAAACAATAGAAAAGAATATTAAAAAAAAACTCACAGCTAAAATAATTAAATCGCGATACCTTCTTTTTACAAATGTTTATAAATTCAACAATAACATAATTTTTGTTAATCAAACCGAATTAAACAAACGTGATTTTTGCTACTTTAAAATTTCCAGATATTTTAATTAAATTTCTTCAGCAATATTATACTTGCAGCATTTAATTTAATTGATGTCATGTAATATCGAACGTCACCATTCTATTATATTATTGATATTATTCCTATTTTTCAAGTGAAACTTCCATTGGCATGATATATTTTTAGTACATTTACAACATTGCCTTTTTTCAACAACTTTTGTAACATTTGGTAAATATACATACGTGGCGTGTATAATGGTATGGTAAAATGGTGTTTTTGTTAAAAATCAATTGATCATCACCAAAATTGTGCACAGAGTTGAAATCAATTGAAAAAGCTCATGTTTTCTTCTCTCCTTGTTGTGATAATATTATTATAATGGTGGTGTGAAAATGGCAATATTATGCGGCTCTCATCTCGCAACTTTTGATTAGCTCAGAGCCCCCAGAAATGAACCTCAGGTCAATTTTAAAAGAGCATACTTTTATAGCTATGCACTTGCTTACTGCTTGTATTTCTGATATGATTGTGAGTCCCGTAAATATTAAAATGATTAAAATTTAATAAGTTTTTGTCATCGTGAGCATTTATATGAAGGAGTTGTGTGTTTTTAATGCAGCTTTTTGTTAAACCCTTATTGCTGTGACTGATGCATTCATGTAGGGCTCATTAGCATTAAATTGGTGTTGCGGCCATTATTTCAATCTTTATTTTAAACTATGGGAAATTGTCCGGGCGTGGACAATATAAACAATTTAAACCGGTTTAAATTTAAAAATTTCAATGCAAAAGCAGTAGACACTCTACAATTGCATAATTGAAGTTTGCGGAAAATTGTACTTCTTTAATAAATGTAAAATTGTGAACTAGACCATAGAGTATCCTGATTTTTCTATATTAAATAAAATAATTAGAGCCAATACAAAAGAAATCCTCAATACTTTGACATATTTTTGCGCAATTTTTTTACGTTCCACAACTTATATAATATTTATCTTCTATATTAGGTTTCACAATCTCTGTAGAGCTTCTGTAGCGGGAAAATCAATACTATCGCAACTAACTCTATGGATTAATCAGCAATGCATAAAATTATTTTTGGAAGCCTTGAAAATGCGTGTCTTTTTTGTTTACATATTTAGTCCACACATGCGGTAAAAGAGAAAGTTGCGTACTACATTTCTATAGACATGTATAATTATCTTTAAAGTTTTACTTAAGGTGTTTGCCTCACTTTTATACAATTCAACTTAATTATTATATTAAAGACTAAAGATAATTTTATAAGTTGATTAGCACCGTATTGAAAGTAATGAAATTTGCGCATTTTTTCTTCTGTAAATAGACCTTATAAAAGTCCAGTCAGCAGATATTTCTTTTTGACTGACAACTTCAAGTACTGATGGCTCTTTGGCATCAGTTGGCAGGACATTGAGAATTGCAGTGCAAATTTCAAATGAAATATAAGCGAGTGGACTTTCTGGTGACTTTCTAGACGTGTAAATTAAAAGCACCATAGTAAACATTAGAGAGACTTTAACTAGTATATATAGCTACTTTAAAACTGTGTATTACACTTTAAAGTTATATTGAGTTGCGATCATAAAGAGATATAAGAAGTGCATTTCATTTAGCAAAGCCGTTAGCTTTAATTTTTTTAAATTATTTTCTAGGACTTGTGCTTAGGCAAAAAGAGGAGCCACACATATATAAGTAGTATTTTTATCATTTAATTTAGCAGAATTTATTTTAATTTTGGATAAAAATTTTATGTTATTTTGTGCTACTCTCCTGTGCTTTCATGGATTTTTACCTTTTTGAACATAACATAAATTCTTTAGACAATAATTGTACAGTGTTTTGTCATTATGCAATGCCATGAAAATGAAAGCTCGCCGCAGTTGTTGATAAAATATTTTCTTATCAATCGACTAATTGAGACATACATTTCGGGAAAGACTTCTGATTACTCTTATAGAAGAAATATCAGTTTTTTTTTCAACAATTTTTGATTAAAATTATAAATTTTCACAGATATAGAGCATATTTCAACAGTGCAAATTAGAATTTTCACAGATTCTCAAGGTTCATGTGTTTTCAACATCACAAGAGGCAAGACCAAACAATTAAGATGTTTTTACCAATTATATAAATTGTTAAAAATTGTGCGTGACTGAAATTTATGACGACTCTTCCTCTATGCTGGTCTTTGATAAAGCCAGCAATATCATTGTGAGCTCCTTCTTGCTTATTTTTCCATCCTGGTTGTAGTCGCAGCCTCGCAGAATGGTTTCCTCAAATTCTTGCAGGTCAACTGCGTCGTAGTCCTGAAACACAAAAATAAAAAAAAGACGTAATATTATTTATAAAGTAAATTAAACACTTCAAAAAAATATAATATTCATGTTGTAGGGGGGGGGGGAATAGATCGAATGATAAAAACTTACCTTTTTCACAAGTTCTAGAAGATCCTTAAGGAAGCCACGCAGTTCTTCATTCTCAATAGATCCATTGTTGTCCTGAGAGAGTTATAATATAATTATTAATTACGTGTTCCAAAAATATAATACATAAGTAGTATTATAAAGTGTATATTTTCATTAAATTACCCTGTCGTAAAGCGCGAAGACCCGCTCAATGTCTTCTTTTGTCAACTTTGTTGCACCCTAAAATATTAATTCCTTGCATAAATAGGTTTTCAGAAAAAAATACTAATATAATATAATATTAACAATAAGAACTTTATAAAAACGGTTATTATTTTTTTAGGGTCGTTTCAGAATATTTTTTACAATTAAACATTGCATAAAAAATAAAATACTTATGGATGCGTAAAAGAACTAAATTACACAACTTGTAAAACTTTGTAGGAAAATAATTACACAGAAATTTACCCAATTTTAAATTTCATGCAAGATCAAATATTTAGACGAAGGACGCCGACTTACGCTGTTCATTCCTTCCTATGGAATCACATCACGTCCAGCACACAACATTGATTAGAAGAAAAGGAAGGCAGAAAGGAGTGGAATAAAATTACATTCATAATTACAGGAATAATGTGAAAAGTTTTAGATAATGTGATGTAAATAAACACAGAGAGAAAAGAGAATAATACAGATTATCCATCCAAGCAGATTATGAAATTTTAGATTATGTTTGTTTTTTATATTTTCGTTTATAACGTAAAAAAAAAATGAATAATTTACGTGAGAAAGTGCGAAACCATGTTGTGGTGCACGAAAACCGATTATGGTTATAAAGAGGATTGATTTTAATTTTTTATGAAAGTGATTGACGAGACGTGAAGAAGTGCGAGATTGATTTCAAATTCCCAATCCACCACATACACGACAGTCACAAGACTGCAGCGCACCTCACTTACCTTGAAGATCTGCCTGCATAAAAAGTTCTCTCGTACAGGCAGCAACCTGCAACACGCCAAAAAGAGGAGGTACAATAAATGGGTATGCAACCCGCGCGCCTCGTATGAGGAGACGGTTGCATATATGTAAAATGAAAGGCGCTAATGAGGCACCCATTGTGTGCTGCGCAGTGTGCAAATTTTTCACGGAGGTAAAAATAACAAACTTTGCATTGTAAAACGTACTTGGCCATCTCCGAAAGCTGCAGACGCCCATCCTTGTTTGCGTCAAACACCTGGAGCTGAAAAGTGCAATGGATGAGAAATTTTCCCTCATTTCACTCAAGATGACTTCATTAATCATTTTGGTGGGAAAAATTAATTTCACTTTTAAAAAAGTGCAAAATAATTCAAAGATTTCTCATTATCATTAACTTGGCTTGACTGAGCTGATCGTACTAAAGTCAATTGGTAAAAAATTTAGCCTTGTTTGCTGAATCAAGCGTTTTTGTGTGTGGCAGAGGTCGAGCAATAAATCGTGTTTTTCTCCACCTAACCAGATCAATATAACTGGGGTGTCAAAGCGCAATGAAGCACTCACCATAGTGTCCGTGTACTCAATCAGTTTATCTTCAGACACATCATTGATCTTTTTCGCCTCCCTCAACAAGTCACGCAGGAAGTTCTGGAACCGACACAAATCACATTAAAAGTTTTGCTCCTCCTATTTTGGCTCAAGAGCGAGCGCTTGGGATGTAATGAACGCACAAGGGAAAACGGGACAAACTTTGGAGGTTTGCAATTAGTGCTGGTAAAGCTAAGACAGTTTCGCGCAACTCTGCCAAAACAAGGAATTTGTGTAAGATTTATCTCCGAATATCGCCTAAGTTACAACTTTATTTGCTCTAAATAAAATCGCTTAAGGATACTTAGAAAAGTACCTTGAGCTCGTCGGCCTCGATGAATCCACTGCCATCAGTGTCATACTCGCGCCAAATCTGAGGCAGAGAAAAATGCAATGTTAAGAAACAAGATTTCAATCCTGCTAAAAAAATTAAATTTTTTTATTACTTTCACTTTTGGCTCTCTTTAAAAATATTAAAAAAAGGTTATTAAAATTATTTCAACTGAAAAAATTTTCATTTTTAAATTACAATGTTTATCTGAATTTTGGATACTATTAAACTTTTACTTTCATAGAAATATTTCTGCATGTAAAATTGTTTTAAACAAACGAAAAAAATACCTCCCAGAATTTTAAATAAATTAACTGATTGTTAATGATAAACATAACATAAATTTATTTATGTAAAATACAAGAAGAGTAATATTTATAATATATTTACTCACGGCTTCATTAATGCAAATTTCAGTGTGTTTAAATCATGCAGATAATATTATAAAGTCACTATCCCCAAGTGACTTAATAATCAAGCTACTAATTGTACCTTCATAAACTCCACGCTGGACTCGAGTGGGTTATCGAAGCGGAACAGCAGAAGGAAGTTCTCCTCCATAGGCAGAAGCTGCGCCAGCTGCAAAGACACACACATATACACGTCAAATGGGGCATAAATTTATCCCACGAAGCATGAATTTTATAGTCCAGAAATAACAGTCTAATTGAGACCATTTTGCCGGCGCTTCCCGTGGAAAATCTTTTACGATATAATGGGCAGTAGATTAATAGCCCCTGGGGACGCGGCGCGCACCCGTTTTTCCGGCAAAGTTCACGACAATGCGCATCAAAATAAAAAGCAATGAAAAGCACCACCGAAATAATCGCGTGCGAATTTCACGCTTGGGAAATTTGCTGGGCACTGTGCCAAAAGCGTCCTATGACGAAAAAAACTTCTAAACGGCCACAATCTAATTACCATGACATCGTTGATTGACGTTAACTTAATTTTTTATCTCATGGCTCGTCCGATGTTTATTATGTATAAAGAATTTTTAGTAAACAATCAAAGTATCTGGCTGTCAGTTCCAGCAAAGTTTGCGGTGAAAAATTCTCAAGGCTACGAAACTGCGCTGCATAGTATAAAATTGGCTTGCCATTTTCCTTAAAAATAAGAAGAAAAACGATTTTTTTTTATCTCGACGCGGCACTGCGCGGTATCATTAAATCGACTCTGGAAAAACATGCCGCTGATGATTATTCAAGTCATTTTTTTCGTCAACTTTGCATATATATTTACCTCCCTAATGTCGATTTTCCCATCTTGGTTGTCATCATACGCCTCGAGGAAGCAGGCCTTGAGTTCGGCGAGCACTGCATCGGAGACGGCCTGGAACAATACAGGTGAACCGAAATTGAGTCAGCAGAGCCTGAGGTGGCTGGGTCAGCTAGACTAGCCTGAGTCAATATTTGCCCGAGGGGATCAATATTTGCCGGGAATAATTTGCGATTGCAAGCCAACCACGTGTAAAAATCCCCGTCACCTTTCTCGCTTGTTAGGGCCACCAGATTAATTAATTCAATCTATCCCTGTAAAATCTAGAATTGCAAGAAGCATTTAACATTTGACTTCCGACAGTATAATTTATCACCAAGCTATAAATGTGGATCATTTCCTAATCAAATTATTTGAGCTGTATTCAATGGATTGGAAATTCATACTGGTCTCTTTTGTGAAAGGGTCAAAGCAAAGTTACCCAGCGCGTGAGAGAAATTATTTTTTAATATTGCCGTTTACATTTTTATAATGCTTCCACTTCCAGTAAAAAAGGAATAAAAGTACCACCATGGATTTTTTATTAATCTAGATGATACGCGCAGCTGGAAATAGGCCATTGGCCCACTTCAAACTGCTCCACCTGCGCTGGTTTGAGCTAATAAACACAAAACACATTGAATCGGTCAGAAGGAAGCTTTTAAAAATAAGCACCACGCAAACAAAGCCGTGAAACACGCGAGCGCTGATGAGCAGTGTGCAGGTGATTTGGTCAATAAAAACACTCGGTCATTCCAAACACGATTCAACTGACACATAAAATCAACAAAATTTTCCGTATTTACTGAAGCCTCTCAAAGGAAACTGCTATATTTAGATCAGAGAGAGAAAAAAATTATTATTTTATGATTCAGATGGTTTAATAATCGTGAACTAATCGGCACCAAAAATGACAGAGACTAAAAAAGTTGGAAACAATATTGTTTAATAATTTTTTTTATATAAATAAATTAAATTTACAGCAATAATTTGGTTCTCAGTGTGTTTCCAGCTGACAACCTAACACTTCTCTTCACCGTGGAAGTTTGTTGGTGAGAACTCGGCTGTAATATAGTTCCAGAAAATTTTATCGTACGTGTTTTGACAATGTCGGGCTTGATTTCAGAGTGGAGCAAGCTGAGAAAATACAATTACGCGCGCGACTTCGAAAATGTATTTATACGGAAATAAGCAGCGCATTGTTCGCTGCTGGAATAACCAGCAAGCCGAGTTAATTCCAGTTGTCATGCCGCCGCACCCTTGCTCGACTCAATTCTGCTGAAATGCCAGAAGGAAATTGCAAATTAACGGTAATGGATCAAGCATGTAGACAAGTGGTGGGCGAAGGAAGACCCATTAAAAGTCAATTTCGTTTGCCAACTGCGTGAGAGTGAGTGGCCTGAAAAAAATGCTTTTTGCAGATGTGCTTCGTATTTCTTTTGACTTTGACACAAGAACTTGCTATTTTTTAAGCTATTAAAACTCTAGGCAAAATGAAAAAGAAATTATTGTAATGGAAGGTCTTTTTCATTACTTGAAGAAACGGTTTTTTCTGGGAAACTTTTTATCAGCTAGCCCGAGGAGCGTATGTATGCGAGTCATATCTAGAAAATGCGCGGAAAGCTGCGGCGACCCTTCAAAAGGAAGCGAGGTGGCAGTTTTGCAGCACGACACGTACTAATCTCGGCTCTTGCTTTGACTCCGGCAAATCCGCTGATGCCTTAGCAACGCAAACAGAATTTCGTTTGACATGGCCTATCTGTATTAGCTGAGATGTAGCCGCAGAGACCAGCTCTAACTGATACACTCCGTCAGCAGACGCCTAGGTATCATTCCCAGCAGACCTTTCACACTCGAGCCCCAGATATAGTCCAGACCCACCTCACCATCCACCAGTCTCTGATATAAAATTTTCTCGGAAAATTAGAAACTTGAGTTTCAAATTTTCTCATTTAATTTAGTTTTTAAAAATAAAGATGTTTATTTTTTTGTCAATGTATTATTTGTATTAAATAGTTTTAACTTAGAAATATGATAATTGATTCTTTACTCACCTCCGGGCTGACATCGGACGCGTTGGCACTAGACACAAACTCTTTTAGAAATCCGTCGAGCTCAGTTCCCTCGATATAACCGTTTCCTTAAGCACAAGAATAAATTTTATAATAATTAATAAAGTTGCAGGAATTATAGCGAACGCGATAAATTATCATAAATGATTTTAAATTTGTTCATACCATCCTTATCGTAGTGGCTCCAGACGTCCATGAACTGGTTGGCGGAGAGCTTTTTGAGATCGCGCGTCTCAGGGTCCCTGAACTGGCGCATGAAGTTGGTCGCCTTCTCAAAGTTAAGCTTTTTCCTAGCTGCGGCCTCAGCAGAACTCATGATTGATGTTCTGAAACAATCAAGCAAGAACATGTATTACTCTAATTTTTCCACTTATTTTATTTACAAGTTTAAAAAACAATTTTAATTTTTTTATCGGCATAAATTTAAGTAAAAATAATCAAATTTTTAATAAATCCAAGCGTTGCAATGTAATTTTATCAAGTAATAAAATTCTGTTGATTAAGTTTCCCGTCTAGGTAAGTGAGCAACCTGCTGTTTGGCACGCGCGGTTATTTGAGAGCCATGCTTTTTGCAAGAGCCAAAGAGTAATTAATCAACCATCCCCTGTTCCTGTACGAAGGATGATCAACAGTCGGTTGGCTGGAGAAAGCAAACAACTCTTGTCACGTTTACGTGTGTAATTAATGGAGGGGTAAATACCCATGAAATATGCAGCAAACCTGTATTGCAGAACATTATTATACCAAAAGCACCAACAGCTTCATTACGTCCCTTGTACAACTTTGTTTACCTAGCGTTTAATACCAAAACTGCTTTAAAATATCTCAACTTAGAAAGCAAGATCGTATTTTTATAGCTGATGTTTTTCTCTTTACGCACTTTTAAATAAATGAGAAGTAAAAAATTCTTTCCTAAATGAACTGTTAAATAAAATAAAAGGCTCGTAAAGCTCTGTTTTATTACTATTTTAATGCATCCCCTTTCCTCCATAATCAGATTACCGCGCAGGGAAAAGCAGGGAAAAAATCAATGAGCGAGCTGTTGAGCGGTGGAAATTTTAATATCATGCCAACTGGCGAAAGGTCCTCTGCAGCCCATATAATAAAATGGTTTCTCTCTCCTTCTTCTTTAATAAAAATCAGACCGCATTTTTGGCTAGAATTTCCTTCACATGGACAACCCTGCTGTCACCCTGTGGCGCGGGTATAGTTAAAGTTTCTTGTCGGTATTTTGCTGTATTTTTACAATGTTTGCTTAAAAAAGGGAAAAGTTGTAACTTTATTGTTATGTGCGCAGGAAATATTACGAAAGGCAAAAAGTTTTAATGATGCTACATAATTATCTTGAATTTAAGGAAACTGCGCATCGAAAGGCACTGTACATTGAGCTCGAGCATCAAGCTCCGTATCTCTTATGTGAGTTTTGAGAACTTGTCAGCGAATTCCCGACAGAAGTATTTGCAAGCCCAGGAGAAGAATAATTCTGAGTGCGATGGTCTCTACTTATTGTTTAGTCAAGTGTACGCGTCGTGCCTCATGAATAAATTAAGGGCTACTTTTCCTACAAGACTGCTTGCCTCACATGCAAATGCCGCGTACACGAGAGGCTAAATATTTGAACACTCCGTTCCTTCCCAGCTCTCTCGTGTCTCACACAGAAGGATCTACGAACTGCTCGTCACCTCCACTCCATCCCTCACGCACACGGTAATCATACATGGTATGCAAACAACCTATGGTAGAATATCAATTTCTATCAATTTACAAGGCGACGACAGGTGTAAAATACTCCCGACGCAATTATGCTTTTTTTAAATTCTATTCACACAAAATTAATAAACCTAACAGAACTTAATAGTGCTTTAAACATGCATTAAATCAAATTGCAATTCTTAAAGTAACTTTATCCTAAGGAAACTTTAATTTTTTACTGAAGCTGTTTTTAGTATATTTTTTTTTATAACATTTGGATTTTGGATTAAAATTTTTTTGAACAAAAATGCAATGTATTTTGACACTTTTGTAAAAATTGAGTATCAAAAAAAAAAAAAAAAAAAACACTTCTATCAAAAATATAAAATATGATTGCGTAGCTATGGAAATAAAACGTAACTTTTTTCAATAAACTCAGTCTCTGCGGAAAGGGAAAAACTGAAAATGATCATCTAGCTGATATTTTGTAACAAAAGGCACGCACGGCGAATGCATTTTATGGGCGGCCGAATGGCTCTGGGCTTCCAAGCAATCAATACGCAGCAGTCACTCTCAAATCTGTCCCTGCTGGCTCTTTGTATGGGCCGTGATTCAAGAAGTTGAAAGGTTGCGACGGCAAAACTGCCGACACCACATATTGACATTAGCCCCACGTGAATTGAGCATTCACGATGGAAATTGGAAATGTTAATGAAATCTCATTGTCAGAAGGAAGCGAAAGATTATTGCGCTGTAAGTATAATTTCTAGCGTGTGTTAAGCCATTCATTGGAATTTGCTGATACCTTTTTTTCTAGCACGCTAAAATAGGCAGAACACGTTTGTGGGCAATAAAATGCAGGTCACCTGTTTCTTTTTTATTTTGTGGAGCTGCGTGCGTGAGTAGTCACCTGGTTTGGGGAGGAGCAGAGCAGTTGCGCATCAATATTTCATGCTTCGATCCTTGCTCATTTGAATTTTTCGACCCCGCCGGAGTGGCCGAGCTCATGTTAAGGAAAAATGGTCTTGTATTTTACGTGCCTTAATTTGAGGCTCACAAGACCGCGGCTATAGAGTATATTTACTGCACCTCTACCCTTTTTCAATAGTTGATATATAGTTCCGCGTGAGCTCTTCAATGCCGGCATATCTTAAAGAGAAATCTCTCCCATATGAATTATTCACAACCCACGAGCCATGCAAATATCTGAATGAGAAAAAACTGACACAAGCTGCCTTACAATCAACAGACGAGTCAACCTGCCATATGTTCTTTTTGTTCGTACTTAATGTGGTCATTGCAGAAGAAAGAGAGGGAGCAGATGGTATTTGGATTTAAATTAAATTATTTATGGTATTTTTAAAAAGAAAAAATATAATAATTAATACAAAAAGCATATTTCATGAGTTGAAAATAGGGGTTTTGACCAAATATAGATAGAATTAAATTAAAAATGAGCAACGTGCATGACCACGTTGAATGTATAATTTCTTGACGAATTTTCCTTTCTATATACAGAAGTCGGCTGCTGGTTTTTCTTTGTTAACGCACATTATGAAGTCGTCAGAAGCCTGTAAGTGTCAATAATGGTATGCACACAAAAGCCCCCTTACTCTCAGCACGTTAAAGCCGACTAAACATTCAGCCAACAGGCGCATTACACCTGTTTTGCTTGTACATCATTGCACGCCCCTAGGGCATCTCTGCGCGTCGACCTCTTTTTATTTGCTAACGACGAGGGATGTGCTACACAGACCACAACTCACATCAACCTTTTTTACAAATAAAATTTATAAAATTAATAAAATTTGACTTCTAATGTTTGCTTGTAATTAGTCGATTAAAATTTGTGCTGTTTACTAAATGCGAAATTATTTTCAGCATCTTCAATAATATTGTTATTTATGGTTATTAATTAAAAAAAAATAAGTAAATAAATGCGAAAGATATGAAAGTTTGGAAACTTTGATGGATAAATAAAAAAAAACTTTGCAAGCACATCACAAGTTAGGCAAACAAACGAGGAGAAAGACTCGGATTCAGAAAGTGACAGAGTTTTCTAGGCGGTAGCGCGATGTGTTAAATCTGCCTCTGTGATTCAATTCATCTAAAGCCACCAATAAAGGGCTTGTAGACTCAAGAGCCACAATAAAATATTATTGATTTGTTGACCTAGCGTTATAATTAGTTGAGAGGTTGCTTTGTATAGGTGAACGGGGTATGAAGAGCCTCTTCAAAACAATTGTTAATTTGTCGGCATAAGCATTTCTAAACGATGGAACTATAGTAGGTATTGTCTCGTTTATTTTATATGATGTTGATTTAAATCTGAATATCCCCCTCAAATACTGCAAGTCGGGGCTTTTGATCTGGGAGCAAGAAGATAAAATAATGATAGCAATTAGTCCTTTGAGAGTCAGAGCACAAAGTAAAACGTATAATCAGAAATGTTATTCTAGCAAAAAAATAATATGTTCTCTCTTTCGAAGCAGAAGGCTGTACTGAAATGTATATTTAAATGGTTTCACTGTTAGTGCTGCGCAACAGATAATTAACAGCAACACAAAAAGAACAAATAGAAACATATCATGAGGGTGAAAACCACCGCTATATGACTGCAGAGCTTTTACATGAATAATGTACACTCTCTGATACCTATCATATCACATTTTCTCATCAGCCTTTTTGGAAACACAAAAACAACATTCATAATATTTTGTGGCTTTTGATGCCATCGGGAAGTTTTCCCTCATTTATTATGAAATGAGGCAGTCATGGAGTTTTTCCTACCCTATAAAAAATTTACTGCTCTATATGTCATATGCCTTGCAATTTCTCATCTTTTAAGTAAAAAATCCTTTTCTGGTTGTGCTTTGCTGAAAAGTAGCAGACTTTTTTTAGAGAAAATTTTCTCCGAATAATTTTTGCACTAACGAGCTGCATGACATTCTCGCCTTTGTGCCAAATTAAGAAAAGGGAGGGTTGTTAAGTGGAAGAAAAACATCAAGCTGGGGCCCCAACCCTCAGCAGAGCATTATGTGTCCCTCCCTGGAACTCCTTTTAAGAGATTAAAGTGCTAGTGAGCGACGAAATACAAGGTTAACGAGAAAACTATTGGATTTTATAATATTACCATGTAGTTGGTGCATCTATTGCCGCAACGAAATGGTATGAGACAGAAAATAAAAGCAACTGAAAAACCAGATGTGTAATTTACAAATTACAGTGAGACGCAGTGAGAGAGGTGTTGAAACAGGACAAATCTGATTGTGAGCGAAATAACATCAGCAAGGAGACAGACCGGATTACAAATGCCAGAGTAAAAAATATACCTCCATTGTCAGTCAGTTTTTTTTTTGCCTGCCAACAAAAAGAAGCTAATAATAAACCTGCATAACCTTCTGACGCACTTAAAAAATTTTAAATTCATTCTGTTTTTAAATATTTTCTGAATTTAAAAGCAAGTTCTCTATTTCTTCAGCAGAGCGCTGCGAGGACAGAAATCGATTTAGCGCTGGCGCCTTTGAACAAAAGATTCCCGTTGACCTGGCCTCTCTCAGGACGGACAGAAATATAGTGTTATTTCCACACTTCCTTTGTGAGTTTTGCACGCAGTCCGACAATAATAGTTGTGACCAGAAAAGAAAGGCGAAAAATTGTGTCCACACCTGTTAGAAGAAGTGTATTATTACACTTTGTGCAGAATGATGCATGTACTTTGGGCGTTTGTATTGTTAGGGTTGCCAAAATCCCCCGCGGCGCTCTCACCCCTGGGATATATGAAATGGGGGCCAAAACTCACGCACACGCCGCATCCGTAATGACCATAATTTCGTGGGCGCGCTGTGTGTTGGTTCGTTCGTGTGTTTCCCCAGTGAAATTCATTAAATACAGAATGCGCTTGCCGCACTGAGAATAAACACACTCGCAAAAGATGAGTATTTTTGTGAAACGAGAAAGTTTTCGACGAAGTAAAAAGACCTCATCTGCTAAGCACGTCTTTCAACGTGCAAATTTTAAAAAGAGGACGGTTGGGTGCTGCCGACACCATCAAAGAGAACCGGGTAGCAGTTAACATTCACACAGGGTTCTGCTGAATTTTATAGCGGCAAAATTCTGTGAAATGGAAAAAATGTCTAATTAAGAGCCGGGTCTGCGCATACGCAAGATGCGCTCACTTTCTCATCAAAACTTGACTGAATTTTCAAGGTAGATGTAAAATGCGTCAAAGTTTGTTCACTGGCGCCCGGGGTGCGATATAATCCCTGCGGGGGAAGGGGGTTAAATAATTCATGAATGCGCCTCCAGGGCTCCTTTAAAACTGCTGGAGAAATGGACGAAAAGTTGGGCCAGTGTCTGTCATGTCTGTCTCCCGTGCCAAAAATTAATAATTTAATATCCGCTCTGAACAGAAGTGGTTATGTTTGCTCCACGGCAGCAAAAGAAATTAAATTACAGAAGTTTAAGATAAATGGATTAAAAAAAAATTTATTAACTGCAATTATCTAAAAAGTAATTAATTAATAAATCTGGACAGCTTGAGCTTCTCTATAGATCCACATGCTTCAATAATTAGTAGACTTGCTCGGCGCACGTCAATTATTAATACTCATATTGATACGCCTCCAAATCGATTGGAAAAGAGAAGCTCTAAACTCTCCGAGTCTATGTCAAACTTTCCCGCGAGGGTGGCAACGCGAAAAAACACAAAATAAAATTTCTGGGAGCATCCCAATTTTATCGATTGATTGGTAGCCTTTCAATCTGCCGCCACAATGCACATCGCTCAGTCAGGCTGTGATTTAATCTCGTTGTTGCCATGGCGAACGGAATTAATAATTCACACGTTCCTCTGCTATGATACTATTTTTGCACAAGAGCTCTATGCTCACGACTTATTGATTTTCTAACTTTGATACACAGGGATCATAAAACTTCAGTGGAGAACCTCCACTCTTATTAATCAATACATCTGTTTGACCTTTTGGTCAAAAAAGTGATTGTACAGAAAATTTGATAATATTGTTGTCCAAATTAGGCGTTTGAAAGTTTTTTTAAAAATTATTTGTTGCTCTCTAGGACGCTTTGAAGTTGCAAAAATTTAAAGATTAGACCACTGAGAGGATTTATTAATAAATCGGCCTTCTTATCAAATGCTATAGAAGAACAATGCTTTTCCTACGTCGGCAGCTCTAGCTTAAATCTTTGGTTCAATATATTCCACTCTAAGCATGCCCGGCCCAAAAGCCTAAGAGGATCATGCCGCTGCCATCCTGGGAAAAAAACAATAAGACTTGCGGTTTCCAAGTGCAACAGCAGCTGTTGCGAAAAAGATGGAGGAGCTAAGGCATGACAGCAGTTTTGTAATGTGCTTTCCTATTATTTTGTTTTTATCTGTGCTATGGAGGGCTGAAAAAAGGTGGAAAAAAACAACATAAAAAAGAGATTCAGCAAAATCCCTTGCCTTCATTTTGAAAAACGGAAAATTGATTTGCGAGACTGTGGAAAATCCTCTGTTCCATAAATCCTGAGCAACGTTTTAATTAAGCATTTTATCAAGCGAGTGCCGTTCTTTTGCTAATAACGCACGGTCCACGCAGCAGCTTTGCTTTGTAGCGCAGATTAATTTGTTCAGCCTCGCGCTGCTTCTCTGCTGTGTTCGCAAAATAATGAACGACCACCCTTAGCGCTCGCTCAAGAGTAAAGAAAATTGCGGAACACTTTTTCTCTCTCCAACATCAGTTTTAAATTTCGGTCATTCCAGATTGAAATCTCAACTGCCGACAGCTTCAGGCCAATTTCTCACTCCAATTGTCCGCTCTTTGTGAAAAATGAGACTGGCAGAGAAATAAGAAGGGAATTACAGCGATAAAAAGGTAGTTCAGTCAGCATTGTGTGCAAAATGCTTTTCTGCTGATGACTGAGAACTTTCTTGGATTTCTTTTGTGTTTCAATAAAATAAAAAAACGTTCGCTCGAGATATACTTCAAAATATAAAAAGAGACGGAACGCCAACGAAGCGCAAGCAATTCCCGAGAACGGGAAATGTTTACGGCGGAAGCAATTTACTCCAACAAAGAGTATGAACTTTGTGAGTTTCCCGACCATAAAAATTATGCGCCAGGGAACAAAGCAAACAAGGCAAGTGCGTAAAATTAGTTTATTGCAAAGACTAAAAAGGTTTTTTTTAATGGAATTTTCTTTCTATAATTTATAATCTTTCAAGAGATTTTTGCACAAACTACGCAGCGGGAAAAATCGGGCCGTTTAAAGTTTGTGGAGATCACGCAAAACACGGTAAAATAAATTAACTTTACCAGCTATGCTGGTCATGGCGGCTGATTTAATGCGGACAATTAATATGTGCCAGGAGTGTCATAAAAACTTTGCTTTACGGAGGGTAAAAGTAAAAGTGGGGCCTCTCAGCATTTTATAAAGCTGAATTTTGCGTTTAGCATTTAAATCTGCATAATAAGGCCTTTGAAGTGAATTTAAAAGGCAAATCAGAGCCCGCCGGCCGAACTTAAAAAAGGAACAGCGCGGAAAGATGGAAATTTGAAGTCTTACCTGGTGGCTGGGCAAAAAGTACAGGGGAGAAGGTTGAGAGAGAAAGAGAGAGATCGAGAGAGACGCGAGTTGCGTGTGGAGTAGTAGCAGGAGAGCGAGTGTGGAAGCGGGCGAGACTCGACATTGCTCCGAGCCTTCGGCGAGTCACTCATGCGCATTCTCCCTCGGAACCTTTTGGCAGAACCCCGACGCGCCCTTGGGTCTTCGTCAGTCCCAGAGCAAAGCACCCGATCGCACACACAAAGAAATTGGCCAGCATTTCACTATGGAGGCTTTCGGGGCAAATTAGGCAGTCCCTTCTCTTCGAAGCCCTTGTTTGTTGAGAGCAACGAAGTTTCCGGCTTTGAAGTGAACGAGGACGATTCAAATAAAAAGAGCATCGTGTTTTCCTTGAACTGTACGACAAAGAAAAGCTTAAAAGTAAAGGATTTCTTACAAAAATTCTTTCTCAATTCACCAAACTCTAATAAAATAAAAATCTTATTTTATTAAAAAATATTATTATCTCGGCAACCTCTTAAAACTATTTTAATTTTTTTTATAATTTATAGTTTGTATGTAATTCCTTGTTAACCCCTAGAGGACGGTTCCAGACATTTGATTATGCAACTTGTGAAATTTACTTATGCATATCAAAAAGTTAATAGAGCTAAATATAACCAATAAATCACCTTAATTTGCATTAAGATTTATGCAATAACCCATAAAAGTTATTTTCTTCCCGTATTGCGCAACTGAATCATAAAATTCAATTCAATGTCCGCAAATATCAGCGTTCATTAATTTGCATACAGCAAAAATTATGGTTGGCTGTAATTTGAGCATGCAAAGTACTAAAACGCTGAATTTAACGTTTCTTCTCAAACACGGTAATAGTTTTGCGTCAAAAGCTGCACCCCAATCGCAAAGTTGAAGGTCGCTGCCAAGAATTGGCCTTGATAAGAAATAACGGTGCTCAGTAGACACACCAGACGTGGCCGCGTGTTTGATGGAAATGGATCACTTGTGAGGATAATTCACGGGAAAAAATGAAGAGCTTAAAGTGAAAACTCGCGCGCGCGGCTGCTGCCAGCCAGGGTATATTATTCCCGATTTTGCATGCTCGCCCCAGTTCGTGACCATATTATTATATGGCCTGAGATGGATAAAAAGTTGCCAGACCTCAACACGGTTTGCTATCCAACTCGACAACCACGCCGCCCTTCACGTGCAGGGCGCCGATTTATTTATTGTTCGGTGCAAGTTTCAACTGTTTGCATAGGCAAATTTTAAAGTGGTCGCATGAAATAAAATTTTGATATCATTTTATTTGAATAAAAATAAATACTCAAATGAATAAAGTTTCTGGAATATTATTTTAAATTTACGAAATAATAATAAACCATAATTAATGTGTAAAATCGAAAACGGGCACTTAAATATTTCAAGAAAAATAAAAAAATAAAACTGAAAACTGAATAAATCCTAGGTTTTGTATCCTACCAAAAGGTTCATAACCAATTTTTTCCTTTTGTCTCCGCTGCAGTGTGGGAAAAAAAGAGACTATTTTGCTTCCCTTATCTGAAAACAAGAAAAAAAAGCTGTAAATTAATTAAATGAGTTTGGTTTTTTCAACATTTTTCAATATCACTTCGAGTGTTTACTTATAAAATTAATAATTGTTGACTACTGTTGAATTAATTACAAAAAAATGAGGGAAAGTTTATTTATTTTGGCAAAATGTGTAAATTTTTAAAGATTTCTTCAGCTTCGATTAAATTCTGGACGCGTAAATTGTAATAAGACCGTATATAAGTGTTAATTAAACTTGTAAAACTTTCAGTGTTAAACAGGCGTAAGCACTTTAGTGCAAAATAGAAAAGGTGTCGGGCCCTTTGTCCTTGGCCGGCGCGCAACAGCTTGGAGGAACTTGGGCGACAAAAGCTTTCGAGTGTGGCTGGCTGCGTGCAGGGCGCGGTGAGGGTGTTTGGCAACAACCCTTTTGGGCGCCCACCTTTGGCCACGACTGAGTCACGCGTCATGTTTGCCGGCCCTTAACACTTAATAATGCACCGCCTGACACTTGACCTGAGGCGCTCCGTTTGAATATTTAGCGATCCTCCGTGATCCCTGCCATACGGTTCAAAGACATACGGGCACACACAAGTATACAAACAAGACTGGTACACAGATTAAATATTATATTGAAAGTAAGTGGAAAAAGTTTGGAAATAATTGATTGTTCGTCCAAACTTTTTAGCCAATTTAATAATACTATATTTATTCGTGTGTTTATTATTAATCAATAAAATTAATTTTATAATGAAATGTTCACAAACTTTTTAAAATAAATAAATTTCTTTATTAATTAGACTGCATTGAACAAAATATAATTTTATTTTATGCTATTTTTGTCTAGTTCTGAATTTGAACAAGAGCATAAAACATTTCCCGAAACAACAATTCTTTATTTTGTAGGTTTTAATGGCTGAAATGACAGTTTAAAGTTTTACATGTAATTGAATTTTTCTACGAAAATCATAAGAGCAATTTGAGGCAAGTTTATTTATAAGAATTTTTTCATCACCATCAATGCTGCTTTTAAAATGACGCACGTACGATTCAAGTGCGCTGAAAAAATAAGATAAAAAAAATTCACGGTCCGAACGGAACACCTTTTAATTGACGATATAAAATATGACATGTTTCATGTCATGAGTAACGAGACGACTGACACACCACGGCAGCCCAGTAGGGTCCAAAATAACGCAATGTAGGTCAATAAAATTTTTGATGACATGACGAGCGAGCAAAAAATATGGCAATCTCTGGAATTTACATACAAATTCAAGCTGAGGAAAACAATTATGTTGGGCTAGCAAAGGAAACCTGAGAGAATGAGAAAAAAATTGATGCGAATTTTTCTTTGCAATATGTTTCCATTTAGGTTTATTTTCAGTTTGAGTTAAATTTTGGAAAAAGGAAAATTTTAGATAAAAAAAATTATCTTATCCACGGGAAAAATTAAAATTAAAAAAAAAATTATCTTATCCACGGGAAAAATAAAAATTCAAAAAGGGAAAATTTCGATATCCTTACATTTATACCCACATCAAATGAAAACTAGATCATTATAATTTTTTTTCTATCTTACCATTTAAATAAATTTCGCCATAGTTTTTATTTATTTTCCACTTATCCAATTATATAAAATAATGAAATTAATGACACTATATTATTAAAAAAAATTGTAATTTAATAATAAATACTTCTGTATAAATACAATTTTCAAAGTTCACTCTTTGCGTCAACTCTGATGTTATTAGCTGAAATCGCCTGAGCTCTGACATGTTTTTATTCCAACATTAGTTTTTCTTTTGTTGCGCTTACATACTTGACATTCCATGCTCCCCATTTATAAACCGAGTTGAGGGAATTCCTCGTGTTCTCTCTCTTGTCAAAAACAAGTCTGCTGCATGACGTAATCGCCTATGTACAAATGAGAAGCGATTTTGACGCGTTCATTCAGTCAGTTTGCGATTGAAAACAGTGCAAAGTAGCTGCTCACGTGCGGTGTGATCAGATGAGACAGATTTGCTTGTGAATTCGCGACGCATTCTCAGATGTGGACTTTTTCGGACACCGCCCTGGATACTTCGGACATGGTCAGGAATCGGTCATTCCTGCAGCAGCTCCAGGGCCGGAAAAAGAGAGGATTTGACACAAGGTCGAGGGTATGCAGCGTGCAGGAAACACAGGAATGCGGCTGGATGAAGGTAGGAAATTTAATTTTCTTAATTTTTCGGACGAGCAATTAAAACTGAATAATCAATTAAAGTAATTGATTTAGATTTATTTCTTTTATATTTCATCGCGTGCAAATAATCTCGGTCAATTTTTATATTATATGCTGTGCATAAATAGTTTCGAAATAAAAATTTTGATCTCGTCCGTTGAGAGAAAAAATAGAAAACGATATAAACATAAACATTTTTATTTCAGTATTAATGATATTTACATAAAATTTGTTTGTGCGACTCTTTTTTTGTCTTTTTCCGTGTCAGCCGAGAAAACGTCAAGCAAAACGAATGAACTTTGTGCAAACGAAGTAGGTCGGCAAATATATTAAGCATTGTCTTTGGTCGCCAATTAGTCACATGCACAGTCATCGTCGACAGAATGCAAATTTTATTTGCATAAGATAAAATCTGCCTCATTAGCTGCATATAATTGAATATATGAAAATAATGAGTGCACCGAGTGCAACAACCTTGGAAGTATGAAAACATAAACAAATATGTAATGTGCGACGGCATAATTATGTTTATAATTGAACCGAGCAAACAATAATTATTCTACACTCAAAGACGTACATTTTAACTCTTTTTATAAATTTATGAGCCGCAACGAGTAATAAGGTCAGAATTTTTCAAGTACTTTGAAAACGGAAAAATTTTGATAAACAAGTTTAACTTTTATTTTTATGCAAAAAAACCCTGAAAAATTCCTTTTTTTTAAATTTTCTTATAATAAAATTGATAATATAACATAAAAAGCCTCACATCTTTACTAAAAGTTAGTTTTTGTTAATTAAAAATTTTATGAAATGTTCGGTCAATAAAAAAAAGTGATTTTTACATTTTAATTACTGAAGTTAAGCATTTTTTACATTCAATGGGTAATAAAATTGAAAAATTTTATATCATTTTGACGTTGAAAATAAATAATTGCAGGAATTTCATAAAAGTCAGATTATTTACTATCTTTTTTTAAAAAACAATTTTCGTTGAAACATCAATGTTTGCACAATTTTAAATCACAAGGGAGAAATAATGAAAGCAGACATGTAATTTGCATAATGCCTTTCCCTATATTTTCCGCCTTTTTTTTGGTATGCAACCGGCGTGGCAGTCACGTCGTGCGGGCGATTGTCTGCAGGCGTTTCTCCTTGTCTTCTATTTTGTCGGGGCTCTGCGCGTAACTTGATCAATGTTTGGGAGGCGCGGCAGGAGATTTAGATTCAGCGCGATGTCGTGTCCGTCGTCGGCGAAAATCTCATTCATATTAGCAAGAAAGCACTTTGGCTGGAAAACAGCAACAGCGGTCGGTGGTTAAGGCACCGTGCCTCATGCAATAAACGGTTCACGCGCGCACCCCTCGGCAAATTATGTAGTTTTTGTACCTGCGAGGCTGCGAGCGCCTTTACACTATATACGGCCATAATTCTTACCACCCTGTCATACTGAAATTGCTCCTGCAGATAACATCGCTAGAGAGACTAAATTGCTCGCTTTAAACTTTACAGTTTTACTGCAGCTAGACAAGATTTGCGTTAGGTGAAAATTTAAAATTATTTAATAATTGATGTATTTTATTTATGAGTATTTTTCCTTAAAATTTAAAACTAATTTATTTTTATTTATTGTTATTTTTGTATTTATTAATTTTTTTAAATAAAAATTGGTAAATATTAGGTTTAAAAAGTCAACCAGGGCTAACAGCGTCGTACGAGGTTTTTTAATCGGAAGTTTTGGCAAAATTGTTTCTACTGGTGGTGATGCTTTGCCCAACAATTTTGATTCTCTCGTTGAAAGAAGACTTATTAAACAATAGATTTTAAATTTTAAATAATTCTTTAAATTAATTTAAGACATAAGCTTCGATCAAATTCAGTTGTTTGATTTTTTTTCTAAGAAAATTTTTAAATTCTTTAAATTTCAGAAGTTTTAAAATGTAATTATTCAATCAGATATGCTGATAATGAATTCAAATTTTCATTGTTGAATATTTACTTAAAAATATTTTAATTATCTCTCATTACAAGATTTACAGAAAATCAGCTCTTGTAAATTATAATTTTTAAAAATCCTCCAAATTATTTAAAGAAACGAGATTTTATTATTTAGGGATTTTTTCTAATAAAATTTCTAAATTCTCCAAATATCAGGAGATTGAAAATAATTCAATCAAAATTTATATTCAAATTTTAAAATAAATCAAAGTCGGTATTCAGACTATTAGGAGATGTTTTAAACCTTAAATTAAATTTATTTCACATTTGTTTATTCCTTTGTGGCCATTTTAATTAAATAATCTTAAATCTATTCATCCTTTGTAGGAATTAGTCAAGGGTTTTCCCTGATGGCTCTTGATCAAGTTAAATCAAAGTCGGCTTTGTTTGAGAATTAAGTCCTCGAGGATATTGTTGCGTGTAAGTGGAAGCGGCTGCGTTTGATCCGGCCCAGGCTTTACAAATTTAGCCACTCTCTGGGAACGGTGGTCGCCGAGGCGTGTTGCACCCTGGCGGTGTGGGTGGTGTCTGAGCGCGCGTAAGATCAATATGTACAGGTACAGCGAGCGCTGCGAAGCTGTTATTTGGTCGCTGCCCGCGCGTATTTGTCCCGAGGGCATTATTTTATCCTCGTTCGCGGCACAGTCGAGCAGCAATAAAAGTTCGTTTAGAAAAAGCAAACGCGCGACTATGGGAAAATGTGCACAATAAGCGAAGTGCGCGAGTCAAAAGGCCTTTAATTAAAACGCCAGCGCGGCTTTAAATGAATGAGACCCTCGAAAGCGCGAAATTCTGGCGGTGACGCAAAGACAAAGGCTCGCTTTGCTTCGAAACGGGAGCCGTCGCAACCAAATGCAATGGAATTCCTCAATTAAAATTTTTTTCGAGGGTTAAATACGGGTTTTTGTAATCTGCACTTTTTTTTATTTTTGCTGTTTTTTTCAGTCCATTTAAATTTTAATATTTTTTGCATATAAATAATGAGCTACAATTTTTATCTAAATTACAATCAATTAATTAATAGTAAAAAAACCTTTGATTAACAACAGAGTTAAATAAAGCAATGGTGCATAGAAAGCCTAGAAATTCTTGAAAATTTCCAATTTATTCAATTTTTACCATTTTAGGGAAATTTTAACACTGTTTCAATGTTAAATTTCACTTAAAAAAAATGCAAATGTTTTTATTTTTGCGAGTGGATGATTATTTGGAAAAAAATCATAAAATTTAAAACAGCTTTGCGAATGAAAAAAAAAAGTGTGCTTGTATAAAGGTGGGGTTGTGAGATTTTAAAAAGATTTCCCAGATCGCGTGACGCCGCTCTTACTTTTAGCCCCACGAGTAGAACGGCGATTGCAGTGGAGGGGTGCATTTAATTAAGTTCCGCTGGCACCTCTAGGTGTGGTCGTCTCTCTCTCTCTCTCGCGTCCTTGAAACTTGTTGATGCCGATGCTCCTCTGTGGATTCAGACACCAGTGGTTGCTATTCAATCGCATTTGCAGCACTTCCCTTTTCATTTCCTTATGAATTTATATAATATTTTTAGCGTGCTTGGAAAATTATTCATTCTCTGTGGGCGAAACTCGCCAACTTCTGACGTCAAAGGAAAAAGAAAAATATCTCTCTCGTCAGTTTTGATTCAATTTTTCTTGCAAGAGGTCCTTTCGAAAGGAATAAAATTCATATCTACAGGAAACTTTAAACCCCTTTTCAATAAATGAAAATTGAATTTCTGTTAAATTCCAAAGTTGATTAAAAAAAGGAAAACTTGATTTAAATTTATATAAAATGCCTAATAAAATTTTTTTTACTTTCCTCCTAATTATCTCTGAAATTATTTGTCACGCATGGGAAGAATAAGGCGACAAAAATAAATAGCAATGTGGGTCAATTACCATTTCTGTTGGTTTGTGGCGCGCAGGACTACTGACTAATTTATTCCGAACGAGGCTTTCGCAGCCACGCAACTCTCACGTAACAATCGCAAAGAGAGCTCATTAATTTGCATTTTGAGGTCTCATTTGCGGCTGGAGAAATTTCAGGGGGGCCAAAGGAAATGGGTCACCTCAATAAGAGTGCGAGCGTCATGTCAAGCCCGAGTTTCTCTCTCGCTGCTGCGGTACGTAGGGATGCGAGGGGGGCGAGAGGGTGTGTGTGCCGCATTGCGGGGGCGGAAGAAGAACGAGTGAGATCCCAGCAGCTCCTGCTCGCCCTCCTCCCTCGCGCAAAACGGGTGCTCCGGCACCAAATTATCTCGCCATTCGCAAAGATAACACAATCTTGCTTTCGACAATCGCCTTATTTACGCCGCTAAGGAACTGCGAGACGGAGAGGCTGAATTTTTTTGTTTACACAACGAAGGAAAAATGAAATTGGCGGAGAATAATTCTTTTCAATTTTTCTTCAACGATAAGTTTGTAATTAAATTTGAACCTTTCACAAGAATCAACTCACGCTATTTGTTAAAAATTTTGTATATTAATTTTTACTTCATAAAATTTTGCTGCAAAATCACACTGAAAAATAAAAAATTAATTGTGGCTAGATAATTTTTTTATTCCTGCAGTATAGTTGGTAATTATTTTAGTTTATATTTTACTTGCTCCTATTTGAAATGATTCATAAATATATCATATTACAAGAGTTTTCACGTTCCTGCTAATTTAAATTATTTATTTTACTGTATCAAATTTGCTATAAAAGGGTACAAAAAAAGGAAAAAAACCGCTGGACCGTTGCGTAACTTTCAATTTCATCATGTACAGATCGTGTAGCTATTTTTTGTACACTGTTCTCTTTGTGAAATATGTGAAATACTATCCTATTTGATTTGTTAAAAAAGTTATTGTTTCAAAGAGGATAATTATCAGGTTCACTATTTTAACACGATTTGCGCAACGAACGTAAATTTCACCAAATATTGAAATTTGTTTATTGTTGAAGAATTTCTTTACAATCGAGGGCTATTTTAAAACTGCTGTTCCTAGATTTTCAATTAAATCATAATTTTTTTTTACTATAATTTTCATTAGAATTTGATAAAACATATTTCATTGACTTCGAAGTAAAGATTTTTTGAAACCGCCCCACTTGCATGAAAAAGAAAAATACTCTCTTATCATCAATATCGATTATATACCACTGGTCTTTTCCCTTTTGCGTATTTTAACACGCTCAAAGGGTTTAAAAGCCATTTGGACCGCATCCAGTAAGAAGGAAAGCGATCTCTGTTCAACCCTGCTAAGCCGGTATTAAATTCGAAGCGGTTTGCACCGGCTTCGGCAATGGGGCGCAATATGGAAATTATGTTCGCATACAGAGAAACAATGTTATGTGGTCTTGTAATAATTGCAATTGGACGCTTCCTTCACGCCCACAATTTTAAACATCTTTCTGCTCCCTTTGTGGCTCCATGCCAAATAATGGTGCGGCTCAAAAACTGCGAGCAGGGCTTAAGTACCAGGAACTGGGCGCGTGTGGTGGTGTCAGCCGGATGATGCTTTATTGCGGTTATAACGGCCCAGCAACATGGCCCTCTCTCATATCATTCAAATCGACGCTCAGCACCACGAAAGCTGCTCTTCTCCTTTTCATGGCCCTTTAAAATACTTACATGGCTAATGCTGAAATGATGAAAATGAAATTTTGCTTGAAAAGATTCAAGAGGATTAACGATTTTCTTGAGTATTAAATTCTAGACTTTGTTAACAAAATAGTAAAATTAATTAAAACGCATTCACTAAAATAATAATTTTTAATGATTATGCAAAATAGTTTTTCTATTTAAATATATAAAATAAAACTTTTCAAAAATTGAATCAAAAACAGGAAGATATAAAATTGGACAAATAAATATTAATAATTTATTTAGGGGCCACATTTACTAAAATTATTTTAATCCTGAGATTTTTTAGGGTTGAAGGAGTGAAAACAGAAACAAGCCACTCAAGTTACTGTGAAATTACTGTTGACATTTTTATTTTTGTTTGTATTGTACACGTAATGTATGCATTTTGTAACGTGGGTTTCGATTCCCAAGGAGACAACAGCATCAGCAAAACAATGAATGCTGGTTTTCAATCGTTTATTCTTCTTTTTTTTTATCAGAGTACAAGAAGACATTCACACACGCGCGTACAGCTCGTCCTTGTGCGTGCTCTGTCGTTTTGAATTAAATAAAAACAAGTTGGTTTTTCGCTTCAGGTAAAATTAACAGCGGGGTTGAATTATAATTTTTTGGTTTCATATTCGCTGCCGGATTTTGGTATTACAACTTTGTCTTTGTTTCTCAGCCAGTGCTTTCTTTTCCTGCTTAATACACACGGATCAATCGGAGCGACCCAAACAGCATCCGAGGTGCGTCGAACGAAACTCAGATCGAGTCTCGCGCGCTCGCGACCTGTACACATCTCACGTTATTGCTGAGGAGGCTGTTTGATCGATTCTGATTTTCTTACACTAATAATATGCATACAGTATCCAGTTTACAATCACTAATGTTCTTATTTAAAATTCAAAGTGTAGACAATTCTTCTATTGATTCGATTGATTAAAAACACCAATTAAAAAGTTCATTTTGCGAAGTCTACGAAGATTGATCCGATCAAGGGAATGTGAAATTTTTTTTTCATGGTTTTGCAAGGGTTTGTTCGAGTCCCACAAAAGCATGTGGATCGAATGGTTCAATTAATTTCGCTTCGAAAAACAACAATATATAGTACAAATTCTTTTAATTCAATGAACGCAACGAAAGATATATTTTTTTTTGTTCGTTTCAGATTCCCAAGTTCTACACAAACGTTATAATTTCCAGTGTCATAATTTTAAAAACGCACAAAAAGGCGCAAATTCTCAAATCCGATTGCCTTCGTTAAAGAATATAATATTACGATTTGAATTCTGAATTTGGCGCTTTTTTGACTAACTCTCGCAAAGACCTTCACAATCATTCAAACCACCAACCAACGTGCAACCGCGACCACAACCAACCCGACGCAGAAGATTTAATTCATTCTTTTCTGCTTCATATACATTACTTGTAGTTGTTTTTAATTACTTTTTGGCAGCACGCACCTGAATATTTAACTCTCAATTATTAATGTTAGATCTCACTCTCAGTATCAATATTATCCCCTTAAGATCATTGCATAATAATTAAAATATTTACACCTCTTGTGTTTGAGTGTGTCACGTAAGAAATTTTTTCGCAGTACATCTTTCCGTGATTCAAATCACATTTACACGAATCCACCACAGACATGCGAAGAAACGAAATTGCCCCCAGGAAGCTTAATTTGGCACTACCTATCAGAAATTTCGTGAAATAATTTACCCCTTTTTTTAGTGTGTGAATTTTTTTCTCTGCAGTGGATTGCTGAATACTCTAGTACACAAATGACACGCACAACATATACAAAATCGACTTTCAACATTGACATTCGTTTAAAAAAATTATTCCTGCGATCGCGCAAATTACTTGAAATATTAAAAATATCTTGTTTTTACGGGCTTGTGTATTTTTAAAAATTCCTTTGCCACCAAAATTTCTCCTATCATTATTGTGTGCTCTATATATGTTGCATTCCATTTGATCATGCAGCATCAATATTTTTTTTTTCTTCTGAATGTGTTAAAAAAATCTGGCACAGAGTGCATACGTTTGTTTCGCATTCGCTCGATACTTTCACTCAAAAATTTTATGCACCCGTCTCGCATATGCACGATCTTCTTCAGTCTTTTAGTCTCAAAAGTAAAATTGTCCGCGATTCTCGCAGTTCCTGCACTGCACCTAAAAAAATGTTGTATGCAGCAGGAAACTGACCCACCCGCCTGCAAGTTCGCATCCGCATTCAAAGTACACTCATTCAAGACACTGACTTGGGATCCTGTCTGTTTGTTGTTTCTTTCCAGCTCGCTCAATGTTTGCGTTAAGGAGGAGGGCTTTGAATTTTTTCAGTTTGTTTGTTTTACTAACGAAACCGAAATGTGAATTTCGAAATTATGAACGCTTTTTTAAATGATAAAAATTACACGAGTAGATAATTAAGACTTAAAAGTATTTTTCACTAGAATATAAGTGTGAAAAGTGGAACCAGCCGAATTTTCGAAATTTTTGTAAATCATTATCGATTTTTAGAATGTGTCTCTCGGAGACGAATTTTCAATAGTAAAAATCTTAAAAATGTAAAAAAAGGCTCAGCCAATTTCTTAGAAACAAATCTACGTACTACGTAGATACAAAAAAAAATTTGTTACTTATCAAAATAACTGCCAGCAGTGCCGATGAAAATTGATTTTCAAGAATAAGCTCGACTTATTGATCAAAAATATCTACCAAAAGAGCGTTTTTTACTTGTAAGGGCGTAGTAATTTTCAAAATTTCTTTACATGATTTCTAAATATTATGTACCACATAGTAAATAGCGTTGCGTAAATACGTGATATTTAAAAATAATTACGCGAATGCTCTCTAAATTGAGATTTTGTTCTCTACCATTTTTGCGTGCAGTTTCTTGAGAAGCTTAAATATAATTTGCGCCTCCTTTTGCAAGATGTTTCCACTTTCCATTACACACCTTTAAAATCTTATGGGTTACAACCATAACTAGTTAATCGTCTAATTAATTAATTTGAAGATTTAATTAATCATGTTTAACGCCTATGAATTTGGTATGGAGCCCCTCCTTGGCTTGAATCGTAGCGCAAACTACGACCTATCAATTGTTTACACGCTAACCACCATCAATCACGATAAATATATTTCTCCCGTCGGTACACACTTAAATAATAGTTACTTTCCACAACTGGTACAAATACATGGTTAAAGTACTCTAATATGTAACCGTGCTTTTGCCGCTCTGCTTTGGTGACCCAAAAGCGAGCCTCGCTGCTTCTCGATAAATTTTGCTTTTGCTTGAATGTTTCGCTTTTGATTTAATGTGCTAATTAATTTTGAAAAGCGAAAAATATTAATCCACAAGATTCAACGCGGACGAAAAATACTTGCAAATTAAATAAAATCCCTACTCGGCACCCTTGTACGTAGGTGCATGTCATGAAAGATCATAAAATTGGTTTGAAATCAGAAATAATATGGCAGCAGCGAAAGAATGCTCTCTCATTGGATCTTTCAGTGCTCCTCTGACGCGGCAATTCTCGTCTGTGTCGTTACAAATTATGAGTAGACCTACAAATTTAAAACAAATCCACCTAAATCTAACCATCAAAGATGAAAAAGTAAATTAATGAAAATAAAAATATAACTATGCTTTATACAAGACCCTGAGTGTTTTGTTGAGAAAACGTCTTACTTTCAACGCTTAAAAAAAATTAAGTGACGTCACAATCGGAAAATAACTTCGGTAAAGGACCTGCCACTATAGTTAGCTTATGGGTTGTGCCACTGCCACCCTTGAGGTGGATCTTTTTTTTAAGTAGCTATTTAGTTACTTTTGGCAAAAAGTAACAATGCAATTCTCACCCCAAGAACTTCTTTGCCCCGTTATAGATTTCAACCATTTTTAGAAAATACTTCGTATAGCGAGGGATACTATTTTTTTTCTGGATAGAATTTTTAAGATTTGTGAAAAGTTTTAATTTCAAATCAAATATTTTGCATTAGCATAGTGCAAAGTCAGATTATTTCATCTCGTAATCTCCGCACCACTGGACAATATTTTTTGTTTGTTATCAGTTTCGTTAAACGAGCGTTTGCCTAGGTAATCCTCTTAATGTAATAGTCACCAGGTACGATTGTTGTTTAACATTAAAAACGGAGAAATGCACTGTTTATTCGTTAGCAGAAACACCAAGGAACGTACCCCGTTTTCATCCTCGTAAACTTTTATTACTATCGTTTGAAGTTACGGGCTATATTTTTTTCTTTAAACAGGAATTTTTGAAGGCGCTGTTTTAACTTCAGGCTGCCGGTATCATATTAATTTTTTCGCAACTTTAATATGCTTGCAAGTGACGGTGTGTTATTTGTTAGTGTGTATGTATGATGCATTCTGTATTTTGGTTTCGTATATTGGCGTTCCAGAAATTATTCAAATGTTTTTAATCAGCCCGAAAACTGCCAACAATACTTGGTTGGAGAGATGATTTCATTTGTCAACACTAGACTGAAGGAGTTACTATTTTTTTCCCAGTTAAAAGTAACCAATACACGAGTAGACAATCATTGAAAAACAATGTCATTAACTTAAATCTGTAAGCAACCCTGCCGAGTACAAGAGCTGCGGTGAAATATTGTTTTTTTGTTTTGTTACGGTTTCAGCAGCACTAACAAGATTCTAACGTGAACTGATTATTTAATAATTATAAAAACTGGTCAGTGTACAAAAACCATTAAGCAAGGTACAATCACTGCTTACCATTTGTACACCATATAGTAAAATATAACTTAATAATGTATCTTGTGGTATCCTCGTACATGTATCAGTCTATTTTGTATTTTTATGAAATTCTCATCATCTCTTGTTTCTTTGTTATCAGCCTTTAATAATACAATTCATCTGTTTTTTTTTTTTAATTCTTGAATGAAGTTGTGTTGTGTTTCAAGAGTTTTTTCCCTTTAAAAACTGTTTTGCAAGAGAGTGAAAGAGTAAGAGAGAAGTGAAAAAAGAGATTTTAGTTGATCTATAACCTGCGATTTTGTGGCACCATCATTTACAAAATGTGAGAATGTTTGTTGGTTTGCTTTGTTCAGCCAAGTGTTTGTCGTATTTTAATTCGACTAGCAAGGCTTCGGCTGACTTAAAGCACGCTGTAAATAGTATTAGTAGTACATAGTAGTGTTTTTAATACACACGGTTAGAAACCATCTTGAGCAAATGTGGATTAACAAATGAGGTAATATATTTCCTTCCTTGCTTTTTCTGAATTCAAGTCTCGTCGGAAAATAATAATTAAAACACGTCGGTGCGTGAGGGAGGATGAATAAGTAGATAAAAAACAACTTAAATTAAATAGGACAAGGCTTGGAGGAATGTGCTTCTGAAAATGGAAATTGAATCACGCACGGGAACGGCATTGACAAGTAAAATCTGCATAAAACATTACTTAAAAACATCTGTGTAAAATGTAAATGCAAAAGTGTGTGATGTGTAGGACTTAAAATTGCAGAAATTCAAAAATAATAGAGGTAGAATGGAGGAATAGTGTGTAGGATAAACAACATAAAAAATTAAATTTTAAGTGGCTCTCTGTGTCTGTACACAAATCAGAATGTAAAATATTATGGCAGTTGAGAGGTGTGTGTGTGGCTAAAATCCAGAACTAATGGTCGAGTCACATAAACAGGCTTTCAGCCATCAAAATGTCAAAACCTATACACTTTACGCTCATTAGTAATAAATACTATTTAGGATTTAGCCAAGCTTTGAGCTGTCCCAAGTACACGTAATTTTTCAGCAAAAATTCTTAATAATTACTCGGTGAGCTCTCGAGGTAGTTAAAATAAATACGAAGTAGTACTTTTGAGAACAGTTGTCACGCAGTTGCCCTTATCAGATAGCAGCACTACTCGCCTGTTGCCCGTTCATACCCAGCGCTGGCGATGACCTTTGCTGCTGGGAAGCTGTCTGAATTGCTGGCTGCTGGTGTCCCTTGCGGCCGTTTCGATACGGGTCTGAAATTGGAAATTTTAAACTTAATCCAATTTAAAAGGATTAAAAAGTTTCCCATTAAATAAATTGTCTCAAAGTCATTAATTTAAATCTGAGGCAAGCAAACAAAATTGGACAAACAAAATTAGAATTCCGTAAGCTAAATAATTACCTGTTTTCACATGAATGAACCACATGGCACCAGTAACCACAACACCGATCAAGAACGCGATCAAGGCAATAACGGCAGCCATCTCTGTTGAGATATTTCCTGGGTTAACAGAGGTTGTTCTCGTCTCAGGCACAGGTGTGTGTTGAACAGTTGGAGTTTTCGTGGCCAAACCGTTGTAGGGGGAAACTGGCAGGCCGACTGGGTCCACTGGTGGCATGCCTGTTAACAGAAAATTCATGAACTCTCCCTTGCCTCAAAAACATTCAAACACCAACCAGTTGGTGCCATGCCATGAGGTTGCATTGGTTTTGCCTTTCGAGGTACAAGTTTGATGGGGCCCCTGGTGATAATTTGCTGTGCAGTCGAGGAAAAATAGTCCATGCCCCCTTTGAAGCAATTCAACGCTTGGTTGGCACACTGGAATCACAAAATTAAATTAATTTTACACGTTAAACTAATGTAAATGTCCACTTACGATCAAAAGATTGCCTCTTGCGTGTTCTGGTTTGTGAGTGCACAATCCCAGTGCACAGTGCAGGTACAAAAGGTTCATTTCAGAATAGGCTCGGTTGACCTTTAATATTATTTGCACACATTTACTAGGTTTTATAATTTGTAACTGCGGTAAAATGTGAAATTACCTGGAAGTTGAAGCCTCCGTGTCGATGCTTTGACCTCTCGCTGAAATGGTCCTCAACGTCGACCGAGAGATCTGCAGCACAAGCTTTTTTGACCAAGTAAATTGTTCCGGATCTTGTGGCACGGTAATCGGAGCTGTTGGAAATCCAGCACTTCTCGGGTACCACTTGAATTGGCAGACCTGAAATACAATATTTCAAAATAAAAAAATCTGATTTTTTTTTAAGCCAAAAGATATTAATTTGTGCAAGAGACTTATCAAATGTGTATAAGTGAAACTTCACATACCGCTTTCAATCCATGTCCTGACAAAAATTTTGTCGTCATACGTCACAAGACTAGGCCCAAAATCAAACGATAACAAGTCAGAGTGGTTTCTATCCTTGTAGAGTTCCATCATGTACAAGTTGTGACCGTTGCTGCTCCTGCTTGGGCCATCCAATCTCTCAGACGGTTCGTCCTGTGTGCAAAAAATTAAGTCAAAATGCTTTTAAGATAATTCCCATTCAGTCTTACATCGGTATCTATACCGCCATAGATCACTGAAATCTGTCCTGGGAATTTTGAGATGTACTTGCAGACCACTCGCAATTTTTTGTCATCGTCTTCCTGGTCTTCGTCATCACTCTCTGTGTCCAAGACTTCGTCCATTCCAAATTTGAAGTGAACAGCATTTCTGGTTAAAAAATTAGTCTCAGATTTCTCACACACTGAGATAATATTTAAGAGGTGTAAAAAAATTTATTGTTGAATTTTTAACATCCACTTTATTGGACAAAGTTTTAATATATTTTGTAAAATGTTTTCCTTGTGGATTTATTCAAATATTAAAAAAATTAAACTCACGAGTAAACCGTTTTATCGTTCTCACTGCTGCTCAAGGTGTTGCAAGATGTGATGTGGGTGCTCAGCCAAATGTGTGTGTCGTTGGATTGCGACCTACAGGAGGGGTTGTTGAGGGCAATCGACCTAACTCCAAGCTTGGACATCAACGTTTTGGGGAAGCTGATGTTCATTCTTTTCGGCTCGCAACTGACAGTTATCTCTCGGCGCAGGTCGTCAATGAGCTGGTGGTGTTGCTCTAATGATCAAAAGCTTTAATTTGGTTTATTGCTTAATTAAAATTGACCAACCGTCACTTTTCAAACTGCTGACAACCGTCGACCTCAAAACATTGTGCTGCATCGTAACTTGCTGGGGATTGACCATCGAGCTGGCATCTGTGATTTTGTCCTCCCCAGCCATATCGCCACTCAATTGCTCATCTTCTATTTGAGTGAGAATTGAAATACTGTAGTTAATTTTTTTACAAATAAAATACCAGCATCTTTGGTGTTTGCCACAATCACTTCAAACCCAGAAGCCCTTTCGGTCCTGGCGTACAACACTAACGGTCCGTAATTTATCGCAGACAAGAGCAAGTCGTCCATCCTGTCCGGCAGCTCTTTGTTTCGCACCTCAATGCTCTGGTTTTCCTCCATGTCTGAATTCTCAACTTGTTGGTCACTCTGCCAATAAAAATGTTTCGATATAAAATATTGATATTTCTTTTAAAAAACTTACAATGACAATAATTTTTCCGTCAATTCCGTGCGAAATGAGCTGCCACTTGGTAGGTCTGTGCGCCTTCAGAAAAAGGGTGATGTTTCTCAGCACAGGCCTTTTGCTCTCTCCTAGCAAACTGACTTTCACTGGGGGCATTATCTCTTGGTGTCGAATCATTTCCTGGTGGACAATCTCGACAACGTAAACGTCACTGAAATTCAAATTTTGATTAGAAATTTTTAAACCTACCAAAAAAGCAAATCTACCGACCCATAGCTCGTCCCGACAAGATCGCCGTTGAAGCAGCCGAGTGCCTGCTGGGGCACAATTGCGGTGGCCGAAGCCACGGGGCTCATCTGGTTGCTGTTGGTGTCGCATTCTGAGCTCCGCTCGCCTGGCACTCCAAAGCCGATCATCAACTCTAACTTGTTGGCGCCGCGCACCTCCGTGAAGGAAGTGATGGCGCCCCAATTCTTCTTGGTGTACCGCACCAGGGCCTTCTTGCTCTGCCAGTCCTTGCCTTCTACTTGCAAGCTAATCCCACTCTCCACGCGACACTCCTTGCAAACGACCACCGAGTGCGATCTGCCACTAGGTAAACCTTGTCCAGATATGCGCCACAGAACCTAGAATTTTAATGTTTTATTTTAGCATTATTTCCCACTTTACTTAAGAAACTTTTATCTGTAATGTAGAATTTTTTACATATTTTTTTTAAATATTATAAATTAAAATAATTATATATTATAACAAATTTATACAATTTTATTAAAACATTGGATCTTTAAAACATTTATTATGGTAATGCATCTGATTGTCCAAATAATTGATCATAGTGATTAAAAATATTGCGATCCTAATGAATAATATTGTGTTTGTTTGTTAAAAAAACATTTTGGTCAACATCTATATTAAGGGATAAAGTAAAGCAAAAAGATAAACTAAAAATTATGACCTTTTGTAATTTGCTGCATTAAAGAAATAATAAAATTTTTGGTGCCTTCTGCGCAACCTTCACATGCCAAAGAGACTCTTGGCCTGACACTATGAAAAAAATATGCTATTTGTAACTTTTACGTTACTCGGGTTTGCTTTTTGTCTTATATTGGTTTCTCGACGCCAATGTTTTAAGAAAAAGGAGCCTGGCGATCCTTTTTTTTTTTTGTTTCTCACTTCCGTTATAAATATTTACATTCATATGCTGGAGCTTTCTTTAAAAATATCAATCTGAAAAATAAACTCACTGGTCGATCCGAGCTGAGGATAAGTGCGATGGGGTTAGTCGACGAGTTGTGATCTGTCGAGTCCAGCAGTAGGTCGATGGGCATGAGACCAGCGGCCATTGGTGGCCGCAAAAGCTGCGACCCCTTGTCCAGCAGGGCGCGAATGACATGCACCTCGGTGCCGTCAGCGCCTAGCTGGCCGTGGCTCGAGCAGCCAGGGGTTCGCCGTGGTTGGCTAAGCCAGGGGGACACGTGCCTGTTGTCCAGGGCGCGAACAATGCACAGCTCTGGTGCGTTGTCTAAAAAAAACAATCAAATTTTATAATGGAACATAAATGTCTGCTGGGGAAAAAGCGTGCTCAAAACTGTAAATTACCTGAGTCCTGGGCGTAGGCATTTTTTGAAATGAGGATCAGGAAGAGGGAAGCCAAAATCGCATTCATCAAGGGAGGGCCAATTCGCAAAAATTTTGAGTTCAGTTTCAAATAATCCGAGAAAGGGAAGAGGGAAGTGGTCAGCTTCATGGCTGGGGCCATTCGATCCCAACCACATTCGGCAAACCTAGTTGCAGGATCAGTGCCCAATCTGAAAGAAAAAATTCAAATTCAAGCGATTGCAAACAAAATTATGCAGGAAGGTCAAAAATCAAGCAGGGCATAAAATAAAACGGTGTGCAAATTGCTCTATTTGTATTTACCTTATTCACATTATACTTGCAGAGGGAGGACAAGTTGGCTTTGGTCGGTATGGTGGATTTACCTCGATCTCTCAGAACCCTGCAAGCAGAAATTTAAAGGATTTTTAATAATCATCTAACATATATTTTTTTAATCATAAACAAAAGTGTTTTACTTTCTATTTTATTCTAGATAATTTTAATTCTAATCCATATTTTGACCCAACAAAATGTTTATTCATTCTTTACACAAAAATATTTTTATAGATAATTTCAAAAAACATTAAATATTTATTTATGCAATTTAAATTTAAATGGAAATTTCCTATAACATTTGCAAAGTCATCTTTTACGGAGTTAAATGGGCGCTTTTAGTCAACGCTTTTTTGTCTCTCGCAAGAACAGGATTTCGGAGCTACGATGTAGGCCATAATATCTTGGTAATGCAGAAAAACAGCGAGACTGCAAATCGCTCGTTCGAGTCACGTGTGCCGCGTACATAGTTTGTGCTTGCGCTTGTGTACAAGTGAACAGAGGAGGCACTGGCCTGCCTACCTCAACCTTGAATAAGCAAGTTAGCGTGGTGTTTACGTACTTATGTACCCACACCATGCAGTTTTGCGTACGCAGGCTCAGATATAATTTATTGCATGCATGAAAATAACAGTCACAGCTGCCTTTGAGTCGATTGGGCGCGGATCAACTTTTCACGGGCCCGCTGCTTTTTTCTCGGAAGCAGCGCCCGGCATTTTTTTTTTTTTGCCCACCGCCGCTGATTTTAAGACGAGCCGAGGCTAACACCTGTCAATCTATTTGCGAGGGCGCTGTGAATAAATTAAACCTCACTTCCTGGGAGTTTTCGAGTGTGAGCGAAATTTCTCCAGCCATTGTTTATACAAAGTATTATTATTTGTAAATTTTTTAAACTAATCATAGGTGGTAACCGATCCTAAAATATTCCTGGAATCTGATTTTATGCCTCAAGGTGTTAAACCTGTTAAAAGTTTTCCTTTTCCTGAAAGAAGTTTCTCGAAGGTGACATGTAAATGTAGAAGATCTATTAAATTCTAGTTTTTATTGAACAGGTTATTTTGCACCATTTTTTTAAATCTTGGAATTTTTAGATGAAACAGGAGGAAACTAAAATTTTTATTATTTCTTTGAAGCAATCAAAACGTACTCAAAATGAATACTTCATATTTTAAATTATTCTTGCATGTAATTTAGTGACAATATTTTTCCCACTTATTTATTTATTTACTTGCAAAATAATACATTATTTTAATTTTGTTTTTCAATTACATAAGCCGGCGAGTTTGGAACAAGAGATGCGTTAGTCACCGCGTTCACAAATCGCTCAAATAGTATTTTGCTCTCTCGTCCAATCAAATCCAATTCTCGATCAGAGAATTAAGGGGCACAATTAAATAGGTCGATTGGTTAACAAAGAATTAATTTGCTTAATGACCACCGCCATAGCAGGCAAAAATTCGGTGCGTTTTGGCTTGGGATGACTAATGCACAAAGAGGTACCGATGGGGTTTTTCAGGCCCGATGGCCATTTATTCACAATAAAATGCGTCTTTAGTTTTTTTATTCCATACTTTTCTCGCTAAAATATTGGCTCGTGATTGATGCCGACGCACGCAATAGGCCAAATTAGAGCCTGTCCTCCCATCGTGCACCTAAAGCTGCGTCTCAAAGTTATTTATGGCGCTCCATTAATTTATTGTTTGGCATTTTGCAAAACAAAGGCCTGCGAAATTTGGAGTAATTAAGTCCGCATCTCTCGGCCCGGCTTGGGTTCCCAAGGCAAACAAAATTGCTGTTTATTGGCAAAAATTACAATTTCCATGATTTATAGCCACGCCAAAAATTTACGTTTTCACGATAGGCATGAGAAAAGTTTTCGGTTTTTACTCGCCATTCTGAATTTCGTTTCACAATCTGCTGGAGAAAAACTAATTACAAAACAGCAAGGGGTGCAAATTTTAATAACAAATTGTATTCTACATAAATTGCATTAGCAATGTGCAGAGCGAAGAGGATTGTCTCAGCGGAAAAGGTGTGCCGCGCAAAGAAGAGCAAGCAACAGGAAAAAGCTTAACATAAATTACTTGCTGGGTCGCGGCTCTTCCATGAATCCGCATCATGTGCGCTTCTCATAACAATTTTTCCTCCCTCTCCCTTTGGCGTAAAAGTTTACCGGTCAAAAACAGATGGATTCTATTATTTGAACACGGTGTTTATGAATTCCTCTTTGACGCACTATCTCGCTCGCGTTTTTTCTTATCACTTCTCAGTACATCGTGTTTGGCGCACACCCATAGGTTTTCTCTATTTAAAATGTCATCTCACTTTTGGGACTTCTTTATTGTAATAAAAGCAAAATTACTCCCTTTTAACTAATCTTGGCACCTTTTCTTTATTCATGTCTTCTTATTTTAAAACAAAAATTGCACATTGAGGCATTTAAACGATATAAATTTTTAAAATTTGATAATTATTGAACCTGTAGTCCAGTACAGTAGAGAGAAATATCTACATATTGATATTTAACTCGATTTAACTTGGTGCATTCTATGCCGAAATACTTCGTTCAAACATTTTAAATTATAAAGCTGATCAAAACTAATAAAAAATTAAAAAATGATTTAAATACATTTAATATTTAATAAAAAAAATTAAAACAGCAAAATTACTTTAATTTAATTTAATAAAAATTTATTGCAATTGTTATCATTGCATAATCCACTTTTATCTTGAAAGTTTCTCGCCGCTGCAGGGGATGGAGAACGCCGCGCAATCTAAATTTTAATTCCCTCTCTTCAAAAGTTATAAAAATATATTTGCGCGCGCTGCGTCCTCCTCTGCTGCACCTATTTGGATAGATAACAACTAGTTATTGCTGCCATGACTGAAATAGAATTTTTTGCGTTCCGTGTTTTTGGCTCAGCAGTTTGCAAAAAAGCTTTTTTAATGAGAACATTGTTTTTCGTCTGCAATTGTTAATCATCGGAACCTTATATTTGAAAACGTGGTTTTCTAAACTGCTTTGAGAAGAGCTTAGGAAGCGCATTAATTGACCGTGACAATGTGATAAAGGAGGAAATAAAAATCCAACAGGCGGCTGGTGGAACAAAAAGGAGAGATCTGAAGGAAGCTCTCTCTCGGCGCAGCTTTAGAATTTTCATAAAGGCGGCCGCTGGTTTTTAAAGAGCGACTCCGACTCTGTTTCGCGCATTGAAACAGAGGCACTCACTCTCGTCTCTGCGCTCTCTCGCAAAACAACAATACAGCTAAATCAACCTCACGCTTGGTATTCAACAGACAAAGTGACAAAAATGAAAAGCGCACCAAGGAGAGGCGCTTGCCTGCTTTTTGTCGCCGCGCTCAAAAATCCTGTTTCAGGTGACGCGCGTTCTCTCGTTCGCTGGCGGAATAAAAAATAATCTATCCCACGCACTCTGACGGGACAATTCCCATGATAAATGGGTTAATTCAAATATAACCAGCTTGGGCCCAAATTCGCGAGGCCTAATGCTTGCGAATGATTAAATGGCTGTTGGAACGCCCCGGGAAATTATTTGCGCTGTTTGACGCTGAGGTTCTCTGATGGCCTCTAATTTTTCTTTAAGAGTTATGCCTCCCAATAGTGTTTTATAAAGTCTAGAGAATGAAAAAAAAACTATTTTTTTATTCTAAAAAATCTAAAATTAAATAAAAAGCGTAATTAATGCACTCATTTTTAATAAGCTTTTAAGTAAAATTTGAAATATAAAATAAAAATATATAATAAGAATAATTAAATATATTAAAATAATTTCAATCAAATATTATTTAATGTTAACTGATATAAAAATTATGTGAACTTACTTTAAACCTAAATTTTTTAAATGAGGTCTTATCCACTTTAATACAATTAATTGTACTTATTAATATAATTGCTGATTTTTTTAATTTAATTTGATGTTATTTTGTCAATTCCGTGGTTCTGTAATATTGTTTTTATGATTTCTTTTTTAGAACCACCTCTCACATTCTTACTTTAGGAATTGTACAATTAAAGGTCAAAATGGAATATTTTTGTACGGAAGGAATTCAGTTCAATTAAATAATCTGTTACAAAAAAAATATCGCAAGATTTTCCCTAACAAATTTTAAAATTTTTTTTAACAAAAGCCAGAATTTAAACGTTGTGGCGAGAGAGAAATTAGAGAACGAAACGCATCAGAAATCCCGTACCATTAGTGCAAGCAAGTTTGTCGTTGGCCTTTTGTGCCACATTATCAACACGTGTTTCCGCAGAAAGACCCAAATTCGCGTGGGTCAACATTGCAGCCCCGAAGTTGGGCCAAGAAGTGGTGGTTCGAGCCGTGGGGCCTCCGAGTCGAATTACGGACGGCGAGCGTCAAACGAGTGTTTGTTTTGCTAGGGAGCCGGCCGGCCATGGCAAAACAAAAACATCAATAAAATCGCGTTGCGAGTGAGAGCGAGCGCAGCATCTCTCTCTCTCTCTCCTTTGACTCGCAGTGGATTAGCGCGCCTTGCGAGAATTCGCAACATTGTGATGGTGAGATAATTTGCCCCTTCTACTCTTCATCATCCTAATAAATTCTCCTCAAAGGTTGGACACAAAAATTCCATTCAACAGCCTGGCCCGGCTGCTTTTTCTTTCCTTCGGCCATCAATATCAATCCCCTCCTCGCTCATGTGTGGTCCTCTTCAAAACACAACCTCGGGCCGCCTTTGAAGGCCCCAAACGCGGCGAATCGGCCCCTCGCGGGGGCCGACTGCCCTCTTCGACCCCCCTGAAGGCCCCAGCGTCCGAATTGCAAGGGCGCCGGGGCCGCGGGGGCCCTCGGGGCAGGCCTATTAGCTCCCCGAGCGCGGCCCCTCGGAAGCGCCGTGGGAATCGCGAACTCACCATACTGATCTGCACCCGTCGTCTCTTCTCTCGGCGGCCCTCGCCCGAAACACGTCCCAGAAGCGGCCCACTTTGGCTCCGAGAGGTCTCACTCACAATCGGCGAGCATTGCTTCCTTTGTACTCACTCATTACACATGAAACACGGCGAGCATATGATATGACGCAAGTAGAGTTCATCCTTTTACTGCTGCCGCTTGGATCAACGCGAGAGGGGCAACAGGGGGGATCCGCGAGAGAGGGAGGGGGGAGCGGGCTGCAGCTTGAGAGCACAAGGCCCCTCGCCCCGATTCTCTAAAGTGCGTGTTCCGACCACTGACACTGGAACCATACAAATCGATTCCCAACCCGATTAAATTACTTTTGATGCGCAGTTTTCTAGCCTTTATTTATTTATAAAAAGTTATATAAAAAGAGGAGTTTTAATTTCAAACAAACACACGAACAAAAAAATATATGGAATGAATACAGTAATATAAATATTTCCAAATACACAGTTTTTTTTTTATCAAATGAATTAATTTTTGCTCACAAACATACTTTTTTTTAATAACGTCAGACTCGGTCAAAAGAAAGATGCGTCATTGCTTTAGTACGGCTTCTAAAGCGTGAAGTTTCCTTGGCTTTCATTAAATTGTATTATTTATCATATGGAGTTTATTCTGAAGCTTTGCCCCCTTTTTTGCTGCATTTTTTTTTTACCTAATTTATCGTTTTAAAACCGGCTCGGTCCAGCATCTTTTAAAGCGGTCAAAGTTTGGAAACGCAGCATGTATTACAAACATGTCGTGCAGGTTGCATGTTTACTAAACTTTACTTCTTCAATTCCCGAAGGCGCCAAGTAATGCAAGATATGTCAAAATAGCTTTGCTGTGTTTTTTCAATTCATTTAAATTTTAAATTATTAACACAAAATATCAGGAAAAAGTATTGCATGTTTTGGCACACATGTTAAAGTAAAGAAATAAAATGATAAAAAACCGTAAATTTTGATAAATTAGTTGTTAAAAATTGAATACTTGAAATTTGGTCCTAATTTTCAAGGAAAAAGAGCAAAATATTAAATTTAGTATAATTCGCATCGATATTCGCATCCGATACTTGAAACCCGCCCACTTTTGGAGGCACTCCAGGGCGGAGTGTTTGTGTGTGTGTGTGTATCTAAGAAATTCTATCAACCATAGACTCTCATCTTTGGTTGTGTGCGAATTTCATGCGTGGATTTGCAGATTATTTTTTATTCTTCACCAACAGCAGCGCCAGAAAAAAAATACAAAAAGAAAGAATGAACGCAAAAGCATGTGCATAGAAATGAATATATTTCCTCTCTCGTTCTCTTCTGATTTCAATCCTTTTCTTTGCATTTTATTGTCTTCCACGCAAGGGGGGAGGAAAGTGCTTTGTCATTCTCAGTGCAACCCTCAAGGCCCCTTCACCGGAGCACTCTCAAATTTTCTTGGATGTCATAATGAAGCACAGGAAAAAAAACAACAAAAAGTCCGAACAAAAATAAATTTTAATTAAAAAATTAAAAGTTTAATTAATGAAATAATTATTAAGATAAAGCAATTTAATTTTTTTTTCAATCCTGATGATTTTTTCAAGCTTTAAAAAAATGCATTTTTTACTTGAAAAATTTAATTTCCTGCGGAATTAAAAAAAAATTGGGCGCGATGCACCGCGCTTCACTGCTAGCAAAAATTTCATTTGCCGTGCGGCTTTTGATCGATATCGCGTTCTACTCACAGCTGCCATCTACAGCGAGCCGCGGAACCCGTTTCGTTGCAGCGCAGAAACTTTAAAAGTTGGGCAGCTACAGCTTTTTTTAAATCGGCCAAATTGGCAATGCGGCTAAAATTAGACTTGAAAATAGTTCAACACAATAGGGGCCTCGCTCTTTCCTTTGGTCTGATTTGACTGATTACCGCGGGCATGAAAGGTGAGAAAATCTTGATTTGCAATTTTTAACACTTGGCGTTTTAACCTTTTTAAAAGCACAACTCGGAAATATATCTTTTGTCAATTTATTTTTATGCTGATGTTAAATATGGAATTTTAGTTGATTCATTTTTATTTTGGCTCCTTTTAAGTGAATAATTTATGTTCGATTTCTCAATGCAAACGTGCAAAAGGCGCATGATTTAATTCCCATATCAAATAATTTCATCGTCTCGAGAAGTGATAATAATTCCGACGAGTGTTGGCGTTCGTGCGGTTCATGCGCGCTCCAATCGGAGTTTTTGCGGTTTCCTTTAAGCCTGCATCGCGTTGTCTGATTGTTGAGCCCATGCTGCTTTTGCCTGTGCATATTTTCACAAGTGCTGGTAAATTGAATTTTTGTTATCGTGTCATGAAAATATTTGGCGCCCGTCTGCTCTAGAAAATTTACGCGACAAATAATGACAAAGCGGCGTGATTTTTTTAAGGTAATATTTCTGGCAAGCCACGTACGACTTGCCAAGTAGTCGCGTTGTTAATTGTAACATTCGTCACGAAGAGGAAGTTTTTCATTTGCATGATATTATTTCTGCCTTAAGTCATTTAAATTAAAATAAAATAATTATTAATATTTTGAAAATGTCACTATTTAATTGGTGCAATTTTTATTCAAATCTTATCGCTAGCTTTTTATTCCCTCTGACCCCTGCCATCAACAAAAAAGTTTTTGTTTCACTTTTATCGCTAGATATCAACTTCTGATATTCCGTAACTAATGTTCTAAGAGAAACTTAACTTTTTTGGGGATATTTTGTGTGTGTTTGTTACTTACTTTAAAATTTTGGCTAAAATAAAACAAAATGATAATCTAAACTAATCTAATCAACTATAATTGTTTTTTTTAAAACAAACTTTAAATTTTTTTATATATAAGGCAAATTATAAATACGAATTTTGAACTTTTACCAGCAACAATTTTATTTTTTGCTCTTTTATTTTTATAAAAAAAAAATACTTGAAATATTTTAACCCACACATCTAATTATCAAAGATATATCAAATATCAAGAAAATGCATTAATAATTTTAATCTCGAGTGAATTTTCTGAAGTTAATTGTAAGGCTTAAATTTTTTTTCATAATTTTAGGACAAATGGGCTCAAAAGTTGCGAGAAAGAAAATAAAATCTTGCGAGAAAATCGACTCACACGAACCTGCAGAACCGGCTGATTGCGATGCCTTCCCAAAAACCACCTATTTAGTTTTGAGATTTGCCCCTGGCATTGACCCCAAAGCACTGCAATGGCTCATCAAGAAAATCAAAGGGCCAAGAGAAAAAGGGGGTGGCGAACTTCTGCTCAGAAGACAACCAGGCTGTGACGAAAAAGATGTCTGTAGAAAGAAAATTCCCTGCTAGGCATCAGCGTGTTAAAAAAAAAATGCGTGTCTCTTTCAGGGTGCCATATTACATATTTCTGCGACCGCGGCTCGAATTTCCGAAGCGGCCGAGGAACTCGATCTCAGGCTCATAGGCCAAAATGTAAACAAAATAAACAAACAACGGCCACACAATAAATGCAAAAATTCACGCCGCAGGATCCTCTGAGCTCTTCCGAAAGAAGACTTATAGTTTTGCACGGGTTGATGCAAGGAATCAGGGCCTTGCCCGAGGACGATCACATACCAAGCTACCCCACGGCGCGCCTTTACAATGGACAGTCAATTAGTACGATTGCTTTATTTTTTGGTTAATTATAATTTTTAATTATTTTTAGTCGAGGTATTTCACGAAGTAGGACTTTTAGAAAGTTTCTACCCTCTACACAACAAAGAGAATTTGCGACGATTGAGAAAACAGTGGTACTGCAATTTTTTCTCGCACCAACCCATAGGTGCAAAAATGTCGGCAGTTGAACTGAAAAAGATTGGAATATTATTTTGATTATTCCAGATGAAATACGTGCTTATTTCGGCGATGCAATCGCCATGTATTTCAGCTTCCTGGGTTTTTACACGACGGCCCTTTTGTTTCCAATGCTGCTCGGTCTAGTCCAGATGTGGTTTTCTGGACCCGAGTCTTTGCTGCCGGCGATTTTCACAATTCTCAATTCGTTTTGGGTCATCCTGTTTTTGGTTGTAAGGATTTTCTGTTTTGAGTTTTAACCCATTTATAAAGTTGAGTGTAACTCGCAGTTGTGGAAACGACACAGCAACTGCTTAGCATATTCATGGAATACGATTAAAACGACTGGGCTGGACGATGAGCCGAGAGCCAATTTCAGGGGACTAATGGGCAAAGATAGGGTCACGGGACGCTTGTTACCACAATACCCGCGATGGAAGTCTTTTGTAAAGGTGGATTTTTAGATAAATATAAAGAGACGAGTTCAAAATATTATATATATATATATATATATATATATTTTTTTTTTTTTAGATGTACGCAGTGTCTTGGCCCATCGCCTTGGTCTGTGCGGCAGTTGCTTTTTATATAATGCTTGCCTCATTTTGGGCCGAGCAAATTATTCTAGTCTGGGGAACGATGCAGGTAAATTTGAAGAATCAAGGGAAAATTTGGTTAATTATTTTGTGTGTGACTATATTTAAAAATTTTCATAGGAGGATGGCACTCAATCAGAGCCAGACTTAGGAGTTCAAGCTTTAGTCATGATTCCGAGCATCGTTTACACCGCTTTAGTGTTTTTAATGAATTTTTATTACAGAAAACTCGCCACTTGGCTCACAGAATGGGGTAATTTTTATTTAATTTTCTTTTTAAGAAAAAAAATTTTAAAATATATTTACAGAAAATCACAGAACCCAATCTCAATTTGACCGTCACCGAGTACTGAAGCTGGTCGTTTTTGAGTTTGTTAACAATTTCATGGCCTTGTTTTATATCGCCTTTGTTTATCAAGACATAGAAATGCTGCGCTACGTGAGTTAAATTGCTTTCCATGTTCTGTGCAATGTCATTACACGCCAAATTACGCAAACACGACAGTTTTATTTTCCTTATTCAATCCCGATCTTTTTTAATTTATTGTTGAAATTTTAGCAAATTGCCTTGATGTTGATTCTGTTGCAATTCTTGAACCACTTCCAAGAGGCAATCATCCCGTACTTCCTGCTCAAATACGCTCGCAAGGTAAAAGAAGCGCAACTCGACGGATTAGTTTTCTTCCTAAGTCTCACTGTTATTAAGGCAGCAACTCTCAGCCCATATCAAAGGCTCAGAGCAAAAGTTTTGGTGTTAATAGTTGAGTTTCGTAATTGGTTCTCCATCGTAGAAAATAAGTGGATTTAGTTTAATTCCTTTCACTATTTTAAAATTAATAAAATAAATTATTAGGTCAGCATACTTCTCGGGAACAAAACGCAAAAAGACCACGATTCCGATTCCTCGTCAGCCGAGGAAGACACAAAACCGATTTTACCCTACGAGGATAGAACAGGAGCAAAAATTAGGCGGCGACAGAACAGCATCAGTCTCGGCTCTAAAAGCAAGTTGGCGTTTTTTTCAGCTCTTACGGATACGCCAGAACTTGATGTAAATGACGTGAGAGTGTTGCAGACCGTGGCGGAAGGGGAGCGAGATGAGTACGAGGTAATTTGTTTATTTTGAAACATTCTTTTGAAATTAATTGGCGGAATTTTTAAGAGCACGTACGACGATTATTTAGAACTGTTCATCCAATTTGGATATGTGATATTGTTTTCCTCCGTCTACCCCGCGGCCGCAATTTGCGCCGTGGTAAATAACGTGCTGGAAGTCAGAGCTGACGCTTTCAAACTGTGCAGAGTTACTCGCAGACCTTTGCCTAAAAGGGTGAAAGATGTTGGTGCCTGGCAGGTAAATTTATTTAAAAAAAAAAACTCATTAATATTTGTTATGAAAAAGAATAAACATGAATTAAAAAAATTTCCAGCGCGCCTTTGAAGCCGTCGGTGTGATTTCCATTTGTACAAACTGCGCACTTCTGTACCTGATGCCAGGCTTGAGGGAAAATTTAGCACCAGGAGTGAGCGAACTGAATTGGGCATTGGCAACGGGAGCTCTAGAACATGCATTAATTGCTCTGGGTCTTCTTCTTTATCTGGCCGTTCCCTCCCAGCCAGAGTGGGTCAGAGTTGCGTTGGCGAGACAAAATTATCAGTCGACGAAAGCTCTCAAATTGAGCTAAAACGAAAAAATGATACAAAACAAATGCTACATATCAGTTTTATTTTTGTTGAATTGTAATTTACATTTTACTAGAGTTTATTGTGATCAATGATGTAAAGTCTTGAACTGTTGAAATCTTTAGTATAATTATTGTTATTGCCTTTGCTATTTTCTTTTTAAAGTATTAAAATTCTTTGATTTTTCCTATACAATTCAAAGATTCTAAAATTTTTTGATAAAAGTTAAAAAAAAATAGCTTTGCAACAATGATGATATTTTAATTATTTAAAAAGTATATTATTTTGTAGCCCATATTGAATTCATTGTTGGAACTAGTGTTACAGATTCTTGATTATTGGGCCGAAATTTTTAAATCATTATCGAGGAATCTTTTGATTTCTATAAATCTGCCTTTGAATAATCACGATGCCGTGGTACCTTTCCTGCCTGTCTTCAAACGCAGCTTCTGCGGAGGATGTAAAAAATCTGCAGCGCTGCAAGCAGGACATGAAGAAGTGCAAGAAGGTTCGCAAACTGCTGCAGCGCGACCTGAAGAAAATTCGCCGCCTGCACCAAAAGCACCCTGAGGCTCACATGCACGACGGCGGACGCCGCGGCGAGGCTCTGGAAATCGACCTGCTCAGCGAAATCAGGGCCACCGAATTCAAGATCAATGAGTTCGAGAACAAGATCAAAAATCTGTCGAAGAAAAAGTCGAAGAGCGAGGAAGAGCGCCAAAAGAGCCCACCTGCCGAGAGGTTCAGTGCGCCCAAGTACGGGGGTGGCGACAACAATGTCAACCTTCAGAGGGCCAAGGTGGTGCAGGAGCTGCAGATGCTTTTTGCAGGCGTCAATACAAACCCGGCACCGGAAAATTCTCAGCGACAGAAAAAGAAAGTCAAAGGATTCAGGGCCTACTACCAGACTTTCATGTACATGTAGAAGTTTTGGCTGCATCCTTTTTTTTTAAAGATATAAACAAAAATAAAAATTGCTACAAATGATTAACTTTTGATTTATTAAAGTGAAAAATTAATTCTAGCTAAGAATTTATTTAAAAAATTGTTATATTTTGCTTTACATATTCTGGACTCCAGATAACATTTTTTTATACACTTTTGCACATTCAAGGACTGAAAAATTTTTCACATTAGGCAAAAAATAATAAAAAATTTAAACAAACACAAATTTTGTATTAGATAAAACTCCCGGAAGGAATAATGAGTTGAAAAGCTTTTGATAGTTGGTTTGATCATTGCAAAAGTCTCCATCCTGTCGGAATTTTAGCGGCAATGCGTTATCTATAATACATACTAAACAACCGCATGATACGCAGCATGCATGCATTGATTTTACCCGGCCATACGCACAACACACATCATGAATGTGAATGAGTCCGCGTTGCTATCAGCATCAGCAGAGTGTGAATGTGGAAAGTCCGAATCAAATCACAAATTTTTTTTCTTTAGTACCATAGAATTTTCTTATCTTTTTTCCTCATAATTTGCTTTCTTTAAAAGAAAGTTGTTAAACTAAAAGCAGTTTTCAATTTGAATCACAAAAATGGTTAAATAAATCAAATTTAAAATGTTATAATATGAAAATTAAAAATAGTTATAAATCTTCTGATGTAAACAAAGTAATCCTAAATTTACTTGATAATGAAAAACTTTTTCACGCTCCATTTTTTTGTTTTATTGCAAAAATGACTACGATTTAACCAATAATTTAATAACGTAACATTTTTTTATGATTTTGGTTGAAACATTCCTTAAATTTAATAAAATATATTCTAAATTCTAAATTTGTTGCTCACCATCTAAGGTACATTGCTTAATTATTTGTTTTCTTGAGGTACCTGATGGACGGTTGACTTGTACTGACAATATTTATACGCATTTGTTGGTACCTGACGTGAATGAGAAAACTGTAGATCCGCGTCTAGATGGGAATTTTGTGTGACTGAATGAGTGACGTCAATATGAGAGTTTTAAATAATTCATTTTTACGTTTTTCAAACATGGTTTTGTGGGGAATTTCAAATTTTACAATTTTCACAATAAGTTCTGAACATTTTCATCATATAAATCATTAAACAAAATAATTGAAGAATAAAATCAGCAATTTCTTTAAAATAAAAACGTCCCAGTTTTTCATGAATTTAATTATTACTTTTAATAACTGTTTTTAAATTTATAATGACAAGTTATATATTAAGCTATTTAAATAATTTATTTTCTTTATTAGAAACAAATAAAGCGAAACCGCCATAAGAAAATATGCATTTAAATTTTTGACATGTATTGCATAGAAAGTTTTATTTTGTTATATTTTGTAATTATTAAAACCTTTTGTGTTAAAAATCCCTGCTGTTCGGCCGAGGTCTCGGTGTGGTGCCCCATGCACGGTTCGGTTCACCTCTTGCTTGGCGGTGGGGCGCGGAGTGGCGCTGTGGTGCTCGTTCCGTCGTCGGTGCTTCTTATAACGTCAGGGTCATGCCAGTCTGTTGAGCAGTTCAGGCGCGGACGTGTCCGCGAGATGAGCCGCACTTGATCGAAAAGCCAACAAAATGCGGACCGTCAGACTCACGTTTGTGGCCTTGCTAGCGGCCGCCGCCGCCGCCTCGGCCGCCCCTTCGGCCGCCCCCGAGGAGGCGGCCGCCCTCACGGTGGTGGAGCCGACGCGGCAGCCCCTGCCAGACACCTCTGCAATCTCGGGCGAGCTCACTGAGAAACACGGGGTTAGCAAGTTCTTCTCTTTGTGGCTAGTGTTTAACGATCCCGCCGAGATCGACGTCAAACTTGGTTAGTAATCAAATTGAAAATAATTACAATTTTTTTAAATTTAATTTATAAAAAAATAAATATTTTGGCCACTTCATCAACAAGTTGTTGGGATATAAAATTAAATAAGCAAGTGAAATTTAAAATTTTAATATACTGCTCGGTGAACTCGAGATTTAGAGGCGACGGATCGCTTTGTCTCTCGATCCGAAGCGAAGAATAACGGAACACTAGCGTGCTTATGAATAACTTTATCGCTTAGCCGCAAATCACGCCGGAGCTGAATAAATTCAAATGCACAATCGATACGGCCGGAGAAAAAAAAACTAGACGCCGGACACTGTCATTCATTGGTCCTTGGACTGCGAACGGCGCACTTAATCTTGCTTTCAATTGAGCCATGAAGGGCAGTTAGACGAGGGCTCGCGCTGTTATTATTTTCAAACGTGTATTTGCTTTGAAAGCCATGCCATAACCTAAACTAATATTTAATACGAATAACCACCAAGGCACACTTCTAGAATAAAATGAAAAGTACTTTTTATATTTAAAATAATTAATTATTTACACTAAATGCTGACGTAACTGTAAGATAATCAAACGCACGTGTGTTCGACACCTCACAGAAGTGAAGTTTGCGTGCTAGTCCACGTGACTTGCAATTGCAATTGTTAAGTTGACTCATATCTCGGATTATTACTTGCATAACAATGAGTCAATGACAGTTAGTGGTCATTTATTTGCCAAACTGGAATAAAACTCTTCCTGTGTAAGAATTAACAAGCTAATTTTTATCTTGGGAAAAAATCTGTCGGTCGATTTTGACATTTTAGTTTTGCGGTTAGTTGCGTATTTATAGCACTGGATCATTAAGACGTTGAGTCACTTCCTCAGAATCTTGGTAATCGCGGCTTGGCATAAATAATTCCATATTTGTATATTTCAATGAAGTAAATTGCTAAGCAGCATTGTACTTTCATCTACAAACTAAACTATTCTCACGTTAATTATACATTTTACCTCGTAAATTCTATTTTTCTACTCCACAATTTACACTTTCAAAACGTTTTGAAGGATTATTTTAATTCTAACGTAAAAGCCATTGGCGTAATATTTTATTACAAGGCTTTATTAAGCAAAGAACTTCTTGTAACAATATTAAATTATATGAAATCTTCTTTGATGAAATTGGCACTCGAGGAAGCGATCATGAAAGTGAAGAGATTTTCGTTTGTTCAAGTAAAATGAAAGTGAATACAATTTATTTATTAAGTTTTGAAATTTTAAAAATTAAAAATATTTTTCATTGTTAAATAAAATTTATTTATAAAATTAATTAAATTTTAATATAGGCTCAAAATATTAGACTGGCACGGTGCTCCTTTCAATACAAAGGTATTTTTAAGTGATGCAAGGCATAAAAAAAACGAAGAATTCCAAGTTGCTGCTCAGCTGCTGATAAGCGCGAGGAAAGAAAAATAAAAAGAGCTCCAAATGAGAGGTTGAGTGCTTTTCGTGGTTTCCCTGAAGGAAAATGCAAGAAGGCTCGCGTTGGCTGCCACGGCCGGCGCAACTCGAGAGGTCATCCACACCCGACGTGGCTGGCTGACTGAAAGACGCGCTGCTTTCTCTGATGTGCTAGGGGGATAAACACACACACACAAACTATTAAGATGCTCTCGCGAAAAACACACGTATTTTTCTACCGCGAGAGAGGAAACATAGATGAGTGATCACAGCACAGCTAGGAATGAAAAAAAATTAAAAGCCCTTCTGATTTTTTTAATTTAAGAGGGGAATTTCTTTAAAGAAAATAATGCTACTTTAATTTTGTTCAAAGACAGTAGAAATTTTTTTAAATTAAAAACAATATAGGTGTGCGTTCACCTCGTTTGGCGCGCTTTCTAGGAATTACTCGTCGCGTTATTCTGTCCACACTAGTGCAGCATGTTAATTTTTATGCAGTGTGACGACATCCTGGAAATTTTGCCGCTCGGTTTTCCTCCTACGTTTTTAATTGCTGAACGTGCGACGTGCGCTCCGTGCGCGTTTGTTTGACCCTGAGAGAGCTAATGAAAGGGAAGAAGAACAACGTTAGTAAAATGTTGAGTCATTTGGGCCGAATATTCCCACGCGGGAAAACAAACACAACTATTATTATTATCAACTCGCAAGTCAAACCAGAGTAAGGCATTAAGTTATTTATTTAATCGACATTTTTATTTGCCGTATATAAAATGTAACGGTACAAGTAAAAAACACTTGCTCTCATCTTGGCGCAAATAAGGCATTCCTTTTTGTGAATCATTCAGCGAGAACCAGCCTAGGAAGTGAAATGAGTCATGTGGCCAAAACTCGTTTTCAAAGACAATAAAAAAGAATTGCTAGCTTCCAGAAGTAATAAAAAACGAAATACTTTGCAGGCGTCGACTACGTGATCCTTGCACCTAAAGAGCCTGCGCCTCTGCAAAAAGACACTGATCCGCAAGACAGACCGGCTATTGTAAAAAAATTGCTACTGGACCATGTGATATTGGGCCAAAAGCTGAATCTCACCAATCGGGAGGACAAAAGCTCGTTTACGGTCGCAACATTGGGAGGAAGAGACGTGGAGTTTTCTTATAAAGACAGTAAGGATATTATTACTTTTTACAATTTGAGGATTTGTAATTATTTTCTTATTTTATAGACAATTGGTACGCGAATGACGCTCTGATTGTTGAGTCGCCAGCAGACATTCCACCAAATGGAGAACTCGTAGTTTTAAACAAGTACGCGTTCGCCGACTACAATCCATTATCCTCCATTAGTACCTCAGAAGCGCCATCAACAAGCACAACAGCAGCTCCGTTTATTGGAGACTTCGCCGAGGAGCTCATTAATACAGATAAATTCTCCGGTTTGAACAGGATGCCTCTTTTCACGCAGTTCCTCCGCTACGCAAATGTCTCTGAACTCCTAAAACCAGGTGAGATTATTATTATTATTTTTAACAATTTTTATAATTCTTTTTTTAAGATGAGAAATACACCGTGCTGATCCCCATGGACAGAGCTTTCCAAAAGTGGCACCCTATCGATTGGGGCTTCTACCCCTTTGATGTACCTGAATTTACGAAAGAAGTTGTAAGAAACCACTTTATCCGAGGTACCATTAGGCCAGAACAAATAACAGAGGAGGGTTTCCAAACCACCTCACTGACAAACAAAACTTTGATATTCAGTAAGTGAAAATTTATCAATTTGATTGAAAATTACTAATTGTTACTTCAGAGAAAACTGCTAAGGGCGTACCTACTGTGAATGACATCTCCATGGGATCAACGGGAGTGACAATGCAGAAGGGCACAGCGTTTGTCATTTACGATGTGCTCTTTGTGGACTACCAAGTCGTCCAAGACCTTCGGTTGAAAAACCTGGACAAAGAGACGCCACCTTTGATCGCTTTCCCTTGGTGGAATGCGCAGTTTTTGTCTCACTCGTATCTGAAACTTGAAAGAAACGGATCTTTCCCTTCTGCCGAGAGATTATTAAATGTAGCGACAGATTTGCACCTCCACGTTCCTGGAAAAGGTATGTTTTAAATATTAACCCACTAATTATTAAAATTAAAATGTAAGAAATTTGTAAGAAATAAATAAATGATGATTTCAGACTACTCCTTCTTTGTTCCTACGGAGAACGCTTTTAAAAAAGCAGGACTTGCCATTCCATCAGGCTGGAGTGAACGGCACAAAACCCAGGAAACTTTCACTGCAGAAAATATGAAAATTATTGAAAAATTCTTCTTGCGGCATCTTGTCAAGGGCAGACTCTACATGAAAGAGTTAATTCCTGACTTCAAAGTCCAGACCCTGGACAATTCAACTTTGACGTTTAAGCAAAAGGGTACTTATTAATCATAGTAAAATTAATTTACCCTCTATAATTTTTGTTATACTTTTTAGATGACAAGCAATTTGTGAGCCTTGGCGAATTGGAGGCGCAAATAGTGGAAGGGAATTATTTTGTTTACAACCTCGGCACAATATTTTTCGTAGACACAATTCTCACCGACGACCTCGACGAGCTCAAAACGCTTATTAAAGAGGCGGTAGTGGTCACCGAGCCTGCTAAAGAAGTTGAGGATGTTACCGAAATCCTCAGCCCAGTGTTTGTAGAAGAAGTTAGCACTGATGTTCTTTCAAATTCAAAGGACATTTTGGTAGATGAGGTCAGCGGTGATCTGACAACAGTTGCTGTGACTGAGGAGGCCAACACTGAGAGTAATGCCATTCCAGCGTTGCCCGCAACACCTTAAACTTATTTTTATAGAATGCATCGTGTTTCAAACATTTAATAATAATAAAAGTTGCTCTCTGTAACTTATTTTTGTGCCTGTAAAAAGTAAATTAAAATTATTTTTGCCTCATTTATCATTTCAGTTATAGTATTTGAATCTGTATTTTTATGCCAAAAATGGAAGGAAAATTGCCAATAAAGAAGATCATTTATAAATGACCGAAATTCTCATAATTTCTTTCTGCAGAGAAGGACAATAATAGGTAATTTTAGATAACGAAAATGCCAGATCGATGTTTTGACAATATGTAATTTATTATTTAATACGAGAGAAGTGTAGTAGAACATTCAATTCATACACAAATTCAATAGATAGGTCGCTTTGCTCAAGTGTTGAGCGATTTTACATTGAAAATCCCCAAATTTCTATACAACAAAATTTCGTCGACACTGACACGCGCACGGTTGTTTTGATGTAGGTACATAAATCCAATCTGGTGCTATGTTAGGGATTTTTCATTCATTTCACACTTAAAGTTAGGCTCCTGCAAGAGATATAAATCTTCAGCAGAGAGGAGGAGCCATAGAAATTCTTTTCCTCAATGGAATGTTGCTTGCATATTTTTACTAAATTTGTGTATAATAATTTAACTTTCTTACATGTACAAAATCACAGAAATGACACCAAATGCATGATCGAAAATCATTCTTGTATTATATTCAATGATAAAAAGTAATGAGAGATTGACTAGCTTTTTTAAGTAATTATAAATTAACTAGTGAACTTTGGTAAGATTTTTTCCACGTGGAATATCATAGCTTGTAAATCAATCCGTTTGAATTAATTTTTTAAAGTAATCATCAGACTAGGCACCTAAAGCGATGTAAAAATAAATCATCCTTTCGCTTTTTCAAATTAATTTTCAGCTATAAATTTGAAATGGATACTAAGTTTGGAGAAAATGAACTGCCGTTTGTGATGTACAGCATGTTGGAAACACTGAATAAATGCTTTTGGATACGCTGATGATGTGTGCTTGGACACTGTAGGTAAAAATCGACACTTTCTGATTCTGTGCTTGATCACTTGGAGGCGCGAGAAATTTGTTCTATCACTGCCTCTCGCTCAAACTATTGTTTGAGTCTGTGCAAAACTCAGTAGCGGGAACTTCCCACTTCGCCAAGCCACGAGTCTGGGCTCGGAGGGAAATCGGGGTAGCCGTGGGGGCTGTTGGTGGAGCTCAGATCCGAACCGGGGCCTGCTTGCAGGGAGCTGGTCGCTGGAGGGCCTGCGGTACTTCCTGTCAATACAAATTTATTACAAAAATTGAATTGTTATTAAAGAAAATCAAAATCTGTAAAAATGTAAAAAAAAAATTAATAAAAAGGGTAAATAAATTATGATAGTGAGATTTTGTCAACTCACTGTTAGTTGCAAGGTTGAAGACCCCCATGGAGTCCCAGCCAGGTGCACCATGGTGAGGAGGTGGTCCGATATGCGGCGGCGGAGGCGAGTGGCTCTGGGGTAAAAAGGAAGGGCTGCCCGGAGCGCCTATGTACGAATTGGCCCCCCGCGGTGACGCGGCTCTGCTCTCGCCCTCAATCGTTAGGTTGGCGACTGTGCTGTAGCTGTCGTTACTATTCAGATCTGCGATTTCCATCAAACGAGCGATCGATAAGAAAATTCAATCGAATATTTATGCTACGAACCGTGACTGTAATTGGAATCGAGAATTTCTCTCTCCGAGTCTTTGGTGTCCATTTTATCAGAGCGCGGCGAGGATGATCCAGCGCCACTGCCCTTTATTGATCGGAAGTATTGACTCCAACGAGTACGACCTGCGTCCTTTTTCAGCCTCTTTTCTTTTGCTCTCCTTTAGAAAGATAAATGTTTATTTTGAGAGAGGAGTAGAAATTCAGTATTTGAATTTTGTATGCAATTGGCAAGACATGCAAGCTGAGCGGGTTACATAATACTTTTTATAATAAGCAATTTATAATAATTAGTTTCACAGAGGATTTTTGTGTATGTTGAAATCAAGAGTAACTTTATCCCACGCAAACAACAAATTTGAGCAAAAGATAAAAAAAAACATTAGTTCAATTTTTTCGAGCTTCTTTAAAAAAAATAGCACAATAATAATCATTTAATATTATTCTCTAAATTAAATTGAGAAAATAGTAAGGATAATAATTGATTGTCAACTCACCTGTTTTGGAACCAGACCTGGACGACCCTCATGTCAAGTCCCGTGTCTTGACTGAGTTGCTCTCGGACGTGTCTGGCCGGCTTTGGACTGTTGTTGTACGCCTGCTTCAACGTCTCAAGCTGCTTGGCTGTGATCGTGGTTCGCGGCCTCTTGTTGGGCTGGTCACCCTCGAGCGAGCCGTCTGAAACATCCCCGCCTGCTACTTTATCAGCCATTCAAATCAAACGTCAACCAACGAATTTGTTCTTTTACAAAATAAAAAAAAATCTAGCTTTATCATATGATTAAATTTGTGGAAGAAAAAATCAAAGCTTTTGATTGGAATTGAGCCGCGGGTGAAATTCGGTGGCAATTTAGATAAAGGGCTTGGGGATGAATTTCCCAATTCACCGAGAGCGCCTTGTTTGCACAGCGCGCCGTGTTTGCAAGCCGCTAGTTTGTAATCTATCAGAGAGCAAACAGAAATTCCTGCTCCTCTATAATGATTGTCACCTTATCAATTTAATTAAAGCGCGCGTACACTCAACTTTGAGTACCACACAAGACAAATTTCATGTTGTGGCGAGACACCGGCATAAGTCTAATGTTCTTAATTAAATTCTGTGGCCAGACTGTTCTGCCAACTGTTAGTGTTTGCTTAATTTTATGTAGAAGGAAAATCACAAATGGAAAGGTAATGCTCAGATATTTATATTTTAAAATATATAGAAAATTCTTTGCAGTTTTAAATAAAATCTTCTTTTCGTCTTTCTAATGTAATTTTCTTATATAGTCAATTATCTTTATGTTATGGGATAAAAAATAAAATTAAAAACAATGAAATAATGAAACTAATCAAGAGATTGAGACGAAATGTGACCTGAAACTTTAGTTCATTGTATTATATAATCTTTTATTTCAATTCTTGTTAAGTGAATTGAAATTTGGTACAAAATTTATAATGACATAAAATCTTGTTCTTAGCCGTCGCTCATCACAAACTTAAAATCTCAAAATCAATCAACTTGTTAATTAATTTTCTCTATATAAAAAAAACGAATTTTTTGATTAAATTTAATATTTTTATAAAGAGTTTAAATATTAAATTAACTAAACTCAGCATTTAGTATCTTAAGGAAAAAAATGGTGATACCAATTAAAAATAAATTTACCATTTCCTGAATTATTTGTAAAAATAAAAAGTTATAGCTAATTGTAAGTAATTTTTAAATACTTCAATCAAATTAAAATCATTTATTTTTACCCAAACAAGTCAAACACAATTTAAAATTAAGGTTTCACAAAATTATTTCGAAAAGTTGAATTGTTTGTTCTAAATTTTGAGTGAGGAATTTTACAATTAGAGCTTGCAATGTTTCATTTTTTTTATAAATATTAAAATAGAAAAGTTCATGGTGTTGAGCGTCTCACCTTTGCTCCTCGCCGTCTCCCAGTCAGCCTTGCAGACGAGCCTGCGGTCGTCGGTGAGGTAGAATTCGTCGCCGGTGGCGAGTTGTCGCGCGCACAGGGCGCACGCGAAGCAGCCGAGGTGGAAAACGTGGTCCTGCGCGCGACGCACCACCTGCGTCGGCGGGATGCCCTGGTCGCAGCCGGCGCACTTGGTGCCAAAGCGCCTGCCGAAAAGCCTTGATTGAACGTGAAGGGCTAAACGATAGGGTACTCACTTGAAAAAGTCCTCTTTGCAGAACACCTCGCCGTGCCGCGCGTAACAACGCTCGGCCAACTGCGCGCCGCAGTCCGAGCACTTGAGGCAGCGCGCGTGCCACGGCCGGTCCAGCACCTTCAGGATGAACCGGTCCAGGATCAGCTCCGAGCAGCCGCCGCAACGAGGTATCGTTGCTGCAGGAAAAAAATTAAACTGAATATTTATCAAATTGTTTGAAAATGGTAATGGTTTTTAAGTTGAAAAATGTTTTTTGTTTTGCATTTAACCATCTCTTAAGTTATCAGTCCAGTTTTTTCAAATTTATTATCAGATACTATGGGTTATTGACAAATTTTTGAAACATTATTTTAGAAGTAAAAAAATAAATGTGAAGGACTCCTTTTTTTAACCTAAATTAGGTCATTGATTTTTTTTATGTCAAAACTGTTCCTTGTGAACATGTGCTATGATTTTAAAATAGAATCTAAACATAACTTGGAGAAATTGTAATCCAAAGAGACCACAGGTTAGTTTTGTTTGATGCTTCAAAGGTTTAAATCACTTAAATATTCAACAAATTTCCATATTTTTGGAGACCCCATTAAGATAACAAACAGCAACAGGATAAAATTAACAATAAAATATTCATGCCTTACTTTTTTAAAGAAATAAAATAACAGCAATGTTTAATAATCATACAGTTTATCGATTTAATACATTTTTAACATTAAAAAACTAATTTATTGTTTATTTGAAATTAAATATTTCATAATATCATAATATGCATTTATTTAACATCATTAAAAAATAATTGACTGCTTATCATTTTACTGAAATTTATATAAATTAAATAAATTTTTGACCGTAATTGCTTAATAAGTATAAAATTTATAGACATAATAATTAGAAAATCATAAATATTTTTATTAGAATCCGCTGACCTAAAATTGTTAAAGCTCAGCTCATGGATTATTTACTGGAGAATTACTCTTTTATTTACTTGTTGGATCTTTTTTAGGCTCTAAAAATGTAATAAAGAACAGTAAAATGAATAATTTTCAAATTAATGTTAAATAATTTCCAGAGCAACGTGTGTCTATTTGCAGATTAATTATTCTGTTTTAAAATTAATAAATGGAAACAAAATTAACCTAAAATAGCATGAAAATAACTTACAAAATTTCGCCAGTTCCATGAAAAAAACAATCATCTAAATAGTTAAAGTCCCACTATGCAGTTAGTTCCTTAATTAATTTTTCCAATCTCCCGACTGCATTGGAACAACAGCAAATTGAATTTAATGACAGACAAAATCAAGTTCCGAACGTGGGCGTCACGACCGACAGCGAAACAGTGCCGGGACGGCGCGAGGAAGTCGACCAGGATGGACTGTGATAGTGAAATACAACATCGCAGGTGCTGATACTGCACGTTGTCGCAATTTAGCGTTTTATTTTGTTTTAAAATCGGTGCAACATTTCCTCTGAAATTAATAAACCTTTTGTCCCACTTCCAGAGAGAGAGAGAAAAGAGGAAATTTCATCGCGCGCGGCAATCAAAATTTATAGGCTCTAAACAAAAAGCTCAAAAATCAACATTTAAAAAATAAAATAAAATGAGAGTTGATTTACCAATGAGTGCCTCGTGTTGGAACAATTTGTTGTAAGCCAGCAGAGGTTCGAAACCGCCGTCCGAGTCAACGCAGCTTTCGCTCACAAACTTCATGGTCACATAATATGGATTTTGAATGAAATGAGCACCAAAATTTTGAACCCCTTTGGAAAGGACTTGGACCGTCCCAGACACCCACTAGCTCTTGTTGGCGGTCGGAGGAGCACTGAGGCTGCACCCCGTTCCCACCCCCGATCCGCACTCCCTCTAGCTGCACTCGGCGGCGTGTATCGACCCTCGCGCCCGGCTGCAGGGGTTGAGGATCAGTGTGGCATTGGTGCGGCCCTCGGGGTGACGTCACCCAGGACACGCCCTATTTTTATATCAACCACTATCAAACCACACCCACCCCGTGGAGACACTTCTCGTCGGGAAATATCAATATTCGCACTCTGCTTTGTTCCCGGAAATAAAAAGCTGGCGAGAGCGAAAAGTTTCGTGTCTGTTGAAGAGAGAACAAGTTAAAAGTCTGCTCGGCAAAAAAGTTTCTGGTATTAACAGATGCTCTGGTGCCGATTAAAAATGCTTCAATTCTTTCGCTTCCTTGCGTTTGCGTTGCTCGAATATTAAATTAATTCGCAGTGAGATTGTGAAAAGTTTTGATTGAAAAGTGTTTACTTTTTTAACAATTACTCATTCCAGATTTCACTTTTACTAATTGCAAATTAGTTTTGTGATACACCAGTTTTTGAAAGCTTATTAGTTAGGTAAGAAATTTATTTTTTATCATTAGAGAGCATTATATAGTGGAGTTAATTTTTGCAGAAAGACAACTAATTAATTGTTAGTGATTTTCTAGCGCCAGTAAATTAGTGTGTTATTAAAATTATTCAAAGTTCCTCTCATTGTCAGAGCACATTTTTTTTTATCTCTTTAACAATGATTTCTGGTCTCATTGTTGAAAAATTTAATTTGTAACATCTTTGGAGAAATTTTTACAGATTTTAAGTTTTTCGTTATAAAAATTCGTTTGAAAAGAAGCATCACACATTTCCAGAGGCGCGTTGATAATTTTATCTAATAGGCAGGAAAGCAAATTTGTCGCCCTTTCATGTTATTGTCTGCGTGATCGCGGAAAAGACGGTCAGGCCCCACGGGAGACACGTGTCTAGGCCCACACTAATCTGCGGCACGTGCGGCCCACGCAAAGAACAAAGAACTCGAGCAGTTTGCTATCTGCGTGTGTGCTCAGATGATTTTACGGGCTTCCCGTGCTCTTTTGGCAATCAGCAGCAGCATCCCTTTCAGCTGCCGCTCATCGCCCGCGTGAAACTTCGGGGCTTCCACGACCCTGATTTGCTCTGGTCGAGTGAAAGGCACTGAGACTCATTAGGTCTTCAAACATCTGCAGCGAATCGCGAGATTGATTAAATTGAAGCCCAACGTGTTACTTTCCTCGATACATCATTTTTCCCGCAGAAAAAATAACCTCCCTTTTTGACGTTTTTATGCAACCTGCCAAATGCTGCTGTCTTGCGTGATGCATAACTAGTCGAAACAAGGAAACCCGCAAGAAAGTACATATAAAATTAATTTGTTGATGTTGTTTTGGCCACGGAGAGGTTTAAAGTTTATTGATTGAATAATCACTGAATTCTATTTGAATAAGAAATTGAATTTCCTCTCATTCCAAAATCAGCCGAGTACAAAACGAGTGCAATAATTATATCTGTGGCATTTTAGTCCAGTCTGGTGAGGGGTGGATTTTGTCGTCGTTTTCGTGGGGGATGCACTTAGACTGATTGCTCTAAACACCCCCAAGTCTGCATGAACAAATCCCTGGGATTCGTGAGCAATGAGATATTGGGGAGCTGATCAGGGATGACTTGTTGAGATGCGCGAGTTGCAGTGAAAATCAATTCTGTCAAAACTGTCATTGAATGGCAGCTCGAGCCGATTTATTCTTGAACTTGTTTGAAAAAATTTGTAATTATATCAAGTTAAAGTTGAATGTTATATTTGAAGTTCTCGTAGAAACTTTCCGTTTTCGATAAAAAAAGTGACTCAAGAAATATGAAATATTTTCAGAAATTTTTTTCAATCCTGTGGAGGATTAGAAGATTTCATCAAGATTATGTCGTAAATGCAGAAAATCTTTACTGCAAACAATTTGGGCGGGTCGTGTGTCACATGGCTGTGAAAATTGAATTGGCGCATGGAGTGGGCTTTTTATTCTATTAGAAAGGCAGCGGAGCGGCGGTAATCCCCGGCAATAAGTTGGATCCCTTTTCAAAGAGAGAGCCATTTAGCCAGTACATTAGCACCCCACGCACGCATAATATTTTCCGCGTCCGCATCATCATACGTGACATTACACCCGGCGCAGATGGGAGTTGCACAACCAAATTCAGTGTTGCAGTCTCTCTCTCTCCGTATGCCGCTCATTTGTCGCGCTACTTGCATTGTTATTCAAAATTTATTGCGCCGCCAGACTCTGCCGAGACTCAGCACCCGCGATATCATGAATAATTTATTGCGAAACCCGTTGAATGCTCACACGCAGCTCATTCAAAGTTAGATCTAGTTTCATATTTGCATATCAGGAATGTTTTTACAATTGTACAGAAAAGAATTATATAATATCCTACCAAGAGTTTTTAATTATTATTAATTGTTAGCATTTTTGCTACCATTATTATATCCATCTGTAAATTAATAAAATTATAAACAGTCTGGTGGTTTGCACTATTGGAGTGACTTCTTAGGCTTTAAAAGTAAGATAAATTTTAGGAATTTTTGACAATTTTTTTTTCTTTTTTCAATATTTATGACAAATCTGACTTTTGAATTTCAAGTTTAAAGTTAAAAGCAATATTTTCTGTAGATAAATAATAATTATAATTAATTTAATGAGAAAAAACTCAAAAAATTAAAGAAATTTAAAATAAAATCATCTTAAAAGAAATGAATATAAAAAAGTATTTCTTCATAAAAGATGAATTATAATAATTAGTTTTTAGTCTCACATATTTTGAATCTGAACTGTTTAAATTCAAAATTCTTTAAAATCATATATATTTCATAATTGAACTAAAAGAATACAAAAAAAAAACAACGATTTCGTTCGCCAAGCTAAAAATATCTTATTTTTTATTCCCACAATATTTTTGATCTATTAATTCAATACATAATTAATACTGGATTTTTTTGCATAAATATTTTTCACACTTTCTCTCAATTTTAAATGCTTATTTAGGAATCACAACTTAACCACATACAAATTTTAATTTAAAATAAAAATATCGGTATGATTTTTAAAAAGTTCCTGCAGTTAATTATAATATACATTTAAATTCCCGTTGATTTAAATCCCTTTTTCCGAGTTCAATTCATTCAGACTGTTTGGAAATGAGTAGGGGGAGAGGCTAATGCACGTCGCTGATGAGTGTTGCCTGACAAACAAATATTTTCAGCGCAACCTGCTGTTCCGAGGGCGACACGTTATCGAAAACACCATCGCGAACGGGCGGGCGTATCATCAGGAAAATTGTAGTGCACCTCTAATGCGATCATTTCCACGCGGCTGACTCTTACGAAAAACACACCGATGTATTCATGAGTCGCCGCCGCTTCCCGCATCACACAATAGCGGGCCATCTGGCGTCTCGCGTGATGCTGCGTACGAGACCATCAGGCGCACAGAAAAATGCTCGTACTTTTGACTCGCCGGTCATCAATAGTACTTATTCACCCTCTCCCTATGCGCGAGTTATTTTCTGTTTGAACTCACGAGTGCATTTCTTTCTTCCTTTCTTTCCCTCCGATATACACAGATTCACCCTTTTTGTGTTTTTGCGCAATTATTCAGCGTGCAGCTTTCCATTGAAACTGCAAGTCCCTCTGTTTGGGTCTCTGCACTGTGAAAAGAGAATGCTGAGTGATAAGGGGCTTAATGGCTTATGACATATTGGCAGCCGGTGCAGGACAGATTTATTGTTTTGAATAATTTTGACCAGCTCTAGAGAGAGGATCATAACATCTCGGAAATAAATTTTTTCTAGGAAAATCGATAATTTTTTTGAAAGAATATTTGTAAATTGTCGATGATTTCACAATTTATTTTCCATTAAAAATTAAATTATTCGATTTATTTAATTAGGTGAAATTTTGATGCAACACAAAATGTTTTATTATTATTTGAAGAAGTTGAAACTCGAGGAGATGAAGATGAACATGGAAAAGCCTGTCTTCTTCATTTATTATTATTGCACTTTATTTTTCACATTGTTAACTGTTAACATCACATTGTTTTTTGAAACAATTTGTTTGCAAAATATGTAATGCTTTGTAAAACGGCACCACCGCTAGAAAGAAATGATGTAGTTTTAAAAATTATTATTTGAATCTAAAACGATTAAATATGTTATCAATATTTTTGTATAAATGTTATCAATTTTTTTTTTGTTGAAATTTTTATTTATTCTGGTGTTTTTTTTATTTTTATGTTCATTAAAAAAGGTAACAAAATCAACCTTGACCACAAATCAAGCCCCTCGCTTGTTGTGCTGCACTTCCCTTTTTGTTCTGACCGGAGTTAATTCGAGGAAACGGCATATGTTGATAATCGTGACGTCACCCTATCTTGCCAACGCACACCCCAAAGTGGTAAAGTGAACCCGCGAGGCTTCGCGCCCTCTTTGGAATCTATATGCGGACGTAATTGATACGCGTAACCTAGTCCACTTGCTTTTTCACCAGGAACAGGAAGGGACGATCGAGTCGTTTGCCCGAGCATGTTGTTGTTTTAAAAGGTCTTCCATTTCTAAAACACCCGCTGACATTTAAAAAATCCCTCCTCTGCAGCAGCACGTGCGAAAATATTATAAACCCTATCAATGCTTTGCTTCAACGGCTTCAACAGTTGGCGCTCAAATTATTATCAGAAAAAAAAACGTTAAAATTGAAATTATTATTATAATTATTCATAATTAAAGGACTTTCAGTTTTCACAATATATATTTTTTTATCGTTAATTAAATGAATTAAAATTTTAATTACGAGTTGAATATATTTACAAATTGCAAAAGGTTGAAATAAATACAGGCAAATGGGATTAAAAAAGATATTGAATTTATAAAACTCTTTGTTCTTTCATCAGATGGTTTTGCACTCTGTGATTGAAAATTTAAACAGCTCTTTTTTTTACAA